AATAAAAAAAAAATTTATTAAATTTTTGCTTATATAAATACTTAACTTTAACTTCACTCTTATTATATAATATACTTAACTATAACTTAAATATCTATACTATAACCTAACTTATACCTATTCTAGCTAGAAAGTTTAGATATAGGTTAAGTTAATTTAGAGTTTATATTATATAATACTTAACTATATTCTAACCTATACCTATTTGCTACTCTAGTAGAGCTAACTTAGATAATCTAGTTATATAAAAGATTATAGAACTAGTTTAAGATAAGAACTTTACTTATAAAGATAAAGAAGAATAAGATTATCTTCTCTATTATATTAATGCTTTATACTAGTATAACTTACTTATAATTACTAAGCTAGAGCTTCTTTACTTTTCTAAGCTTCTCTAAACTTATTACTATAAGCTAAGAGAATATCTTACTTATTAAGAAGCTAGACTTATTAAAGTTATATATATTCTTATCTATAACTTTATACTTCTTCTTTATACTTTAAACTAGTATAAACTAAAGCTAGATAATTACTAAGTTCTTATAAGTAGCTTACTAGCAATTATATAGATAGCTCTAGTATATTTATAGCTTAGAAGTACGCTTAATAAAGTTATTAATCTAGTTCTTACTAATAAGCTTACTAGCGCGCTTTCTAAGTAGTCTATTAGCTATATCTTATATATCTATCTTTAAGATAAGTAAACTATATATAGAATACTTAAATATATGCTTTATAATTATCTTCTCTTCTAGTTTTATAAAGCGCTTTACTTTTAGCTTCTAGTTATATTAAGAGAGGTACTTTATATAATAGTCTTAGATAGTACTTTAAAAGATATTATAAATAGCTATAGCACGTTATTTACTTTAAATCTACTTTAATTAAATATTAGAGATAGTAAGCTATATATCTTCTTTAGTATAAGTCTTTTAAGCTTAGTATTATTAAGATATTATATATTATTGCTACGCAGCTATTTTAGTAAGATAAGATAGCTAGATTACTTAGATAGCTAAGTTACTTATAAACTATATTATATTAACTAATTTAGAGGTATTCTAGCCTAGAATAGCGTAAAATAGAAGCAGAGAAGCTTAATAAAGCTAGATTAAGAGATGTAGTAGTTATTATAGAATACTTTATATTTATTAGCGCTATAATAGAGTATAATAGAGTATTCTAGCCTAAATAGAGGCTAAAATCTCTATAGAGAGAACTAAAAATTCTTATCTAAAAGAAACTAAGAGAATATAGAACTAGGTTAAGAGTTAGGCTAAGCTTAACTAGTATTATAAGTCTATATACTACTTACTTATTATTACTTAGCGCGCTAAGCTTAGCTAAGCAAGTCTCTTAAAATTATAAGTTTTAGAAATAATCTATAGAGCTTTAATGCGTGCTTTAGGCCTTAAATAAGCTATTATAGCTTATTCTAGCTTACTAAACGCTTTTTTATATTAGATATATTTGCTTAAGATAAGCATACCTAATAAGAAAAATAATATTAGCACTCTAGCACTAAGAATGCCTTTAGTATTCTAAGCAGGCCTAGTATAGCTACTAGAGAGCTAGTATATAGAGTAGAGAGAGAATTGCTTCTTAATAGTAGCAATTTATCTATTCTTTACGATAATTCTATTAGTTATCCTTATTATTACTTGCTTCTAGCTATAACTCTCTAGTATTATCCTAATATCTAATCTATACTTATTTGCTACTCTAGTATAAGCTATATCTAACGTTCTTTAGAAGGTTCTATTTAATTTTATTATTAAGGCATTATATAAGAAAGTAGAGTTTAGTAGAAGCTTAGTAAAAGTAATGCATAAACTTATGTAATGCACGAACCTATAAGATACGTTAGTAGGTATATTAGTTAAGGCTTAGCAAAGAGTAGCAGCAAACCTATAGTAGTAGCAAATCTATAGAGTGCGTTATTACTTTGCATAAAGATAGCCTATGTTATGCAATTCTTAGTTCTACTACGCAATTTATTCTTATTCCTACTATCGTTATTCTAGGACTATACTCAGCACTATATGCTGCTCCTATCTAGCTCTACAAGGCCTCTTATTCTTCTTCTTCTTCTTCTTCTCCTCTCTGCTATCTCTACATCCCCTTTGTTTCTGTATTTGTTCTAGTAGGGAAAATTTTCGGCATTACGACGCGAATTTCGGTATTTCGTCGGTGGTGCTCATCTGCAGTAAGATCACCATTCGATACCACACACGGACCGTTTCTAAATATATTAATTCGTTCTCTTCTCCGCTCTCCTTGCCTCCCAAAACTCAATTCCATCCCACTTTGAGCCGTCGTCAAATTCAACAATGCAGGTGCGCAAAAACCAGCAAGTAGCTTTTGCTGCGCTTGCATCTCTCTTTACATTTGCATCCAGCTCGCCAACCCATCCACTCTCGCCTCGCGATGCGGCTGTCTTATCCAGCAACCATGCTCTGTCACTCCTAGCGCGTGGTATACCTGTAGTAGGATCCAAGGTTCCCCTCAAACTGCATTCTAATCATGTTGCTGGTACACAACTCGCAAAACGCCAGGGTGGCGCACCATTTCGTACAATCGCGGCCGGAGCGAACTATGCGATTGACGTGATCATCGGTACAGAGACGCTTCAGCTTTTGTTTGACACTGGAAGCAGCAGTTTTTGGGTACCAGAGGCCGATTTTGTGTGTGTAGACAAGGTTGGCAAGCAACAGTGAGTCTAAATGCCCTACCTAACTCTTACGTGGTACTTTGAACCTGATCATGAACGTTCCTCATTATAGATCTCAGTCCACTTGTGGATTTCCAAAATATGGCCTCAAAAGCTTTTCCGGTGGCCAAATCCCGGACCAAAACTTTAACGTGACATATGGCGGGGGGGAATTCGCGACTGGTAACGTGGGTCTCGAATCCGTCGGCCTCGGAGGTGTGACCGTCAAGAATCAGAAGATGTCGCTTGTCAACAGGACCCATTGGGTGAGCGCAGGCAATCTGACTAGTGGGCTTATTGGTACGTAAAGCATGTTGTCTGCTTTTGGACACCGTAGTCGGCGAGCATCCCGGATGGCAGTTTGTGTCGCTTGGTTATGCTTTTTGCTTGGGTGTTTGTTGACGATAGTGACTAGGCTGGGGACTCGGTGCCACCACCGCCATCTACGAGGGCGTGGATCCGTCCCAAGACGGCGGAAAAAAGGCCATATTTGTCAAACCATGGCTGGAAACCGCCTTCGAACAAGGCTTGGTCGCAAAACCCATATTCTCGGTTGTCCTAGGCAAGAGGGGTAAAACCGATCCGGACCTATCAGCCGTTGGATTTCTTACGATAGGAGGCGCGCCATCGTCATCGTCGTTGCCGCTCACGGGTGTATACGCTACCACGCCAATCCTTAAGGAGACATTCGATCATTTTCAACTAGAGAATGAGTATGTTCATTATGTTGTTCGACCTGACGGATTCACTGTCAATGGAGAATTTGTTGCCTGGGCACCAGGTACCTCCGTCGGCACCCATTACGGCGACAGTCAAGAAAGATTCACGATCGTAGACACCGGTACCGCACTCTCCAGACTCCCGAAGGCCCTTGTAGACACAATCGCCGCAGCCTTCAGCCCTCCAGCTTTCTTCAGCCAAGATAACGGGCAATGGGAGGTTTCGTGCAATGCTACGACACCTTATGTCGCTATTCGCATTAATGGGACTGACCTTCCCTTTGCCTTATCAGATGTTCTGGTCGACGGCACTTTTGGCGTAGTAGACTCGCAGAAGCAGATCTGTGTAATGGGCTTCCAAGAACCGCCAACTCCGCCCTGGGGTGGCGAGCTGCCGTATATCCTCGGAGCCAACTTTCTGAGAAATGTACTGGCGATCCACGACATTGGGAACAAAGCAATGACGTTTGGTGCGCTAAAGTGGGAATGATCATGAATCAATTGCAGCGCTTATAGCACACACAAGAATACACATCGATATATAGCACCTTGAAACCAAATTCTCCTCTGCATTTGTTATTGACTATCAATAATTATTCCATGACGCCCCCAAAACCGGTACAAACTGTGCTCTCATCTTCGTGATAGCGGGATTCAATCGTTGCATAGTGGTCAAAGAGACACTTAGAAACTCTCGGAACCGGAACATTCTGCGTGATTGTTCGGGTGATCGTGGTTTCTCATGGCATTGGCAACTACTACTTCGTGATCAAAGTGGCCGTAGAAACCCTCAACACCGTGGTTATGGACCCTTCGGCACTTCCTGGATGGTCGTCTTGATGATTGTGGTCTCCCTCTCTAGTAGCGTGGATGTCTTGGGAAATCGTAGATATCCTTCCTCTGCTGCGTCACCGTTGTCATGATTGTAGGTCTCCTCCATGGCCCCCGGTCAGTTGATTTCCCTGGGCTCCGGGCTAATGTTTCTAGGGGCTGGCCGTCCGAGGTCCCACCGCCTGAACACCAGGACCCGTGATGGTTCGAGCCATTATTCATACGGCTCTAGAGTCTCTTGCCATTATAAATCGAGTGCCTACAACAGTTCGCGTTGCCAATCTGATGGTCCTGTGTAATGGTGGAGGATATAGTTGGCAGCGGCTGTCGATAGCCACATCTGTCAAAGGTTTATACTTCTTTAGCTCTCATTGTCATCGTCGTCTTCAGAAGAGGTGTATCCAAGGCCGAGAGACAAAGCACTGGTCGAGTCTGCATCGCGAGGTGTAGTAGCGCTTTTGCTAGTAGCAACACGTAAATCTACGGCTACGTTTGTGGACGGTGCTATCTCATGGTTTGCCACGAGCGTATGGTCGGGTTTTATGCTTTCCTCTGGGTTAGAGCTTGTCTTCCTCAGCTTCACACCCTTCAAGAGTCCATTCTCTGGACCCTTCTTCCTTTTGCGCCCGGCAGCAGCCCATTGTACTTGTTCTTGAGGAACATCCGGATTATCGGCCTCCAAAGCTGTTGTTGTTTCTTCTTCTTGCTGCCTACGAAATGCTTCGAGTTTTTCCTGAGTCTCCCTTTTCACTTTAGCCTCCTCCTTCCTTCTTTTTTCCTCGATGGAGTCCAGGTAATCGGCTTCTTCGTCGTTCAGACTCACGTGGAGTTTGTACCGAGCTCTCTCCTCAAATTCGGCCTGCTTCTTATCCTTGTTCTCTTGAAGTACTTCAAATAGACTTTTTCCATCGTGCTGCGCTGTCAGATCTGCTTTTGCTTTGCGAGCAGCCTCGAGCTCGGCTTGGGCTCGTCGCCATTCATCGTCTCGCTCTGTCGGATTGTCTACAGTTCCGCCACTCACAAAGCCTGATGACATTGCGACTCATGCGGCTTAAGACAAAGGGAAGTGGACTGATAGACTGGATGATACGTCGGGTCGTTGTGGTTGGAAATTATGTTGGGAAGAGTGGAGCCGACACGCCACTTGCCGGCTCTTCTCCGAAGTTTATCCTGTCGGTACCTAATCCTCACGTCGGGAGCCTTCCAAGTAGTTGTTAAAGGCTGAGTGAGGCGGCACACGCAATTATGCAGATCAGTTCACGCAAGTTGCCCATATTTCCGAGTACGCCTGTTCTGCGAATTCTGCTATTGGGGACAATTGCGGACCGTTGGGCGGCTTAGAGACGGGCAAAAGGGCAGCTGTTCCGACTGCTCCATTTGACTTAGTGAGTGTGGCCGACAGACCCACCTCGTTGGAAATGCGGCCTGTGTGAAAGAGGATTGGTGGAAAGCTCGCGACTGAGATCACCCGGTGGTATCAAGGTACTGTTGTTGCCCCGCGGTGGGTTAGATGCGAGGGCCTCTGACGTAGCATTATTGCATAACAATACGCTTTTCAAAAACATTTCCATAGTTTAAAGTGTAAGTTCACTCTTTGTTTTTACAATTTAAATTCTGATAAACGACTATCAACCTCCAGCAAATATGACACCAAAAAATTGGACACAGGAGAGCTTCACAGTACGTCCGACCTGCAGCGCAACTGCTTCGCATCGCATCGGTATCAGAATTGTACCGGCGTGGTAGAATCGTTCTGAGAAGACTAGCAATGCACCAACAGAAAGACAGCTTGCAGCATGTGGGAGCATGAAGCTGACTGTGATTAGCTCAACACCGGTGCAAAGATTCCAGCGATCGGTCTTGGAACATGGCAATCAAAGCCAGGTGAGGTTCGTGAAGCTGTGAAGGCTGCAATCCAGGCTGGCTACCGTCATATCGATACAGCTCTTGCGTATGGCAATGAGAAGGAGGTCGGCGAGGGTATCAAGGATTCTGGCATTCCTCGCGAGCAGATTTGGATCACCACCAAGCTTGACAACCCATGGCACAAGCGCGTGGAAGAGGGCATAAACAGCTCTCTGGAGTCTCTAGGTGTAGATTACGTTGATCTGTACCTGATGGTGAGTCTGCGAAGCATATATCTAGATGAGAAACTCATTGCTGACACATGTGCACAGCACTGGCCATCTTCCACTGATCCCGAGGACCTCAAGAAACACTTGCCCGACTGGGACTTCCTCGACACCTGGGCTGAGCTCCAGAAGCTCCCCGAATCTGGTCGTGTCAAGAACATTGGCGTCTCCAACTTTGCTGTCAAGAATCTTGAGAAGCTGTTTGCAGATTCGCGCTTCAAAACCACACCTGCAGTCAACCAGATCGAGCTTCACCCGAACAACCCTTCGTAAGACAGCATGTCCCGCTGTAGATACATGGATTGACTAACCCATCCCAGCCCTAAGCTCCTTGACTACTGCAAGCAGAAGGGCATTCACGCCACCGCCTACTCTTGTCTCGGCTCGACCGACTCCCCCTTGTACAAGAACGAGAAGCTCAAGAAGCTTGCTGAAAACAAGGGTAAATCAGTCCAGCAGGTCCTTCTTATGTGGGGGCTGCAGAGAGGTAGCTCAGTCATCCCCAAGTCGGTTACTGCTTCACGAATTCAGGGCAACTTCCAGCTCGACGGCTGGGAGTTGACAGCCGAAGAGATGAAGGAAATTGATTCGCTACCCGAGCGCTTCAAGGTCTGCGGCGACTCATGGCTGCCGATCAAGGTCTTCTTTGGTGATGACGAGTAGGCATTCTCCTACTTCTAGCTTGAATGGGGTAGCACGTAGTAACCCGAAATTAAAATTGTAACCTGACATGAACAACCACCGATGTTCAAATTGACTGCACGCTTTCATTCTCCACGCCCTGTTGTGCGCATTCCACTTCGAACGTTCTAAGGTTAGCTTCCAAGGTTCAAATAGCTCGGATGTGTGACGGTCAGGTGATAGCGCGTCGGCGCTAAGACCGCGCCGCGTGGCGGGCTAGCAACCTTCGCCACCCTTCAGAATAGAAAGCGCGCGCACTTACGCGTTCTGCCATACAACCCACACCCCTCTTGTCCACACATTAGACATTCATCATGAGCGCCGAGGAAGAGCAATATGACGACAGCACAATGGGCGCACCTGGCGCACCAACACCGGTCTCGGCGCTGGAGGTACGCATGGAGCGAGGTAGAACAGGTGCCTGGACATACACTGACCATGGTTCAGGGCGTCAATGGGTTGACAGCTCGCGACATCAAATTAGTCGTGGAAGGCGGCTACAATACTGTTGAGTCGATTGCCTATACGTGAGTGTGGAACCATTCTGGAGAGTGCTGCCGCTCACACATTGCAGGCCACGAAAAGCGCTGGAGCAGATCAAGGGAATATCAGAGCAGAAAGCGTCCAAGTTACTTGCTGAAGGTGCGCTGCTCGTAATTCTATTCGGTCAAGTTACTAAAGATGCCAGCGTCCAAACTTGTGCCGATGGGCTTCACGACCGCGACGGAGATGCACCAACGGCGAAGCGAACTCATCTCTATCACCACAGGCTCAAAACAACTGGACACTCTGCTCGCAGGAGGTATTGAGACAGGCTCGATCACTGAGATATTCGGCGAGTTCAGAACTGGCAAGAGCCAGATCTGTCACACCCTGGCCGTAACATGCCAGTTGCCTTTCGATATGGGTGGCGGCGAGGGCAAATGTCTATACATTGATACCGAGGGCACCTTTCGACCGGTCCGCTGTCTTGCTGTCGCTAATCGTTTTGGACTGTCTGGTGAAGAGGTCCTTGACAACGTCGCTTACGCGCGCGCATACAACTCGGACCATCAGCTGGAGCTTCTCAACCAAGCTGCGCAGATGATGACTGAGACTCGCTTCTCACTTCTCATTGTAGACTCGGCCACTTCGTTGTACCGCACTGACTTCGCAGGTCGTGGTGAACTGTCGAGTCGACAAACTCATTTGGCCAAGTTCATGCGTACACTGCAGCGCCTCGCGGATGAGTTCGGTATCGCAGTCGTCATCACCAACCAGGTCGTAGCGCAAGTCGATGGTGGACCAAGTGCCATGTTCAATCCGGACCCAAAGAAACCCATCGGCGGTAACATCATTGCACATGCCAGTACGACTCGCCTGAGCTTGAGGAAGGGTAGGGGCGAGACGCGAGTATGCAAGATCTACGACAGCCCGTGCCTGCCGGAGAGTGATTGTCTATTTGCAATCAATGAAGACGGCATCGGCGACCCGAAGGAGAAGGACCTAGAGGAGAGGAACAACAGGTAAGGGCTTGATGCTGTATCCCGCGCGCAGTGTTAGTGTATTATAGCGGGATTTGCATTGTATGGAGTTGTGGTTGCTGCAGGCTGGTGTTGGGCTGGATATTGACGCAAATACATGACCGCTGCCTTGATAGTAATATGACCATTGCCAAGGAGACCTCCTCCAAAGTGAACCCTGAAGGGGATCAGAATACGTTTATCTACTACTACGTATGCAGTTGGAGCTCATCGCCTGCCTGGTCCGTGCACTTACTAGCTGCACCTGTCGCGACTGCTGTTTTTGTGAGGGCCACTTGCGCGACAACAACAGCCACCCTCCACCACCCCGCTGATACCTCACACGAACTGCCCTCCTCTGAGCTTGCGCATGCGAGTAGGATGGCCAAGAATGGAGGTTCATGCCTCTATCGAGAGGCGCGACTGAACATCGAGCCCGCGTTCCCTGGATCGACAATTGTGTTTACGCTGCCCGCAAGCTCCCTCACGACGTTCGGTTCTCGCACCGCAGCGAAGCGCACTGTGCCCCCCGAGCGCTACGCAGACCAGGACGAAGACGCATATACAAGACGGCATCTGGCCACAGATGGGTCAATCTACTTCCGGCAACACCATGCATACCCGCGCAGCTTGCTTTGGCGCGTCTTGGATAACAGAAGGGCCATCGAGCTGCAGTCGGTCGACCTAGACCACAATGCCGGTGATCGGTTCGAGGCAAACCTCACCCTTGTGCTCCAATTCCCATCACCGATCCGGCCATTTTGTATAGCCCTTGCAGAGTCCGCTGATCGTGACGCCCTCATCATCTTTGGCATCACCACCGCAAACGACCTATACGTCCTGACCATACCTCGCGACTTCTTCGTCAATCCTGCAGCCTCGGAGCAGGATATAGAAGGGTGGTGCAAGAGGTCAGAGCCTACGTTATTCAGCGGGCGCATCCCGTACAGACTTGTTGCAGTCAATGTTGACGAACTGCTTGTGGCCCTCGACGACGGCGCAATATGTCGCATACACTGGGACAAAGACACCAAGGCGTGGGACGGCTCACGATATCAGCATAGCAATTGGTCGGTCCGCGGACTTTTGTCCTGGAAAGCACAGCCTACAGTTCGTTTCGAGGGTGCAGATCTCGCAATATCAGCCGCCGCCGCAGTGACGATGTCTCCAGACAGGCAACACATACTCTCGGTCTGCTTAGATCACACCATACGAGCTTGGAATGTGGTATCGGGCAAATTAGGCGCACACATGGACCTTTTGGGGCAAACTGATCGCGCACTGGAAAAAAGTGGCAGCTCTTACTTCATCGGACCCTCTCAGTCAACTTTAATGGCAGTTATCCCAGGTCCACCAGACGGACCTGCTAGTGGGCTGGGTGGCGCACAGTACTTCCTCTTGACGTACTCACCTAAGCAACATCAGTTCAAATTGTGGGGAGTTAGGGACGCAGACGATGCACAGCATGGCCTGTACGATGTCTGTGAAGATGCTGAGCTTATTCCACCAATTGACGAGCTCATGGACACAACAGTGTGGACCTTGGAGGAATTTCATATCGTCCCCGGACCAGCTGGATGGAGGGGAACGGAGCTCTGGATCCGTGCAAGGTCCGGCCCAAGTAGCCGCATCTACTCACTGAAGTTTGACCCTAGCGATGATGCCGACACGCTGACCGCGTCATGGAAGAATGACTGGGAATCGGTCGATGCTGGACTCTTGACACTCGATAGTCTTAAGAGTAACCCAGCCAACCCCAGCGAACAAGGTCTCGATATTGCACTTGGCGAAGTAGACATATTTCAGCAGTGGCTGGACTTTCTCCTCTATCCCGGCCGATTCAGCATTGCTACATTAGAGACCGCTTTACTCATACTTAGGCGGGACCTTGATCGGATACAGACTACGAAGACAGCCAAAGGTAGTCTGAAGGAGCGCATATGCAGCACTATTACAGCTCTCGCCAGTCATACGCAAGGTGGCAACAAAGATCTGAATCGTTTTGAAGAGGCCGTTGCACAACAGTGGCAAGCCTTCTACGGGCTTGTAAAGGACTTGCACAAGCGGAGGGGCGAATCTCTATCTCTTGCGTACGACCAGCAAACCGGCACTCCATGGTTGTTGCTGAGTGATCATCTCTCCGCGATTCGAAGCTGCAGTGATGCCGAAATATCTGCGCTCAACGCCGTAGCCCTGGCGTCGTCGCATCAGACCAGCACTCCTCTTCGCAAAGCTTTGAGCAGAAGCGAGACGCGCGATGTACTGCGATTACTCAACGCTGCATCTTCTTTCCGAAGGAGATTGCCATTATATGTCCAGCAAGAGCTGCAGCGCCAGATTGAGATGGATCTCCTTCAGAGCCGGTCACTTACAGTCATCGACCGCATGGAACTTGTCGAGAGTCATAGCGAGCTGATACAGCACGTTTCAGATGAAGATTTATCGCTGCTTGTCGAGGAACTTGGCACTGAAGTGAAGGACATAACAACCGAGACCTTCCTCCGAGCTATCCAAACCCTGGGCTACAAGGACCAAGGAAGAGTAAATACGCGAAAACAAATTACGCGCTTCGGACTCAAAGCTCTTCTTCAAGTCTCACAAGATACATTGGAGACAGACCACAACATCTTGCTAGACCTTCTCGTGCTCGTGCTGGTCATGTTTTTTGAGCTGGAAGGGGAGACACCAGAAGATTTTGATGCTTCAGAAGTGTTCATGGAACTTCTTATACAATACAAAGACTGCATGACTGTCTCGTGGTTGGCCAGTACGGTGTGGGCACACCAAACCGCTACCGGACCTGCCTCAGAAACTCTCAATCGCACACTCAGCGAGACGCTGAAGATCAGCAAGAAGCTCCCTCTGACACAAACTGTTCTTGAGGGTATCTATGGCGAGCGCGCTTTTGACGTACCCTTGCATAACGAAGCGAAGACAAATTTGCTCACGCAATGGAGTAGAGGATGGCTAACATCGGTCTTCAAGGACGGAAACTACGATTCTGTCGTTGAGGATACGATGGGTATTCTCCTGTTCCAGAAGGAGTATGGTCTAGCGATGGACTTTTCGAAATTTTTGCCTGAAGGCAACTGGGCCACGTATCTAAAAGGTCGGTTATATATCGCCCAAGGCGAGAATCAACAAGCTGCCATTTGCTTCCGCAAGGCTGCATACCACCTTGGTAAGTGGGACCAAATAAAGTCTTGGAGTTCTTCCTGACTAACCCCAACAGCTCTAGGACATTTTAGCGTTGAAGATACGGACTCAGTTGGCCTAGTGCTAGAAGCAGAACGCAACTCTTTCTCTGAAGGCCTGGCAAGCTACTATAGTCATGTTGTCGGTCTCTTTGAGCAGGTGAAAGCATACTCTTATGTTGCTGACTTTGCTCGTCTTGGTCTGAGGTCGTTGACCGGCCAGGAAGAACAGGAGCTGAAGACTGACCTCTTGCAACGGCTGTTCACAGCTTCCATCCAGACATTAAGATACGACGACGCTTACTTGTCGATGTCGCGGCACAGTGATGCAGCCTTGTAGGTTCATGTGTTCGTGTATAGCGATTCGGTCTCACTAACGCATGCGCAGAAAACACTCGTCTCTGCAGACACTCATCACCTCCATGGTCTCGCAGCAGCAAGCAATGCAATTACTCAAGTTTCCATTCGTAGGTCTGGCCGACGAAGTCGACGACACGCTGTCGTCACTCTGCCAGAAGACCCTCAACCTGACTTCTGGGCCACCTTACCATCAAATCCTTTACTCGTTCCGCATAGCGCGTAACAACTTCCGCGGCGCTGCATCCATTATGCACGAACGCCTGCAGCGTCTCAAGACAACGTCGTCTAAGCATCGAGATCCCGCGGACGACTCACTGGCACAGTGCTACCTAATGATAATCAACACGCTGTCGTCCGTGGGCAAGGAGGACGCATATATTCTCGCAGATCAAAGAGTGGAAGGCGCAGGACCGCCGCAGTGGGGTATTGGGCAAGGCAAGAAGCTTCTCAAGAGACAAATCGTGACATTGGACAGCCTGAGGAAGGAATATCAGGCTGAATTGGACCGCGTTGCTGCGATTGAGAGCGGACAATTTCCATTTGTGGAGGCAGCAGAAGAAATGGATGTACTGTAAATATATTGGTTCAGGCATGGTTCAGCAAGGCGTTCAAGGTTGGACGCACAGCACCGCATCTCTCAAGGAATGGGCGCAATCAAGAGTCGGTATACTATGCTTTAATGACAAGACGCTTGACCAGGGTCGGTTGTACATGGAATATGCATGTGTAATCTCTCCACTTCGCGAAACGGACACGCTAGGACTAGCGCGAACGATGAGTGGGGCGACCGTGATGCCCGTGTTGTTGCCAGTTGAAAGAGACGTGAGACGACCAGACAAGTTCCGCTTGCCAGCGATTCGGACTCTGCCCCCAGCACCAGCACTCTGCGCCTGTGTACCCGTGCCAACTGTTTGCTATCTCACATGTAGCCATTTCCTGCGTCACGCGGGACCATTGCCATGGTGCGCACACTCGACGCTTTGTCGTTCATCGTCGCTTGCTGACAATCCACCCAGAACTCCAAATCGCTGCGCCGCCTCGCCGCCGACCACGGCTCCCTGCACACGGCTGCACTCCCGCCGAACTATCTCTTTGCGCCGTCCTACGACTCCTCGGAACTGACCTCTCTCGACATTCTCCTCGCCGGGCCCGTCGGCACTCCCTATCAGAATGGCGTCTGGCGCTTGCACCTCGACATCCCGCCTACCTACCCGACTGCTCCCCCGACAGCGCAATTTCGCACGCGACTATGGCATCCCAACATCGATGAAGCCACAGGTGCTGTCTGCGTCGAGACTCTGAAGCGCGATTGGAGTAGTGCATTGAAGCTGAGAGATGTCCTGGTCACCATCAGTTGCCTGTTGATTCAGCCAAATCCAGCAAGTGCACTCAATGAAGCGGCAGGAAAGCTCGCGAGTGAGGACTGGGATGGTTTCTGCAGGCGCGCGAAGCTGATGACGGAGATCCACGCTGCCGTGCCTAGCAACATTGCTGCGGAAGTGAGAGAAGCGCAGATGCGAGGTGACGATGCACCTCTGGAAGCAGGACCAGTCCAGACGGAGCCAAAATTTCAAGGAGCCAAGGGCAAGGAGCGCATCAGAGCCACTCCAACGACATCCAAGGTGCCGCAACCCGTGACCGAGGACGAAGAGAACACCCGACGAAGGGATGACACACAAGAGCTGGAGAGCGATCCCGAGAGCGACTGGATTCCTGGACCAGACAACACGGCTAAGCGTGCAACAGCTCAGGCCAGCAATGTCTTTGGCATCAAGGGCCTTGATGATGGCATGCTCAATACGCCTTCAAAAAGAATATATGCAACAACCACGGCAAGTCCAGGGCCAGAAACTCGCAATGATTCGCACCCGTTCATCGATGTCCTCTCCAAGCGCACCATACACACTTCCCAGTCCTTTGATCTACGACTCCCCACATCTGCTATCCCTGCACCTATTCAACCCGCATCGACCAACACACCCGAACTTCTCAAATTTTCGCACCAAAATCCCTTCTCGGCCATACAACTGAACAATCAGACACATCCTTTGATCCGCGAGCTGTCTTACACCTGGGATGACTCGGAAGTCTTGCATGACACGGGTTTGATACATGACGGCACGAGCAAGCTCGAGGTCAAGAAGAGGCTGGCGGGCCAAGACTTCGAGGCCAAGAAGTGTTGGGAGATGAAGAGATTCAAAAAAGCTGGCTGTGATTTGAGTAGGTATAACAGAGGGGATTTCGGGCCCAGGATTGGCATGGGGAGACTTTGATGGAATTTGTGTGTTTGCAATGTCTGTTTTCGAGGCGTCGTATGGTGGCGATGGATACCCCCAGCTGTGACCTGACTATATAGCTGTATGTGATTCGCTACGCGAATACATAGATACGACTGTATAGCTCAGCGCTCTGTTCAGAATCAAAATAATTCCTTGTTTAATATGGAGCTTCTTCATCTCGCCTAATACAAAGCATCTTTACATGTCTTCTAGGACGACGAGACAGGAAATATAGTAAGGCTGGATGATCAGGCTCGCCAAATCACGCCTGCAATCCAGATTCGGAGCAGCAGCCCGATCATCGCACGAGGGCTGACGTCTGCAGGAGAAAGTATAGAAATATGCGACGCAAGTCGATTCCGAGCTATGTTGACAGTCTAATTTGGCATACTATCTTGGCGATCAGCTAGCGGGGTGAGCCGCTCCTTCCGTGATCCCCTTCGCTAAACATCATGTGCAATTGGATCGCTTCCGACCTCCAGGTGCACATCACTCGGCCACAACATCAACTCAAGCTCTAATTTAGGCCCCGAGATACTTTTCCATACGCGAAACAGACACAAACACCTTTTTCCATACGCGAAACATACACAAACACCTAGGGGGAGCTATTACGCTCGTGTTGGCACTGACTGTCTTGCTATACCCAGGAGAGGTCTTCGTAAGCACCAGACCGCGGGGTCGCCGGTGCTTCACACCTTGCCACTTAACCTGCAGGCTGATGCGGAGTTATGTAGCTCTCTCGATGCTGCCGCTTAGTTGATCTGGTTGACACAGGCAGGACCCACAGTACAGTGCCGCCAGCCAGGAATGGTCGATCTGTCGATCCTGCATATAAAGCGTCGACCCGCTTCTGGCGTGGTGAACTGCCTATCCTTGCGCCGCTTCTCGATTGGAACACTCGACCCACTTTGTCTGCATGAGAGGTACGTGCGTGCCATGGGAATATGCCCTCGTTCGACCTACTAAGTCGTCACAAGCGAGAGCAACTACACCATAGGTACACCGTGCTTCCTAGGATATAGGGATCGTCAATGCCTGCGCTTCAGCAAGGCACACCTACACTCGAATTGGTCGAATACGCAATCTAGTAGCTTGCATGGTCTGCGGTCTCGCAGGCTGAAAGATCTGTTGGTCTCGCAAGCTGAAAGATCTGTGGGTCTCACAAGCTGATCAATCCATGCGGCTCGCTACTGCAATAACATCGCCGACCAGATGAGGAGGGGGTTCTGCATATGCATAGTTCGTCTTCGTAAACGATGTCCCTCCTTAGCGATCTACTATCTCGACTGTGGGAGATCGGAGAGGGCGATGTCGTCTTGAAGCTACACTCGCATTGGACAGCCTAAGGCATAAGCCATCAGCGTATATACGTCTTCTTCTAGATTTAGGATAATATCGCAGCTTGATCCGGGAACTCTGTTATCTTGCATTGACACCCCTGTTGACCAGTTGTTAACCAAAATCCTATAAGTACGGGCAACTGCTTACCACCTTAAGCCTAAAGACTCTTGTCACGAACCCTCTTCTATTCAATTCTGACACTACAAGCATGACAGATAATTCGTCTATCGCAAACCATATCACGCCAGAGAAGCTCACGCTGATGAAGATCAAGGCTGGTGGCTTCGAGCGCGAATTCTTGTCTGAACCATCAACCCCAACCCAGATTCCTCCATCTCTCGATTTTCCTCCCTTGCTGGGACACCAACATTCATCTTCAAGCAACATGAACTCGTCCCTTACGCGTCGCTCCAGCCGACAAGTCAGTTCGGCGTCTCGTCGCTCCAACTCGTTCCTCCAGTCTCATCGCAATAAGATGTCTTCTGAACTTACGCAAGTCGTCCTCAGCTCTTTAAGTAAGCCCTTGGTAACATACGTGTAGCTCCCAAGCAGAGGGCAAGTTCTTTGCTTTGATGGACCTCATGTCAACCGCGTCGCGTGAAGCTTCTTCACTTAAAGACTCATGGGCTCGCATCACCTCTGAGCGTGAAGCTTTGGCTCGCGAGCGTGAAGATCTCATGATTCAAGTAGATGAGGTGACCGAGACGCTCGAGCGATCACAGAGCGAGTACCATCACCACGGACACGAATTGGTTGAGAGAAAGAGGCAAGTCGAGAAACTTCTTCTCGAGCTTTCCGCGGCTTTTACTGCGGTATCCGAACAGAAGAAGAAGGTTGTCGACCGAGACCACGATCTGGAAAGTACACGTGCTGAGCTCACCGAGCTTCGGACAAGAGTGTCACGGTCTGGCAGTGATTATAGCAGGATCAGTGTTGAACTCCAGGCTCTTACAGCCAAACTCAAGGTCGCTGAAGACGATCGGAATCAGGCAAGCCATGACTCTGAAAGGCATCGTGGTGATCTGCGTATGCTGTTGCGCGAGCATACCGACCTCAAGAGCAAGTCCGCTGAGACCACTGTTAAATTGGAGACCTCTCGTAAAGAGATCTTATCTCTTACAGACCGAATCAAGATGTGGGAACTGGAGAGGGACGAGCATCTCCACGAGAAGGACCGTCTTCAAGAAGAGCTCAAACGGGCCATAGTTAGGGCTGAGGAAGTCTCTCGCGACCTGATCGAGTTGACTGAACGCCATGACCGAACTCAGCGCGAACACACCAAAGTCAAGGAAAACCTACGCATCATTGAGACTGAGCGTGATGACCAAGCTCTTACTATCGAAAATCTGCGCCGCGAGGTCAAGGCCAAGTCAATCGGCTGGGAGGAGGCTGATTCACGTCACGCTGAAGTCAACCTCAAGTATGAACATATCAAGAGAGAGGTTATTGCCACCAAAGAAAAGCTCCGGGAGTTTGAACTAGAGCACACCGAACTCCGCAACTCCATCGAGGGATCTCGCGAAGAGCTCCGTCTAACTATCATCGAGCGCGACCAACTCAAGGAAGATGTTCAAGATGAACGCAGGAAGGTTGCAGATGGTCACCGACGGGTCAGCGCCCTCGAAGAGACGTTAAAAAGAGCGGAGCTGACTGCCACCGAAGCCAGATCAGAAATCCACACTCTCAGTAAGGACTAAACCTCTATCATACGTGACACTGTCGCTGACATCGTTGCAGCGGAACGCAATAAGGTCCTTGTTCGCGAGGGCGAAGACGGCCGTACCAAACATGGTCACTTCACGCGCGAGATCAGCGACCTCAAGGACAAGCTTGTCATTTTCCAAGCGGAGATCCGTACCTTGACTGAAGCTCGTGACCGCGCTTACAAAGACCTGAACGACTGGAAACATAAGTATGAGGAAGTCACCGAGACCATCACTGAATATCATGACAACAGTGGGGAGCTCGAGTTCGAAATTGAGAGTTTGCGCACATTGTTGCGTGAGGCGCGTGAGCAGAAGGAGCGTGCCATTTCTGCTCGACACGCCGCTGATCGGGAGAGAGACGAATATGTTACCAAGTATGAGGAGAAGTGTAGAGAGATGGAGAGGTTCGAAGAAAGCGCATCCAGCCATTATCATTCACATGGTCGCAGCGGAGGGGAAGGCAAGTCTTTCACGAGGACAGTGTCAACAGCTGGTACGACGGTGCATCATAGTGGCAAGCATGGCCACAGTTCGACAGAGGGAGGGGGCATGTTTTCTTCCCCTTGATTCACTCTCTCCTCTGTGCTTGCAGCAAAACATGAAAAATACGGCGTTGGGAATACGTATAGTAAACACACTCGTTCAACGCACATGCGAGGGCTTGAAATGATGAGAGACATGGAACATTCAATTTATCTCATCATGTTGTTCCTTGTTGATTGTTCAGTAAGCCATCTGACCAGATCCACGGGTACCTAAATTGAAGTGTATGCCCTCGGACTAAACAAACACTCGAAGTCTTGCCTCCAGAGCATCAATGCACCCTCACTATAGTTTGTTGAAGTAGGTATGTGTATCTTCATGACCGTCTAACAGGACACATGGGAACATAGAGGTTGTCACTCTAAGCCTTGGATTCGTCCATGCCATAGCTATCATAAGGAAAGTCTTCCAAGCTCTTCAACAATCTTGCCCACCCATCGTCAATCTCACCCGGCATGCCAACACTCCGCTTACCCTGAGCCACCTCGACTTCCGTCTTCTGCAATTGTTGCTCCTCGTCATCCTTGTGCTCACCAGTCAAGCCCGCAAGCACAGCCGGTTCTCTACCCTTGTACTCGACCAGCAACTCTGGATGCGGACACCACACGACCTGCATGCCGGCTCTCCGGCCTGACTCAACACCAGGTACACTATCCTCAAACACTAGACACTCTTCGGGCTGTATTGGTGGCTGGCCCTGGGCCTCAAGCGTCTTGTTGAGGGTCGACAGTGCGAGGAGGTAAATTTCCGGCGCGGGCTTGCCACGGCCAGCAGGTATGCGTGGGTCATCGCCGAGCACCTGATGTTCTGGTGCAAAATACTTGAACAGGTCGTTCAGATGTGCGCTTTTCAGCTTGAAGTTGGCGGCATGACTGCTCGTCGCCAAAGCCATGTGTACGCCGCGCTTTTTTAGACCCGCGAGGAGCTCCATGACGCCTGGGAGTGGCTTGGTACTGGGGAAAAGCTTTGTTTGCAGCTCTCTCTGCTGTACCATGAACTCGTCGCGCGAGATGGGGAGTTGTGCCCACTGGTGGAAGATCTGGCCCGCTTGTGGCCCGGGACGGCCTTGCAGTTGTGCTTTGATAGACCATGGAATTGGAGGCTTGCCATAACGCTCAAGTATGGTGTTTGTGGAGATTGTGTACAGGTCTTCCGAGTCGATCAAGAGGCCGTCCATGTCGAAAAGCGCGGCGCGAATGCGGGGCGGCGGGGTATTGCTTTGACGCGTTAGTATGCATGCATACACTGTGGCACAGAGGGAGCACGAGCATACTTGGAGGAAGCCATATTCTAGTGTGAGCAATACCCGATATGTCTGTCTCCTGCTGGTGGGGGTCGCAATTGATGCTCACAGAATGTCAAGTTGAAGCGCATTGAACTGTCAATTGCTACCCCACGTAACTTAGGCCATCACTAGCTGTCCTTAGCGCCGGTACCTGATGCCACAACCGACGTCACCCCAGAAAGTTATCTGTTGGCCGACAGTTGGGTGCACCCAAAACTACGCAATCGGCGAAGCGGCTCCGGCACCCTGCCCGTGTGTGTCACTCACAATGCCATCGCTGCCATCAGAAGAAGCTACCCAAGCCTCGCCAGCCCCGCCAGCCCCGCCAGCCCCGCCAGACATCTTCCCACCAGACGAAGAATCGCAGCTCCTTTCCGAATCCAATACGGAAAAGGCCTCTGCCAACAGAGCCTTCACCACCGGCGAGTACAATGGTGCCATACAAAGCTACGAAAAAGCCCTTGCAGTCTGCCCTGCCTATCTCGAGTACGACATCGCAGTCCTGCGCTCCAACATTGCAGCATGCCACTTGAAGCTCCAAGAATGGAAGCAAGCCGTCGAATCCGCTACACAGGCACTGGAAGCATTAGATAGACTGGATCCACCACCAGCAAAAGACAGCGCAGACAAGGCAGAAGGCAACCCTAGCAGTGGTGGTGGTGGTGTTGGTGGTGGTGTTGTGGGCGAAATCGACGACAGCACAGAAGTCGTGCTCGATGCACTCGCGAGGACTGGTCACAGCATAAACGACGTCCACAAGCTGCGTACAAAAGCTCTGCTGAGGCGCGCAAAAGCACGACATGAAGTGGGTGGCTGGGCATCGTTACAAGGATCGCTGGAAGACTATCAAGCACTAGCAAAGCCGCCGAACCAGCTGTCGAGCTTGCATATGAAGGCTGTGATAGCTGCGCTGCGGAAACTGCCTACCGAGCTGGACGAGGCGAAGACGGCTGAGATGGCGGAAATGATGGGCAAGCTAAAGCAGTTGGGGAATGGCATACTGAAGCCGTTTGGCCTGAGTACGGAGAACTTCCAGTTTACAAAAGACGAGAGCAGTGGCGGTTACAGCATGAATTTCAATCAAAATGCGGGCAAGTGAAGCCTTCTCTTGACATTGCAAAGCGTTGTCTTGATGCACGCTTACACAATCTGCTCCAGATACCCGTGCAAGTATGCCTGTGTACTTTTGAGTCTCGTGTTCACGTCAAAGTGTATCATTGAACTCATGAATGTTTTTCACATATCGTCGTCACCTACATCAGCGTGCCAGTGCGCCGAGAGCTTTTCAGGTGGCCTTGTTCGGATGCCGCTCAAGAATCGGAACTCCTGACCAAGCACCGACGCCTAGAATGCCAGAACGCTGGACACTAAAATTCCTCGCCCCAAGACCCGAATGCTCGTTGTCCGTGCATGTCACGTCCATCTAAGCCACCTCCTCAATCTTGGGCTTGTCGCCTGACGCAGATGCCTCGGTGGTGGGTGTCTTGTCCTTGCTGTCCTCATCGTTCTCGAGCTCAGGCATGTCGTCGTCGTCATCGCTATCCTCTCCTTCCATACCGGGCATGCCACCCATACCGGGCATGCCTCCCATATACCACACCATGCCTCCCATGCTGCTCATCATGTCGGCCATTCCACCCATGCCGCCTGCTCCACCAGCTCCCGCCGAGCTTGCTGAAGTCGATGCCCACCGAAACCACCATCGGCGCCGCCGCCAGCACCACCCATGGGGTTCATCTGGTTCATGTCCTCCTCATGGTGCCTCGTCCTGCTCATCCTCATCGACCCACTTTGCGTTTGTTAGTTGCATGGTTCCCAGGAAAAGAATTTGTGCTGTTTGAGACTCACCTTGTCGAAGTCGGTCTTCAGGTAGTGGACCTTCTTGCTGTCCTTGAGCAGGCGGGGCCAGTACTCTTCCTTGAGCTCCTTCTTGCGCAGTACTAGAGAGACATCGCGACCACTGTGGCTGATCTTGGACTCCTTGGGGTCAATCTCGGCGTAGAAGTCGATGTCGATGGCATATGTGACCTTCTTCGACGTTGACGGGCCCTTGAAACTCAGCGATGTCTCCTTGAGGTCGAGCTTCAGTTCTGATTCTGGGACATCGGCTGCGACGATGGTGAGGTAGACGTAGTTCTTCTCCGGGTCGCTGCTGGACGAGCGCTGCGCCCAGGTGACTGCCTGCCGTTAGCGATAGCTCGTTTGCACGTCGGGGTGGTGTTTGGGCGGAGTTGCTGTGGACAGAGCTTTCGCGGAAGGTTGGGTGGGTAGAGGAGGTCGGCTGCAGGAGCTCGAACGTGGGCAAGGCTGAAGCTTACCTTCTGGAACAACGGTTGACATTGCGAGGAGGGGTATCTGGTTTGGACTTCACAATCGTAGGGGGCTTCGAGTGTGGGGTGTGAGAGAATGGACAAGAGGCTGTTTGTGTCTGTGACCGGGTCGTGTTTGAGTCTCTGGCGAAGTAGGGTGCAGGCAGAAGAAATGCGGTCGTGTGGAGGGACTAGCGTAGAAAGCAATGGAAGCTCCACAGAATCTCGAGCTCCAATGTTCCGAGGTGGCGATGGTTTGTTTACTGCTGACTGGGCCGGGGATGCGATGCGACGGGCAGATTGGCTCTCAACGCAGTGCTAGACCGTCTCGGACCGCATTGCAGTCGTGGCCGTGGCCGTGGCCGAGCAATCGCCTTGTGAAGGGGATGGGATGGTGGGCTGCGGCTGCGGCTGCTCTTGCTGCCCCGCGAAACGTCACCAGCATGGCCCATGCTCCGCCATCTCCAAGGCACCGTCACCACCACCATCACCACCACGACCGCCAACTCGGCGGCCCTTCACATGCACCGGCTGCTGACGTAATCCTGGTGCGCACCCTCTGCCGTTGATCCGTCTCTACAGACGGCGCATGCGTCTATCGGATACCCAGCGACAGAAGAAGACGTAGAAACGCTGCGTGCGACCGTCCACCAGCTGGCTCACCATGGAGACGATCCGCGGTCTCCTGTGGAAGCCCACCCCAGAGGAGCAGGTACACGGCAGCCTCCCCCGAGTGCCTCCCCGAGTGCCTCCCCGAGTGCCTCCCCGAGTGCCTCCTCACAATTCTAACACGTCCACAGAAGCGCAAATGCAACGCCCTCGTGCGCCAGAACGTGCGCAAACTCGACCGCGACATCCAACAGCTCAAAGCCACCGAGCAAAAAACTAAAACACTCATCCAGCAGTCTTCAAAACGCGCCCAGCGAAACCCTTCCATGGCCAAGCAAGCCAACCAGGACGTCCGTATATTCGCGCGTGAACTGATCCGCGTCCGGAAACAGAACGGCAGACTTATGACCTCCAAAGCGCAGCTGCAGTCCGTCCAGATGCAGGTCAACGAGGCCTTCTCCGTCCGCAAAATCGAGGGAAGCATCAAGGCGAGCACAGGAATCATGAAGGATGTCAGAGTAGCTGTGGTACGCTTACCCGAGCTGACGGGCACCATGCGCGAATTGAGCTCTGAGCTCATGCGCGCGGGCATCATTGAGGAAATGGTGGATGACACGCTCATGGACAATGAGATGCTCGAAGGCGAAGCCGAGGAGGCAGACGAGGAGGTGGACAAGGTACTGAGCGAGGTACTCAAGGACAGGTTGCCGCCTAGCAAGGCCAAGGAGGACGAGTTGCCGGCACCGCCGCAGGCCGAAGAGGAAGAAGAAGAGGATCAAGCCGAGATGCTCGCTCAAATGCGGGGAAGGTTAGAGGCTTTGAAGAGTTGAACAGATCGAAGACGGTGGCATGCTTCCGTTGGTTAAACACATGGTGACATGGCGTTGCACCCAACCCAAGACTTGACCTTGCAGCATTCGACGTCATTTTCACACATGATGCCAATATAGCACCCTAGCATTTTGAATCGTTCATGTTGAAACAACAAACTTCTTATCTCCTATCAACCTTGTCAATATTGTGCAACCGTATGCACCGTCGCAACACCTCTTGGTATAAATCACTCCAGTCCAAAATCCTTTTCTCGTACTCAATCGTGATAAGCCCGAGGCCCCCGCTATGTGCAGCACTCAGTCACCCCGGATAATTTTGCCAACATACTTCAACTCCCACTCGCGCGGATCCTCGCCAACAAAGCGGGCATTGGCCTTTTCGTCTAGCACCTGAATCGTCACTGCGATACCATCGTACCAGTCCTTGACCTTTTCATCGGCGTCGTCCGCCCACACTACCAACATGCCGTCCGTGTTGCGCGGGGTTGGCTTGGGTGGAACTCCACGCATCTTCAAAAGCATGTTTAGAATATCGCTGAACCGCTCTCCTTGCTGTGAGTAGACGGCCGGAGTCTTGTCCAGAGGCCACCTTGGGTGACGGGCTGGGGCTTGGGGGGTGTCGTGAGGGACAGTTGGCCCAGCTTGCAAGGCTGTAGCAAGGTCATCCTCAGTAGATGTTTCTTGCTGTGCATTCTCACTAGTGGTGTCTGTGCTAGACGGTTGCGTCTGCCAGGTCTGGAACAGCCAGCACATGCGTTCAACGCAGGCGAGTAGGATGACAGCGACCAGAAAAGTTTCAAACGGGTTCGCTTGTTGGCGCTGAAGCAAACGGCGCTCAAGGTCATTCATGACGACTCGAGCCAAACAGGCGGCGCGCTTTTCCGTGGCACCCATGAGTTGCATCTTGATGATGTTGTACGAGGACGGATGATTAAGTGCTGTAATGGAAGTGCGTGCAGGATCTTCAATGTCTGTCTCAGACATTGTTGGCGAGGTTGCCATTGGTGCAAGAGATGGGTTGGAGAAAAACTGCCACTCAAGGGTCCGTGATGTGAGTATACGAGTGAAGTTCCAGAGCTCCAGTACTTTGGGCAGTAACAGATCTTGGTTCGATGTCAAGCTCAAAGCCGTCTGTATGGTAGTCTTCATGAAAGCCGAGTCCTCGATATCAAAGAAGGGTCGGAACCCATCTTCTTGATATACAAGTCGAGTTTGCCGCTAATGTCATCATCGGTGTCGATGAGCTCGAGATCGGGTGAATTCATGGCCGCAAATATGGCAGGGTCGATCTCCGTGTTCTGAGCTGATGAGGACTGCTGGCACTTCAAAGGAGTGAAGGTGGCGTAGTGTCCAGACCCAGGATGGTGGGTAGCCTCGATGCGGCCAGGTGTTTGGTTCAACCGTATCAGCCCTCGTGCTTGATAGACGGCATGATGAGCCAATGTGGTATGCAAGCCAGCAGTGTAGAGACCGAACTCCTCTGCGATCCGTGTTCGGATGCATGGCTGTTTCCAAAGGCGTGCACTTTCGACGTTTTGGCACGTGTTGCATGGGTTCCCTTCTGAGCAAGGCTTCTTGAGCATGCGACAACGAATGCATGCACCTCGCTTTCGTACCTCTTGCACTTCCTTGCGCCTCGTATCGGAAAAGCGACCGCGCACCTTGGGCTTTGTCACCTTCTGGTTGACACTAAAGTCTGTGGTAAAGTGTGTCTGCGGATTCGGATTCATTGCAATTGGACGGGGATGGGCCATTGTCTTATTGAGCTGGTCATCCTTGGTGTGGTCTTGTAAGAGCGGGTCTAGTGAGCTCGGCTGCAGATTTGGCCATTGCCCTCGACTTTGGCTCTGGAAGAACTTATCAGACAAACCATTCATGCCATTGCCTGTCAGACCGAGCTCCGACTCCATGTGCATACCGTTGGCCAGGGGCATGAGATCGTTTGCTGCCGACGCTGCCATGACCAGAGAGGGAACCATCTGGTTCATGGACCCCGAGCTCGAGAGCGGCATGTGGCCCATGTGGGGTGACGTCGTGGGCGAGTGGTGCAGCGGACCATTGAACTGGTACATGGTCGACATGGTAGGTGCATTTGACATATCCATAGCTTGCGACATGGATCCCAGGTCAGCAGCGTCGGAGCGGTCGTCTATCAGGAACTCGTCCAGTAGCCCTGCATGGTTGATATGGTTATTGTTATTGTTCTGGGCTGGCTGCTTGTCCGGCATGCGCTGTCCAGAAAGATCGAGATGCTGCCTCGAGACCTCAGCGAGTGTCTCGAGCGCCGAGAGCTGCTTTGAGGGCGCAAACGGCAGATTCATCTTGGGGCCGCCTTGCACGTGAGCCGGAGCGTTTGCGGTGCTCGTTTGCGCCATATTGTCGGGGAGGGGCAGCTCATGGAATTGCAGCAGCGCACGCTGGCGGTCGCGGAGGGGCAGGGCCGGACATTTCTTCACGAGGTGGTTCGTGAGGCTATCGATGCGGCCCTTGGGGAACTGCTTCCATGTCAGTCGTCTTCGCTCTTCACTTGCATCCTCACTTTCACCGTAATACTTTTCGCGATGCGGGGTCACACACACCTTTTCGCCGCACGACTTGCACGTGTGCTGGTAGCGATTGCTGGCATCTTCGAGCTTGGGGCCGCGTTCAAAGTATTCGAGGATCAATTGGTTGGGTCTGCGACCCATGACAGGCCCAAGGATTCAAGCAGCTTCTTTCTCCAAAGTTGAAGTGACGCTTCGGTTTTTGTCAGGCAGATTAGGCGGTAAAGCTTGCGGTGAGGAACAGCTCCGAGTGCACGTGCCAATCATTATCCCGGTCGGCTACCAAGGACAATGCTGCTGCAGCTCGGCTGTCCCTGCATTTGTTACTACCCAGCCTCATGGACCTACTCACTCAAAATGCCGGGCTTGTAGCGCCGACTGGCGTAGCTGTGCTTGTGGCATATGTCACGCTCTGCAGAGGATTTCGCTTTCTGCGAAGGGACATGAAGCATGCCCATTATCCCTATGAGACCCGCGAGGAGTTCAAGAACATGACCGCTGAGCATGCTTACGAAATTGTCCAATACGTACAGGGTCTCGAATTCCCCTTTATAGCCACAAAAGCACTGGCTTTTGCACTGTTCAGGTCAGTCCTTGTTCGACATGCGTTTACAGTTTACAGTCACTCTGACCTTTTGGGCGTAGAACCTACGGCATTCCGTCCATCTCCAAGCTCCTCTGCGAAACGCAACAGTTAGGAAAAGTAGAATACGCTGGTCGACGCTATGCCGATACAGCGATTCTGATCACCGAGTTTCTGGGCCATTCTCCGACTTCAGAGCGTCACAACTCAGCCATCGCTCGCATGAACTACTTGCACGGCCGATATCAGAAAGCTGGCAAGATCAGTAATGATGACATGCTATTCACGCTATCGTTGTTCGTCACCGAGGTTGAGAGATGGGCACGACTTTATGAGTGGCGACAACTTTCCCTTATGGAAATCTGTGCAACGTATGTCCTACGCAGCTTCAGAGACTAAACTGTTACACTGATGGAGGAGAAAATTGACTAACGAACGAAAAGTGGAACATATTGGAAATGCATTGGGGATGCCATGGGCATTGACTTCTCTTCCCTTAGACACGGACCGGATTCTTTCCGAGACGGGCTGGAATTCTTCGAAGATATCAAACAATGGGCTGAAGACTACGAAATTCAGTACATGGTCCCGAATAAGTGGAACCATCAACTCGCCGAGGAGACATCAGCTATCCTCTTAACAGACGTTCCTAAGCCTATGAAGCCGATGGCAAAGAACTTCGTTAAAGTGCTCATGGACGACAGGCTCAGGAAGTCTATGATGTACGATGATCCGCCACCGGTATACGCATACATCATCCAGACCATTTTCGCCGTTCGAAAATTTGTAACGATATGGCTGATGCCACCGAGGCCGTATGCACTGCGCTATGACCCGGTATCACCCAAGCCCGACCCGAATACTGGTCGCTACCACATGTCCGACTACGATGGTCAGCCATGGTATGTTCTATCAAATTTCCCTATTATGGGTGTCCACTGATCGTACAGTAGGTACGTTAAGTCAACCTTCTTCACGCGCAACTCCCCTACAGCCTGGTTGCGCTGGATTATTGGTGGACCACACCCCGGTGATGGAAAGCAGTACAAGTCTGAAGGCTACAAAATCTTCGAGCTTGGCCCAACCAAGCTCGAAAATCACGGGATTGCAGAGTGCGAGTCTACGAGAGATAGGCTAATGAGCAGTGATCGGGGTGGATGTCCATTTGCATTTGCCAAGTGAACATAGCCGTCTATGATTCTTGGTCGACTACATGCTCATCGCAGAACATGAAGAATACTTGTATGGTATAACGACTCAAAATGTTGTTCACGTACGTATGTAGCCACGACAGCGAACAATGAATGACGTCAGTGTGACCACCAGACATGTGCCCACATTGAAGTACAACCACTTTCCTTCAATTCAATCACATCCAGACCTACGACTATTCATGACTTACGCAAAAACATGACATTCAAGTCAAAGTCTCCAGCAACAAACCCTAACATTACACCAGATCCATCTCAAGATGGCTCTACCATTCGCAAAGCCTTCATCCTTGAAGCAGCCGCAAATCTCTTCACGATACCGTTGATCACAAACACTCGATTCGTCTTATCTTTCCTCCTATTGCGTCCCTCTCATATCAACCCCACTTCAGTTCTCTTTGCACGTCTGTTCGGTGGCTTGGTTGTTGGTGGCTTGACATCCGCCCTCCTAGCCGGCGCCACGAATACGCGAAATGGAATTGAGAGCCGGCGACCTACGTACCTCCTATTGGGGCTTGGAGAAGCGTGCCTCCTACCGATTTTGGCGATGGAAGCGAGCAAGGGAGGAAGTGTGGATGCGGCGCTAAGTGTAAAAACTGCGCTTGTATGTATGGGCATGTTGGCACCGCCGCTCGTTTGGAGGTTGTATGTGTTGTTCTTGAGACCGGACTTGCTAGGCAAGTACGTGGAAACTAAGGACGATGGAAAGAGTGCAACAAAGTGTAGGTGTTGTTCGTGTATTAGTGCATCGTAGTGCTGACAAGGATAGATGGCCTGATCCCGAATGAAAGTGGAGACTGAGACAGGTAGACGGGACAATCAATGCATTATTCTTCCTTACTCAATAAGGACCGGGTGGCGCCCAACATAACTTTTGGCGTTTACCGGCCCACCAAGATGCAACCACCGTGAACGCCGCGCTCAAATGCAACATGTTCTGACATCCTTCTCGCGACATGAAGACCTCTCAGTCTGCGAAACCACCCCACTCGACTTCACCGTCGCTTATCTCCGATGTGTCGTCTTCCTTCTCCACCTCGATGCCTCTCCAAGACTGTAACGTCTCGTCACTGAGGCATTCTTTTGCTGCATCACGCAGAACCTTCAGCACCGCCTCTTTCTTGATCTTCTCGATTGGTTGAATCAGTAGCTCGAGCGCCTCGCTTCCTGGATCCTTCTCCCACTTCGGTGCACTGACTTTGCCCAACTCATCTACCCATATATCGAGCATGTGGTACCGCAGGCCATTGGGGATCTTCATATCTTTTGGATTTAACGGTGTTTCCTCGACGATCTCGTTCCATTGTCCGACAATGTCCTTCTTCCATTTCTGGCGAGACAGATACTCAAAAGACGCGTTGAGATAGCGACGAATCAGGTAGAGATATTTGTCCAGTCTCAGGGCTTCAATGTGGGACCACTCGCGGGATATGGTGAGCCAAAAAGCGCGGAGAAAAGGTAGGACCACAGGCGTGCGCAAATGTGCCACGAGGGAGGCAAGGTCGCGCGACAGGGCTTGTTGGAGGGCGGGTTTGTCTTGCATCCAGAGGCCTGACGCAGATGATTAGTTGAACTTCTGGCCTTGCTACTGTGTAGGCATGACATACAATAGAACAAGCCTTTCCATAATTTCAACAGGTCCAGCTCTGCGATTTGCGCTTGCGCGCCGAGATAAGTTCGCAGTGATTCGAGTGCTTGGTCGCGCACTTCCTTGTCTGTCGCAAAGGTTAGTCTTCCATCTGCGGGGTCACAAATTTGAACAGGACCATACCGCTTGATGTGAGATGCCTTATGAACGGGTTATTTTGCGCGTCGGAGGCCATGGTGAACGGCGTTCGTTTTCCTGGCTATCTTGCGGAGAGCTTGATCTTCGTCGCGGGAAACTTTTCTGGCTGGCTTTGTTATCGATAACAGCCACTAGCGCGGTACTAACGTTTTCAGCGTAATCCGAATAAGCTCACATCTAACTTATAACGCAGTTTATAGTTACTTTTATAACCTTAAACTTAATAAAGCGCAAAGTACTTAATACTTATAGTGCTCTTAGAAAGAATACTTAGCATTGTTACGTAGAAAACTAAAACTTTATATGCAATACTTAGGCTTTAAAGCATTTATATAATTAGAACTGCTACAAAAGTAATATAAAATCTTTGCAAAAGTAATTAAATAATAATTAAACTCTTCTTTTTTTAAGATCTATTTAGCTAGATTAAAAAGAAGATTATGAGATACTAGTAATAGTAAAATCTATAGTCTGTGCGTAATTACTCAGCAACTTGCGCTAAGAACTTTGCTGTTTGCTAGCGGAAGCTGCGTATCTAGCTACTCTAGCTACCTAAACATCTGAATTTACTCTTAACTAGGTAATACTATTTGCCTTATCAAGCCTTGCTACGATTAGGCTAAATTGTTTCTATTACGAGTCGTTAGGCTGCTATTGCGCCTGCTATTCTGCGTGCTATTTGCTATCTTCCTAAATTACGTAAGCATATCTAATTACCTTTAATTAGAGCGCCCAAACACTCTCGATTAATACTAATATTCTTACTTTATGCAACGCGTGGAAATATCGCTAATATGTCGCAGCTTAAGGATGCCTGCTATGGTTGTGATACCAACCAACGGCTTCGAGAAGCGCCGGGTAGCACCTAACAAGGTACTGTAGAAATTGTAAAGAGATTCTTTTTTACATATCCTCTAACAAGTTCTCCTTCAACAGGTTCAGGCTATCCTTTCGAATCGCGTTGTCGGACAAGTGAGTGACCTCCTCTCCATATGGTCTATGCACTGTTCTGATGTCCCTCACTAGGACGAGCATTATCTTATCCAGTGGCAGACTGAGCGTGTGACTGACACACCGCCGTTAAGCTGGCATTCTATTGGAGAGCTGGTCCGGTGTCTCGATCAGGTCCAAGCGTATCTAGAGGAGAGGGCGAAGTATGGACACGCTTGATCGATTTCAGGTAATATGTGATACTAATAATCCCAAGATCTGCGCAAAACTATTCCATACCGATAAAAAGGAAGTCGCCAGAAGCTCCCTCAGATATCGAACGACGACCGTCCCCATTTGAGCGTCGCCTGTATCAGGATAGCAGGACGCCGTCTGTTTCTCGATCGTCATCTGCTGCTTCAGCTGCACCAAGCACAGACGTCACGTACAATGGCGTCCTTGATGCGGATGAAAATGGCTACATTTTCTGCCGTGCAGTAAGTTTGTGACGAATCAGTATCGCCCGTGTCTGCGGACTAACAAGACCTAGTCTTCTGGTTCAAACGTTGCCAGCCTCAACATTAACGACCTTCCGGTGGAGATGACAAGGGCTGCGTTGACTGCAAAGACTACCACGGCTTTGACATACATACGGAAGGAGTATGTGCGACGCCTTAAGAAAGTCCCGGGTGCACCTATCCACCTGTACAATGTCGTGGACAGTTCTACGCCATCTCTGCAGTTCAAGTACATCCCAGAGTACGTGCTTCGAGAAGGCGTTCATCGCGCCTCGAGTGAGGCACAAGTCGGTTGTCAGCAGTGCTCGCCGCATATGGGCCGCGACATCGGTTGCGAATATACTAAGAAATGCGATTGCCTAGAATACGCCGCAGTTGATGAGAGCCGCATCACGGATCCAGAGATGATTGCGCAATACGAAGACTACAAGCTCAACGGTGGGGACTCGATGGGTTTCCCCAAGAAGTTTCCGTACTTCGCTGAGGGTACTAAGATTCAGCGTACAGGCGCCCTAGTACCGTTCTACCTCAACTCTCGCCGGCCGATTTATGAATGCAACGACAAATGTAAGTGCGGTCAGTACTGTCGGAATAAAAACGTGCAGTTTGGTCGCACTGTGGAAGTTGAGATATTCAAGACACCCACCGGACGAGGCTGGGGCTTAAGATGTAAGAAAGATCTTCACGAGGGTCAATTCATCGACACTTATCGTGGAGAGGTCATCACTGACGCTGAGGCGACCCGTCGTGAGGAAGCGTCATTATCCAAAGCCAAAGCATCGTATCTGTATTCCCTCGACAAGTTCGCCGACACGGAGAATCTGAACGTTGAGGAAATTTATGTCGTCGATGGCGAGTTTATGGGCGGCCCGACCAAATTCATTAACCATTGCTGCGAGCCGAATTGTCGCCAGTACACAGTAAGCTACAACAAGCATGACTGCAAAGTTTACGACATCGCCTTCTTTGCATGTCGCTTCATTCCTGCGGGCGAAGAGTTGACGTTCGATTACCTCGATAAGGACGAGAGTGAGAGCCAGGAATTGGAAGAACCTGGTGAAGGAGCGATACCTTGTCTATGTGGCGCGAAGAATTGCAGGAAATGGCTGTGGACTTGAGGCATCATGGGCGACATCAGAGTTGAGATCCTGTGCCAGCACGACTTGGCAGTCCGATACACTGGTACGCGTTGCATACAACGCACGGAAACTCACGTTATTGGAAAATGTTGCGAGGCGTTCAGGGACAGGTATCTGATACTAAATGACGAGCAAGGACTCGTTCACAGGCGTTGCAGTTCACAGGGAGGAGTTCAGCATAGCATTGTACTTCTCAGACAGTGCTTGACATCAACAATTTTAACTTAATCAAGACACCTGAATGCTTGCATAGCAACAGCAGTGATCAGCTGACAAGCGAAAGCAGACTAAAAATTACCAAAAATAAAAATAGTTATTAACATTCTAGTCCATTCCTCCCATGCCAAAATACACTATATGAGATCCACTGTATACAATTTAGTCGCCTTCGCCAATATTGGTCTTTGGGGTATATCTATCCTATGCAGCTAAAAGACAGTGACAAGGAAACAAGCGGACATTAAGAACAAAATGAAAACATACAAACAGGGATAGGACGCTCAATATCGAGCTAAGTTAGGAAAGGTTTGTACAAAGGAAATATGTGTCGATCTAATCGATATGATGGTATGTTCATTCTTAATGACGTGAGTTCTCTCGTTGAAGTTCACGGCCGAAGTTCAGTGCGATAGGCGTCATTTCGCTATCAACTGTGCTCTCGTCGTCGTAGAATCCGCTCTCACTGAATTGCTCAACCTCCGCGTCTTGGTCGTAGTTGGCCTTGCGCATTAGCGGCGGTGTCTGCGGTACATTGCTTGTTTTGCTTCCGAGACCAGGAAACCCCATCTCCGTCGAAGCTTTCGAGCTGACTGAGCTGGTGCGTACATTCTGCGGACGCGAGCTTGACGATGGCAGGTCCGGTGTACGGCGGAGATTCGATGTGGGAGGAGTCATGAGACCTGACAGGAAAGATTGGGCTGAGTGTGGAGTAGTACGAGAAGGAGTCTGGGCGCGCGAGCTGGTATTTGAGGTTCCAGCGAGGGCTGATGCGGTTTCTCCACGACCTTTGCGCCAGTTGCCAAATGCAGCCGCGAGCTGGACAGCTTTTGGTGAAGCAAAGTTGGAGAGCGTACTCAGTGTGGGGAAAGACTGTTGACCACCAGAGATGAGGCGTTCTTTCTCAGACTGCTCCATCTGCAGATTGGTCCGAATACGAATCGCCGCATCGCGAACAGTCTCGCGGTCGAAAGTAGGCTGAGCGAGAGAGTTGATGAGATCGTTTAAATCATCAATGCGAACGCCGAGAAGCTCGCGAAGCCAGTTGATCTCAGTTTCACGCTCCTTGAGCTTGGCCGGAGCCTCAGTATCCAAGTCTTCCATCTCATGTTCCAGTGTCTCGATTCGCTGTTCACGCTCTTGCAACTGTTGCTGGAGAACATCGATAGATTCGCGGAGAGCCTGCGGCGAAATCTTCTCCGATCCTCCAGGTGCTGATGATGCGAATGTAGGCGACTTTGCAGCAGCGGCAGCGGCGGCGTTCGCAGCTTCCTTGGCCACATGAAGCTTCTCCTCTAGTAGAGAAATCCTGTCCCTCAGATGGTCTGCCTTGGAGTTGGCCAGATCGAGTCTGTCGTTATGGAAGGCCTCGGCACGCTCCCTGTCCTCGTGCGCAAAGTTCAATGCACGTGCGTGTTCTTGCTTCAAGTTCTCTAGCTGGCGCTCGAAAGTCCGTTGCTGCTCCTGGAGGCTGTGTCTATTGTTCTCGAGTGCGTCCCGAATAGCTTGCTTCTTAGCATCAGATGCGGCCTCTAGGTCTAGCTCGTGCTTTTCTTTTGCTGTGTCGGCATCGAGACGGACCTGGTCGAGCTCTGCGCGAATGCGAGCGTTCTCGCTCTCGAGATCATGCCGGACAATGTTGACCTGGTTGTTGGCTGCGTCAATATCGGCCTCCATGAGCACGCGAGTACGGCGTATCTCCACGTGAGCAGCATCCCGTGCCTCACGCATATCGCGCTCGTATCTCTCTGCGTTTTTCTGGTGCTCCATGGACTCCTGCCTGAGTTGATCGACGGTCTCTTCAAGCCTGGCGTTATGCTTCTGAGTCTGCTCCAGGTGGATTCGAAGCTTCATACCCTCGCGCTCTTGTGTCTCCAGTCGCTCAAGTTCACGCTCAAGACGTTCACGAGTTCGACCTTCAGCCTCAATCCGGGCGCTGAGTATCTCGTACTTTGTCGCAGAGGACTCCTCGCTCTTGTGCCACTGAGAACGCTCGGCCGCGACCTGCTGCGAGGCAGCGACCATATCCTGTTGCAATTTCTCTAGCTTGGTACGCATTGATTCGCGAACACGCGTGGCTTCCTCGGCCTGGAAGCGCGCCTCGCCTATAGCTTTGTGCAACTGCTCACTTTCTTCATGCGCTTGCTGGAGATCGGAACGCCACTTACTGGCGGATAGACGGTGCTCTTCGAGCGTGGTAGCAAGTGCCTCGTTCTCTGCAGTGACTGTCTTGAGTCGATTCTGGAGGTCCTCCTCGGAGCTTTCGAGTGCGATGTTCTTGAGTTTAAGCTGCTCGTTCTCGGCGTCAAGAGAAGAAAGCTTGTCTCGAACTTCGTTATCACCAGACTCGTAGGTCTCCAAAGTACGACGAGCAGCATCGCGCTCCTCTGTGAGAACGCTGATCTTCTCCTCGTCTTGACCGGCGGCTTGTTGCAGAAGAGCGAGTTCCTCTTCAGTAATCTTGAGCAGGCGAGACGTGTCAGCTTCGCGAACTTCAAGCGCTCCCCGGATCTGAGCATCTTCCTCTGCACGGGACTTTGACTCTGCCAGCATCGCCTCAAGCTCAGCAATACGTGCGTCCTTCTCCTGTATAGCCTCGCTCTCTTTTTGAGTCACTATCTCCAGGCTCTGGCGATGCAGGGCGTCCTCTACTAGCTCACGGATATCATCGGCCTTGAGCTGATGGTTGGTGGTCTGCGCAATGGAGGCTTTCAGACTGCCGATGACTTGATAGATCTCGGACATATCGACCTGAGGCTGAGGAATATCTGCAGGAGCCTGAAGCGTGGCTGGCTTGCTAGACGCCAAGGCTTCGGCCACGATCGAACGGATTGTGTCAGGTTGTACAGGTTCCACAACTGGTAATGCAGGAGGTTGGTGGGATGACAGAACCTCCGCAAAGATAGACTTGAGATCGTCCGGCCAGATTTGCTCGGGTGCTGGGGATGGCATGGGCTGAGGCGCGTGAGTCGCGAAAGCTTCCATCACCACCGAGCGTATGTCGTCAAATTTGATTGGCTCAGTGACAGCTTCTGGCATAGATGGCTTATTCGATGCGACAACGTCCTCAACAATAGCGCGGATCTGGTTAGCATCCACATGATGAGCAGTCGGAGCAGCTGACTGCTGGACCGCTAGCACATCCGCAAATATTTCACGGATCTGCTCAGAGGCAAGTGGTTGGACGGCAGTAGACGGCATAGACGCGACCTGTGATTGGTGAGACTCAAGGGCATCCCTCACAATAGCTCGCATCTTCTCCAACTTCCTGTCTATGCGAGGAGAACGATGACGGTAATGGGCATCGGCGCCAATATCCTCATCCTCGTCATCGGCATCGCTGTCTCGCTCAGCAGTTGACAGGCTTCGACGACCACGACCTGGGCGTTTTGATATCATTGCCAGTGCTTCCTGAATACCGTGTAGGTTCTGCTCAAGTGGGCCAAGACGGGACTCTAGAAGGCGGCCCATGATCTCATCAACGTGCTGGTCGAAGAAACGACTGCGCGTCTGAACCTTGTTTTCTCCATCGGTTAGGAGACCTTCGTCCCAATCACTTATGGGCACGTCGTCGGCGTTGTTTAGACGGTGCACAGGAGATTCATACGCCAGCGCGGCGCGTTCGTCGTCGAAAGGATCCTGCGCCGAGGTTGCGGAGCCTCGCATGTCTCGTGGCGCATAGATTCGTCGAGGACTGGGGCTAGGCGCGTCGCTGCGCATCTTGAAGTTGGGTTGAAGGTCGGACCGCTCGAACTCGTGTGGTGTCCTCTGGGGGGATGATTGATCCCAAGTATCTTCGTCGCGCTCAACGCCAAAGTCGGAGCCCTCTTGGTTCATGTGCTTCATGACAGCATCAATGTCGTTAAAGGATGCGTGGCCCAATGGATCAAAGTCGACGCTCTCGCTATCCGGATAGCGTGTATGCCTGCCTCCCTCCAATGCGGTCTTGTAAGATCCGTCGTCACTTGGTCGAAACGTGGTAGCTGGGCTACGACTGATGTGACGCGGAGGAGTAACTTGCCGCTTAGCAGGCTCCTGAGTCTGGGAAGGCTTCGTAACGTGGAAGCCGAAATCGTAACCAGCGCCGAATTGGGGCTTGAACTCGAATGCCTTCGCGGTGGCTGAGAGCGTGCTCTTGTGCCCATGCTTCTTATTTACCGGCTCCGGTTCTTCGATGGTAGGCGTAGGTACGTCGCTCGCGTCGGGCGTCAGGTCATCGTCCAGAATGTCCAATGACTTTTCAGTCTCCAAAGATGATTTATTCGAGTCAACGACGATGAGCTCTCCCAGAGGCAACGGTTCCGGGCTTCTTGACTTTGATCTGGCCATCTTGCCGGCCGGCGAGAGATTCTCCTTACCTTCTCGCAATTCCTCCGGCTTGAGCTCAGGTTCGATTTCATCCATATGGAGCTGAGGAACCTCGGCCAACGGCTGCGACGCCAAGATAGGCTGCAGAGCAAACTTGGGCACGTCATCGCCATCAGCACGACCGCGTCGAGCACGTTTCTCGCGACCATCAGCTTGCATCGGACGGCCCTCCTCGTCTTCCCGCTCTTCCTCTTCTTTCTGTTCGGGGGCCTCCTGTCGAGTGAGATCCGGACGGACAATAGGCACAGCCTTTGAGCGCGATGCTGGCTTAACGATATCGCTGGCTGACAAGTTAACGTCGCCAAAGATCTTCGAGGAGAAACTTGTGGGCGCTGGTGCGGGTTTGTTGGGATTGAACGCCGATACACTAGGATTAAACACTGGCGCATCTGGTTTGAAGGATGGCGGACTGGAGAAGTTGAAACCACTTGATGGGAATGCGTTGCCGCTCAGACCAATGGGCTTGAACTCGGGAACTTCTACGGCAGACTTGAGGACTTCGGCAACAGGTTTGGCTGCGGGAGCTGCCGGCTGGAAAGCAGGTGCATCAGGCTTAAATGCAGGAGCAGTAACATTGAAACTGGAAATACCATCGATGCTCGGCTTGCTGCTGCGCGGTGCCACCACGTCTGCTGGCGAGTTTACAGCTGGCGAGAAAGTGAAGCCCGATGAGAAGGATCCAGGGCTGAAAGATGCAGCAGGATTGAACTTGAACTCCTTAGCCTCGACGTTGAGCCTTGAGATGGAAGATCGTGAGGTGTGTTTGCTGTGAACAGCAGATGCAGGCTTGCTGATCGCGGACTTGTTCTCTTTCCAGGAATTGCTAACCTGCGAGGTAGCCTGTGAGTGTTGCGCCGAACCCGGCGCTCTAGGCAAAACCTCTCCGTCTTCTAGACTTGGATTCGTGATGTCCGAGACATTTGTCTTAGCACCATCACTCTCGCCCCGCGGATTTGGCTGTGCTGGGAACGAGAAAGCCACTGGCTGCTGCGACTTTGCAAGCGAATGTGCTCGGCTATGTGGTTGCGGCTGGTGAAGAACCGGCCGTGCATCCTCCCACTTCTTGTTGACCACAGGGTTAGAAGGCTTGTACTGATGCTTGAGCTCGGGCTCTGTACTGAAGTCGCCTCCCTCTGCGAACTGCTTGTCTATGGCCTCCTCTAGATGATATTCAGCATCGGCAGCCTCACGCTCGAGGTTCTCGCTGATATTGTGGCGATGACCACGAGGTGTGGGGACGGCGATTTCTGACGCAGTTTTGGTGGCATGCTTCATGGCTGGTACTTCATCTTCCTCATCCTCATCCTCGGGCACTTCTGCAAGGGTCGAGTTTGGTCGCATGCCCATGAGCTGTTGCTGCTGCTGCTGTTGGAGAAGTTGTTGCTGTTGTTGCTGAAGTTGCTGCTGCTGCATCTGCATCTGTACAAGATAGTCATCCTGTTGAGCAGGAGTTGGAGGGAACTGCTGGTTGTGACGCATGCCAAATGGCGAAGCTGGCGAAAGCATACTTGCCATATCGGACCGGCTGAAAGGTAGCGCAGGCGATGCAGTACGACCGTCTTGGGATCCGAAGTAATTACCAGGTGACCATGTGCCAGAGGGCGAAATTGCGTGGTGCGCGAAACTAGCAGGTGATCCGAAGGTCGAATGGCGATGCATATGCATGGGTGCTCGTGGGTTCGCAAAAGCACCAGGCGAGGCAATTGACTGCCGAGACATGTGGCCAGGTGACGGTCCAAATGGGAACGACCCGGACACGATGCTCCCTTGTCTAGCCATGCGATGACTTCCCGCAGAGGAGGTGGGCAGCGGTGGTGAGAATATTTGACCTGGGTGTTGCTGGCTCGAAGCTGATCTTGACAAGGGCAGTGGTATGTCTTCTTCGCCTCCTTGGCTGACACCCAGTGCGGCGAGCTTTGCCTCTAGTAGTGAGTCTACGTATTCTTTCCATTCCGAACTTTTGGAAATGCGAACACGATATTGCGATGCCGCATTGGCTCGCTCAGCACGTACATCCTCTTCACCCGGCCAGATGGCACGGTTGTGGGGCTCCAATCCTCCAGTACTGAAACCGCGTGTATCGTAGCCCTGTTGGTGCAGCTGCTGTAGCTTTGCGTTTACTGCATCTTCACTCAAAGGCTTGGGTGGAAACCCAGGACTACCTCGAGGAATATCGCGTGGTATTGAGATGACACATCCTTTCCCTTTGACCATGACCTTCTTTCGAACACGTTGTACAGGCGCACGTATGGGTTCAGCTGGTGCCAATTGCTTGACAGGGGTATCCGGCAGTGGCTTATCCACCGAAGCTGTTGTAGGATTGTTGCTGAGGCTCTCATCTAGCTTGACTGATATTGGTTCTGCTGGCTTCGAGGGCTCGACAGTGCTGGCCGGCACTTTGCCCACTTGTGTATTGCGTTCATTCATTGCGCGCTTTTCCGAAGGTCCAGCGCCTGATGTTTTTCTAGAATGCGAGCCCGCATCAGGCACAGCATACTTTGAGGCCATCATCTTGCCGATTGCGTCCTTCTGGTCCTTGCTAAAATGTCGCCAGAAGTCTTGCTGGTTCAACGTCTTGTTCTGGTTCCGGAGCTTGTGCCCTCTCTTGGGCGGAGGCGCAAGCGAGACTTCCTGGTCCTCCGAAGACTCCTTGTCTGTCTCACTGCTGTTGTCGCTTCGCCAGTCGTTGGCCTCTCGATTCCAGCGGCGTTCCAAAAACCGCTGCACCCACTCTGCCGAAGTCGGATTCGAATCGGTCGCTCGCGGGGTGACTACAGGATTCTGTGAGTCCTTTGTCGGTGTCGTTGGAATTGGCACTCGCGATCGAATAAGGTGCTCAAGAGTAAATTGAACGGGCGATGCGTTTTGGTCTAAGCGAGGAATGAGATGCTCAAGGTTAAACCTGTTCGGCGATTCCTCTTCAATCTCAAGTCGAGACGGAAGAAGATGTCCAAGCCCGAATTGCAGAATCGATGACTCGCCTTCAAAGTCGTCGCTCCCAAAGTTGGTCGAAACCTGGCGCTGGGAATTGAAGACTGGGGGCGGGTGACGGTAAGGGCTGCCCCAGCTAGCAGTGTAATAGGAGGTATCGGTCCTTTCGTTCCTAGCAGCCGTGGACGGGGTGCGAGGGTTGTTTCCAAGCGCAGCAAAGGACGGCAGCGGCGGTAGCTCTGGGCTTGAATAACCAAGGGTTCGAGTCGGGGACGGGGCAGTCCACAGCGTCTGGGTCGGGGAGATTGCCTCGCGGGGACTGTTCGCGTCGCCGAAATGCTGGGCAGCAGATGGAGGCGATGACGGCGGAGACAGTGAGGGCGAGGAAGATCGTCGAGCTTGCATTCAATGTCTCTCTCCACTCCTGCAGCCTCGTTGACCTTCAACGCGCCGTGGAAGTTTCGGTACGCGTCGGAAACACTGGAGAGGTGGCGAGGGACAGGCCGGTGCTGAGGGCGGCGAGTACGCGCGCGGACGGCGTCGTGAGGCCGGAGACGGGCGATGACGCAGGTATATTAGGTGTATAAGAAAGGAAAGGCTATGGTGAGCAGCTTAAAGGAGCGACATAAGGTGGGAGGGCTCTGATCTGGAGACAGCAGGACGAGCAAGCATCCCGTGGCAGAAGCAGGAGCAGCAGCAAGAGATGCAAAAAAGCAGACGTGAGGTGTGGTCGTGAGAAATTGACGGGGAAAGGAGAGTTGATCGTAGGTAGCCCGCCGCCTGATTGGTCGAGGGATGAAATGCGGGCGGGCCACATAACGTGGCAGTCGAGCTCAAGGGGCAAGCGCGAATGACGCTCCTGCTGCCGAGGCCACATGCAGGTGCAACGTAGCACTGCCCGGCACGCGTTGCACAGCGCGCCATTCCTCGAGCTCGACCTCAGCAATGCGCTGTCCATCTGCGAGGAGGTGCATCCGCACCACCATCCCGAGCGTCTCCAGCGAGTCCAAAGACTGCCAAGGACGCTGCCCTCGACGCGTCTTCTGGCGTCACAGCGCGTCTAGCCTCATTTCCTGATGCTAATGGCTAATGCACCCGCCATGCCAGTGACGGCTAATATAAACCAAGCAAACATGACAACCCATGCTGCAGATGCAGACCGCGTTTCGACTCCCATCGAGAAACCCACCCTCACCCAGCCATACATGAACCAACTGCATCCGCGCGTTGACACAACGAAGCTGCTGGTGGACGTAAGTCTAACTTCTGGCCTCTTACCCAGTGCCTAGTCGCCCTCATTTGACTAGACCGGGATGACGGGTGGAACGCAAAGGGGACCCTGACCAAAGTTTAGCTTGCGGGAGCTAAGCATGGTCGACCAGGCTGTCACAGATGCATGAATCTGGACGATTTTTCTAGAACACCGACATAGGGATGAAGCTCAGAATAGCACCTAGGCAGTTGAAACACCTGATCAGTGCGTCTTCTCGAAGCAGAAGGACCTCGAGCTCGTCTCTTCTGGCCAAGTCTCGCTACCAGACATTGTCTTTTGTCGTGCATTCAGACATGCAGCATAGCAAATACTAGTCCAATCAGAAATGTTCTGCGAATCCCTCTGCCATGCTACATCTCAATTCAATGCTTTTGTTCTGCTATTGAATGCTCTCTAACAGACAATCAAACTTTCCGCCACATGACCATTCTCTTAACAAACGGACTCCTCTTGAATCCAGCGGTAGCTCCAGCGTTGTTCATCTTACCCCCACCAGCTGACTGCTCCTCTTGCTCGCCAATCTTCCACGCTCGCACCATCCAAAGGGACAACGCGGCCCCAATGTACATGAAGCCTGTGAACAAGATAGCACCAGTGTAGGTTCCATGGTTGAATGCAACTATTTCAAGGCCAATGGCCTCAGAGACTGTCGTTCAATGTCAGTATATATCAGACAGGCTGGAGACACATAGAACCTACATGTTGTAGGCACCACCATTACCAACCAAGTAATGCTTAGCGCACTCGGCAACCTTTTGATACCCATGACCTCCGCAGTCACAGGCGCGGCAACAGCCCAGTACGTGCCCGCCACTGTACCTCCCAATATACCAAAAAACAGGACCACCCCAAAGCTCTTGGCAAACATCCATATCAAAAGACTGAAAATACCGCACGCAAGAGTCATGGAGCTCGCCATGTTTAGTCTTCCGACTGAGTCACTGAAATACCCAATCGGCGGTCGTCCCAGCGTTTGCCCAAGATTGAAAACTGCGCCAATAATACTGCCTTGCTGCGCTGTGAGGCCGATCGTACGAGCGTAGTTCGGCAAGGAAAAGAGCAGTACGACGTAGCCCAACATGCTCAGGAACCCAAACAGCATCAGTCCACAGAATTCTGCTTTCTTGAAAAGTCTCCAATCAAAACTCAGTTGGCTGCTTCCAATCTGTTTGTTGCGATCTCTCATCACCAGTGCGCAGGACGCGTTGACTATGAACGCAATAATGCCCAATATTCGAAAGGCCCACGGTAATCCAATATTGCGAATCATCGCTTGTGTGGCGAGGGAGTAGATGAGTCCGCCGAGACCAGAGCCAGCGGATGTGAGTCCGTTGGCCAGACTTCGACGTGTAGTGAACCATTGCGCTGCAATACCCACACTACCGACGAACAAGAAACCCATGCCCCATCCAAAACACAGGCCTTGAGTGAGGAAGAGATGCCATATTTTGGTCGCAAAGCTGGCCCCTATGAAAGAAGCAGTCTCCAAAACTACGCCAATAAGTAACGTTGTGCGGGTCGAGAAGATGCGAGTCGTCAATGTGGCAATAGGCGATACAATCAATGCTTGACTGATGGACAGACCGCCGATAAACGCATAATGCAATGGCGTTGCCCCGGGGAATATGTCGTTGGAGAGATAATAAGCCAAAAAGACTGCGTAAGAAGAATTGAGACCCCACGTATGTGCGTTGATAGTTGCGCAAGCGGCGACACATACCCAGCCATAACCACCGTTAGGTGGAACATCGGTGTAAGATTTGGTCTTTTGCAGTGCTACCGCCTTCTGGTCAATCTCTTTATCAAGACCAGGTGTAAGTCGTTGTTCAGCGCCATCAAGAGCCTCTTCTGATGCTGCAATGCCCTGATCTTCCCTGCTTTCCAACTCTTCTTCATGTCGTGGTTTACGAGTCATCATAGCCGGATACAACTCTGCTCCTTTTGCGCTCGATCCAACAGCGAAGATCGTCACGATAGAGTACCGTCAATGAGGAGTCTTGAAAGCTGCCAAAGTCCTAGAGGAGTCATTGTGCCGCCTTCCTCCTAGACTTCAGCAGGAAGGCGTCGAAAAGTGGAGGTCACTAGCAACTCAGCCCGGAAATAACTCGACTCAGGATGCCTCTAGACGTTTAAGGCTAGACGTCTTTCATGTGATTGGTAGGTCCGGCAGTATAGGCCACTAAGCTTTTGCCGCCAGCTCTACGCTCTGGTGTGATCTCCGAGATTGAGAGCGGATGTCCACGGGTGTCAAAGGGAACAGAGAGAAGCATCCCATGGCACTTGGACAAATAGTCAACTACTGTGTAGAGTTCTGTATTCTACATAAGAGAGGAAAGAATGTGATGTTCATGGTCACGTAACAAGTTAACGCCGAGCCCGGCAATTTGAAGCCAAATGGTATAATCCTCCACAAACGCCAAGTGCTAGGTGTCGTCTACCTCGACTCGCACTGCGCCATGAATCGGTACATCCCCTCCAATCCTTGGTATTCCATCGGGGTATGCATGTCCATCTCGTCAGCCTCGCTAGTGTGCAAACTCTCATAGCCTGAAGGTGAAGAGGAAGAGAGCCATGGGTTGGGTTCTTCAGTAAAGTCTGCTAGATCATCGAAGCTATGCTCGGAGTGTGTTGAGTACGCATCCGAAGTCACGCTCGATGGTGATAACATGTGTTGCCAATCGATGACTGGCTGGACGTGTTGACGGCCGGTGACTGGCTTGTCGAAGAAGGAACACTCGGACGGCGATCTGCTGGGTGCGAACGGGAAGAGTAGAGCGATGTCGGTTCCAATAAAAGAGTCGAAATCTTCGTCTTGCCCCACAACGCCTCGTTGTACCTCAAGGTCGTTGCAAATTGTCTCTACAGTGCTAGCGTCCACTCCAGGGAAGTGGACCTTGAGTGTCGAGTGCTCGTATGATATCGGAAGGTCACCGAGCTCAGATAGTCGTTGAAGGTCTTTCAATACGGCAGCTAACTCTTTTACAGCCCGGGAGAAGTCTACCGAAAGAACGTCAAGGAGGCCCTCGTTGTTGAGGGAGTCCTTCTCTTGCGCAAAAGAGGTGAAACCTTTGACGGCCTTCAAAGGCGTAAGAGCGGTGACAGTGGGGGTTGATGTTGAAGCTGATGTAGGAGCCTGGAGTCGCCTTCGGAACCTTGTTGAGAGTACGGTTGACCTGGTCCTGCAGAGCAGTGACAGTCTTGAACCGCTTCTCCCCGTTGTTTGGGTTCATGCCATCGAACTGAGCCTTTTGGCCTCCAAGTAGGAATGCACGCACGGCCTGCGAGACATTGTTAATGACCTGTGCGGGCGCAGCGGGGCCGTGACTAAAGTATCGAGCGCCTCCAGCTCTGCCAGAACCCCATCCGTATCCGCCTGCGGTCCGGCCAAGCGTACCTCCAGTCAGATTGGGTCGGAGAGTCGATGCAAACGGTGCACGGCCACTCTGCGCGGCAACAATGGTGCCAATACGCGACTTGGGGAACGAAGACTTGTCGAACTTGACACCCGAGGAGCGAGAAGCAGCTGTCGTGAAGCGGCGAACGACGGCAGAGATGTTGCTGTGAGTTGTGTACCACCTCCCCTTGCTCTGTTTAAGAAGAGCAATGCGGTGGATTGGTTGGATTGGTACGTTTCGGGCGAGAATTGGTTGTAGTTGCGCTTGTGTCGGTCGCGAACCTGCTGGGAGTTGGTTCTGTATCAGCTTCGCTGCATGTCGCCAGGCGGCCCTGCTTGAGTCAGCGGTTGCTCCTTCTTCCTGTGCGGTGCACCGCACTTACTTGAACACCTTCGCGTTCCGGACCACCATCGTATGTAATTGCACCAAAGGTGCCATAGTGATGTTGTACTACCAGTATGCGTCGTGGGAGGTAGAAGGAAGACAGCGTGTGGGGGATGGACGATGAGGCGCAGGGACAAGTCGCCACCCGCAAGGGTCGGAGTCTAGATTGCCGACACGTATGACGATGATCACATGCTCACCGCCGTGCGAAGCACTTGCGAACCCCTTCACAATTCAAAGGTGACATGGCTGCAAAATGATAAGTAGTCATATTTTTGTTTATTCCAATGATCCTTTAATGTAGCTACCCCAATGTGGACTCCATGTTTTCCATTTATGTTCGCATGGACGTTGGAGGCGATGGAAAACGAGGCTTCGACAAAGCAACTGTGTAAATTTTTGTACTTTACATTTTGATCTCACAGCCTACGTGGTCTATATGGTCTGTGGCCTGGATACTAGAGCCGCTATGCTGAGAGGAGAACCGAATCGAGAGTACAATCCCGAATGTGATAAGAAAGGACGCCGACCACAATGCGAAAGCTTAGCCTTGTCCTCAATGGTGGGAGAGAAAGCTGGCTTGGTAAGAAAAAGGTAAAATGTAAAAGGTATTCCGTGTTGTGGGGCTGGAAAGGGTACAGTGGTATGCGAAGGATCTATCAAGGAAACAAGATGGCTGGTACCCGTTTGCTAACGCCAGGCATGAAGAAACTTTTGCTATGTGTGAAACACCCATGTAGACTCCTGAAGGCAGAGAGGGGAAGACAAGGCTTCGACAGACTGTTGTCCACAGCCGCGCGAATTGCGACTGATTAACAATCCGGCAGAAAGCTGTCTGAAGACGCCTGGCGGTGCCCAAGGAAAGGCAACATGACGGCGGGCAATTCCTTCTTGATCGAGCTCGGAAGAACACGAAATGCTTGCAGTGATACTTGATCAGATTCGAAAGATCGAGCTGGATCTGTCGAAAGGGCAGAATCATCGAAAATAAAATGCCGAAACCCATTGTACATGTGGATATTGAGGTTTCGTAATAGGAAATGGGGCCAAAATTGGTAAAGAACGTCCATGTCGTAAAGCATGTCGTCCAGAGGGGTATCGTGGCGCTACTGAAGCGTTTTTGGAGGGTGATATTCAAGACTCGCGTGCAGAGTCAGGGGTTAATGATTGGACGGATTTTTGCTGGCCTTTGACCCGATAGAGACAGACATCCTTTGGCACAGCTTGTCTGCCATGATCACTATCACTGTACACGTCAGAGTATGTACTTTGAGCAAGGGTGTGCAACCATGGTTACAGTCACAGCCTACGAGTATGAAAAGGTTTGAGTTTGGGACTTACAGCTTTGATCGAAGTCTCGACAGGGTGACCGTTTGGCACACCGTTCGACTCCTTAGCTACACTACCATTGGTTGTGCTGTCGTTCATAATCTCCTTGTCTTGGTCACTGCCATGGCCGTAGCCGTTCATCGGTGAAATGGATGCGCTGCTGACGATGGGGCCCGTGGGCTCAACGGCAGACATAGGCCACTGTGGAGCACCTGACTGGTCAAAGCCAGCTGGTTGCGGAACTGGCGGTTGGTGTAGCTCCTTGGGTCCGTCGTTCTGCGCAACCGGGTCGCGGTCGGCCATGGTCAAGACCCACTGTTCCCAGCCTTCACGACGACGTAGTCTGTCCTGGCCGTCTTCGCCGGTACGATACTGCACAACCTTGGATTGCTGGCAGACCAGCTTGATCAGCTCGAGGTCAGTTGATAGGTGCTTTATGCGGTTGAATCCGGCAATAAATTCAAGCGAAACAAAGCCCTGGGAATCCATCTTGCGGCGGAGGTACATGTCTTTGAGCAAGTTGTCTACCGAGAAGTAGTAGTCCCTAGATCCCGTTAGCGGGTGGTCGAACAGCCAGGAAAAGAAGGGCTTACACTTGAGTCGTGATCATTGCCATCAGCGCGTACTGATCCATGTAGGGAGTGTAAGGTACAGCGCTCATAGGAGGCTGCATCATACCGTAATCATACATGCCGTAAGTCTGTATCGGGGCGACCGGAGGTCCACCCTGATAGGGTGCAAATCTGTAGGGGTCGTTCGTCATCGATTGCGAGCGGCTGTTACCACGTCCGTATTTGCCTTGACCTGGTGTAAAAAAGCTCGAAGTCTCGGGATGAAACGTAGTTGGGGAGCGGGGTCCCAGCGAGAATGACGAAGCGGACTGCGCAGATATGTGTCCATTCGCGTAATTTCCGCGTCCACCGCGACCACCTCCTCGCCCTCGCTCGCGACCACCAGTGAATGAGCTGTAACGGCCCTGCTTATGTTGATGACCGTTTGGACCGTCGTGATAGGTGAAGTGTCGGCGCTCGCTGTCACCGGGAGCATCTGTCTGAGTAGAAGTTGAATTCTGTCGCTCATCAAAAGTGTTATCCTTTGTGGGCGACACGTCACCATCCTTCTTCCTCTCGCCTCCGAAGGACATATCACCACGGCGGGGCTTGTGGGGTCTGCTCGGATACTGACGAGGGTAGGGGCCGTTCTGGTGAGACTGATGGTTCGCATCCGGTGCGGATGAAGACGTCCTGGATCTGAACTCGGCTTCCGCCACAAAATTTCCAGCTGCCTTCATCGGCTTCTCTGCAGTCGTTGCTGGGCCCTGGGCCTTCAATGTCGGAGATGCAGCACTACCGGTGCGCTTCGCCTTGGGCGAGACATCTTGGGGAGCGCCTCCTTCGGTACGCTCGCGCCTAGTGTGTTCCCCGTTGGCCATGACAGGTGCCGAACCATCCTTCTCAGGCTGAACAGCTCCGTTGGGTCCATATGTAGCGGCTCGACCACCGGATTGTGATGCTCCGCGTCCGCCAGGCCGACCGCCTCGTCTAGGGTTGGTAGCATTGGGCAGCGGTGTGTTGAAAACAACCGATGGCGTATATGGGACTTTCACCCACTCGTGCTTGCCGTGCGATGCAGCGGAAATGTTCTCCTTCTGCTCCTTCTCACCCTTTTCTTGCGCCTTTTTGCGGTCCTCGTTAATGACGGTCTCTGGAGTCGGCCAGGACTCTTGATCGCGTTTTGGAGGTGGAGGCTGAGTGCTTGATGCGTGCTTGAAGTCCTTGTCAAAAGACTTGGCCTTGCTGTCTTTCTTTGCGTCATTCTCGCCTCTTGTGTCCTTCCGACCATGGGCGGTCCTGTCGTCATCGTTGCTCTTGAATTTCCCGCCGTTTGTCGCGGATTCAGGCTTCTTGGCTGCAACACTTCCGTTTGGAAGAGGAGAAAAACTAGGCTTCTGTATCTTAGACTTCAGATCATCTGCTCGCTTTTTCCAAATGTTGACAGCTGGCAGCGGCGCCTCCTGTAGTGGCACGACTGGAGCGCTCTTGCCCTTCTTCACTTTGTCTGAGGTCTTCTCAACAGCTTCGACCGACTTGTCCACTGAGGTGGAAGCCTGCGATTTGTTGTCCCAGGTCGACTCGGAGGAGGCGTTTGGCAGTGAGGAAACGTCATCGTCCTTGGTCACGGTCGAAGCAGAGGATGCAGAAGCACCAAGGTCGGGTGAGGATATGTTGGACGTCTCCACGGAGTGGGCGGGCGGGGCAGCCGTAGACGCCGACGTCTGCGGCTGAGCATCCCGGGCAGTTGCTGGCTGCTCCGTCGCAGATTCTGACTCGGCGTCGTCAGCCCAGCTTGGTACGGAATCGGCGGGGCCGTTCGCGATGGAGGAATCAGCCTCTTTAGCTGGTGTGGCAGCGCCGGACGTCGGCTTGCTCTGTGCCACTGGGGTGGACATGCCCTTTGCGGCTTGCGCATATGAGAAGGTAGATGCAGCCATGGTGCTGTCTAGACGTGTGCTGGCACCGGTTCAACGCGTTGACGCTGAGAAGCTGAAAGCACGGCTGTGGTCCCCAATGGGATCGCTATAGCGAGCTGACCAGTACGGGACTGGTGCTGTGGTGTCCGGAGAGGTGGATGTAAACCTCTCCGCACGTTGTCGCCCGCGAAACGTCCAGGCGTAGGATCGGCGATCGGCTTTCGAGGGCTCGACTCGATGCGGTCCTGGAAAGAGGAGGCGTTCCGGAACGACTTCCGAAGCTGTGGGTGAGCTGTACGTGAGCTGTGTCGCGCGACGTCAGCAGGCGGACGAATGTGAGTGAGCGCACAAGGCACAAGCGGATGGGGTGTCTAGACGCGCCCGAGGCAGCTAATTGCAAAAGCTGACAGTGCGAGAGTGACGTCGTGTGCAGGCAAAAGAGGGCGGGCTGGACGTGCAAAAAAATTGTTCAGGCATGGAGGGGTAGAGACGACGCCCGAGCAGCACCCCGAACCCAGCGTGAGCGGGCGCGGGTATCTGGCGCAGGCAAAGAAATGTACAGGGCTCTCGAGGGGTTCCAGGCGCAAAGTATGCTGGCAGCAATCGTGTCGTGGGCGTGACTAACCTCTGTGGCCTTGCTCTGGGGCAAGCGGCTGACACGGTGGAATCGTGAGCAAGCTGTATGGCGGTTTCGGTACGGGAAGCAAGCGCCTTCCAGCAGACTGGCGCAGACGTGTATCGAGTGCGTGGGTGACTTGTGCGAGGCAGGAGCAGCGCAAAGGACAGCGAGGTCGCCGGGCAAACGAAGGCTGATGTTGCTGGATCAGGAACTTATTCTGGAGCCAACAACGAGAGGGGCGGAGGCGGCGCTCAGGAATCCGGCAAGGCAAGCTTGGACAAGGCAGACCGAGGTGAGCTGAGCAATATTGTCTCTCTTGTGCGCGAAAAATGACAAGCGTTGGGTGGAGAGCAAAAAGGTCACATCTAGCGCACTAAAATCATTTCTCGGCACCGGTCATTCACCTGCTGTCTAAAGTCTAACGTTGATGGCAGGACCTCTCCGCGCGCCTACAGGCATGCGGGCTGCACCCATGTGGCCCTGGCCCACCGTGGTTTTCTCTCCTCCGTGCTTAACATGGTTCAATTGCCATGTTGCTGCCTCGACCGTCAATCAATAGCAATGACGTTACCCCCGCACTCGTCGCTTTTTGCTCGTGCCTGCAGCATTCCAAAACGCCGTCGCATGAACGCCGCACATCCATGCCGCATCTTGCCATTCCAGAGGCCGAACTAACACTGTTGGCGCCCGGTTCATCTCGTCGTCTTGTGCACGGCACGGCGGATGCAGTCACGTTCCGAAACTCGCCGAGAAGGTACTCTCGGATAGCTAGAGTGCCAAAGCATTCATCCAGCCTGCCAACGCGAGGTCCGGGTTCAGTCTTTTTTAAACTTCTTGGCAAGCACACAGTCACACGGCACTGTGGCAGCTATATCGACTCCAATCTCCAAATCCCCAGCTGTCGGCATCATGGACGATGACCTGCCATAAGCAGAAAGTCAAGGCACCGAATGCTTGTGATTGGCGGAAGCGGCGCCTCCCACCATCGATCCAGGCATCTAGCTCCGGCAGTAAGACATTGTAAGCCTACCACTCAACAGCCATCACATGGAGCCATGTGTACACCTTCCGAGTGTGGTCTGTATCAAGCTCCGCAGCTCCTATGATAGCGTCTACCAGGGACACTGCTGCAGCATCTGCTTTACGCAGCAGACAAGCCAACCATGTAAGGACGCACGGAGATTAGACCACCTTTTCGCAAAGCACCCAAAGGATTCATCTCATCTTGCCATATCAGTGGTACTCGTGTCTGTCCTGCACCTCGTGCTGGGGCTGAGCATACCACGTCACTTCTCATCTCAAGTTCATGAGATACGCAATCAATACATGCACATGATCGTCTTGACCACGGTGAAACGGATCCCTCCCGCGCCCGAGCTATTTTGTCTGCCTGCCCAGCTCCCCGCACACTCCCACTCAATCACATGATCCATGCCATTGTAGATAGTCAAACTGTCGCCGTTGCCACTCCAGTCGTATACAACCCTTCCACTGGCACTTCCCTCCATCTCTCCATCTTGGCTCTAGCCTTGTCTTCGCTATTGGCCCACCACCAGACACTCCACAGTGCATCTTCCCATTTCCTTGGGAACACCTCACGAATGCTCAGCAATTGTGAATCGCGGCTCTCAAATTTCTCAAATGCTACCGTGACTCGGTCGAAGAAAAAGTCGCTAGCGTGGTCACGTATTGTATATGCGTCGGTTGACGTGGGTGCAGTGATAAGTGGCGACCTAATTTGGCTGGTTTGGTGGAAAGAGGCGCGAGCGATCAAGTTCAGGTGCGTCAGTGAAGCCCGTAGAACAAGTTGCTTATAGTTGTCGTCAAATAAGTCAAGGTCCGGGTTGGAAGGGAAGGCGAAAGCTTGTGAGGGGTGTTGCCAAACTTGCGTACTTGTGGGAAAAGCTACGCGTGGATAAGCCGGCCTGTGAGATGCGTTGTAGCGTACAACGAGGTCGATAAGGTCAGGCGGCTGATAGTAGGTCTGTCCTGCTGCAAAGAAGAGCTGGAGTAGCCTACACCTCATCAGCATTGAGACACAGAGAAGAGAGAGAGAGAGAGAGAGAGAGAGAGAGAGAGAGCGAAAAATTGCAATCGCGATGAGTAGTCCTCCCTGACATAAAGATGGCAAAAAGCGTACAGAAAGACCAGCATAGCCGGAGAGACTCGCCCTATGCTTCTCAATGCTCCTGGGTGTCTGCAGATTTTTATACAAACAAAATTGTCTGCTAACTTGACGTACCTAGCGGTGAAGCCTTGATCTTTGCTGAAGTCCGACGAGAAAGTGAACGGTAACTTGGAAATATCCTGTTCTGCGAGCGATAGGCCGTAGACAGGCAACAGGTGGTGATACATAAAGCGAAACACAGCGTGCTGATCTAGCTCATCCATTAGAGGCTCGCTGTTTCGTTCGAATATATGTTCTTTGCAAGTCTCCAGCACATGGATCTGGAGGTCGAGGCGTCCGGGATACTGGAAATTGGCAAGTACCCAGCGGACTTCGTTGAACAACCAGACACAAATGACTGCTGAATAAAAGCGTGCCCGTTGATCTGAATTCAGGGTCATATAACCTGCCGTCTCTGGGGTTGCACGTTTCCGTGTGGGTAATTCTCCATCCCGGTACAACTCGTTGCGATTGATTACAACTTGATATCCGTGCGTAAGCGAGAGTGCACTCGCATCGGAGCTCTCATCTATCGAGAAATAGTCGTTTGCATTCACTTGTAGTTCCAACCAGAGGTTCTCGAGCACTCGTAATCCTTGATATCGAGCTAATATGTCATAGACGATGAAATCCGGGAGGCAGTCAGAACAACACACATCGTCACATGTGGCAGCTCTTGTCGCCGTGGTCAGAGCACTTTCCCACTTGTTCCAATCGTAACCGAACGGACTGAGTTGGGTCGCTGGCAATAGACTGTTGTGGTGATGAATATGCTGAACAACATCCTGGTGAAGGTCCAGCATTTTACAGAGCTGGAGATCATACCTGTGCTGTGGGGCACATCCGATGACCGATCTCATAATTTTGACGTATCTGGTCGGCCGCTGAAGGATGTCGTAGGTCTTCTTGCACGTTCGGCCCATGTTGTGTACATCGTCGATGCTTCCCATAAGGTGAAGTATCATCTCGAGGAGCTCAGGAGGTAAGATCCATAGGGTAGCCATGTGAACGGTAAAAGAGGCTGATGGCAGGAATAGTCCAGCGATGACCATGTGAGACCTGTTGTCTTTGGCGGGTTCGGGTTTCGAATCCTCTAAAAGAGTAGACGGGATGGCAGTGTGGTACCACAGTTCCTTAGCCTGCGACAGATGTGGATGCTTCACAGGAGCTAATACTAGGTGAGAGAGATGTCGACCGCAAAAAGTGGCTGGCTTCACGGAGGACGTGTATCAGAGCGGGGCCGATTGCGGTGCGTCAACCATCAGACATCGCCTGAGGACTGGCATGGTAGGGTTCCACGAGCGCGAATAGACGAATAGTGTTTGCTATGGCGCTGGGGGGAGATGCGACCAAATGAATGAGGCCGACTTGCACCCATCCTTCTGCCTAGGCCATGTCTCTCGACGGCGTTTGTTCCAGGGCTGATGATGTGGATGATCAATAGTTCAAGTGCACAACCGGAAGACCCTGCAGCCAGCAGGGACTACGGACGGAGCAAACAAAGGTCTGGCCGATCTAAGAGACACATGTACGATACTTAGCAGAACTCAAAATCATGGTACTGGGGACAGTGAAGCAGTTCGTAGACGTTGAATGATGAAGACCAGCGCGTGCTCCGATTGGCCGGCTGCGGAAGGGTCTCCACGTCTGCCTTCCGCATCTGATTGCCGGCTGCTGTATTCTCTACGACCCGCATCAACCTCCGCGCTCCCACCTTCCAACTTACGTCATATTCGAGATCCGCTAAGCAGCCGTTCTCTCACCGCAGCCATGTCCGACAGCACTGCCCAACCGCTCGACGCTAGCATGGAGGTCAACGATGAGCTAGACCCAACGGTCGAGGAGGAGATCAACCACGACGCGGTTCAAGCAGACGCGATGAACCTTGACGGCGCTGCAGACGCAGAGCCTGCGGTGAACGGGATAACGGATGCCGCGCAGACGTTCGAAGCGCGCATTCCGGCGAAAAAGGACGCGACACTACGGGAGTTCCTGGGAAAGATGGATGACTATGCGCCTATCGTATGCGACCGATTGCGACACTTGGGCGCAGCATGAGACTGACAAAGCCAGATTCCCGACGCAGTTACCAACTACTACTGCACACGTGCCGGCCTGCCACCACCGCCTTACACATCTCCCCACCTCGCCCGTCTCCTTGCGCTCGCAACACAGAAGTTCATCGCCGACATTGCTGCCGACGCCTACCAGTACTCCCGCATCAGGTCGTCCAACACCACAAGCAACAACCCCATGGGCGGACTCGGTGCAGCAGGTGGTCCACAGGGTGCAGCAGCGCCCGGTGGAGCACAGGGCGGCAAAGACTCTGGAGCAAAAGCAAAGGACTACAACCTTGGCATACAGCGTCCTGGATATGGCGGAGGCGGACAGGGTGGAAGCCAAGGACGCACAGTGCTGACTATGGAGGACCTTGGCATGGCTGTCGGCGAGTATGGCGTCAACATCAAGCGCGGCGAGTTCTATCGATAGACGGTCAATCGTCGGGATATGCATTGCGGGCGTTATCTGGTTACTTGGGCGCATGGGTACGGACATAACATTGGTATATTCAGTTTACCCAATAACATGCTTGGTCGTATTGTACAGTATCGGTACAGAAGAGTGCCTCTAGATAAGAACCAATGATACCCAAACTCCCATTGAATGCATATGAGCCCATGACCTCATTTGTTCTTTGTTTGCTTGTATGTGAAATTCTTCCGTGTCCTACAAGGCGGCTATTAGCCGATCGCACTCGAATGTGAGGGCACAGCTTGAGCTGTGGTGGCATGGGATGTGGAACATACGGCGCGAACTCTCCGAGCTTGTGTCCGACCATGTCTTCCGTTATGGTGATGTCCTGGTAGTTCTTCCCATCGTGTATCTGGAACTTCAGACCCACAAAGTTGGGCAATATGGTTGCAGACCTTGCCTGCGTCTTGATTGGAGGCAGTCGCTCGCCGGGCTTCGCTCGCTTTATAGGTAGGCTTGAGAAGTTTAGTCAACTGCGGATGCCATGGGGTATTGAGGGCTTAAGGGCTTACGGGACAATGTTGGGCCCTGGGAATTGTCAGCCTGGTTAAGTCTCATCTCTACACACTCGCATTACTCACCTTTCCAGACCGATCGAGAGCAGAGCGCCCGAGTAGGAAACATTGCGGCGTGCGTCGGGATGCTGGAGGTCGGCGAAATGTTTGCGCATGTTCCGTCAATGTCGCGCCCCACGTGATCACGGGTTTGAGCTAAGAGCTTGGCCAGGCTGAAGCGCGTCGCGATCGAAGATTGGTAGCGAGCAGCTGTTGCAATTGCGCCTGAAGAACTGCATAAGAGGCCATTACCGGCCGTGGGGAAGTTTGAATTTCTGTCCGCAATCCGCCTTTCCCAGCACAACTTGGACCAGAGACTCGACTGCCCCGCGTAAGCTCCCCAATGCCTCCACGAGCACGCGGCCCACAGCGTGGTAAGTGGGTTGACTTCACGAGACGACTCCATGCGCTAACGATATACAGGCGCAGACACCATCCGAATCCTGGTCGCCACGGACAGCCATGTCGGATACCAAGAGATCGATGCTTACCGCAAGGACGATAGCTGGAAGACCTTTGACGAAGTCATGCGTTTGGCAAAGGAGCATGACGTTGACATGGTGCTACATGCTGGCGATCTGTTCCACGAGAACAAGCCGTCGCGGAAGTCGCTCTATCACGTCATGCGATCGATACGACAAAACTGTCTGGGAGACAAGCCTTGTGAGCTGGAGATGCTGAGCGACGCCAGTGAGAACTTTGGTGGAATCTTCGACCACGTCAACTACGAAGACGATGATATCAACGTTGCGATACCTGTATTCGCAATCCATGGTAATCACGACGATCCCTCGGGTGAAGGCTCATATTCTCCACTGGACCTACTACAGGCTTCTGGCCTGGTCAACTATTTCGGTCGTACGCCTGAGGTAGACAAGATAGCCGTCAGGCCCGTCTTGCTCCAGAAAGGCCAAACAAAGCTGGCGCTATACGGTCTTAGCAATGTGCGAGACGAGCGGCTCTTCCATACCTGGCGAGATGGGAAGGTCAAGTTCTTCCAGCCAAGAACTCAGAAAGACGAGTGGTTCAACATCATGAGCGTCCACCAGAATCATCACGCCCATACACCAACCAGCTACCTCCCCGAGAATTTCTTGCCAGAATTTATGGACCTCGTAGTGTGGGGTCACGAGCACGAGTGTCTCATTGACCCGCGCCTCAACCCCGAGATGGGCTTTCATGTCATGCAACCGGGCTCATCAATTGCCACTTCTCTGATGCCCGGTGAGGCCGTGCCGAAGCATGTCGCTATTTTGAGCATCACGGGCAAAGAGTTCCAGACTGAGACTATTCGACTGAAGTCTGTTCGGCCCTTCATCATGAAGGAGATTGTGCTTGCTGAAGAGAAAGAGATCAAACAAAAAGAGCTGTGGCGAATGAGCGACAATCGTACAAAGATCACGCAATACCTTAGCAAAGTGGTGGATAGTCTCATAGAGCAAGCTAAACGGGAATGGCTCGAGCTGCAAGACGACCGGGAAGAGGATGATGAACTCGAGGTTCCGCTACCGCTTGTGCGCCTGCGCGTTGAGTACACAGCGCCCCATCCCGGACAGTTTAATGTCGAGAACCCTCAGCGCCTGTCCAATAACTTCCAGAATAAGGTGGCCAATCAAAATGACGTTGTACAGTTCTATCGAAAGAAGAAGACTGCGACACGAACATCGAAGAACAAGACTGAAATGCCAGATGACTCAGTGTTGGCAGAGATGTCAGCTAGTACTGTGAAGGTGGATAAGTTAGTCAAAGAGTTCTTGACTGCGCAGACATTGACGATCCTACCGCAAAACTCCTTTGGAGATGCTGTGCTTCAATTCGTTGACAAGGACGACAAGCACGCGATGGAGCTCTTTGTTGAAGAGAGTCTAACGAACCAGCTCACACACTTGATGAACGCCAATGAACTTGACGAAGAGCACATCATGAACGAAATGGACCAATACAAATCGCAGCTGGAGAACTTGTTCTCGGCCGGCAAGATCAAGAAAACGAAAAGGTCCAATCTGAAAGCTAAGCCCTTCGGTTGGGACAGTGAAGAAGACGGTCACTGGGCGGATGACCCAGGCGCCCTCATCCGACCAGTTGATGGCGGAGAAGATAATGATTTCGGAGATGATGCTAGCGTGGCGTCTGTGACGACCAAGAAAGCTACGGCACGCGGTCGTGGTAAAGCTGCGGGTACCACGCGACAAACGGCAGCAGCCGCGAAGAAGAAGCCGACACCAGCTGCAAAAGGTGGACGTGGCAAGAAGAAGGTCGTTGAAGAGGAGGAGGACGAAGAGGAAGAGGATGTGATCATGCTGAGCGATGACGACGAGGAGAGTGACGAGGGCATGTTTGTTCCTGAAGTTATGAAGAAGGCTCCTGCAAAGAAGACTGCTGCTAAAGCACCTGCGAGGGCGAAATCACCCGCGAAGAAGACGACGACCAGCCGGGCAAAAGCTCCGGCTACCGGCAAACAGTCGACCCTGAACTTCTCTCAACCTGCTTCACAGCGCAGTCAGCCCACGCGGACACCTGCAGCCCGAGGCAAGAAGGCTGCCGAGCCGGTAAGTGACGATCCAGTCAAATTTCCAAACCATTTCTACTAACAGCCAATATAGAGCGACGACGAAATCGAAGACGACGAGGACGCATTTGACCCACCTCCTACAGCCCGCACTACCAGGAGGAGGTAGAGGCGCACAACTACGATAGATGATATGCGTCAAATATTGGCGCCAACGCGGAAGTCACTGGCGAACACAATATTGTTATCGGCGCAAGAGGGGCATTTGCGGCATGCATAGCGACGGCGCTGCTTGATTCTTATACCAGTACATGGCTGTAGTGAACTGAGTTGATATACTCTTAAGTTATACATAGTGGCTCAGGACTCCTCACGATGTCGGTGTGCAACTTTGCTCTTTTCTTTTCATTCGTACTCTCAAGCTACTTATGTATCGTTCCAGCCGCTGTGTTTTAGTAAAACCTCTGCGATGTGACGAATATCGTGTACTACATCCTCTTTCCATCATTTGATCATGATTGTCATAGAGAGGAAGGAAGTCACGCCCAGTGACATCCCTGTTGCCCCAGCTTCATCTCGGCTTCTCTTCTCTTGCGAACCCACTCTTTCCTGGATGTTCTGAGCCACCGAGCCGGCAGGCACATCGCGGTACAGGCTATAACTATTTGTCAACGCTCTTCCACCTTCAACAACCAAACACTCATTTGTCTTCCATTCTCTTGTTTCGCCCTTCTTGTTCCGCATTGCTGCTCTTCGGCTTTTTGGATAGCTGTCGCTCGTTTCGCACTTTGCATTCTCCACCAACCAACTTTGGAGTACGTTCCTGTTGTCCCTCTCCATCACCGGCATTGGCCTTGGTGCACCACGCGCCCACGTCAATGAAGCGTTGCTGATCATGACAGGATATTCGCATCATACCATCTCATCCCACGTCGTTCGACTGTTCCGCTGCCTCATTGGCTTGGTCGCATCAACGATTTGCTAGAAAAACGGCTCGTTATCCATCCATCTGAGGGACAGACCCCCACGATGTCACTTGCCTATAAAGTCGAGGAACTGCTTGCGCTTCGCGACTCGGTCTCGGAGTCTGCCGTCTCCATAGACAGGTTTGCGGATGAGGATGTGATCAAAGGTCAGTGAGCAGCTTTCACACTCTCACCGTTTACTTCACTTCACTTCACCGACGCTCACCATCCAAGTTGAGTTCTTACTGTGTGCTCTTCTGCTCCTCTACTACTCTCCACTATTGATACTAATCGATATGCTTTGGCAGAACACGTCCTTCGCCCATCCGCGTCCGCATCTGCGAATCTAGCTAGCAGGTCTTCAGGTAGAAGCCTACGGGTCCCCGTCGCACAACCGCTCATACCAACTGCACCACAAAAGAGGCCATCGCCTACTCCCTCCATCAAACGTGGTAAAGCTGAGAAGCTTCTCAAAGAACACGGCAGCCCACCTGGTATGCGAGTCACGGCTGGAGGTCGAATCGTTCCCAGCGACCTGCCACCACTGGGTACATCCCGTTTCCCTGACAACAGCTTCAAACCGTCCACCCTACGCGTCACGCCGAACACCATCATGTCTGCACAAACGCAGTCGAACAACAACTCTGCCGCACGTATCGAGGTTGTCGGTGGTCAACCTGTCGTCTTCATTGGGGATCGAATGTTCGCACTGCCAGCTGTGAACGCCAACTCCACACCAGCTATGGGTAGCAACGCCATTATGGAACCTAGTGCAAAACACGCGCCAGAGCCTCCAGCTCTCAGCACATATGGCAGCATGCCTGGCCTGTCGTACGGCCCATCGCGCACCAACTCGACTTCACCATTCGCTGGCCTAGATCTTCCGACGCTCAAATCTCAACAGTCTCTCAAGAAGCAGGAGCTTCGGTCGGTGGAACAGACTGAGGTTCTTCAAGCCAGCCACCAGAGCGAGGCATGGCGTGCCAACATGATCGAGAAGAAGCGATGCCTTATCGTCGAGCTCGATGCGCTGCGCAAGTCTATCACGGCACTTGAGAACGAGAACGGCGCTGCCGCCCCGACCAACTCCTTCATAGGCCCTGCTGGAACGGCGCCTGCCTCGGCGTCCCTTCCGACGTTTGTACCTCAAGTACAGCAGCCTGTTTCTCAAGCGCTGTATCCGTTCCCGGCGGCCAGTCCATACACGCCAATGATGATGTATCCTCCGCCCTACAGTGCTTTTCCAAGCTTTCCTGGTTCAGAGCCAACACCATTCGTGGCACCTTCTGTAAACCCGCCACGCTCTCCAGGATCAGCAAGCCGTCGCTCACATGCCATCGCAATCAAGCCTCCCCAGGATGGCTCAATCAAGCCAGCTTTGAACCCAAAGAGTCCTACTTATGAGCCGGCCACCAAACCAGGTGCAGTGCAGAGTGCTGTGCCCCCGACTCCTTCACCTCCAAAGCGATCCCCATGGCGCACTCAAGAGGAGCCACAATCGAGACGTGAGCAGCGGCCATTGTCGCAGAAGCTCAGTTTCTCCAGCGTCGACACAACGGACTTTTTTCCTACCAACACGCACGAGCATTCTTCCACCCGACTGGCCCCGAGAGCGTTTGAGCCGAAGCCAGATTCCCAATGACAACACAGCTATACCGTCCACCCCCGAGAAGCATTGGCCTGCTAGTCCTTGGAATGAAGGCCACTCTGGGCGCGTAAACAAGAACGAGCCTATCTCGAAGCTTACATCCTGGCCAGAGGCATTCGGCAAACGACAATCCTCCTCCTCGCTGCGACAGAGCGCCACAGGACAACACTTAGCATGTGTTCTTGAGAAGGCTCCCACCATTGGCTCATATGGCCCCGAGTTGGCCTCGAACAAGAAGATGATCGCACGATCTGATTCTGACCAACGCAACGACACGAACGAGAATTGGCCTTTCTCCCGCAAGGCTGTGGCACACGTACCGTCTACATACCAAGAAGGGTACCAGGCTGGATACGATCATGTTGGCATGCCCGATAGCCCAGAAGTCCTGCAAGGTTATGTTCAAGGTCTCCTCCAGTTTCTTGCAGACGAACTAAAGAGAGGCCGCCTCGATGGTGCCATGCGAGAATCGTATGCACAAGGCACCGAGTCTCGTACGCATTCGCTGCGAGGTCTCATTGCTGGATCCATGCCTCATGACTCTGCGATCAGTATGACGTTCAACCGCAACACTGGCCAGTCTACCAACTACGAAAACGTTGGGTCATCCAAGGACAGCTTGCCAGCCAAAATGTATCAGGACTCTTCATACAGTGCCCAGGGGGGTATCAAAGATGTACAGAACGCCTATGCGCTTCTCACCGAGGCCGCCTATGTCTCGCGCCAGCGCAACGTGTCCAGCATGCAGTATCCCAGCCCAGCCAACCCTATCGCCGAGGGTCCCGCAACCCGTCGTCCCGCGACATTGTTCTCTGGTGAGAACGAGCCAAGCAAGGCAGGTCAAGACAAAGGTATTGCAAACCGCGCAGACGCAGATGCATCCAAGACCAATGGTGGTTTTGGCCGGCAGTTCTCGGGGGCCCAGATCCAGAACCGAGACTATGGAACGCCTTTCTCCAACCAGCGCTTCTATCCGACGCCCAAGGAGATGAGTCCAAATGGCTCTGGCGGAGAAGCTGCGACTAGCATGCGGCCCTTTGCTAACCATCGCTTGTCAGGGCTCGATGGAGCTATGGACGATCTGGCCGACATTGTCTTGGAGACGCATATCGATGACCAGCGCGCCCCTGCTAACAAGCGCGCCGCCGACGGACCTGAGGTGGTCGAAGCGGAGGCTGAGGAAGCCACTGCCTCTTGCTTCAAGCCTTCTGGTGGAAAGGGCAAACAGAAGGCTCTTGGATCTCCTCCAAAGTCATGCGGCAATGGTCGAAGCAATGGGGTTTCGTCGCCCAACCCACCGAGCTCGCCCAAGAAGTCGGGAGAGCTCTCACCAGCCAAAGCCAAGCTCGAGCAAGTGACCAACAAGTTCAGGCGCAACAGGAAGGACGATCCGCGTACCATGTCTCCCGAAGAGAAGACGAGGCGGTCAGACAAGTGGCGAAAGCGTTTCCAGGCCATCAAGCGGGAGGAGCTCGAGGAGATTGAAGAGCATCGCAGGAACACTCGCAACTAGGGTCATGATGACCAAGGCCCTGCCCATTCAGCGCGTGGTTGGATATTGTGGCACAAATGTCCGACTCTTCATCTATTGGTGTTTATCGAAGCACACTTATCGACTACAGTCTTCAGTCACATTTGGCTTCGTTGACAGCATTGCGATGCATTTATTACGGTATCGGCGGTGACATTGGTATTGGAACGGCGGTAATTAGGCGGAGACGGAAGTGAAATGTTTTATTTTGCTTTCTTTCTCGAATGGACATGGTTGGAGTATGGAAGGTTGACGGAACTGCAAGGTGGATGATAAATAGGCTCGGTGGATTCGCTCAGGCTTGCCTTCCTTTTCCCTCTCGTCGGCAACCTGCACCGTCATGTCATCAAGACTTGTATAGCTAGCTAAGCGACATACTCAATCCTTTGTATAGTAACCAGAAAACCTTTTCCTCAAAGACACTTTTCATGCTGCAGCGTGAGCGAAACCATGCTAGTGATGGGGCGAGGGCGGGCAAACAGGCGTTCGGACTATGTATGCAGCTGCCAAATGTGGCAATGTTCCAGAACGGATTGGCGCTGAGAGCAGCATGCTTCAATGCTCACTTGGCACATTTCGGCACATGGCATGGCATCGATGGACATGGAAGCATGAAAGCATGGAAGCATAAAAGTATGGAAGGGAGCAGAAGGGGTGACAAAGTTAAGATGAGAGACGAGCCGCAGTCAGGATGGGGGTGTGCCAGGTTCTTCGCTGTGCTGATAAATCGAGACGGTCGTCATCGTGGGGAGGGCAGCGGGACGGCGGAATGGTAGCTTTATCGGCCAGCAGATGCGCGGAGGAGGCGGAGGAGGAGGCGCAGAGCGGCGTCCCCAGTCAAGCGCGCTCTTTCGTCCGATGCGGCAGGCAATGCTTGGAAATGCAGCGAGCACAGTGCACTGCAGTGGATTGCAGTGAATTGACTGACGGCTGAGCTTACCCAGGGCAGAACAAGTCGAGCGCGAGGGTCTTGTAGGCTTGGGCATGTCCCCATGCTGGCTGCCGGGGCTCGAACGCGGGCTTCCCAGTCCCCACTTCGCACCTTCCCCCATCCATCATTCGCCGCTGCGGCACTAAGCTGCTGCTGGCTGCCGGCTGCCACTGGTAGGTAGAGGCTGGTAGGTATCCGGAACCTCGTCCTCTTATCCCCCCCAGCAGCTCTGCCAGAGTCTGCAAGTAGACACCGACTCGAGAGATTCGTGCGCCCTCGACATTCCTCCTCCCGCTCCGCCCACGCCATTGCCCCGGGCGACATTCTTTCGCGCCGGACCAAGCACTCCCCGCCTGCGCCCAAGCCACTCTCGACCCAGCGACATTGCCCAGATCGGACATCCATGGCCCACTGACCCGCTCGTCACGACACCGACCACATCGACCACATCAACCACGACACCGACCACGACCACGACCACGACGACGGCCACCCCCGCCAGCTCATCTGCGGCCTCACGTATCTCCGCGACCCGGCACTACTGCCGCGTCTGCAACGGTTGCATCCTCCTTGCGTGACCACCATGACGCAGCTCTTCAGCTCCTCCGCATCCACACACACCAACATGACGGAGAAGCGCACTTTTCTCCGGCGCCTCGCTGTCCACCAACAAGCCGCTCAACGGCTCCAACAGCCACGTCTCGCAGCGCATCAAGAACTTCTTCCGCATCAACAGCAGCAACGACACCCGCAACATCTCCGACGACGCCAACCACATCAGCTTCGACCCCCAAGAATGAAAAGTCGGGCTTCCGCCAGTCGAGGTTTATGCCTCACATCTCCCGCAATCGCTCGCAGACGGTCGCCAGCGAAGGCAACCCGCTCGACGACACCGTGTCGCCCACGGCACACGCCAATCCCTACTTTGCCCACCAGGGACCCCCAGCCTTGCGCCACCACAACCAAGGTAGCGTGCCTCCATCTCCCCCAGACACCCCAGCAATAACGAGAACAAAAGCCGACGGTGCTGCCGGCGATGCCACCACTGCAGGCAAGGAAGAGCTCGCCCGGAAGCTGCGAAGAGTCGCCTCTGCACCCAATGCCCAGGGACTCTTCGCAAAAGGAAATGGAGACGACCGCCCCCAGACCGCCGAGCTCGGCAAGCAACCCGTATTGCATCACCCCAACTCGTCGACGTTGAGCATGGTGGAGACGCTGCCCCAGGGCTCCAACAATCTTCTCCTGCCTGTCGAAAACGGTGGCTCAATACCCAGCCCAGGTCAGATCCGCCAGTCTGTCGCCTTCCGACGGACATACAGCTCCAATTCCATCAAGGTTAGGAACGTCGAAGTCGGCCCTGGAAGCTTCGACAAGATCAAGTTGATCGGTAAAGGCGATGTTGGCAAGGTCTACTTGGTGCGCGAGAAGAAGTCGAGTAGGCTATATGCTATGAAGGGTACGATGCTCGCATGCACCATCTTGACTGCTCACTAACAAGTCCCAGTTCTTAGCAAGAAGGAGATGATCAAGCGAAACAAGATCAAGCGTGCACTCGCAGAGCAAGAAATCCTGGCGACCAGCAACCACCCCTTTATTGTTACCCTCTACCACTCTTTCCAGTCCGAAGACCATCTCTACCTCTGCATGGAGTACTGCAGCGGCGGTGAATTCTTCCGCGCTCTACAGACCAGACCAAACAAGTGCGTCGACGAGGATGCCGCGCGGTTCTATGCTGCCGAGGTGACCGCCGCCCTGGAGTACCTGCATTTGATGGGCTTCATCTACCGAGATCTGAAGCCCGAGAACATCCTCCTCCACCAGTCTGGTCACATCATGTTGTCGGATTTTGATCTGTCAAAGCAGTCCGACTCGGGCGGCCGCCCGACAATGATTCTCAGCGGCCGAAGCGGCACTTCCTCAAACAATTTGCCAACCATTGACACAAAGTCTTGCATAGCAAATTTCAGGACCAACTCGTTCGTAGGAACTGAGGAGTACATCGCGCCAGAGGTTATCAAGGGCTGCGGACACACCAGCGCGGTCGACTGGTGGACCCTTGGCATCTTAATCTACGAGATGCTGTACGGCACGACACCTTTCAAGGGCAAGAACCGCAACGCGACGTTTGCCAACATTCTGAGGGATGAGGTACCATTCCCCGAGGGGTCTGGTGCACCAGCAGTGTCGAAGTAAGTTCCTAGTTCATGACATGGACGATGAATCACTAACAGATCCAGTCTCTGCAAAGGCATAATTCGCAAACTACTCATCAAGGATGAGACGCGTCGTTTAGGCTCGCGCGCTGGAGCTTCTGACATCAAGACTGCTCCCTTTTTCCGCACGACTCAATGGGCGCTTCTGCGTCACATGAAGCCACCCATCGTTCCCCATCAGGGCGCCGGTGTCGAAACACCAAACTTCCGCAACGTCAAGGAGAGCCACAGTGTCGACATCGGAGCCTCAAAGGTCAAGGGTGTACCTCTGGACTCTGGACTCGCTACGCCTATGGGCGAGCTTGCCGATCCTTTTGAAGAATTCAACAGCGTCACCCTACACCACGACGGCGACGACCACCACCATCAAGAATCAAGCCAAGAGTACATTACACCTCAGAGCTCAAATTCGCATCGATAGGGTCGACGCCGATAATGTCTCTTTGGTAGCAAGCACCAAAAGTGGACGTCTGCATATCTGTATTACATGGGGGGCGTTTTGTTGCACCACTCCCGGCTCCACTCTTTCAGCATGGTGTTATAGACATCGGGTTTCTAGTTCATGGCAGCGGCGTTTACGGAGAAATTTTGTTTTTAATTTCGATTCAGCGCTAGCCACAGGCCTTACCAAAGAAAAGGCCATGGAGATCCATATCTCGATTATATGGCGTTCGACACAGTATTGTGGCATTCTTTGTGCAAAGGTACTTGTATGGAAATGGCATGCGCGGTCTGAGTGCGGATGCAGCTCGGGCGTAGCATAGCAGGAAGCTGTCACTAGGAAGAAGCGTCAGATGGAGGTCGAAGTGAAAACAGCGATTACAAAATATACGACAGTGTCAGGCGAGATACGTTTTGTGCATTTGTCGTGATGTGACTGGGCGTGATTATTGACATGCACTGACCACTCGGAGTCGCGTCTTCCCCGCAACAGGCGCATCTTGCGGTCGAGCAACAACGCGACGAAACCACGGTCATCCCCACAACAGCCTCAATTCACTCTTTGAGCATTGATCAGACTTCAATCACGACATTTACTGTTTTCTACGACAAGTTACCCTGTGGATCTGCACCGCTCCGCAAATTGCCGCAGTGAACAAGCCCCACCAACAATTAAGTAAACCAAATCAGTCGCCGCACATATTACACCTCTCCTACGTATACAATTCTCGCAAGGATGGCGTCCGAAACCCCAGAAGCTCATCTCTCAGCCTCCCAAACATCCGAAGACAACGAAACACTGTCGCCGCTCGAACAAGAAGTCCTAGACGAGTATGCGAGGTTACTTGGGAATCTGAATAATGTGAGGTTTCCTTTCCTCTCCTTCCTTCCTTCCTTCCTTCCCCTCCCCTCCCCTCCCCGCTGCGCGCGAATAAACTGACAATGCGCAACAGATGTCCACACTCCTCCTCGACCTGTCGAATAAACCGTCGGCGGCGATACTGGATGGCTTGCGCGGGCTGGAGCGCAAGACGAGCCTGGTGTTTACGCTGCTCAAGGCGAGTGTGTATAGTATTGTTCTGAACCAGCAGATGGATGATCAGGATGATAGGGGTGGGGAGGACAGTGAGGGGGAGGGGGGTAGATCTGCGCTCTGAGGAGGGCGTGGAGAATGGCAATGGCAATGGACATGAGGAAGATGATATGATACCCCAATTGAACGAGTTACGCTAGTGCAGGAAAGGTTGTGGTGATACAGGTGCTATATGGTGATGCTACACGCCAGGACTAGATGCTATATACAGCCCCGCCTAATAAATGGCTACGAGGGCCATGTCTAATGTACACTGCCTCCGTAATACACCTTCCTCACATCGACCATCTTCTTTCCTCGCGCCCGCGCAATCTCGTCGGGCAGCTTCTGGTTCGTGAGAGCTTCCCCACGTTGCCTTGATGACGTTCATCTTGTTGCGCGAGCGGGGCGTCTTTGCGGCGAGATCTTGCAGGCCGGCGGCGCGGGCGAGCTCGAAGATGAGATGTTGTGTGCGGAGACCGAAGCCTATGACGACAAGTTAGCCACTCTGCATCCTCACGCTTCAAAAGGATGAGGACTCACCAGGCGGTCGGGCAAACAATTGCACCTTGGTCGCGCCAACCTTCCTCTCCAAGTCGCCGAACGTCGTCCTGTTTTCATACCGTGGAACAGGTCTCATGTTGCGAATCGCACTCATGATGCTTTGTTTCCGGCCTTCTTCGGGTTCCACCGACTTGCCCTCGCCCACGCCCAGCAGCCCGTCCTGGTTGCCTGCAATAGTCAAGTAGTACAAACTCCTAATCTTGCCCATGCGTGTTTGATTCGTGACGCCGTGGGTCACAAGCGTCTTTACGCGGATGCTGCGCAACTTTTGCTTGTCCCAGCCAAGGTACTGAAGGAGTCGCTTCTGCCCGTGGGTCCTCCTCCTCCTCATTCGAGGAGCGGCGAGTCTGTCTTGCCATGCGGTTCTCGAGACGAGGCAGATCGGGGTTTACGAGGTTGTGACGAGGGTCTGCGAGGATTTTGAGTGTCTCCGGGTCCTTGGATGTGAATGTCGCTCGGGGATCCAGCGCGGCCTGCGTTATGGCCGCCTCGAAAGCAGTCCGTTGTATTTGCTTCTCCTGATCTGCGTTCAGCTCCCCCTCTGGCATTCCTTCGGGAAACATCTTGGCCAGGTTCTCATTTGCTATCTGGGATATCGCCTCGTCCCGCTCCATCTCGTTGGCGAGGCGGAAGTAGAATTTGCCCTTGACATCATCTGGTCCCAGCCGTATCCGCTTGTCTGTGACAGGGTCGACTTCTGCGAGGTCGTCTTCGTAGGGCAGTCGCCATGGATCACTTCGCCGCTGGCCTTGTGTTATAACGTCTCGTGTGTCGATTGCAGATTCGGCGGCTTTGATGGCGGCGATTTGAGAGGCGCTGTATTTCTTCTCCAGGAGCGTCGTCGCCGATGTGTCGTACTTGGGGTACTCGACCTCGGCGGCCTGATTCAGCAGCTTGAGGTCGTCTGCCTTGATCGATGGGTAGTTGGGGCGTCGCTTGCGTGCCTGCCGTGATGCGGAGGTCTGGAAGGATCGTTGTGACGGCGCCTTGGGCAGGGTCGTGGACGTGGCCTTGGTGAAGAGACACCGAGCGGGGCGACAGACGCTCATTGTACCGTGACCGTCCCGCTGGAGGTCAATTGGGCGTATTGCGATGTGGAAAGAGCGACTGGCGCCGTCCACCACTCGTCCACAAGTGAAGTTCGAGCTTCGAGAAAAAGATGCGCTAGTCGGCACAGCCAATCGCCGCCTTTCCCACCCCAGTGACTAACATAACTTTTTCAACTCTCAGATATTCTGCATGTTTGCACGATCTGGCTTTCGACCGCTAAGGACACTTTTCGCTGGATCGCGAAGGGCCAACATCGCCAGATACAACATGGCATCCTCGGCGGACAATGTGGCGCCTGTCGAGAGCTTCGGCGAAAAGAGACTTGCCGAAACACCATTGAGAAGCGAGGAAGCGTCACGGGGAAGCTACAGATTCAAAAACAAGAGAATGAAGAATGGGCACGCTGTACAGAGCAAGATCTTGAAAACCAACGGTACCAACGAGGAAATTCTATTGGAAGATGTAACGGCGCTCATCAAGAAACTCACCGTAGGAAAAGATGGAAACGTAGCCTCGAAAGATCTTCCGGAAAGGCTCGCAGAGATCGAGGTACAGATCAAAGAGATCTCGTCTACCGGCGATGGGCTCGGCTTCCAGGAAGGCTCCGATTCGGATCAGGTCTATGTGGTTCCGTTCACAGCACCTGGCGACAAAGTAACGGCAAAAGTCTTCAAGCACTTTGAAAAAGAAAAATACACCATGGCCGATTTCATCAAGGTCAATAGTCCCTCGGAACATCGTGATCAATCGCTTGTCAAGTGTCCCTACTTTTCATCCTGTTCGGGCTGTCAGTTCCAGATGCTGCCCTACGACTTTCAGCTGCAACACAAGAGGTCCATCGTCGAGAAAGCCTACAAGAACTTCTCCAACTTACCACCAGAGCTCATCCCAGTCATTGGCGACACAATCGGCTCTCCTCTCCAGTACGGATACCGCACAAAACTCACCCCTCATTTTGACGGGCCTCCAGACGCCAGGCGCAGCGATGGCCGCCACGGCATCAGGCGCACGTTCAAGGAGATGCCTCCAATCGGGTTCATGAAGAAGGGCACCCGTATCACCATGGATATTGAAGACTGTCCCATTGGCACTGATGCCATACGCAACGGCAACAAGCGCGAGCGTAAACGTGTCGCCGCCGAACTCGCAAACTACAAGAAAGGCGCAACCATACTCCTTCGCGAAAGTACAGAGCGTATCCCCAAGTCTGAATACGATGCTTCAAAAGAAGAAGACAAAGATGCCGTCATCGAAGAGCGCGGAGACTTCATTCACCGCAAAACATGCGTTACAGACCCCAACGCCAAAACCACAGAATACATTGACGACACGTTCCAATTCGTCAATCCCGCCGGCTCCTTCTTCCAAAACAACAACTCCATCCTCCCCGTCTTCACCCAATACATACGCGAACACATCCTCCCCACCACCCCAGAGCACAAAATCACACACTTGATCGATGCATACTCTGGCTCAGGACTCTTCACCATAACCCTCTCCGAGTTGTTCAAATCCTCCCTCGGCATCGACATCAGCTCCAGCTCCATCGACTCCGCCACAACAAACGCGCGACTCAACAACCTGCCCAGCACAACCACACGCTTCATCGCCGCCGACGCTGCCAAACTCTTCGCGTCCATCTCCTCTCCCGCCAAAGAGACCGTCGTGATGATCGACCCGCCCCGCAAAGGCTGCGACGAGTCGTTCCTCAGGCAATTAGTAGAGTACGGACCTCAGAGAGTGGTGTATGTCAGTTGCAATGTACACACGCAGGCGAGAGATGTGGGTGTGCTTGTTGGCGGCATGATGGGCGTGGATGGTGGGTTTGGTAAGGGAGAGGGGTGTTATGAGATTGAGTCATTGAGGGGATTTGACTTCTTCCCAATGACAGGGCATGTTGAGGGAGTCGCGGTGTTGAGGAGGAAGGAGGTTAAGGAGGAGGGCGAGAATGGAGTGGCTGAAAATGGAACGGCGGAGGGAGGGGACGGGATGAAAGCGTAGTTTGCTGCATCCTGCGTCATACTCTGAGAGAGCCCGATACAGGCGAATAGCACCAGTTGAGGGGCTTCTCGGGAGCTTTTCAAAGTGCTTGGTCACATTGTCTCGATTAAAACGACCTTGCAATGAATCTGGTCTCATTCTTGGACTTTTGCAGTTATCTCATACTCGCTCAATATAATCTCCCAACATCAATCCACGCCATTCTAAACTCATGTGCTACCCGGTCCACCCAAAAGCGCAAACCTTCGCACAATGCTGGGGCCTATCTCGTCGTACTCGGCCTTGGTGTGGCAGTAGCTCTTGAACTCTGGCGTCTGGCCAAGCAAACTGCCTCCGAACCATGGACCGTGTCGTTGCCTCTTGTGTGTAATGACGGATACTTCCAGACCACCACTCTTTGCGCCACCGCTCCTTGCTTCCGAAGCCTTAATCCTCGCGTCTACCAGGTGCCTAATGTCACGCTGCAGGCGACGACCGAAATCCTTGTAAAGCGTCGAACCTCCAGAGAGCACAATGTTCTTGTACAGTCCTCTTCGCACGTCAATAGGTGAAGTCTGAATGACGTTGTCGACGATGGTGGGGAGCGGGGTCAGGAAATCTGAGGAGTAAATCTCGGGGTTGAAGAAGATCTCGGGCGCGAGGAAGCGTTCGTATCCGACATCGACGACAGTCGTCTTGCCGTTGGGGTAGTTCACGGTGTGCTTCTTGAATCGGTCGTCCGACTCGCGGTCGAAGCGCGCGAACTCCTTGACGATGTCCGGGCACACATAGCAGTATTCTTCCTTGATGCGCTCCGCGGTCTGGAGCGAGCTGTCTGGCTCACCACGCTCTCGGAGGAGTGATTGCACGAAATTCGTGATGTCGCGACCTGCAATTGGGACACTCTTGATTGACGAGCCAATAACGTACCCCTCGGCAACGGGAATGACGTGGGTGACACCGGCACCAGAGTCGATGACAGTACCAGTGAGGGACCGGTCTTGGACTTTGGAGCTAGTCCACGAGGCAGCTAGTGCAAGGACGGCCTGTACAGCGATATATAGACCGGCTACATTGAAAGACTCAAACATGATCTCAGCAGTAGCTTCACGGTTCTCGGGAGGGTTCAGTGGCTGTTCCTTGTCAGCAATCGGGCGACTGTAGATACACAGCGGTTTTGCGTACAGGCTCGGTGAGGAGGAAGTGGTGGTCCTCGGGTTCGACCCTCAGGTACTTGAATATCGAGTTGGACCAGAAGCGCTCCATGAGATCCTAGCAGATATCAGCTTTTCGTCCGTCCCTGTCTGTAGCCACCGCATTCGCATACCCAATTGTCTATTTGACCGTGCCTGATCGGGTAGTTGATGCCATAGCCGGCGCCTCCTGCTGCCGCGAGAGCCTCGTCTCCGATAAAGAAGTCCAGGTCTTCAGTGCCGCGCTTCCCAGAGAGATGCCCACCGGGTCCAGCGCCGCCGGTCAGGAAAGAGGGCTTGTTTGCGACCGCGGGGCGGCCGGAGCCTGAACCACCGCTACCGCCTGTTGGGCCTTTCGTAGCTATGGCCGTGGGGAAGACGAAGGAGGGCGAATCGTTGCCGGCGAAACCTGTGACGCAATGTCAATATGCATACTGGCCCTAGATTGCTACAGGGAGCTGTACCGAGCTTCGAGTAACCCGTGCCGCTACAAGCCAGCGTCAGTACTCAATCGCAGTATGGGGGCCCGCAGGCAGCTGGGAGCTTACTTGTCCATGACAACGGCGGGGGTTTGGGACGCCATCTTTGCGACTGCCCGCGGAGATGGTCGATTGCAAGAAGCTGCTCAAGAGGGCCCGTTGGTGAGGGGATGGGTGCGCGTGCGAATCGTAGAGGTGTCTTGGGCAGAGTGGTGGGATAGCGGAGGTTGGTAGATGATGTGGGCTGCACACGAATCAGGGACGCCCCGCTCCGCCCTTGGCGCCGGCGGAAATGAGAACAAATGGCGGGGAACTGCAGCTGCAGACGCGTGCTATCGCTCTGACAAGTCGCGCTCCGAGTCTTCTCTCTACACACTGAGTCGCACCGTCGCACCTTCCTGCATGCATCGCATAGACGTGCCTTCGCCAATTGACGGGGTTACGTGATGCATCATATGCAGCTCAACCACATGGCTTGAACTGATCGCAAGGAAAGAGCCGTCGACATCAACACCCACAGTTCTACTAACATCCTCTTCTCTCACTGACCTGAAATCCTGCAGCCCCCGAGACTTCTCCCACTCTCGCTGTTCGCACGTAGACTTTACTTCTCCATTCCGCCTTATCACCGCTACGGCGATTCTCATTCTTGCCATTCTTTCATCTTCCTGTCCGGCACATCGGCACGCTCAACTTCTCTACACCACGCATCTTCACATACCCTTTTTTGCCCCATCTCGACCCGAATGCCCTACTGATCTCGCATTTCCAAGCTTCTCGTCCGCGAGCCTTTGCACCACAGATCTCCTCGTTCACCATAGCCTCACACGGCACCAGACAGACACCCCGCAACAGACCTCTCACAATTGGTTCCCATCTCCGGAACTTCCGACAGCGCCTCTCGAAATCTAGGGGCATGTCGGCTCCCTCTCGCCAATATGCGACTGCTGACGGCACGTTCCCAAGCGATCCCCACACGCGCAAGGCCACGCGTAGTCCGCCCAGCGACGACGTGTGCTGCATATATGTTCATGCAGGCGCCGGCTACCACAGCCACCAAAATGAGAAAATCCACCTTGAAGCCTGCAATGAGTGAGTGGACCAGGGCGACGTGGAGGCTAAACGAGATGACTAACGAGCTCAAAGTGCCGCACAGCTAGCAATGTTGATTTTAAAGAACGGGGGCACGGCGGTAGATGCTGTCGAGGCTGCCATCAAGACGCTTGAAGACCGGGAAATCACAAACGCTGGATACGGCAGCAACTTAGCCATGGACGGCGTAGTTGAGTGCGATGCGGCAATTGTCGATCATCATGGTCGTAGTGGAGCTGTCGGCGCTGTTGCTCGTGAGTCAATCTATGACACCATAAGCTTGACTAACAAAGCATCTAGAAATCAAGAACCCCATTTCCTTGGCTCGTTTGGTCCATGAGCATACCATGCACTCACTGACTCTGCGGCGCGTTCCACCCAACCTACTTGTCTCCCAGGGTGCGACCGATTTCGCTGTCGAAATGGGCATGCCGATCCTGCCTCACGACGCTCTAATCTCACCAGCCGCGAAAGAGCGTTGGCTTAGATGGCGTGCCGACCTTAGGGTTGCTGAGCGTAAGGGCAGGAAGTCTGGCAACCACCCGTCGTGCTGGCAGGTGAGGGGCGATGTCGCACCTGAAGATGAGGTGGCTCAGAGAAAGATCCGTCAACAGCACACGGAGAACCTGTTGGGGAAGACTTTTTCGGGCCGGTCACCCTCGCCATCTCCTTCCGACGAGAACCTGTACTACACCACGGAAGATACCTTGACCACCCCGTCGGATCCATCACTGCTTCCTTCCGAACGGTCATCGGGCTCGTGGCCTGGCGCAGATCGCATTGCAACCCCGGACACGTCAGACCCATCACCTGCACCTGGAGCGGTCCGCCCTCATACCGTTGCTGAATCTTCACGCAATGCCCTCATCAACAGCACACAGAAGGTACCCACCCTTGGCCAGTACAAAAACTATCGAGGATCCCAAAATCCTTTCCCTGGAGATACAGAGATGCAAGATATACACAGTGGTCCTGTTCGAATAGTACCAGACTCGGGACACAACTCGTGGGCTGATGGCTCCGGCGAAGACTCCGACTCTGCATTAAGCGATGCAACCATGAAAGCAGAGAAGCCAGATCGACCAGCAGAGGACGCTCTCATCACGACCTTGCCAGTGAAACCACCAGAGAAGGAACTCGTGGCGCCCTCACCTCGTCTTACAACTCCCCTGAGTCATGTGAAAGAAACAGCACCACTTCCTCCTGCGCCATCTGCATCTTCCCCAAAGCAGTCTAAATCAGAAGAGGATCACATTACAGACACCGTTGGGGCTATTGCAGTGGACAGCTGGGGCAACATCGCTTGCGGTGCCTCTTCTGGTGGCATTGGGATGAAGTACCGAGGACGTGTCGGTCCTGCAGCTTTGGTTGGTGTTGGTGCCGCTGTTGTTCCCACGGACCTAGACGATCCAGAACAGGCATGCGTAGCCACCGTTACCAGCGGGACAGGCGAGCATATGGCAACGACCATGGCAGCCACTGTCTGCGCTGAACGCTTGTACCAGAGCGTCAAGAAGAACCGGGGCGGAGAGTACGTTGAAGTTTCTGAAGACGAAGCTCTCAAAGCTATGATTGAGAATGAGTTCATGGGTAGGCTATTCCTCACACATTACTCTGAGCCTTTTTCTGATAAGAACCAGGTCATCCCAGTGTCAAGCACAGCAACTCTGCTGGTGCGATAGGCATCCTCGGCCTCAAGAAGATGAGTGGGGGCATGCTTCTCTATTTCGGACACAACACCGACTCTTTCGCCCTGGCATCCATGTCCTCAGACGAGCCAGTACCAAAGTGCACAATGTCCCGTAGTAACGGCAATGGCCAAATTGCGCAGGGAGGTCGCATGTTGCCGTTGAGGCGGAACAAGAGGTCCAAAATAACGCAGCGCTACCGGTAATACCTGGACAAGACCGATTCTGCATTGGTGGCAAAACGACCAACCCATTGCGTCAGACTACAACAACCCTCTCCCTCTCATACCTCACTGTTCACTTCTCGACCAGCATCATGCCCTTCGATAGCTACCTTACAAAGGTGATCCAACTGCTTGTTCTAGACCTAATACCCATGGTCCTATCGTGTTCATAGCGACCCTATGCGGCAGCGTTATATCCATTGTGTGGCGGGACGACCATCATACCTGCTGCTTCCTGTTTTCTTGAGTGCAGCGTGGTCAATCAACGAGATGCCGATTTCCAACAAAAGTTGCATGATGCTGTTATTGGAACGACGAGGAGTGAGTATGAATGAATACATAATGATCAATAGACCTATATGCCTCTCATCATGCGCCGCCGGTGACAAGTAATTTGCTGAACAGCGTCGCAATAGGTCGTAACACTCATGTTACTCATCAGTGTCCTCTTGGAACCTACTTATACTACACTGAGCGATTCTAGTCTGCTTCATTCTGGAGGGTATGTGTGGAAGTCTACCAACACATCACGCTCTGAAGTCGATACAGCCATTGGCCGAGAGATCTTGGCGGTGAGATTCCATGTAGGGGTTGATTTCTAATCCCTCTGTCGTACCACATTAAGTTTGAACCTTAGCAGTATTAGCTTACATGGCGATAGGGAGTGGCCCCCGTGAGCGAGGATATGGTTGTACAAGTCTCACGTCTTTCTTAGATCATCTGCTACCGATGGTGGCTCGCCTCGGCCGAGCTGCGATGTGCGACCCACCTTAATTAAAGCGGCGCTATGCCGACTATCTCACTGGGCTCCAATTACATACAGACATATCAAGATACGGGTTCCTCCTTGCTCCACAAGCAAAGCAAAGTCAAAGTTCTGTTTCTTCTTGGCATGCTCTTTTCGTTCGTTTTACACCTTGAGCTGGACTCAAATGCGTCCATTGTGCGCCCGTTGCTATTGAATTACTAATCAATACTGCTCCGTGACAGCATATGGTTCAGGACCAACGTCAGTTGGGCTCTGAGTTTGTAAATAAACGGTGTGTCCGGTGGTGAATTGCGGAGTCGTCCCCGCTTATCGCAGTGAGACCAGCGGGTGTTCGGTACACCGAGGTCTATAAAAAGCGCACTTGCCCCATAGTTTTTCTTACAGTACCTTTCTATATCAGACAACACCAAAACCTCTTTACCCTCAACTGAAGATATCTCAAGTCGAAGCTAGCCACATCTTTCATCATGGATTTCTTGCAGGCTCATGATCTGTCTCACAAGAACGGTGAGACTACTCACTACTACGAAGGAGGATCTAAAGATGGCACTCCTCTGATTTTCCTCCACGGATGGCCGGACATTGCGGAAACCTGGAAGCACCAGCTGAAGTACTTTGCTGAAAAGGGCTACCGGGTCATCGCCCCTGACATGCGCGGCTATGGCGGCTCTTCAGCGCCCTCCGACAAGCGGGGCTACTCACTGGAAGTCATGGTACCAGAGCTTGTCGAGTTTGCAGAGCACCTGGGTATCAGCAAAGCAGTCTGGATTGCCCATGACTGGGGCTGCGGAACCAACAATGCTCTGGCTGCGCATCACCCCGAACTGTTCCTAGGTCTGGCGAATCTCGCAGTTCCATATCGGACAATCGAACTCGGCCTCAATCATATGAAATCATGCATCAACCGCGATATCTACCCCGAGAATGAAAATGAGTGGGGCCAGTGGTCGTACATGAGGTACTACGAGCTCGAGCCGGAGAAGAGTGCGAAGGGCTTCGAGGGATATATTAACAACATCACAAAGGTCATGTACGCGAAGCATGACCCGAGCGAATGGGGCAAACCATCTCCATCGAGTAAGGTGATGAAAGATGGCGGTTGGTTCGGCGGACATCCCGAGAAGATCCCAGACATTCCGCTCGAGTACACTTCGCTCGACGAATCGCTGCTCAAGAACCTGATCGCAAGCCACCAGAAGCACGGGTTCTTCCCGCCTACTGCTTGGTATTTGAATCACGACGTCAACGCGGTGTACGCCAAGAGCGAAAAGAATGGCGGAGTCTTGGAATTCCCTGTTCTCTACGTGGACGCCAAGTACGATGCCGTGTGCTCACCTTCTACGACGCCGAAGTTCAAGGAGGTACAGGAAAAGGCCACCAAGGACTTGACGTACGAGACGGTCGACGCAGCACATTGGGTACAGTTGGAGAAGCCACACGAGGTCAACGCCGCTTTGGAGAAGTGGCTGAAAGCTAAGGGTTTCTAAGTAGATATGATCTTGAAATGATAGAGGTGGCAGAATCTGGCTACAGGCTAAGATTCTGAAATGGTTGTGATCATGGATTGAATACAGCTGCCAGGACTAATACAAATCACTGTTCAAATGCTGCAAAATCAGTGTCACCTCTGCGTCCGCAGCTTCAACGAGGTGCTCAGGTGGATATTCGGCACTCCAGCCAACTTCACGAGCTCTTTCAGCCTTGAGAGTACATCTGTTATGACCGGTCAGCTTTCTAATCTACTAGGTGCATCGAAGAAGCTTTCAGCTTACTTTCCACCGACCTGTACTGGCACAAGAGCTTTCGGACAGCCTAAGGCCAGTGCAATATCGTTCAGAGCTGCGTTGTCTGCCTGTTTTACTTCGCTGCTCGAAACTACTTTTTGTTCTGCAAGTGCCCTGGCTATAGCAGCATAGATGTCAATCCACGCCACGCTGCCTGAAGAGGCGAGGTAATACCCTGTCTTGCCCCAACTTGGGTTTGCTCCTGACAAGATGCTTTCCAATAGCTTCACGTACAATGCTGTATTGTCTTTGATATGACAGACAGGCCATGTCTAATATACATCATTAGCGATATTGAAGCTGTGACTTCGATAAGAGAGATGGTGTGCACGTACAGCGCCTTTCGCATTCACATCATACACTGCGCCAACCTTCTTTGCGGCTCGAACAACAGCTGTAGTCTGGATGGATATGCGATTGCCGAAACCTTCGCCCTCACCATAAACAATACATGGTATGAATATGTAACTTCGAACTCCGTACGACTCAGCAGTCTCGATGATGGTGTTGTTCGTCTGCACGGCCTAGGGACAAGTCAGTCTTTCCAACTCTCCGTGCTTACAAGTGCAGCAGCGAGTACAGGCCAAGTGAAAATCCATTACTCACCAAGTTCATCATCCCATGCGGCGCCCTCACCTTTTTCTGCATTTCAAACAACCCCTCCTCATCATCCCTCAACTCCCGATCCGTCGGCATGCCCGCATGTTCGCTAAAAATCTTCGCGCCCGAAGTATGCAGGAAATGAACCTCTTGTCCCGTCTGTCTTTTCAACTCGCCGAGTGCTTTGATCAAGGGAAGCTGAAATGTAGAGTTCAGGGCGTCGATGAGGAAGAAGATGATTGAGATGTTTGCTTCCACGATAATCTTGACAACAGTGTTCTCGTCGGCAAAGTTGAGTTTGAGTGGCTCGGCGCCGCATTTTTGCACTTGTTCAGCTTGCTGGTCGGAGCGGACGAGGGCGTAGAGAGTTTTGTGTGGGGGCAGTTTGGTGCGATTTAATTGAGCGAGGAGCGAGCCGCCAAGATAGCCTGACGCGCCTGTGATTAGGATGGAATGAGACATCCTAGTTTGTATTCTCGGATGTAAGGTAGAGCGTTATGGGCTTGCTAGGTTCGTGGATGATTGTAAATCGACTGCTTTGTAATTGGAGCTGGCTTACCGAGGTTCCGACCTCATCTGCAGGATATGGCAAGCACGTCACTCCATCTTTCAACGTACATATCTCTTACTGTTGCATATTTAGACAAGAATAACAGAGGACATGTCACGTTGCGTTTCCATCGCCCGGGCAGAATACACAAATTTGCAGCTACATGAAGGTGAATTTGCAATTAAATTCTCGTATGAGAAACAACCAGCAGGTAGACTACATACGTGCTTGAAGCCTGGGCAATTTTAAATCAATATTATTCTCCCCATCCCTCCAGAAGCTCAGCGTGGTCGCAAAGAACAGACGGAGGAATTTACCATTTCTCAATCGCCGGCCTGAGATCAATCTCCCATGTGAAGTTAGTCACTGGCTGAGTGTGCAGCCACCAGTAATCATTCGCAATCTATAATCACCCGTTAACACTATCTTCTTAGTCAAATGAAAGGATGGATATCGACTTACCCCATCAGCGCTCAACTTAGCCTCAGGCGGCATATCCTTCAACCACTCCTTCGTCCTCGGAATATCGATCACACCATCAATAATGGCATGCGCAACGTGCACCCCTTGCGGTCCAAACTCCCGTGCCAGAGACTGACTCAGTGCCCTCAACGCCCACTTGCCCGTCGAAAAGCTCGCCATCTGCGCATTCGACTTGACACTCGCCGTCGCACCGGTGAAGATCAAACTCGGCGGGTGCTCACTCTTCAGCTCAACCCCCTTCAACAACAACGGCAAGAAACTCTGACTAAACAGAATCGCACCATTCGCACTGACATTCAAACTCGCCGCGAACGTCTCAGGCGGGATTTCGAGGAACGGCTTACGCATAAACGGGCCCGAGGCATTGAAGATTGCGGCAGCAGCTGCGACGTCGTTGCCGAATTCTTTCTTGATGGCTTCGACGGCGGACTTCAGACTGTCGACGGACGACACGTCGGTGCTGATGCCGAGTGCTTTCCCACCGGAGGAGTTGATTTCGGCGGCGAGGGATTCAAAGTTTTCGGGCTTGCGGGCGAGGAGGACGACGGGGTAGGCTTTGGAGAATTTGCGGGCGACTGAGGCCCCGGTTCCTGGGCCGACGCCGGCGACAATGGCGATGAGTTTGGAGACCATGATGGGTTGTTGAGAATGTGTGTTTGGTGATGAAACAACTCTGGATGATGTGGGACTATCTTGAAAAAGATAGTTGCTGATGCTCTTATACCTCGGATGGCGCACTTGGAAGTTTGTATGTTTAGTAAACTACTTGTAGTGTAATGCCAGGGTCGGATTGCGACAGCGCGGAGTTAGCAAGCAGCGAAGCACGTCATGATTAATAATCACCCCTCTTTTACCGTACTCGAAAGGCTTTTGGTTTCAATTGATGCATGTTGTGCATTCAATGCCATAGTCGCTATGCTAATGGTTTGATCATATCTCGTGAAGCGCATGCTCGCGTGGATTAAGCCCTCCCAGCCCTACCAACCTGGATCATCTCACCAGTTGGCTTGTCATCACTCCTCAAGACTGCCCAGCTTGTGCCGTCAGCTTTGACAAGGGTCATCTCAAGCTTCGTGCCTAATATCCTGAACTTGCTCTCTTCTGGCTTGATGGATGCAAACAGAGGGAACTCGGTCTGGTAGCGCTTGCCGTCTGTGGTTCGCAGGTCGAGGTTGACGGACTTGGGCTGGAAGTCTATCACGGCGGTCGACTTGTCGATCTTCTTCAGATACAGTGAAGCAACTACCGACACGGCTGTTTGGTAGTAGTCATGTCTGTGGTGGTCAGCTTACGCAAGTCAAGAAGATGCACTCCAGACTGGCTTACCGAACAGTGTCCAACTTCTCCTCGCCGCCCTTGTCCTTCTTGCCACTGCCGACAAACAAATGCCTGTCTTTGGTCTTGCACCCCTCTATGTTCATGAATTGATCGAACTCTAGTACCCTCCTCTTGCAGCAGCTCCAGCCCTTGCTGCCCTCGTGGAAGATGGGCGCACCGGGGTGATGTACACACTTCTCTCCGTCCCTATCGCCTCCCTTGTGAGTCACTCCACAGCCTTTCCGCCTGCACGTCATGCCATCCTTCAGTGCGATACTTGGATCATCGTCCTCTGACTCGGGTGGCGGGGCGGGCGTTGATGAGGCCGCGGGCGCGGCTTGTGCGGCGGGTACGCGGGGCGCCGGTGTCGGCAGTGATTCTTCCAATGAGCCCAGATCCACCTGCGTGCCATTGGCGATATCTGGAGCTTGGACGGGTTCGGGTACGGGAGTGTCGTCCACTTCTGAGTGTTTGCCCGTTGTGCAGGGCTCAATGGCCAGAAACTCGTCGAAGGTGAGGACGCGAGGTTTGCAGCATTTCCAGCCTATACATACAGTCAGTATGGAGACCAGACTGCAGTACGGAACTATGCACACCCACCTTTCTGCCCCTCATGGAACACTGGCGGACCGGGGTGGTATACACACTCCTCGTCTTCGTTTTCGTATGTTTTGCCGCAGCCCTTGTGAAGACACTTTTTGGTCATCTTGCTCGCCTGTCGATAGTGCAAATGATTGGAAATTGAGGTATTTGTGTCGTGTTCGAGCTTCCGTCAGCCCCAGAATTGTCCCCAAGCTCGGAATATTCTGGAAGTCGCGGTACGTCACAGCGCTAAGGCCGGCAGAACGCGAAGCTTAGCTGGGCGGTGAGAAGCTCCCTCAACCTTCCCAACACCTACGTCTTACTGCTGTACTGCTGATTATCATCTTGATCTTCCGCATCTAGCCGCCTGCACTGAGCATGTTTCGCACGACAGCTCGTCTGCTTGATTGCCGCATCACCTTCTTCACTCGAAGCCCGTGCGGGCTCTGTGACACGGCGAAGGCTGTTGTTCGGAACGTTGAAGCAAAAAGACCATTGACCTATCACGAGATCAATGTTATGGAACCTGGCCAGGAGAAGTGGAAGAGTATGTATGAGTTCGACACGCCCGTGGTAAGCTTCGAATACTTGTATTTGTAGCCAACGAGTACCTGAGTGTCAGACAGATCCACATCGACAAGGCGGGTGCTCCCGAGACCACCGCATCGTCACTAAAGCTCATGCATCGATTTAAGGAGGAAGAAGTCCTGAATCTAATGGATGCTGCTGAGCAGTCATGACGCTTCGGCCACATTTCGGATCTAAGCGACGATTGGAAGCCACGTCATACAACTCCAATAGCATGCAATAGTGACATGTCCTGTCCTAAATTTGTCGTTGGCAAAGGGCCCCAACTAGCGCGTGGGGATGTGGGGTAGCGCTTATGAGGGGTCGCGATAGCAATACAGGACGATGACGATGCTGCATTTGAAGCGTTGCCGTGTACCCTTGCCGAGGCCAGCAATCAAGCTCCAGTTGCCAAACAAAAACACATTCATCACTACTGAAAGTCGCTTCAATCAACCTTTCGTCAATTCCAGGACCATGAACACCCTCCAAGAAGCGAGCAAGATATACAATGCCTTCAAAAAAGGTGGGCCGAGTTTCGGAGGATGGCAGGTACTTGGGTCCGCATTGGCTTTTCATTCCTTCTGGCTGACAAAGTCTTTCAGATGCTTCCAGGCACGAATCATGCCCGAGCCATTGCTCGCTCTGGAGTAGACTGGGTATGCGTTGACACTGAACACGGGAACATTGATGGTAACCTCACGTTCTGGCCAATTTCGAATCAAGGGTCTAATACCTTGCAGATGCAGCTATGCACGAAGCAGTTGTAGCTATTGCGAAAGAAGGCGTAAGCCCTATTGTCCGCATAGCTGCCAATGAAGCCTGGATGGTCAAGCGAGCACTCGACTCTGGCGCTCACGGCATCGTAGTGCCCTTGATATACACTGTAGAAGATGCTAAACGTCTCGCATCATCCGCCAGATTCCCGCCAGAAGGACATCGCGGCTTTGGGTCACCTTTGCCTGTCCAATGCTTCAATGACGAAGGCATGGCGTACTATCTTCAGCATGCAAACACAACACTCCAGACCATTGTACAGATTGAGACAGCTTCCGCTCTAGAACACGTGCAAGAAATCGCTGCCATTCCGGGAATCGACTGTTTGCTCATTGGGCCTTTCGACCTTGGCAACAATATTGGGCGGCCTATCCTGGGCGAGATGCATCAGGAGCTCAAGGACGCGATTGAAGCAATCAAAGAAGCGGCGCACGCTGCAGGCAAGAAGGTTGGTATCTATACAAACAGTGGCGAAGAGGCCAAAGCGTACGCGGACAGAGGCTTCGATATGATCAGTATCTTGACCGATCAGATGTGCATCACGCAAGCTTTCAAGCAAAGTCTGGCCGTGGCCAGTGGTCAGGCTGCAGGTAGTGGAAGTACAAAGGTGAAGGGTTATGATGGCAAATAAGCGACCCGATTGGGTGAGGAATGCAACCTGTCTTGCATCACATAGCGCATTCCGCGCACCTGAAGCGCCTGACCAGACTTCTACCCTGGCAACAAATGCCTTTTCTTTACTCTGTCTCTTATTATCTTCTTTCTCATGCGTCTGCACCTCGAACCTATCGCCCATCATGAAGCTCTACCTCGCGCTCCTGACTTTACTTCCTACTATCCACGCAGCATGCTACACTCCTCCCAAACCACAGACGCACGATTCAAAGCCCCAATCCAACACGCCAAAAAAACGCGCCGCGTCACCTCAAGCCCAGACAGATGATTTACTTGACGCCCTCCCTTTCGACCCCCTCTCCGGCCCCAGCGCCATAACAATCGACCTCCCCCCACAGTTCCTCCCTCCCCCCTGGACGCCCACCTCCGGACTCGACTCGCCATATGGCGTCTCCCCCTGGGACGACAGCGGCAGCAGCCAAATGACCGACAACAGCCCCAGCATCTGGCGCCAATGTCCCAAGAAACACCTCGACTGCAGGAAGTGTCCGCGCGACTGGCGGTGTCGGCGCGCCGTACAAGCTGCAGATATTGCGCCGGAAGATGATGGGAATTCCAAGTGTCCGATTGCGAAATGCGATGCTGGAGGTGTGCAGTGTGGCGTGAAAGCGCGGTGCACGAGGGGATATTGCGTTTGCGATTTGGGCATGACAGGAAGTTCAGATGCGTATAGGGGCACGGAGGGATTGGGAAAGGCCACAGTGTATGTTGGTCCTGGCGTTGATTGCAATACGCCGTGTGATGGGTTGAGTTGTAAAGAGGTGGCGCAGTTGGATGATGGGGTGTGTTACAAGAGTGGGGATACGAGTGATGAGTTCGAGGATGAGAAGGAACTGCCTGGACCGACGTACGGGGGTGTTATGGGGAATGTCACGATTAATGGGCAGACGTTTGATCTTCATGGGACGCCGCAGTAGTGTAGTGTAGATGAGAGTCTTGTATGATAGCTTCTACTTTTAGCTTGTGGAATTAATAAGGTATGTGTTCCGCTACGTATTGTAATGCCACAATATCACGACGTGCAATATTTTCTGGACCGTCTTGAACCGTCGCGTACGCCAACTTCCTGGCATCGAGTGGAATATGCCGGTATCGGTATGGAGAGAAGGCACAGTACGACTCCAGATGTTGCCGCGAAACTAAGTAGGAGACCACGTAAGTAAAGTGGCCTGATTATGCTATCTGACGTCCTCACTGATCATATCCTACAATGCAGCAACCAGTGCTTCTGGCTACAAGAAGATTGTGATTCACCGAAAATAATGAGCAATCAAGAAGCGTCCAGCAGGAAGTCGTGGTGAATGGCTCTTGGGTTTTACTCATTCACCTTCGTCTGTCGTCCCCACACTAGTATAAAGACCTCCATCGAATTTTCTTGCGGATCTTCCTTCCTCCAAGCTCCAACTCTCTCAACCTATACGACTGCTCCTATTACATAGAGATCTTCCAACCAGCCTACCTATTCTGAAAATGCCCGGTCTCCAAGGTAGCAAGTGGGCATCAAACACTGGCTCCAAGGACAACAAGTCACAAGACGATAAAAACAAGGGCGACGGACCAAAGGATGAATCGTTAGTGACGCTTTAGCGTACGACATCTGATCTTTCACTAACGATTTTGCAGGCGCGTCTCTGTCCCCTACTTCGGCTTCGTCCTACCTCCCCTCAAGCCCAAGGACACCCTCGCTGGCCCTCCCAAACCAGCCGCAGCTTCTACTCCGAAAAAGGCTGTGGCGGCGCCAGCTGAGACGGCCGCTCCCCCTCTCGGGGCCTTCAAGATGCCTATTGCGCCTCCCAAGCTCATTGAGATGGTTGACACTCCCCCGCAAGCCGCAGAACCCGAGAAGCAGCTCTCACGCGCCGAGATTGCCGCAACGAAGACCCGAGCTCGCATGGCGGAGATCATGGGACCACGTCGTCCCCATGCTACGTCTTCAGGTGCCAAGGGAAAGGGTGCCGTGGCTTCCGCCAAGGGTAATGAGAAGGAGAATGGCGATGATGACAAGGATATGTCGGGGTCTAAAGGCGATGTGGAAATGAATTTGATGGACTGAGGGTGGGGCGAAGTCATCAAGAGGGTGCAAGTGGATGGAGATCTGTGTAGATTATACTTGTCTTGATGTACTTCAAAGCTTAGCTTGCGCCTTATGAGTAGAGGCCTCCCACCCGCTCAGGCATGGAATCTTTTTTGTAAATACTGACAGTGGAACTCATCGTTCCATTCCAAGCTGAACTGCTGATTCGCAAAGATATTTCTGTAATGTGCCTCGATAGTACTCTTACTGGAGTTGTCTGCCAGGATGGGCGACACTCGCACTCGTACAGCTCCGTATGTATTTTGCGAAGATGGCGCAGTGTAGTATTTTTAATAACAGGCTTAGCTGCTATAGTCCATGTTGATGCCATGCCGTATGCCTTGCTCTTGCCCATCTCTGCATTGGAGATGACTGTAGATGAAGTGATCCAAATGGTAAATGAGTTAGTTTCTATAAATCATAATGGTTGCAAACATGTTCCGCTTTCGATTGTCCAACATGTTCGATTGTGGTTGAGGGGAATGAGTGGGTTGAAGCCTGAGGTTGAAGAAGGGCTGATTATGTCATTGGTGGTCGGACCTTTGGCAGCTCTCCGCCGATCTAAGTGGAACTTCTTCGAGCTCCGCGTCTTCGTCATCACTACCCGCCCCAAACACACCACATGGCGTCGCGCACACGGCTGATGGCCTCGACAGGCTCCAGCTTACTCAGGAACTCGCGAACACTGGCAATTTCAAGATCATCGCCTCTCGCTACTGCCTTGGCCACGTCGTCTGCCCGCAGCTTCTCGCAGCTCACCTCGCATGCCTCGTCCAACCCAGCCAGCGTCTTCGGCTCCTTTGGCGGACAGTCATCCCAGAATGGACCACCCACCTACTTCTCGTCGCAAAAGCGCACTCCTGCAAATACCATTATTCGATTCGTGCCGCAACAAACAGCATGGGTTGTCGAGCGTATGGGAAAGTTCAACAGGATACTGGAGCCTGGCCTAGCGGTTCTAGTGCCAGTCATTGACAAGATCGCCTACGTCAAGAGCTTGAAGGAGAATGCCATTGAGATTCCCAGTCAGAGCGCCATCACGGCCGACAACGTGACCTTGGAGCTCGACGGTGTTCTGTACACGAGGGTGTTTGATGCTTACAAGGCCAGGTATGCTCCTCTACAAGCATTCGAGTATACCTCAACATCTTACTGACATGCTGTAGCTACGGTGTTGAAGACGCAGAATATGCCATCTCCCAGCTTGCGCAGACGACGATGCGCTCCGAGATCGGCCAACTCTCGCTCGACCACGTCCTCAAGGAACGCGCCAACCTGAACGCAAACATCACCGCCGCCATCAACGAGGCCGCACAGGACTGGGGTGTCACCTGCCTGCGTTACGAGATCCGCGACATTCACGCGCCAGAGCCTGTCGTCGAGGCCATGCACCGTCAAGTCACGGCCGAGCGCTCGAAGCGTGCTGAGATCCTCGAGTCAGAAGGTCAGAGGCAATCCGCCATCAACATCGCAGAGGGAAAGAAGCAGTCCGTCATCTTGGCATCCGAGGCGCTGAGGGCGGAGCAGATCAACATGGCGAATGGTGAGGCTGAGGCTATTCTGCTCAAGGCTCGCGCCACTGCAAACGGTATCGACGCTGTCGCACGAGCTATTGCGCAGGGTGAGGACGCCGCACAGAACGCCATCTCGCTGTCCGTGGCCGAGAAATACGTCGACGCATTCGCAAACCTGGCCAAGGAGGGTACAAGCGTCATCGTCCCCGGAAACGTCGGCGATATTGGTGGCATGATCGCGAGCGCCATGGCAGTATACGGCAATGTCAACGCCTCGCAGGGCAAGAACTCGTCTGGAAAGCAGATAGAGGGTTCTCCGGCAAGCAAAAAGATTGCAGAGCTGCAACAGCGACTACACGACGCCGAGGGCGGATCCAACCAGGTCCAGGACGAGATCACAAGAGTCATGGACCAGAGGCTGAACAAGAGGTAGAAAGCAAGAGCTGATCACGACACGACTGTATATTATTCTCGCTGTACAACAGCATAGGCCAACGAGCAGCGGCGTTATGCATAGCTTGGGTCCATTGGGATGTGTTATCCAAAAGCAGCGTCTTTTTTTGACTCCACTTCTTATGTCGATACAAAGTCAATCAACACTTCATCATGTCAACCGCTGCAGTGCATCCAAGATTAGCTTCGCACTCTGCTCTCCGTCCTCCCACACAAAGTTGTGCGTGCCTTTGATGTCCCGAACCTCGAGAACTCTTCTCCCAGTCACAATATTTGCTTCTTCATCACCATCCTCCATGACTATGCTCCACCCCTCGCGGTCAAAGGCCACGCACATGACATCCCTCTGCGCCCTCTCCACCAACTCATCCTCATAACTATGCGCCAGCACAACCAACTTGCCTCCCTTCCACACATCCTTCCCATACCGTCCCGCAACCGGCGACACGCCCTGGTACACACTACTGTCGGTCCCAAACGCCCCGCTGATCAGTGTGCTGTAGATCACAGCCACATTTTCCGGCACCGCAGGCGGCAAATGATTCCGCAGCAACAGCGGGATGTTGTATATCCCCGCAATCAAGATCAACCCTTCTGGACCTAGCCCAATGTCCCCTGTCATCCCCGAGACGTAATGGCATAGCATCGTTGCGCCACAGGAATGCCCGAGTCCTATCCAGCGCTTCATGCCATGTTCGCGCTGCAGGAAGGACACGGCGGCGGCGAGATCCTCGATGTGCGCGGGGTGCGCGACGTTTCTGTCTGGATCGGAGGGGTCCGAGGGGTGTGTGGGATGCGAAGGGTATGGGGAGAGGCGGTAGTTGAGGGATGCGATGCCTGCGAGATTAGATGGCGGGTTGGAGGAGAGATGTTTGATTGTGGCATTGGCGTTGGCAGCGGTTTGTAAAGGGTCGCGCCATGCGCCGCCGTGGATGAAGCTTTACAACAAGTCAGATATATATCGCAAAGAAGCATTCTTTTTGGTGACAAGTACACTATCCACAGCGATTTGTCTGCATCAGACTGCTCGAGAGGCCGGGGAAGCCATATGTCGAGCGTTTGCAGCGGACTCGACGACTCGCCGGCGTACGGTATCGACGTTGTGTGTTTGGGGTAGCTCGTGGCGGCCATGTTTCGCGAGGAAGTTGGGATGACGACTGGAATGTTTTGTTTGGCGGGGTAGCTGATACCGAGCGAATCCTCCTGCATGTCAACGGCAGCGGCGTCGTCGATCGCCTAACTTAGGGTTAACTTACGCGACGCGACTCCTCCACCAACGCAAGCGACTCTTGGGAGTAAGCACTCAATGTTCAACAACGAAGGGGACTATGGAAGGTTGTTGTAATTCAATTGCTCATTTTCATTCAAGCTATATATCGAATAAGATCTCCATCATCCCAAAGCCAGAAGGGCTATCAACACTAATTAACCACCAGCCAGATTCGGCGCGCACCGAAAAACGCCAATGCGATGCGATTATTTTAATCCAAAAGGTATCTCTTCAAGGACCGTTATAAGGCGCGGGTTGCACCAATGCGACGCAACTACTCAATGTCCGACATAAACACTGCCCGAGCACATGGGCGACCCGAGTGCACGAAAGCGTGATTGTGCCATGTTTCTCAACGTACAACGATGCTCAACGCTTACAAGAAAGCAGCGACAAAGGCACCGAAGCCGAGAACACCACCAGCAGCAACCTTGACGTTGGCAGCAGCGCCCTGAGAGTTCTGGGGCGCGTTGGTGCCAGAGGCGTTGGAGCCGGACTGGCGCGCGCCGGAGCCTGAAGCACCAGCACCGGTTCCTGATGCAGCGGGGGTTGAGGTCATGATCTGGACGGTGGTGCTGTTGTCGGCGCTGACGACGACGGTGCGGGTGCTGTTGAACATGGAGCCAGTGCCGGGGAGGACGAGCGTGTGGACACCAGGGCCGACGGCGGGGATGTCAGCGGGCGCAGGCTGTTGGGTAACGACAGCAGGCTGCGAAGTGACGGCAGCGGGCTGGCTGGGGATGTTGGTGGCAGCGGCGGGCTGGCTGGGCATGCCAGTCACAACGCCCAGAGAGTTGGTCTGCTTCAAGAACGAAGTCTGGGGGTAGGCATCGATGGACGACTGGGATGGTTGTTAGATGATGATCTGAGGGCTGATCAGGTGGGTCACAACTTACAGTCTCAGCAGAGACGGAGGACTGAGCAGACGCAGCGACGGCGAAAGCAGCGGTGGCGAAGAAGGTAGAGGCACGCATCTTGAAGTTTGTGAGGGTTGTTGATTAAAACTTAGTGATTGTTGTTGTAGTTGTATATGGCGAGTAGCGATTGTATGAGGACTTGTACAAGTAAATGTCAAGAACCGGTAAGTGATGGACAGTGAGTGATGGGATGAGGAAGATCCAATGTAAGGAGAGACGGCGCCTTTTATTTGGAGCAAATGTCAATTCCCTCCTGTCGCCGAGCACGACTGCACACACCAAGCAAGCATCGGAGCTCAGCCCCTGTCTTCGCCTACGCTACCTTGCCCGGGCAACGCACGCTATTCCCCAACAGGAACGCATCTGTGGAGATGCGCCAATTATAGCTCCCAGCTAGAGCCTCCGATGCCCTGTGCTCAATCTTCCGGGAGAGGCAAAGTTTCCAGTTCGCCCAAAACGTGGAAATTTCTGATCCATCTGGTTCGTGTTGAGCCGAGATGAGGGTCAATGTGTTGTATTGCATGGCCTTACCTGGCACCTGGCCAGGTGGATGGCAGTGACAGTGACAGTGACAGTGACAGCGACAGTGGCAGTACAAGCCTCTCTGTACTATCAAACAACGCTGAACAGTGTCTCTGCGTGCTGTCGCCGTCTCTGCTGTCCAGCGCCACTGCGGTTTCATAACTATCGTATTCGGCACCACTGGTTGCACCACTGAAAACACGTTTCTATGGGGACATAGCCGACGACGATCACCTCCCTTTGCTTGACACACACCCACATCACATGTGTTTTCCCCTGCTCGCGTCCCACAACCACGGTTCTGCCCTTCTCCTCACCCGGACCATCACAGTCAACCACACTTCCCCAAGCATTCCTTTCCCCAGCCTAATTTCCAGCCGCCACATGCGATATCGATAGCGATGGGGCGAACAAAACCGCCATCCTACTGTACCATCGCGAACCAAAACTTTCCGGTGTGTCCAACATCAAACTAGTGACGCGTCCAATACACCTCACAGCAGCCTTGGCACAGTTGCCAGAACCATCGAGCCAGCCAGCGTGTTTCGCAGCTTCGTAATTTTGCCTGTGGTGTGTTGCGCTGAAGTGGAGACGCGCGCGGGCTGGAACGGGCAACGACGCCGTGTAGACGAGATGATCGGTGATCAGACGCGCCCTCGCCCCTTACCAGCGTGATGTCATGGGTATTACCAACGATGCCAGAATCAGAGAGAAAGCCGTTGCGTCTCTGGTTTTTCGTTTCGCATGATTTTGGGGAGAGCCATGGGTTTAGATTGGCAATAGGTTAGACGGGCCGATGTTGGGGTGCATGGGAAAGGAGGTTGCACTCGGTGTCGGTTGCTTGTGCCGTGCCCGCGCTGGGCAGCGCTAACATTGTTCAACGACACGAGGGGTGTATAGGTATCATGCGCTGTCTGCTTTGGTTCATGAGCTTCTATTTTTTCGAAAGATCGCCCTACTGAAGCTGGGTCGCGCATTGTGGACTTCCATAAGAAAACAAGTATGCCTCCATATTTCGACGCAGGCATCTCCTGACCGCACAATACCACGGTGGTAGCAGCCTTGGAATGATTGCCGTACTCTGGTCCGGGACCGTGAGCAGGTGTAACCATGTCATTTCAAAGTGTAATCGGCAGACTGCTGGAGTACCGCATCCTTTTCATTACATAGTAGATATCGTCGTCGTCGACGAAAAGAAAGCTGCAGTGCAAACAAGAGCGCGCAGCTCTTCTCTTCTTTGATCAGACTCTTCTTCCTAGCCGCGCTCTCCTCTCTTCTTCGCCGCACTGTTCTCGAGCATCGATCATTCATCTCTTGTGTCTGTCGTAGCCTCATACATCGCGTCATGTGTGTTCATCTTTCAGGCTAGGAATCAGACATTACATTTACCATCTGCATCTTTCTTCTTTCCTTTCCACCTTGAGGTGAATTGTCAGATGTTCTGCTTCTTGCGCATGTAAGACTGACAAGAGCGCTTCCGATCATAGACTGCCTTGCAGCCTTCAACTGAACGTCCGTACGCGGTATCGTTCCAACGCGGCGTTAGGGTGTTGAAGTGAGGGTTTGCCGAAAGTCTAAAGGGAGAGCTCGCAAGGCAAATCAGACACTACGGCTGGAGAAGGGTTGGTCGCGAGAGTATGGAGAATTCGGACACGCAAAAGACAAGGCATTGCAATGTCACTGGTGCGCACTCCTCAGTCATCGCAATTAATCGTAACCAACATCTCTGTGTCAAAATGCATCACGAACCGAATCAAAGCATGTCAACGAAGCATGGTCAAGTCTTCCGTGCCAGTGGTGTCAGGCATTTCTTGTAGAGGAATTGAAGGCAATGTATGTTGAAGATGCTCAGAATGTGCTTCATTGCAGATGCCTCTGCTGCACTACTTGACCGCCTCAATTCCAAGACACTTGTAGCAATAAGTGTTTGACCCGTCGCTGTCGTTATCCCAACCACCATGTGTATCGCATAGGTAGTATTCACAGCACGTGTGTCCATCCGCCTCACAGCCACAGTCCACAAATATCTTACCGTCCCCTCTATCCACCAATTTGACAGCCTCATCGATCTCCACAAAAGACTGATACAGCTCCCGACGAAGGCTCTCCCAGACCGGCAACTTCTGCTTGAAGTCCTTGTGCGGCTTGTTAACTGGTCCATGAGGATTTGGTGTATAGCGGTCGCCCCCCATACCCGAAGGCTGAAACTGGTAATTCGTCATGGTAAAGTTGACCGACCAGTCTCTCAGCGTCCAACTCCATGGCTCGCGGAGACAGTCGTTCCAGTAATTCGAACTAAGCTTCCAATGCCCAAAGCCATCCCACTAAAGATCCCGGTCGCCGCTGGTGTAAGTCAGGCGCATATCAAAGCCCGAGGATTTGAGTTCTCTGAAAGGAACCCCTAGTGCACGAAAGACGTGATTCATATTCTTTGGGGGCCTTTCTAACGCCTCGTCGCTGAAGGCTAATGTGATTCGACGTGGCTTTCCTGACCGCAGTGTGGATAAAGCTTGTACAGCTGACTGTATCGCATCATCGGGAGCGGTCGAGAGCCCGATCTCGAGCCTTTCCGTATGCTTCTCTTCCGTCAGCACATCGGCGATATTAAGCCTTACACTCAGACGCATATCCTCGCACAGCTCGTGCAACGTGGTGCCAAGATGAAACAGCTCGCGGCTTGCGAATTCCTTGAGTTCACTCCAATGTAGAGAGTAATTAGGGCGGTATCTTCGCCCTTTCTCCGCTCGCATATCGGTCTTGAACGCGTCCAGAATTTCCAAGGTTATAGTTTCCCCCATAAAATCGGGATTGAGGAAATGTGCAAGGCCGGTCGAGCATGGACATATTGACGATGAGGGAGACGAGCTGCAGCACGGCGATGGAGGGACAACATCCTTGGGAAAGAAGCGAACCAAAGGTCTGTCGTAAGGTCGCTCTTCCAGCACGTAACTGTAAATAATGTCGCGCAGTTCGCGAGGCAGCTGGGTGAGCTTTGCGGATATATCGAGACAACTGGCTTTTGACTGCCGCACAATGGCATCCTCGAGCTCGCATTTTGCGACTTCTGCGTCATTGGAACTTCTCAAAGAGGAGAGGTGCTTATCGTAGAGTCTATTGCAAGTCAGCAAGTCAGTCTTGTTTGGCTCAGGAACAATACGTACTCGCACAACTCGGCTTCCAAGCTGATTCTGGCCGTAGAGTCCATCTTGATTCGGGATATAGTGCTGCTGAGTAAGTTGAAAGTAATCAGACAGTGCCAAAATTGTAGATGGGAGAAATTGTGTGGAGGTAGACAGCTTTTCGGGCGCGTTGGCTTAGGGTACCATGGTACTGTATCCATGACTCAACAAGCTACTACACACAATAAATACGTAAAATTGCACATGATTCATGTGCGGTGTGCGGCGATTCTAGGACGGCGATCGGGAAGTCTTTAAGAAGGTTGATGTGAACCTCAAGCTAAGCAGATGCTACGCTTTATGAAGCAATTGAAAACATAACAGATGCGAAGGTTCAGATGAAACGAACTTGGTAAACTGAAGCACACGATGAATGCTTTGTTGAAGAAGAGGATAAATGAAGGGTCTTTCAAAAGTATTTTTGGGCAAAGTGATATTGCAATTTGGCATTGCTTTTCAGTCTGATGCCGTTACAGGCTTTAAATTCAAGGAGCTTGTTTGCGCTTAAGTTGTGGAAAGGTAGAGAGCAGGGTTAACAGACAGCATTTCCTTCACTGTTTCGGTCTTCCCATACATCGCGAGATACGCAAAGAGACGGAAGATGGAAAGGTTGATGCTAGGATGTAGATTCCTTGCATGGCACATAAATCGAGGCGAGTAACAGATAAGCCCTAGAGAAATTGTGGTCTCGTCTTTCTAGGCTTGTAAAGAAGTTGACCAAACAAGCCGCAGTGTTAAGAGCCTGTTCTAAGTCTAAGATCCATCATCGTCTCTGAGGATAGCTGCTGCAGGTATCCTGGCGAAAGAGATAGTGGTGGTGGTTACACAGGCATGTTTACCAAACTAGGATGAGCCACCAGGTCGTCAAGGGAATCATAGCCACAGTATTGCCGGCGTCGCTGAAGGTTTGGTTTCTTGTAGCGCTCGTACGAACGTAGATATGTTTCTTTTAGCGATGAAGATTGGCTGTCACAGTCCTGACATACGGTCAGCATAACGAAGGATATGTAAGCTTGGTGAAACAAACACCTTTCGCCACTCCTCACTACTCAATGGAAACAGCTGTGACACATCTACCCTCTCACCCTTGAACATCATCGCACAGACTTTGAATTTACTGCCATGCTTTCGGAAGTCGTATACGGTGCTTCGCATAGCCGATAACATATTAAGAAAGTAAAGCTCATGGTGCCAATCTGCCTACTTGGACCTGTCCATCCCAAACATAACGGGGAACGTGAGTTCCATCTGGTGGCGGTTCCCCAAGGCAAGAGCGCGAGATTGTTGGCGAGTGCATCTATGTACCGGCCAAGGGGCTCAGGTTCGCCCATGTGCTCACCACGATGCCTGTCAGGATGACCACAGCCTTTTGGTATCCTGAGACAAGGCCTGTACGATATATACTATTCTACACTGCATGATCAATCGTTGATTGATCATTGCAACCTTTTTGGATGGATGGTGCGGTGGGTGTAGACTCACGCCTGACAGTACGCGCATGTTCCATGATATCTCTATCTAGCTCACTGTAAACGGTTAATACGTGATCAAAGATCTGAGATAGTCGGCATATACTTGTCTTTTGTCTGTGAAGCGGACCTGGCCTCTCTCAGCCTCTCTTCTAACCTCGTCCTCCCAAGCTCGAGCCCTTTGACATCATTGCGAAGGGAGACATAACCCCTTGCTAGACTCGGCATATCATTCCCGGAATCCATGACTAAAGCAGGTCTCACTTTGGATGTAACAAAGTGAAAAATCGTGTTCATGATCAAGCAAACACGAGAAAAAGGAACATGAGAATGGCCTGTGCTCCTGTCGTGTATCCTTGGTATACCCAATGCAGACTATCTGTGTGAGTCTTCGGCCCAATGAATCGAAGAAGAGGAAAACATTGTAGTAGATGAGTGTTATGGAATCGGAGTACTAGACTTGCAGGTTGTTCAAATACGTTGAAAAGCGGCCAGAGAGCAACAGAAGGCAGCCCATCCGTTGGAATAGCTTAAAGCTATACACAGGGTCTTACTGTGTAACTCAAATCCTGGCAAAACATTATATAGCTTCAGGCCATCGAAGGCTAAAGTTCGACTTTCCTCATAAACGATAGATTGCAGTAGATTCAGTGATTAGTGGTTTCGACCATCCAAAATACCGTTGCAAAGTGGCTTATGCCTATTAGTTCCGAGTCACACAAGGCATAAGTTGTTCTGACGGCTGGTTCGACAATCCTGTATTAAGTTCCTACGTCAAGTTGACTTTTCGTATTGTACAAATGCCCAAGACCATGTCCACATCCAACTCATTATCGTCAGGCCACGACCTTTTCAAGACATTCCATAGCATCGAGTTTACAAGGCGAGCATGGCCAATGCAGCTGCGCCAAAGAGACCAGCCGCCTGGGTTGCGATGGGGGCACCGCCGGTGAACTGGGAGGGAGAAGAAGAGGGAGCAGCGGAGGGCAAGAGAGCACTGGTAGCACCGGCAACGCCCGAGGAAACCTTGGAAGCAGCCGCCGAAGTGGCGGAAGCAATCGCTGATGAGATCGCACTAGCAACACTGGACGCCTCTGCGGCCTTGGATGAGACCGCCGATTGGGCGGCGGAAGAAACACTCGCTACAGCAGAAGAAGCGGCTCCAGCCCCAGGGATTTCAATGGGGGCACCAGCATCCTGGCAGGTCTTCTGTACCGCGGAAATGGTGGAGGCCTGGTCAGAGGCTGAGCACGCACCCTGTACACAGGGTTGCACACTAGAGAGCAACTGGGCGCCCTTCTGACAATGACACTTGAAGTCGGTGAGGGACGAACAACCGTCAGATCCGAGGGGGCCGATGAAGCAAGACAACTGTCTCTGATTAGTACTGACCGTAAGTTTCGATCAAGTGGATATCTTACAGCGCAAGAGGGGATGTTGCCGAGCTGGGCAGAGCCGACCGAAGCCAGAGCAATGATGGAAGCGATAGTGAAGGTCTTCATGTTGACTAAGTATTGTTGTTGTTGGTGATTACGTGGAGGAAGTGAAAGTTCTTGTATTTCTTCTTTTGGATTCAAAAGTGACAGTGTTGTTGCGATCCCAAGCGGGCTGTCGCGGGTGCTTTATGTGAAAAAAGGATCGCATTGACCTCTGCCCTGGACCAAGTCATAACAGGGATTACTCCACCTTGCCGTCATCCATCACATGCAGTGGCCTGTGATTGTCCAGATCTTCATTGCTCCGTCTGGGGAAGCGAATGGATGGGGTGCTACCTCCCTCTTGAGACCCAAGTAGCCGCGGTGATTACCCTGTCTTTGCGAATGAGATCGAGGATGACAAGGAGCAATTGCCAACTACGGGCAAGCCCAGCCTCACGGAGCCCCTGCGGCACAGGCAAGGGCTGCACTGGTTGGAAGAAAGCGACATGCAGACAATGAAGTTGCTAACTGTGATTGGACACGGCTGAGGCGGAAGAGGCGAGCATTCGAATGCAATGAGTGACATCTGGTTAAGACGCCAAGACCGTGCGCGTAAGCCATAAGCTTTTGTGCATTAGGGCGCGGATCATCTCATGTGGAGACGGAGGCCAGCCTATCTGAGTAAGTGCGTCGGAAAATCTGGGGAGGACAGCAAGTGCACGCGGAGCTTGTGAGTCGTCTTGCACTAGTTGCATTCTACTCTTTGATGAGCGTACGCGTGCATCCTCAAAAGGAAAGGCGTATGCGTGTTGATATTCTCGTGGCTGTTCAATGGGCGGTGACAAAGGCGAACACCCACTTCAAGATCATTGATCATTTGTGTTGCGATGCCTTCCCCGCAATCCTCCATCTCTTTCTGGGCACAGTCCCGTACAATGCCTGCTCATGCTTCGCGACTATCTCTTTCCTGGACATGGCGCAGATTGACCAACATTGGAAAGTTGGAAACCCGGAAGCGCCGTCCGGACGGGAACTATAATGCCTCCTGCACCTGCCCAAGTGAAGCTTGCAGGTTGGCGGCCGCCATTGTCAGCCGCATCTGTACCTGCATTTGTGTAGACAGACAGAAATCAATGAGTAGAGCTGGCAGACTGTGCAAGGTTGCGCGTCGCGGCCTTTCTGATGTCTCTGAAATGATGGTCGATCCTTGTCCATCGCCGGGACCTGCGTCATGTTCGTACAGCCAACAAGTTCTCGTGACGGCTCGGCATCTGAACTGCACGTTCCTCGGCAGCATGTGCTTGCACATCGCAGCATCCCCGCCGTGCCGAGTCCTGTGGTAAGGCCAGCAAGATGTCCAATATTTCGATCTTCGCCCCCGTGTTAGTTTGGGTAAGGTCACAATGCGCCATGCGCCTGGTACTGCAGATTCTCACCTACGACAGAAAGTGAACAGGGGCATCCCATACTGTAGCCTGGATCTATACACAGTACCATTGCGTTTCGAATGTGACGGAAGGGCCATGTGTACAGCTTCAGGTTAGGCCACGTGATGCACCCTGATTGCTTTCCGTCGTAGTTGATAAGACGTAGTACGGGGCTCGAAGATCGTCGCCTAGAGCGCTTGCCCATCCAGACGTGAATAGACGAACTTCTGCACAACGCGCGTGAAAAAATCAATTGAGACGTTCAATGAGATGAATAGAATCTTTATTAACTGCAGTTGAACATGAAAGTGGAATTGCAACGGTGCCGCGATGGATCTGGGCGGTCGTGCATGGCCTGCAGCATCGCCGGCTGAGAGGGAGGTCTCCAAAAGTGGAGCCTATTATTTTTTTTACCGTGTTTTCAATAAAACATCCAGCAATCATTGGATGTATGCCCAGCCTTACCGCGCAAGAAAGGTTATGACTTGAGGTTATGACTTGAGGTTGTGTCTCGCAGGTTGATCATTATTGCAGGATCCACGTGCAGCAATGCTGCTAATCGACAGCATAGTGGAAGCAATGCATGGCTTGAAAAAATCTCCTGACTCGTTGATGGAAGTCCATCTGGCCTCTGTGAAATGGTCGAGGAGTGAAGACGGAAGAGCAGGTCAAGATGAAGGGCACTGCGCCGATAAGCCGATAAGGATATCTTGGCGTTCAAGTCGCGCTAAGGAAACTTCGATAGTCCTCTCGTGCTGTCGCGAAGCAGACGGACTATGAATCGCTTCTGAGACCAACTTACCACCACAAGACGCGAATCCCGTCACCGTGTACATCGAGGTCAAATCCAAATTGTGCGCGCGAAGGCTCCATAAGCCCTTCGGTTCGGACGATTGAACAAGATGGCGGAAACAGCTGCGGCGCATCCACCAAGCTCAGTCGAGCAACTTGTGCGCACCTCTGCGAAGCGCACGCGGGAGCTCTTTGCCGCCGATTTCGCGTCGTCTGCGGCTCTTGATCACGCTGCCAACCCTGCCTTCACCATCACACCCTCCACCGCCTCGCCTTCTTCCACCGCAGACCAAGTCAACGTCGCAACCCGAATACGCAATGAATACGAGCACGTGCGAGAGCTTCCCCCAGCTCTTGCGGCAAAGATGGCAGCTGCGGCAACAACGGCAGCCGAGCGACGCAAGAAGATCAAGAGTCAGAATGCAGAGGAAAAGGCGTCTGACCCCAAGATGCAGAAGATAATTGAAGGCGCATCAGAAAAGGCCGACAAGGCGCGGGATTCACAGTCGATGCAATTGGCATTACGAGCTGGAGGCAAGGGCGCTGCGCCGAACGCAACAGGACCTACTCCAATGAGGGACACGCCATCCAGCGCACTCGTGCGGAAAGACACGGTCAGACAGGCCCGGCCAGAGTGGCATAGACCTTGGAAGGTCTCTCGTGTCATGGCTGGCCATTTGGGCTGGGTACGCTCGCTCTGTGTCGACCCGGACAACCAATTCTTCGTATCCGGAGCCGGGGATCGCACAATCAAGCTCTGGAACTTGGCAACCGGAGAGCTCAAGATCACGCTCACAGGACACATATCCTCTGTACGCGGCGTCGAGGTCTCGCCTCGCCATCCATATCTCTTCAGTTGTGGAGAAGACAAGATGGTCAAGTGCTGGGACCTGGAGACGAACAAGGTCATCCGCCATTATCACGGGCATTTGTCTGGTGTTTACAGCTTATCGCTACATCCCACACTTGACGTTCTTGTGACTGGAGGTCGAGATGGTGTTGCAAGAGTCTGGGATATGAGAACTAGGACTAACGTGCACGTCCTGGGTGGACACAAAGGCACCATTAGCAGCATCAAGTGCCAGGAAGGCGATCCTCAAGTCATAACAGGAAGCATGGACGTAAGTTGTCATTACTTGCTTCTCTTGAGTCTTCTTGCTAACATGAATTGCAGTCCACTGTACGGCTATGGGACTTGGCCGCGGGCAAAACCCAGACAGTCTTAACACATCACAAAAAGAGCATCCGCTCTCTGGCCATACATCCCACCGAATATACGTTTGCCAGCGGTTCATCTCAGAGTATAAAACAATGGATGTGCCCACGCGGCGACTTCATGCTCAACTTCCAGCCGGTCAACAGTATTATCAACACGCTCTCTGTCAACGAAGACAATGTCATGTTTGCCGGAGGAGACGACGGCAGCGCAACCTTTTACGACTGGAAGACCGGGCATCAATTTGAAAACTCCGAATCTGTAGTGCAGCCTGGCTCGCTCAGCGCAGAAGCAGGCATTCTCACTTCGACTTTCGACCGAACCGGACTCAGGTTGATCACAGGCCACATCGACAAGACCATTCGTGTTTGGAAGGAGGACGAGGACGCCACAGAGGAAACACATCCATTAGACTGGAAGCCGACACTTGGTCGACAGAAGTTTTAGTTACATAGAGTTAGCACTTCGCATTAACAACGGAGTTTGGATGGGCGTTTGGAAAGAGCTAGACTTGAAAACTGTCAGCATCAACTGTACGATATCCGGATTGAATTGGGAGGAGATGTGCGATCATGCAGCATTCTCTATACATACCCAAGAAATAACCATGTTCTCAGTCCGCGGAACGATGCTTCCAATATGCATGTGAATGAATCGTGATCGACGTCAGCAAGGGTCCAAGCTCGGACTTCGCGAACACCCACCAAGGCGCATCTCCCGCACCTCAACATCGCAAACCCAAGATGCCGGAACGGGCGCTGCCCGCACGATTATGGCCTTGAAGCGCAGAGATGTGATTCTCGCCTGCGTCGCCGTCTTCATTGCCTGGGGCTACTTGACCCACTGGCAGCCGAAGCTCCACTTTCTTCCCTACGCCTTCGTCACCGGAGTCCTCGCAACCTTGGCCCTCGTAGCATGGCTGGCACTGACGACATCATGGCCAATCGAGCTACGCAATGGAGGAGAGGTCAATTACGGGCCACGCCACGTCGCGTTTGTGGCGCCAGAGAAGTGGAAAGCTGAGCGCGAGGCATTGACGAAGCGCAACATGTACATGATGGAGCCCATACACCCGGCTTCCTATGTCATATCGGACAGCATCGACGTGCTGATAGGCCTTATACTGCGCGACTTTGTAAAGAGCTGGTATGGCAACATCAGCAAAAGCCCGACGTTCGTGAACGAGGTCGACAACGCGGTGCGGGCAGCAATGGGCGAATTACGGGACCGCATCCTGGCAGTCGACATGGTCGAGACTGTAGTTTCGCGCATGATACCCATCATAACTGAGCACCTGCGAGCATCATATGACGCCGAGCGCATTGTCCGAGGGCGCAAGCTGTCCCGCAACATTACAGACTCGGAGGAGCTTGACGTAGCCATTGCAGCCAAATACAAAGATGGACGCCTACATCCTGCAGCTTCACTGGCGTACTCAAACACAAAACCTGTCCAACAACAACATCTTCGTAACATCGTTGCTCGATTGCTGCCCAAGATCATGGCCCCTAGCATGTGCACCAGCCCAGCGGTCAATGTTCTGATCAAAGAGATTGTGGCATGCGCGGTCTTGTCGCCGGTGATGCAGATGCTCGCTGATCCAGACATGTGGAATCAACTCATGGAAGGATATGTAAGAAGATTTGCACGCGAGGCTCTTCATTTCTGACAGCCTTAGGGTCGAACACTGCTACAGGAAAGGAAGACCGTCCGCAAGCTGCGAGCCGCGCTCGACGAACATGCGCCACCCTCTCCGAAGAACCCAAAGAACCTCCAATTTCCCAAGCTGGAACCAGGCGATAACGAGCGGAGATTCGAGAGGTTTATTCGGGCCATTCGGCAGACCAACACGCTCGCAGATGCCCGCCGCTTTCGCAGCGAGATATCGAGCCAGCTGCGGAAGGACGCAATGCTTGAGGATCAAGATCCCGTATACCTTCGTCGCTTGGAAACGGCTCGCCAGATCTTAGATTCCAAGGTCGCCAACCTGAGCACTGGTGGCACCGTGCGGGCAAAGGTCGCCGCCCAGGAGAAGCCTAAACACAAGCGCACATCGTCCAGATTTGCAAACGCGTCCTTGCGAGACGTCTTGTACGATGCAGCAGGTCTGTCGTGTTTCATGGAGTTCATGGACCAGGTCGAGCTCATGCGACTTGTACAGTTCTGGCTGGTCGTGGACGGTATTAGGAATCCACTGGAAGTGGACACGGATGAACCTGCAGAGAATGTCAGTTCTTTTCCGACATGGACCGAGGCCGACCGTACAGATCTTGCTCAGATTTACGAGGCCTATCTCTCGAAAGCCGAACTAAAGCTCCCCGAAGCGCGGAAAGCAGTGTCCGAATTTCTCAAGGCTGGACGGTCGGCAACGCCTGCGCAGTACCATAATGCGCGCAGAGCTCTTCTAGAGGCACAGACGGAGGCCTACGACCAGTTGCAGGAGCCCTATTTCCGGAGGTTTAAGAAGTCCAATCTGTATTACAAGTGGCTCGCGATGGATGAGGCAGCCAATGCTGGGCACAGTGGCATAAAAACAACGACCGCGGCGCGCACGCTTGACAATCCATCCATTGTAGCACCCGTCATGTCTCGCACCCAGTCCGGGCAAATACTATCTGCACAGCCACCTCATGGTGATTTGCGCAGAGCTGTAGCGTCCTCTTCTGATCTCAAGAGTCAGGGCGTGATCAGAAGCATGGATCCGCCTCCGCGACGTTCCCTGGACTCTGGGCCCCCTACAGTCCCAAGGGTAGCCTTGTTCGATGATGAATATGAAGCAGACCCTCTAGCACAGTCTACAGCCAGCATTGATTCTGACCATGGACAAGAGCGTACGAATGGCAACGATTCGCAGGTGGTGGATGCAATGCAAGCTGCTTTGACCGACATCATGGGTGCCGAACCTGAAGGCTCCATATTCTTTGAAGGACCAGGAAGCGCACTTCTCGATAATGATTCGCAAAGGGGTTCTATGGATTTACCAAGAGCTCTGTCGCCAAATCCCCAAGTGCAGCAAAGAGCCCTCTCGCCTAATCCACTTTTGCAACAGGGCAAGAGCAAGCCAAGCATTGCGTCGCTGGGTCTTGTCGGAGAGCCAAAGACTCGCGGTGTCTTCAATGACGATCTTTTTGGAGACGAGGAGAAGTTTCTAGAAGATGAGATCGATGACCCAGCTCCTCGAAACAAGGCTGAGGATGATGAGATACACGAGGCTGCTCCTGGTGATCTGGGTCTCGCCGAAGCTATTGATGCGCTCACCGCTGACATTGAGCGTTTGGTCAGCCAAGAATCCATTGTTGATTCGTTGACAACCAAGGCGGAGCTCACGAACAACGCGGCCGAATTGAGAATCTTGCGCAAGTCAAAGGCTAGCCTGCAGCGGGAGATACAAAGGAAGGAATTGCAACGCCAGCAGTATATCGTACAAGAGAGCGATAACAGCTTGTACGGACGGGCAACTGTCTTCATCCAGTCCATCATGGTCGGTACTGAGGAAGACGGCAAGGAATATGCGATGTGTAAGTATAGCCATCGTGCTCAGTGACATCATAGACTAACAGTGGTTACAGATGTCATCGAAGTCAGACGACGTGCTGGCGATCAGATGCCTGCAGCTACTTGGGTCATCTCGAGACGATATAGTGAATTCCATGATCTGAATAAGAGACTGCGTGGGAAATTCCCTCAAGTGCGCAACCTTGAGTTCCCACGACGACAGATGATGCTCAAACTTCAGAAAGATTTTCTACACAAGCGTAGGATTGGTCTTGAGAAGTATCTTCGAGTGAGTACTGGTTCAAACTATGACGCACTGGGCCAAATCTGATAGCTTGTGCAACAGGAACTTCTGTTGATACCGGCTGTCTGTCGTAGTCGTGAGCTTCGTGCTTTCCTGTCTCAAGCCGCTATCAACCCCGCGGATGCCCTACGTAACCAAGATCTGAACTCTAATGATTTCGTTTCACGTATATACAACTCAGTGGCAGATGGCATGGAGGAATTCCTCGGTAACATTCCTGTTCTTGATCAGCTCTCTGTCGCGGGACAGAACCTCATCTCAGCTGCTACCACCCAGCTCGCCAGTACAAACTCTGCCATGGCTGGGACTCAGCCTGGCAGTCTTGCTTCCTCTGGTGTACTTGGCGTCGAACCCAACACCGATGCTGAAGCAGAAGCCGAGTTGTTGGCTTTTGAGAAGCAAGAACTGCCACCTTTCGTCAAGCCGATTACGGACCTCTTCCTCGAGACGTTTGAGCTGAATCGCGAGAACAATTGGCTTCGCGGGCGCGCCGTGATTGTTGTTCTACACCAGCTCCTCGGTGGCACCATTGAGCGCAAGGTCCGCGAGAGTTTCGACAATCTACTCTCTGAAAACAACATCTCAGGCTACATCGACACACTCAAGGATTCCATGTGGCCAAACGGCAGATTGAAGCAGAGTGTCGAGAGAACACCACAACAGAGAGCTAAGAGTAGGAAAGAGGCTGCCACTGTACTGAACACGTTGGTACCTGAGTTGGCGAGTAGTGTAGTGGGGCGACAAAATGCGCAGATTGCGGCAAGAAAGCTGGAGGGTACACTGAACAATTCGCGATTGAAGTGAGTAATCTTTGATGGATGGGCATGGAGAAAGCTAATGACTTGCCAGTACGCACCTTGCTTTTACGCTTTTGGACGAGATGATTCATGTGTTGTTCCCGGACGTCAGTATGAAATAGTGCATGTCTAGCGATTGCATACAGGGTGCGCACGGCATCGATTTGCATTGGGCCGGAGTTCACATCTCTTCATATACACATTTCATATTCTTACCACACCATGTGTTCCTGTTGCTAATGCTCCTCGCACTCGTGAACTGTATCTGTATTGACTGATGCCGCATTAGCCCATAACCACTCCAGGCGGTATCACATCTCTTGTGTGATTAGTCTTTCACCTTTCCGAAAATTCTAGTCCATACCCGCGACTTTTCACCTTGTACCCATCCCAAACCCCTCTCGCTCTGCATCCATCTTACCGCAACCTCACCTCATCGGTCGAAGCAATAGACAAGTTGGCGCGATCAGGTGGGCACCGAACTTCTGGGCTGGGGGATACACATTCTTGTGCAGGGTGATTACAATGTAGTCGGTGGGCGAGGCGTTGGCGTGATATGTCTCATAGCCATCATTCCCTCCCTCTCGCTAATACTCACAATTCATCCGGAGATTATCAGCACATTTCTTGGCTCGGATAACTTGCGCACCGTACTTGTCGCAAGCTGGTTGAGTCATCTAGCGTGGATGGGGAGCGTGGACGGAGTCGAATGCTGGCTAGAGTCTCGACATCACGCCAGAGATAAGTAGGTGCTATTTTATTCCGTGGGGTAGGGTGGGGATTCATAATGCTGGGTTAGAGGAGGTGATTGAGGAGGGCAAGAAGGAGACTTTGTAGGATGTGTGTGAGGGTTTTGTTAGGAGGTAAATGTAACTAGAAGAGTCTGGATTTTTGGTGAAAGTGAATGACTGGAAAGAAAAGAATATGCAGACGCTCAGCTCATTTTAAATCCTCATTCGAAGCTTCGATGTATTTTATAAGGACTGTCCTGACTGTGCTTTAGAACGCCTAGTCAATGGCTCTGGAAAGACTCCTGAGGTTTTCCGACTTCTCAAACGAGACAGTGTTAACAAAGTATAGACGTCGGCAACATCTACAGTAATTTGTGATACTGCTTGCCATCCTAGTTATGTGTTTGCGTATTGGTGAAAGAGTAAATGCCGGATTAGCTCAACTATACTGACCTCGGCATATACTACAGTAATCAATGGTACCGATGAAACTGCCTAATGGAGGAATGAATGCTCGTCTCTCTGCCATCGGTAATCACTGCAATAGCCGACAACACGTGCACGCTGACCTCGGATAACTCTACTACAATCCACAGTCATGCCAGAGTTTCCTAACAAGGCAACTATCCACGCGTTGGTGAGGAAGTGAATGTTCGGTAGCTCGGTAATCGCAACTCTGACGTAGCCTGACCTCGGCTTTGTAGAAGAGTCTCTAGCTCTTCCTACTGATTTCCATTTCCACTGAAATTTTACTGCAATCGACGCGCCGAAAAAATGGTGTCGCATTAGGAAGGTACCACGTCTCAGGGCACCAGAACTCTCTGCAAGAATTCCCAGCTGTTCACGGTGACTCCTGAGGATATCACTTTCACTGGAATTTTGCTGTAATCAACACTGAAAAATTGTTACTGCATTAGGGAGGTACCAAGTGTCCCTGAAGATTAATGAAAATGTGATGACTGTATATTGATATCCTCAGCCAAAAGGGAAAACATATCTCTAACTAAGCGTACAAACTCTACCTGTCCAGCAGCTCTGTCTCGCTGCCCATCCCTACAACTTCGATTCCTTCTTCTGCTTCGGCTTCATAAGCGGCTTCATAACCACATTCAACTCCTCCATAAACCTCGGACTCAACACACTCCTCTCAATCCCCTTCTTCGCACCCCACTCCTCCTCCGTCTTCCTTTCCCAATCCCAAAATCTCGCCAAATCCTTCTTAATCCACTTCCCGATATGCTCCGCGCTTTCCTCGACCTTCTCCATGGGAATCAAATGTCCCGCGCCCATCACCGTGACATTGTCGACGCGCCCTTCGGCGCGGCCACCGGAGCCGCCGACGCCCGAGCCCGTGAGGCGCATTTTCTCTTCGATGATGGCGTCGTCGGTAAGGAATGACAATTCGCCGAAGATGTAGAAGACCGAGGGGCGGATGGAGGGGAGTTGGTTGTACACGATGGTGCTTTCGCCACGGTAGAAGGGTGCCTGTGGGTCCGCATCGGGCGTGATGTCTGTATGCGTTCGACGATTGACTTTCGGGTTACTCAGCGTGAATTCTGCAGATGAGATGTCCGTATCGCCTGGTTGGGCAGCGAAGTTCGGGCGCAGGAAAGTCATGACTTCTTGGTGCTTTGTCGTTGTCAAGGTAACTTCGGGTGCTTTTGCGTCGGGGAAGAGTTTGGTGGGGACGTCACGTAGCCCGAACTGGATCCAGCGGTCGAGCACGCGCGGATCCCAGGTCTGGTAGAATTTACTCTTCTTGAAGCTCTTGGCGGCTTCTTCGCGCGAGGGCCAGCGCTCGCGGCGCTTGGCGGATGCAAAGGCTGGTGAGACGTTGCCGATGAGGGAGACTTTGCCTTGGATGACGGGGTCGACCAGAATGAGAGTCTCAAAGAGGCGGGGATGCAAAAGAGCCAGGTTGGCGAGTTGACAGCCGCCCATGCTGTGGCCTACGCCGACTATGGGACGGGGCATTTGATCGCGGAAGATGTTGACCATGTTGAGAAGATCGCGACTGTGATCTAACCATGCAGCTATTCAATGTTAGCATGTGCCCATGCGATATGAAACTTTACACGTACGGTCATTGCCCAGCTTATCCTCGTTGAGCACGCTACTCCAGCCTTGGTGCACGACATCTGCTATCCAGATTCCCCTGATACCAAAGCCAAACTGCTCACATCTCTTCAACAGTTCGTCCCATAACGGTTCATATAGCTCTTTTGGGAACCCATTCGCGTGTCCAGCTATGATTGTGATGTCTCCGGGCTTTGGCTGTGTGTTGCTGAGTGGAGTGTACTGTTTCACTGCCATATGCAAGACATCTTCTTGAGTGGTGGAAGTGGCTCTGGGAAAGCCACGGATATGTGAGCTTTCTACCTTATGCTCCTGTATCCGGAAGTACTGGGAAGACATGCTGCTCTCCGATAAGGCTGATGGCGTAAGCCGGTAAGATGTGTCGATGGAGTTAATAGAAATGCGTAAACGTGGCCTGAGAAAAGCGATTTCTATTGTGACACTGTCGTGTAAGACGGTGTTCGGCGCAAGACGTCTTCTTTACGATGCGTGGTGTTCTTGGCAAGCATCGTGATGAGTTGCCGTTCATCTTAGCGCTTGCCGAGGTCCACGGATCCAAGATGCGCCCATACTTCGTTACATCGCTGTACTGTAGGCCTCATGGCACGTCATACTTCGACCACGCTATGGGAAGTGCACAAACTGTGCGAAATTATTGGAAATAAAAGGTAGTCTGCACAAGGTTCACACCAGTGAAATAAAAGGCATGCCAGAACCAAGCACTCGGTCCGTGGGGCACGTCACGTGAGCGACGCGACTGGGAAATCGCGACTACGCGCCGCTGCTTCGGAACGCGGGAGCACAACATTTCCTCGAGTCCCACCCCACCACACGACCAACTCTACTCCACATGCCATGATGGAGGACACGACAATGATGGAGGGCTCCCAGGGTCTTTTCGAGGAGCAAAGCTTCATCATTATCCCCAGTGGACTATCAGACAGCCAATTGGACAAAGTATGCGACGCGTCGCGAACACTTGGAGATGTACCTGACGCGTTCTACAGTTGCGAGAAGAGATTGCTGGCGAGCGCGGTACTATAATCCCCTTCGACCCTTCTGTAGGACGCATCGATCGGCTCGAGGAAATCACGTACATCGTCTCGGAAACCTCAGACTTCCCCGACTACTACCGCGCGCTGGACCTTATGATACACGTTGTCAAGCCAACGTGGGTGGCAGCCTCGCTGAAGACGGGCAAGATGAAGAACCCGCGAACGTACAGCCCAGATCCTGCACTCTTCATGAACGACGTGGTCATATGCTGTGGAGATATTCCCACCGGAGACAAGGAGGCTATCGAGGGTGGCGTGCTGGCCATGGGAGGGCAGATTGCGCCAGCATTGTCGAAACTGGTCACACATCTCATCGCGCTCGACTTGAGCGAAGAGCGTTGCCAGCTTGCGATCAGTAAGAGGCTACAATGCCTGATCGTCCTGCCTCACTGGTTCGACGACTGCCTCAAAGTCGGCCGTCGGATATCAGAACGACCATACACGCTACCCGATCCCGAGATTTTGAACCAAATCGATGCCGCTCCAATTCCCGCAGCGCGAACAAGCCAGCAGATCCGCGACGCGACCAGCCCAGACCCAACCAACGATCCGGTACCACCAGTACACACGGCACACCTTGAACCGCCACGCGCGATCAAGGCTTTTGCAGCAAAGAAAGTGAAGCTCGGGGACGATCTCAGCATTGGAACCAAACTGAAGGACATAATCACCGGAATGATCAAGGCTGGTGGTGGAGATGTCGTCAGCAAAGTGGAACAGGCCGATATATATGTCTGCACTTTCCGAACCGGAGCAGACTATGTCAAAGCATCACAAGACGGGAAAGATGTCGGCAACTTGAGCTGGCTGTACTACCTCATTACACACAACGTCTGGACCAATCCGATGCGACGCATGATGCACTACCCACGACCAAAGGAGGGCATACCTGGGTTCGAGCAATACAAGATCAGCATATCAAGCTACACGGGTGAAGCGCGGGTGTACCTGGAGAACCTGATCAAGGCTACCGGCGCAGAGTTTACGAAGACGTTCAAGCAGGACAATACACACCTCATCACCGCACACAAGAACAGCGAGAAGTGCGAAGCAGCAGCCGAGTGGGGTGTCATGGTCCTCAACCATCTATGGTTGGAGGAGAGCTACGCAAAGTGCAAGAAGATGCCAAGTACAGACGCGCGCTACATCTACTTCCCGCCACGAACAAATCTGGGAGAAATACTCGGTCAGACTGAGCTCGATCGCGATGCCGTTGAGAAGACATACTTTGCCAAGAATCGCAAGCTCACCAATATCAAGCCACTGCCACAATCGAATACAGTTCCGGCGTCTAGCGTACCACCGAACATGATCAGTGGTGATGAACAGCCTCACAAGTCTCTGGTGGCGGACAAGGGAAAGCGAACGAAGTTAGGCGGTGACGCAAAGACACCACTACCAGTGCGGCACTCGGAAGAAAAGGAGAACTACACGCCTGGTAGTCGTGGAGCTAAGGACAGAGCGTTAGCAAAGATGCACGACGCAGCGCCCGACATTGCCAAGTTTGAGAAAGAGATGAAGCGCAAGGGTGGTGTTATACACGGCGGCCGGCGACGCACAGATGATGAGGTCGAAGAACAGCAGCCCAACAAACCCAGGGGCCGGGACTCTACCTCGAGTAAGCGGTCGATCGACGAGGTTGAGGAGGACGAAGCGAGTGAAGAAGAAGTTACTGAAGCCCCAGCCAGAAACAAGAGGGCGAAGAAGGATAAGCTTACACCTATCAAGTTCCGCATGCTAGTCTCAAAGGACGAGCGATGGACGAACAACGATGAGAAAGCATCCAAAGAAAAAGCAAAGCTCAGAGAACTGGGCCTCTTCATCACCGACGACTTCAAGAAAGTCGACCTTGTTTGCGCCCCGAAGCCCGTTCGGACTAAGAAATTTGTCGCAGCACTTGCCTGCGCTCCGACACTCGTCTCAACAACCTACCTTGATGCCGCTCTCAAGAACAACAAGCTCCCTCCTCCCGAGAAGCACATCCTCGAAGCCAGCGAATTCGAAAGGGAGAATGGGTTCCGTATGTCTGAAGCAACGGCTCGCGCCAAACAGAACAAACATCGCCTCCTTAAGGACTGGACGATTTTCTGCACACAGAACGTTGCCGGCGGTTTCGAGACTTACAAAGACATCATTGAGGCGAACGGTGGTAAATGCGCCATGTGGAAGGGTCGAACGACGAGCATAACAGCCTCGAAACGTAAGAAGAATCCATCCACCGAAGAGTCTCAAAACCAAAAAGAAGATGAGGGCGACGTTTTGTATCTGATATCTGACCCGGATAAGAAGGAATTTGCAAATTGGAGCAAGTTCAAAGAGTTGGCGGAGAAACACGATATGATACCACGCATTGTCAAGACAGAGTGGATCTTGAATGTAGCGATGAGTCAGTATGTGCATTGGAAGGAGGAATGGGAGTTGAGTGAGGAGACTGTCAAGGCTGGGAAATAGATATGGTTACGATGTATTATGATGGGCTAAACATTGGCGTTTGACGGGGCATAAGGGTGGCGCTATACATCCATGTTGTTGCGCTTCACATTCTTGGAGCGTTCGGCTTCGGCCTGCGGCATTGGTTCGCTTGTATTGATAGATGTAGCATCAGCGCCTGATGTTCCGTGATCTTGAGTTCGCGAGACTTTCTCGTCTCCAATTGCAACGATTTGCTCTCTTCCAACCTTCCGTCTCGACTCGGCTCTATGGCAGTCACAAATTATGACGAAAGCATGATGTCCTCGCTCATGCTCCCAACTTGTGCTTCATCTCTCTCGTCTGGGTATCACATCTCAAATCCATCCCACCCTGCATCCACGCCCTCAAAAGAACTTCACCCCCTCACTCCCCTCGCCCCCAAAAATCTGCGCCTTTCCCCTCTTAACACTAACCCCCAAACTTCTCATCAACAGCTCCAAATCCATCCCCCAAAACTCCTCCTTGCGACTCGCATCCCCCTCCACAATCTCATACAACGTCAGCACCGTGCCCTTCTGCCCCGTGCGATCCACCCACTCCTCCAGCACCGCGCTCCACTCCTCGGGCCGCCGCCAGAATATCCAGCACCGCCCGCCTTCCTCCTCGACCGCGGCTTTCTTCGATTTGCTGGCGTTGATGAATTCGACGCGGTTCCCGCCTTCGGGCGTGGACATCCAGGTTAAGATGGTCTTCGCGTCACGCAGGCTTAATCGGCGGCGGAGGGCGGTGTTGTTGAATAGAGGTGTTTCGAGCGCGTCGATGAGCGAGAGCGTGAAGATGCGGTGGTGCCGGCAGTAGGATTGGATTAGGGTGGACCAGGAGAGGAGTTGGGAGGAGCGGGTTGAGGCGGTGGGTTGGAGCGTGAAGAAGGGCGGAAAGGAGTAGTGTGGTGGGAACTGGAAGCCTGTGGATGCTGCTGGCTGTGTGGTTGTGGGAGGGAGGGTGGAGGAGGTGGAGAAGTTGGAGGGGAGTGGCGAGGCGGTCGCCATTGTGGATGTGGTAAGTCACGCTATGTGTTGGACGCGCGTATGCTCGAGGGTTCGAAAGACAGTGGTGAAAGTAGTTTGTTGGTCTGGAGTCGTCGTCGAGTCGAGGCTCAAGGCAGGCACGTGGGGGAGAGCTCGGGGGAGCGCGGGGAAGTCGGGACGTCATTCGCTGCTTGGCGGTGCAATACTCTGCAACTGCCCCCGACTTGTGCTCATCTCTATCTTGCTCATCAGGTCGTATTGCTTTACACACTCAGTATTTATTGATTTTAGGTATTCATCTGCTAGTTACGAAATATAATTGAAATGATATGTCTGTATGACTCTAGGCCCTGGGCCGGAAACATCCTTCCATTTATTTATATAATCTTGAACACCCGACGCTCCGCAGTGTCAAGTGCGATTTCCATAATCATACTCTGCATAGAAGAGTGTATACCTATATTTAGAGTGGGCCTAACGTAACCTATACGTCGAAATGTGTTGCGCAGTGACTTATCTCCAACGGCGCGTAGAAGAATACCTCGAGGCGTAAACTCTGTTTTGGAAGTCTGTACCAATGTGCAGAACAAAGCTTCCTGTACAATGATATCATGACGTGCCATATCTCCGGTATGGACATCCAATATAACGCGTCCCACACGAGGTGGTGATGGTTGCAAGTCATGGCCCTCTGGAAAATTGCCTGTGTCGAAAAGAGAAGAAAGATTGTCGTCTAAGTGGACGGGAAGCAGGTAGCCGCGTGCTGTGATACAGCAGTTCTTGAGTGGTCCATAAGGATTCGTCTCTGACTGATCGTATTCGACACCCAAAATCTCGATGTCATCTTCACTTTCAATAGCTCCAAGCTCGTCTGTATCTCCCTCATATTTGATCTCACCGGTCACGACGCTCAGCTCCAAGATGGCACATCGTATTCCTGCTGCGGTTGACTGATGCGTGAGGCACGGATGAAAGCTTGGTCGAGATGCGGATCCATTGTCTTAAAACCCCACATCAAGCTTCGCACAAGATCACTACGCCAGAGACCACAGATATACTCATCAGATGTGCTTTCGTATAGAGTGGCCAATCCTGAGAGAGCTGCAAGTCTATCGGATTGATAGCTCAAATCTAGCCTCGTGAACTCTCCCACAAGCTTATTCCAATGCTTCCCAACCAAGCTTTGTGGAGACTCTAAATCATGACGTTCCTGATAAGAAGGTGCTTGGTTTCCGAGAAGTCTTGCTCTGTACCTCATAGAGGACATGTCTGTGTGATGCAGGATGGGTTGAGGAGTGGGGGTACATTGGCATTCTGTCTGGGACCAGCATTCCCACACGAGCTCCGTAAAGCAGTAGTGCAGTATTCGAGGAGCTAATAAGCGTTCCTGTAGACTTCAATATTGCGATTGCGAAGTCAGTGCCAACCTCGTATGTACGCGTTATCAACCAAACTTACCACCAGCCTCTTAGAGTGATCGGTAGCGGCTCGATAGCCCACCGGGGTTCTGTTGGCTTTATGTGGTGTTCCAACCCGTCGGGAAAGCCCCGTAATCGGATTCTGCGAGCATAAACTTGGCAATTTGTGCCCTGATCATTGATGCAAGGAATGGAGATAGACACATTCCTGTCAAGACTATGCTTGTACGGGCCAAAGCAACCATCTGCACTGTTGCGCACTGCATCCGCTGAAATAACCACTGTAGCACCAGAATATACTACGGCCATCTTTGCTGCTTCTCAGTTCCAGACTTCTTCAGAATCTTGCAAGATACAGAGCGAGTCTATCCAAAGATATTCTATACCGAGCTTCCTGGTGATGACAACAGCATCATGATATGTCTTTGGAAGACTTTCCATCAACATACCTTCCTTTCTTTGATTGATAGTGGCGGTTTTGGTGCAGAATATGCGCGAATCCCCCCAGCAGTGACTAAGGGCGACATATGAGCTGCATTCATCTTCAGGAACGTATAGTACGGGATTTATTCCCTCGGAACCAACTATGATGACCCTTGTAGGCATCTGTTGGGATGAACTGGGACATATTTTGTGGTTATTGATGCAGTTGTCCAACCAAGCTTTTGCCAGGGCCATACAATCGTCCTTAGAAGCATCAGGTGAAACCTTTTTTTGTGTCAGCTCGTGTAAGTAATCTATGACTAATGTAATAGGGAGATGATGTCACTGCGATGGTGCTCTCACTCACATCACGTGCAACTCCGATGAGAGGTGAAAATCGTGGAGCATCTGATATGATCAGCAATTGTTCAAAGTTGGCAACGACTTCATTGTTTTGGTGAGAGCATATCGGAACGGATACGCATGATGGGGCTAACGAACCTTGATGTATGTAAAACTCAATCTCCCCTTCTAGAAAAGTAGTGTTATGCGTATGGACTTGCAACGGCCCCTGATCTATAGAATACATTTTCATTCTCTGGGAGCCGTATGGTTCTGGCCCCAGGAAATGACGCAGCCCTTGCTGGAGGACTGCACAAAATTTACAACCGGCCTCTACTGTCCGTAAAAGTTCGTCCCAGCAGAAGTTTTTCACCACCTGATCTGGATCGAAGGACCTGATTGAGGGCCTTAGATTGTGGCATGTTGGACATGCTTGCGGGTCCCACGTTGGCCTGTATTCCTCTTCGAGCTCATCGACACCACCGTTCATGCTGGACTGTTCGCTGTTGAAGGTGTTAGGACTATACAGAAGACTAGGTGACCGGAACCTGAGTAGCAGCTAATCGCCAATAACAAGACTTTTATCGTAGTGCTGAAACATCTGCAGGATCGTCTTCCCATGGCCTGTATCACTTGCAGCCAGGTTAATAGTCTGGCCATCAATGGCGTGCGTATTGTAACTGAGGAGCAATTCCACAATTTTGTCCAAATGTGGTGTGTACATCTGGACAGCTTTCCTAAGTATTTGTGGGCCCAAAGGCGTGCCGTTTCGCTTTTTCAGAATCCATCGTAGTGATTCAAGTTCACGCCTCATTTCGTCTTCAAGTATCTCTACGCCAGGCTCGCTTATCTGATCGCCTGTCTCGCCATAGCTTCTTGCCCCTTCATCACTTCTTATCTCTTCCTCATCCGTGTTGTCGCTCGGAACCTGACTCTCCATTAGTTGATATGAACGCTACAGGGCGAGGTTTCTTTAAAACAGTAGTGTTCTCTCAATGCTGGGAGAAATTGAAAAGATTGTGAGTATGAAATATGCGATTGAAGTTGTTGCGTAGGTTCTTACTATGTAAACTGTTGGCACATATGTACCCCGCTTAACCGGCCCCCATATCGCCTGGAAGCGAGAGAGACCTCAGATGCACCGTATCCTGTGCCCTGTGCTTTTGCATTCCACTCACCGGCTGCATTATTTTTATGATTCGCTGCCAGCAATGTCTTCGCAAAGATTTGTATCACCAGCCTTCTAGATCATGGATTCTTTGATGCAATACACAATAGAAATAGCCTGACTAGAGCTTTCAAGACACCCGCTCTTGGAGAGATGAAGACTATTGGTCGTACCCTCATATACAGCGTTTATATATACTCATGCAAAAGCCAGAACCCTGGACTGCAACAATGTGTATTTCTTTTTCTATTGGATGCCTAAGCATACTGAGGGGTGGCGCCCCTTCCGCGAGTTTCACATGGATTCGTTCGCCTGCTCACTACTAAGCAGTAGATATAAGGTAAGCAGTCTATCATTCTGGCCTTGAGCATGGCACTTGGAATGCAATGTATTATGACTAGGGAAACTAGACGTCGAGTGGGATGCCACTAGTCTTAAATCGGCTTCCCGAATACTTATCGAAAATACGTGTCCTGCGAGCTACATACAATTGACTCTCATAGAGTTCTCCAGCTAGCACAAATGGAGATATTTGAAAGGTCAGGGTATTCCAAGAAATCGAAGCAGAAGCACGTTAGCAATCTTTGCGCAGCGAACCCGACAGCTGATTGCGCAAGACGGAGGATGCTATGCCTTTGTCACTAACGAAGTCCTAGTGCTTGCCTGGCCATGATGAAGACGTTGTCTTATCATGTGGATGATGAGGTCTGGTTACCCCAGGAAAGATGGAGCGGGGTACATACACCGCCCTACAATTAATCAGCACTACCATTAACTACTCGGCAACTGCAATTAGTAAGCAACTACCACTACCTTCGTAGTTACCAAGGTACTTATGCACAGTATGTCTGGTCTATTGATTCGTGAATAACAAATCACCAAGACGCCAAGTACCTTGAAACCATCGATCAAGAACATCCATCCAATACAATGTCAACAATCCAGCCCTTCACCGTCTCAATCCCCCAATCCTCTCTCGACGACCTCCAAACCCGCCTCCGCCTAACCCGCTGGCCCGACAAAGAAGTAGTCAGCGACTGGACGCAAGGCGTACCCCTCGCCACAATCCAAGAGCTATGCGAGTATTGGCAGTCCAAGTATGATTGGCGCCGCTGTGAAGCACTGCTTAACTCGTACCCGCAATTCACGACCACTATTGACGGTGTGGAAATATACTTCATCCACATCCGCTCGAAACATGAGGGTGCTCTGCCCATGCTCCTTACCCATGGCTGGCCTGGCTCGGTGCTGGAATTCAAACATGTCATTGACAAGTTTGTGAGTCCGGAGGAGGGCAAGGATGCTTTTCATCTCGTTATTCCAGCGCTTCCAGGTTATGGGTTTTCGGGAAAGCCGACGGAGATGGGATGGAGTCATCAGCGCGTAGCGAAGGCGTGGGGTGTATTGATGAATCGGTTGGGGTATGCGGATGGAGGGTGGGTTGCGCAGGGAGGTGATTGGGGAGCGCTTGTGACTGCGAGTCTGGGGAACCAGGCACCCAAGGGGTTGAAAAGTGTGCACTTCAACTCCATATATTTTGATGTCAAGGTATGGAATTTGTTTCGGGCGTTTGATGGCTTGAGAGAATGTGTGCTGATTTGTTTTGCAGAAAGAAGCGCAAACACCCTCTGGAAATAAATCGGGGGAGGAAAGAGCGTTGTATTTTGCTCGTCAAAGGGAAGTTACGGGTTTCCGCGGATATCTCCTGCAGCAATCCACGAGGCCGCAGACAGTCGGGTATGGCCTGGCTGACTCACCCGTCGGACAAGCTGCATGGATTTACGAAAAGTTGCAAGACTGGTCGCATCACGACGGAGACGTAGAGACCGTCTTCACCAAAGATGAGATGCTCGACACCATCATGTTGTACTGGCTCACCAACTCTGCAACATCATCTGCTCGATTTTACTGGGAGAATCGCCATATCAACTTGACTAGTTGGCAGATTGATTTACCGGTTGGCGTGAGTTGGTTCGGGGGCGATAATTCGTACAGTCCGAGAGAGTGGTGTGAAAGGCATTATACGAATATTGTGCATTGGAAGGAGACGGATAGGGGCGGGCACTTTGCGGCTTGGGAGAAACCAGAAATGTTTGTAGCGGAGGTACGCGAGTGGGCAGACAAGATTAGATGATGAGGCATCAAGCATGCTCTCGACGTGTGTCGTTGGCACTGATTGGTCTATCTCGTTACGATATCAGGACAATGTAAGCGTGCTTTGTACCAGTAGACGTTTCCAGTCGTACTGAGTCAGGAAGTGCGATAATGCTGCGCTCCGATTATGGACTGCCCCTACCAGCGGTATTAGCGAAGACTGCGATGCTTTCCTAGGCCATGCTGTCACCATGGTAAGTCAAGGTGAACTACGCAGCCCCTGCCGTCAATATGATACAATCGAATTGTACAAAGTCGATACGACTAAACTCAGACCTTGACTGCGGGCCGCTCAAGGACATCTTCGCTATCCACTATCTTGTCTGTTCTCGCTTCCTCCCATACCTCTAGCGCCGACAACTCCTGTAACCGCGCTTCCCTCTCTATCCTCTTGTTCTCTTTGTGTTGCTCCGACCGAGTAAGCGCAAGGCCTGCTTTCTTCTTCCTCTCGATGGCCGCATCCGCTTCCGGATCCTGCTTCTTCAGCAGCATCTCCGCTTGCTTCCGCAACGCCCTCGCTGCATCTCGTTGCTTAATTGGATCAAAGGCCCCGCTCGCTTCAACAGATATATCCGTCTCCTTTTGGCGCTCTGCCTTGCCCCACGGTGCGAGGTCTGGGATCTCGGGCCACACAAAGGGCTGCTCCATCTCGACGGTCATGTATTTCTTCGAATCAGGACGGAAGAAGTGTCGGGGCTGTGCTTGTGTGTCGCGCACGGGCATTTGTTTTACAAAGGAGCGGACGTTGAAGCATTTGACATTGTAGGCGTGGTAAAGGTAGTCGCGCAGGTCGTACTTTGAGAAGTCGAGCGGGACGAGGAAGCGCGCGTGGTATGGAGAAAGCCTTGGTGTCCGGATGAGAGCGACTGTGAATTTGGGACTGCGTAGCTTGTTAGTATGCACTCGTATTGTTTGCTTGTGAGACTCACAGATAGATCTTCTTGCTCCCGAACGCTATAAGCTTCTTCGTGATCGGTATGGCGTCCATTGTGTGCAGGAAGCCAATTGATGCAATATCCGCTGTAAAAGACTTCGCGATCAACACTGCAGTGCTGGTAGTACCGGAGTTAGCGGTGCGAACGGTGGGATGCGGGCGGTTTCACGCTGTTCAGACAATGTTGATGTTCACGGAAAATCGATCGGAGGTGCACTTTCGCCGCCCGCGGTCACGTGTTGACCAGCTTCTCCAACTTCAACCTTTCCTGTCCTCATCAAGTATGCCATCTACCCTTGTTTTTGCATCGTATCTGTCGAACATTCGTCATCGAGACTTCTGCATTTGGTTTTGCCCGTTGCGTATGCTCGTGTATAGACTCTCATCAAGCAGGGGCATGCTAAAATACTCGACACTCTGAGGAGAATGTCACCGGTCGTGACCTTTGGGAGTTGCGTAGGAATGATACATGTTTGCCGGACCCATACGTAGCCATTGCTGTGTGAGGCGGCATGTGGATGAGTTCTTAATCTGATGCTATGCGAAACGACTGAAGCGCGTTGTACTAACTTCCATCATCTAGTGGGCCATCAGCAGGTAAGATTCTGGAGTATCGTGCTATACATGCACATCAAATCCCTGTAGCCTTCAGATAATACCGCATGTTCAACCTTTAGTCGATACACAACATCTTGCCTGGGCTTCAATCTGTACCTGGTCCTACTTTATCCGCTCTCCTTACTTTCTCCACAGCTGCCTCCTTCTCTGCAATCATTTTCTCGGTTCTCCACTTTCCTGCAAGCAGTCGCTGTTCTATGACATTCAAATAATGTTCACTTCCGACGTGGCTGCAGTCAGCTTTGTCGGATTGTCACCTGAAGGTAAGCTAGGCCTCAGTAAAGAAGTAAGTCTGCAGCACACACTTCCACTATCTTCCTCAAGAAGGGAAATCTTGTCTGATGTCACACTGGCCAGTCGCACCTTCCGCTGCGCTTGCTGAAAGACAAACGGCAGCGGTCTTGGCGCTCATTTTTGTTTACATCTCGCCCACCTGCCGCGAGCAACAAACATCTGCACCTGCCCCATCATCAACTTCGCCATGAGTGCAGAGAAACCGACCGTCTGGAACGCTCCAGCGTCTGCTCCGCTCATCGACCCGAATGCATTCATCGGCAAGAAGCCAGCCAAAGTCATTCCGGTTCCATCTGAGTACCGCCGTCAGACGCTTGCACGAGAGCGCGACACTCTTGTTCATGACCTTAGAGTAGAGACCAACTGCCATGTTGTCCCTCATTGGGACCAGGGCATGATCAGGTCCTTCGACATCTATGGCGCTGCCACCTGTGTGGAGAAAGCCACTGGTCGCATTAACCATTGGATCTCAAATGCGCACACAAAAGCCTTGGCCGCCTCGGCTTGGGGAAAGATCCCAGCTTACAACTACGACAAATGGTATTACAACAAGGTGGAAGAGTGGGAGAACACACGCAAGCAGCTCTACAGAGGCCCAATCCCTGCGCAGAGCCATGCAGATGCGCCCAGCCACTTCGTATGGTCACCAAAGTTCTGGCAATCAATGAATAAGCTTACAAAATATGTTAGGACGTCGTAGATTGGCCGACTATTCTCAGCGACGAGCTTCTTACCCCTCGAGACGTATTTGGCGGCAAGCTCGAACGACTGGACAAGCTTCGTATGCAGGACAAGGTTTGGTTGACACTGCAGCAGAACGATATTGGCACATGGCAGATCGAAATCGCCGGGCATGAGGACGCGGAGGTAGCAGTAGCAAAGGAACACTTGCATACGCTGCTTGATCAGGTGCGCACAGACGCTTCTGGTATACAAAATGCCTACAACATTGTCCTGGACGAGCGTGAAGGCATCGATGTCGAACTACAACAGGATGATTCGTGGTGGCCAAACCACAACGACAGAGTTCTGCCGCGCCTACTTCCCTCTCCTATGATGGACAAACCTGGCAATTTTCGCCAGGAATTTCTGGCCGAGAAACACCTGGCGGGTATTCAAAATGCTGTTAAACAGGGACTCGACAGCGTTCGTCATAAGAAAGGCTCGTACGATTTTGCGATTCGTCTGGGATGCCTCGCGCTTAGCTCTAAACATGTCAACGATGAGAGAATTGGCGAGACCTTCACTAAAGATACGTTTCTGAAAGATATCAACGGAAGGATTGCACTAGACGTAAAGAAATGGTGTGTACATATAATGCTGTCATTGAGTCATACTGACTGAGAACATAGGCTCGCGAATGATGAGTTTGGCTACCGCATTCTTCACCGGCTTATGGCCAGGGGGGACGTTCTGGAGCCAACTAGGTCTGCTGCATACTATGGATACATCCCGAGTTCCTTGCCTGAAACCCGTCCAATCTTCCGGGGAACTTGGGTGTTCCGCGACCCAAACAGCACTGTCAGTCTACCGCGGATGGCACCTCGCCACTCGGGTCGCCCAGTACCTTTGAAACAGAGTTCTACAGCCAAGGAGAATGCTTCTCCTCCCCCTTCATCTCTATATGTCGTTCAGGTCGACTGGACAGACGATGAGCAGGGCCAGTACGAGAGGGGCGTGCCTATGTTCTATCAACTTAAGCCTGGACAACAGGGTCCTGTCAAGAACATGGACGTGAACATGCTGGAGCTTGGAGAGTACGTATCCGGAAAGCAATTTGGGCTTGACAAGTGACTAATACCAAGCAGGAGCCGAGGTTGGCACTTCGCACTCGAGTCTCTAGAACCTGTTGCGACCCACACGGTGCCACCTATTTTGGCCAGCTTTGTGAAAGGCGTCACCATGAAGCACAACTACAACACGTCCTCTACCGGAAGCTTTGCAGAGTGGGATTCTACACCCACCGTCAAGAGACACCTAGTCACGGGCCGTCTCGACAGCATCTACTGCTTTGGTATCAAGGATACTTGCTACAAGGTGGAACTCACCGCTATGTGGTACCCGCAACAGCAGAAGCCAGTCTGGGGCCTTGCTGTCCGCCACCCTGAGTGGGCGAGACATCTCGCGGAGCTGGAAGAGCTCCCCGTTGGTCGCCGTGCGGATTGGGGAGACACAATCTTGAACTTCTTCCCCGAGGACGGTCAGATGTCGACCTATACTGCGGACACCGAGAACATCGGCATAGAGAGACTCAACATCAGCGATGATCTTCCGGTCGGCAATGGCCTTCGCATCTTGGTGGAATGCCTCTTGAGGCTGTCCGAGATCGTTAGCTCGGTCACGGATGAGGGGGGTATTCAGCTCTGAGTTCGTTTGCGATCGTTTGTCTCTATCTCCTCTAACTCCCAAGTATACTTGGCTGGACTTCGGAAGCAGCGTAATGGTGACGTATAACACCTACTCTAGTATCAGTACCACACCCGCGAACGACTCCAGCCGACACCAACGCCTTCAAACCACAACATAACAGTATGTCTCATTCTCATCTAGCTCTGTATAAAAGCTAACCACAACGCAACCAGCCAAGGCCACGCCGATGACAGCATTCACGACTGGTTCCAGAAGTCGCGTCGGCATGACTAAATTAGGCATTCAAGACACTTGAGTGATACCAAAATCGAATCGGGGATCATCACATAGGCGCTAATCAGGGCACAGTGTGGAGTTTGCGAGCTACGAGCTACCAAACCTGCATCAAGCTATCCAATGACTAGAATTTCGGTTCATTTTCTGACCAACCCTTGACGGATCTCACCAATCTTCATGCATGCTGACACCATCTCCGATCTTCTTAAGCGCACAGGATCGTTTCTTTGACCACCTAACCACAGTATAATTATGACTGAACCACCAGACATGTCATCCTCCCCACCACGAGTCCTTGCATGCCCTTGGCTGTCAAGCGACTGTCGCGTGACCCCCTTGCTGTCATGATGTGCCCTTGAATCTCTTCCCGAATTTCTTCATCCGCTGCTCTCCCCCTCCTTACCCTCCTGGCTCTGCGCATTCATAACCTTAATCCTCATGACCTCCTCCACCATCCTCACATTCCTCGCCTTCCCCTCCACCACGCCCTCCAGATCCTTCAAACTCTCGCCCAAATCTTTCACCTTGCGCTCGTAGAAATCTTTCGCATCCGCAATCTCCTTCTCCACGAAAAAGCCCGTGCCTACGTCGACGAGCACGTGCTTGTGGTCGGTGAGGTGGCCGGGGACGTAGAGCGAGGACGTTAGGGGTACGAGCAGTGTGGGTGGGGTTGAGGGGGGTGTTGGGGGGAAGGCGGTTGTTAGGGAGGCGATGCAATCGCGGAATTTTGATTGCGCGGTCCGCAGCGATTGGAAGGATGTGGAGAGGTGGGTGAGTTCGGCGTCGAGTTGGGATTTTAGTTCGCGGAGTTGCGGGATGGGGAGTTGGGCGAGGTCGACTAGTTTGCGTTAGTTGTTTTAGAATTAGGAATTGGGTAGAGAGAGGAAGTACTTTGTCCGCCTTGTTGTTGCTGTTGGGACGCCATTGTGTGTGGTTTGTGTGTATGGTGTTGCTGGTGAGGAAATGTTAGGACGTCTGCGGGGCCGTGGGGTAGCTTCCAAGGTTAGCTCGGTATAACGCGTGAGCGCGTCTCCAACATTTCTTTGCCATTGCGAATCACCGCCCGCAAACACTCCGTGGAAAGAATGCAATCCAGTCGGAACATGCGTGCAATCGCCCGCGTCGCAGGAGATATCCACGTCCCCAGGCCGCCTGTCGGAAAGGTAAAGAAAATCTTCGAACCCCCGAGATGCTACCTCACCAAGGAGAGTATTCGCGAGAAATTCAACCCCAATATTCCCGCGCGCTTTAAGCGGTTGTTCAAGAACATTCCCGCGTATGACAAGTGGTTTGAGGACGTGAGCGGGACGTGGGATGAAGTTGAGCCCGAACCCGTGGTCATGAAGAACGGCAAGATGGTGACGTCGACGCGGAAGATCAAAGACCACTTGAAGCGCAAACAAGAGGCAGAATCGCGGGAGGTTAGGTCGTTAAATATGGGGTATCTGAAGCAATTCGGCGACACAGTCGTGCCGCTAGAGCGCACGACTATCGACCAGTTTCAGCGACACACGTTTGAGCGCTTCAATGCGCCGCTGAGCTTGCTGCTCGAGTATATGATGCTCAAGGGCGCGGCCAAGCAGCAGGCGCCCAAAAGTATGTTGTATCTTGCGCAGCAACCGCTGGGGGAGTTGCCGCAGCAGCTGCAGGATGATTTACCGCAGCCCGAGATGCTGAAGATCCTGGGCAAAGGCGACATCTACGCGTCGAGCTTGTGGATGGGTGGGAAAGGGAGCAAGACGCCGCTGCATCGCGATCCGAATCCGAATCTGCTGGTGCACCTTTGCGGGAAGAAGATAGTGCGGCTTGTGCGGCCGGACATTGGGAAGGAGATGTATGAGAATGTGAAAGCGAGGTTGGGCAGGGAGGGCGGGTCGGCGAATATGAGGGGCGAGGAAATGATGCAGGGAGAAGAGATGGCGGCGCTGGAAACGGAGATTTGGGGAAGAGAGAAGAAGGGCGATGAGACTATTGGCATTGAAGTCGAGTTGAAGAAGGGCGATGGATTGTATATTCCACTAGGGTGGTGGCATGCTGTGAGAAATACGGCAAAGGGGCCGAATGTTTCGGTAAGTAGTGCAGTTCTGCTGACTGAAGGGGTGAGTGCTGACATGTGCTTTTTGCAGGTCAATTGGTGGTTCCGCTGAATTGCTATATCCACCGCTCAAACTCCACTCTTACAGTTGCTTCGGACCCATCGATCCACGTCGCTATTGATCGCGTCCCAGGCACGATTTCTACCTCCCTCATCACCCTCTCCGCTTTGTCCTCGTCCTCGCTGTCGTCTGAATCCCAATCGTTGTCCTCGTACGCCGCCACGTTACTCTTCGCAAGCATCCAGTCGCCCGTCTCCCACACCAGCTTGCAATCATACGGCATGATGTCGAAATGCTTCCCCACCATCCCCAGCACCGTATACGCCGTGCAGTTCATGGGAATCTCCGCGTCATACTTCCTGCTCTTATCTGAAGCTAGGTAGAAATGTATCTTCAGCAGTCTCGCCGCCAGAGAATTTGGATTCACAGCATCCTTCTTGCTCTGCACATCCGGCTCGCCGTACTCCTCGCACAACCACGCGTATCGCGGATGGGTTTTCAAGATCGCCTCTCTCATGCCGTCGGGCGCAAATTGCACTTCCTTGGCAATCATAGAGAGGTAGTAGCTCTCGGCGTTCAGGCGCTCTTTGGGGTTGATCGGGCTGTGATTTAGCGTCTTGAGGTTTCCAAGTCGTGCTAGGGTGAGCATGTACCCGTCGTCTGCAGTCAAGGCGCGACCATCGGGAGCTTTTAGATTCTCATAGAGAGGATTGCGCGAGACGCGGAGACTGGTGAGGCCGGGGAAGACATGTGCGAGCATCTCGATGAAGTTCCACGTGGAGATTTCGTTGAAAGAGAGATCGACTTCTGCGACACTTGGTGGGAAGGTGGGCATTGGACTTCCAACGTCGGATATCTTGTTGGACTTGAGGATCAGGCGTTTAAGATTCGGAAGGGAAGTCAGTGAGGATATGGCGGATAGGGAATGGATCAAGTTATCCTCGAGCGTCAGATCGGTGACCGTTGGGTTGAGCGTATGTGCCGAGAGATTGGTGTAGAGGTTACTCGATGCGCCAAAGACTGATAGCGTTGGGAAGAGGTGCGTTATCCTCGCCACATCCTCCCATGGCAGGAGATTCTCCTCTAGTCTCAAAGTGTTGATGTTCGCGAACGCCTTCAGGTACATCTCCCTCTCTTCTTGCGTGACGGACGTGTCTCGAAATCGATTTCCACTACACATCGCCTCATTAGTATCATCCATGTTTCCCCTCACATTGAGATATGCTCACTCGACTCTCAAATTCCTCACCCTCTCCAACTCCTCACAAATACTCGCCACCTCCTTCCACTCCTCAAAACAATTCCTACTCAAATCCAACTCGACAGCCTTCGGACACTGGCCGCCCACATCCCCCTTGCCTCTCCCCTCAACCCACCCCCTCCCTCTAACCTCCGGCCTACACATGCCCAGCCCATCGAGAATCACAATGCGCAGTTCAGATAGCTGCGCGAGCTGGGCGCGGATCTTGTCGAAGCCGATTTCCTCCGCGACTTTACCACTGAATTTGATGGGGGCGGATTTGAGGGAAGGTTGGTGGTTGAAAACGATCTGGACGTCGGGGTCGGTGAAAGCGTCGGAGTTGGACGGCGGGTCGGAGGCGTATTTTGACTTTAGGGCTTGTGTGAAGGAGAGGGTGGGGTCGGGGGTGCGGGTGGGGCGGATGAAGGATGCGGATGTTGGTGAGGGGTGGAGGCCTGGTTGTTTGTTAGATTCGATGTACGGAAGACGTATTGGTGTTGGTATTGGCGTATGAAGTTAAGACGTGTTCGATAGTTGACCTATCGTTCAATACAAGTTTCCGAGGAGAATATTTGCGCAGATGCCCTTGTTGGACATGAGGACAAAGCCCAAAGAAGATGGATTTTGAAACCGAGTATGTAGAAATCACTCCAAGGATTTCGGCATAGGGTGTGTACTCACACTCGAAGTACTTGACGCCTTGATGTTCTCCGGCATGCTTTCCTCGAGTTGGGTCGTCCCATTCGACACCTAGCCATTCACCTTTCGTACCCTGAACTTCTCCGTGATAGCGGACTGTGCATAATCGCCCGTCATACGACAATCGCTTGCCGATGTAAAAGTCCGTACTCATCCCTACTCTTTCTGATGAACCTTGCTCGAGATCGAAATACTAAACAGCCACGTATAGTACACAGCGAAAGGTGCGTGGACGGAGGACTGCAACGACAACGTATTACTAATCTCAAGTCTTAGAGCCTGGACATCTCAAGACACAAGCAAAAGGATGTGCATGAGGTAGGAAGGAACAGGGCACCGCTGCACGTGACATTGGCTTAGGTAATATGACTAGCGCCCGGATGGTACCTGATCGTCGCCCCAGAATTTCAGCTAGCCAACGCATCACTCACGCGCAACGACGACAATCGATCCACCAAACTCCTAAGCATTCTACCCGGCTAATACTAGAGTTCTACAACCTCAATAAAGCTGTTTTCCATCTCCACAATTTTGCTGAGGGTGCTACATCATGGAACTACCCAGGTATGCCTCTCACCTCCACCCTAAAAAGAGCTAAATAAAAATGTCCGCAGAAACCGCGCCAGGCTTCCAAGTTTCCGGCGGGCGGGTGGTGTCGCCTCACAGTCAGCAACGAATGCAGACCGAAGAGAGCGTCTGCGGAAGCTCGCGCTCGAGACGATTGACCTCGGACAAAGACCCATACTTCTTCAAGAACCACGTGGAGGAGTTTCGAGTGCCGTCTATGCCTCACCGTTCACCAAAATGATGGATCCTACCTCGCCCATACACAAAGGAAGAAAACATCAGACACAACTTGGCGCGTCGTGCTGCGAAAGAGCAGCGTGAGGGCAAAAGGGATGACGCGAGCCAGGCGGGACTGCTTGCCGGCGTGCAGGTCAAGAAGAACACACTCAAGATCGGACGACCAGGTTACCGCATTACCAAGGTCCGCGACCCGATGTCCCGCCAGAACGGCTTGTTGTTCCAGTTCCAATTCCCAGACATCACCACCGGCGTCGTCCCGCGAGTCCGCTTCATGAGCGCCTACGAACAGCGCGTCGAGGAGGCAGACCCAAACTACCAGTACCTCATTGTCGCGGGTGAGCCGTATGAGACTGTCGCAGTGAAGCTGCAGGCGCGCGAGATCGACAGGAGGGAGGGAAAGTTCTGGACCTGGTTTGACGACGACAACAAAGAGTTCTGGTGTCAGCTGCTCTTCAAGACTGAGCGCGACGAGCGCTTCAGCGCAGTTCCAGGTCTTGCTCCCGGTCGGAAATAATTCTGGTACGTTCGCATGCGACGAGTCAGAAACCACGCAGGTATCACGGCTGGCATCTAGACGTCGAGGTCACTCTCATCAAAAAAATCCCCGCTGCGATATTGTTAGGCGAGAATACCACTATCACCAGTGGGGTGTGCATGATTCACGGCGTTCGATTGGCGTTTAAACATGGGGATATCCGTTTCTCGGGGCACTACGCGTAGGTAGCCCTTTTCCAAGTACAAGGCCTCAATGTAACATTATTGTGCAGATCCTCGTCTCGGACCACCTGTGACTGTGGACTAAGGTTACTTGGGCTTTTATCGGTACCAGGTTTGAAGGAATGTGTGTGAGTGTGAATATTACAACTAATCCTCTGTCAGTGCTCGCCATCGCAGATGACCCGCACCGTTCAAGTTGCCACAATTCCTTTGTCCGCATCCGCAGTGGCATGGCAATAACTGCTCTTCATCCTGGTTGCTAGTGCAGCATTAGAAAAGCATTGGCTAGGATTACCTCCGGGTCATCTGATGCCTCTAGACGAAACCATGCTCTATCCTAGGCTTTCGAGACCTCACCACAGTTGAACCGATGCTCCACCTGACCTTACTGCTGCTGGTCAGGGCCCAATCCTGCTGGTTGATTGGCCGTGGCTATCTTGACTGTCGATAAACTTGCTGCAGCCTCGCCACCTTTCCTGGCTGTAGTCGGAAACTGATACACCCACTCAGCTCTCTGTTTCAGCATGGATCTCGGACATTCATTGCGATAGGCAAAATTTTGTCAACGCCTTCACTTCTAATTGCGGGTCTCGAAGTGCATGCAGATTCTGAGCTCTCACGCAGACAGGTGCAGCACATCAGCTAACGTCACCGCTCCTTGTCTTTTGGCGCTATCTCTGGAGTAATCCAAATTGTTACGCCGCGCAACTCGGTTCTTCGTGAGTACGGATGGCACCGATTAGAGAGACTGACCCAATTCCTTGGTGGCAAACCACAGCCAATGAAGCGCAATAGCTAGCTAAGTATTCGGTTTTACTGGAGTGGGCCGTAGTAAGTTCCCTGTTACACCTTGTTGGGCCTGTCATAGGCCGTCATTTTTCTCCCCAGAAAAGAGCGAGTAAAGTGGGAAGCTTCACCGCCAGAGTTGTACGACGACAGCATCTGCCCCACAGACTGGCACGCGAAGCCTAGGACCTAGCTAACCCAGGGTCTGTAAGAAATCCGTGGACGATAGTAGGATCTCCATATCTGTGGAGCGAGTGGTAACACTGTAAACCCCTCTCTCGGAATCATGAAACGGACTACTACCTGCGGCAAGCAATCATCGTGTGGTCGGCGCCCGCAGTCAACTCTGAGTTTTTGTGGCATCCTTAGAGCACCCGGCGAGGGTTAGTCTTGCTGTCTGATCGATCCCGACGTCGCAATCCAAGGCAGTGGTCGAGTCTGTCATATGATCGCGCAACTAGTCACCCCGGCGCAATTGTAGTGCCATGCCAAGCTGCGCATCCGCCGACCGCGTAGTCAACCGTTTCGACTTGTCCACATCTGTCTTCCTAAGATGTGGAGATCAAATGGCCATGATAGGCGGTGGCTAGACTCTTCGCGGGCATTGTTCTGGAGACTGCATAGCGGTTGTTGCTGTTCGACATGCAATGCAATATTGGCGCGTATGCGATATGCGCAATTGACCTTTTCAATCATCCTCAGCTGCTACATTCGATCTATCAAAATCTCTCTAGTCTCGGTACAAGGTTGGTCTATGGTGGGGCTGAAGAGAGGCGGAAATAAGCGATCGTGCCCATTACTCACAACGCTCTAGCCAGGTTGCGATGATGGACAATCAGGGTTTGAAGCAGATAGTCCGGCCCGAATCATCTCTACGGAGCAAGCCATGGACCATTGAAAGCAGGTAAATTGACTATATTGGGCGCCTAGAGACCCTGCCGAAGAGCAGATGACAAACTTTACCCTGAGACATCGGTCTTGGGGGCACAGCCTCTCGGGAACGCGTCGAAAAAAAGAGACGCGCCAGCTTCGAACTGACTGCTTTGGTCAATCGACGCGTCAGTCGATTGCAGTGCTGGAGCCGTGGGGAAAGTTTAATCATTTCTCATTTCATTGCGCAACTATCATTTCAATGAGTCTGATATTATCCCAAGTTAAAATGTCTAGAAACGGAACGCACAGACAATGCCAGAGCGCTGTTGACAAAGTGGAGGAGCCAGTGATGGCGTTTTCAAGTCCCCCCCGCATGGACACAAGTGGCGCGCGCTGCGGAAGGGATGTGAGATGTGGGTTGAGGTATGACGGCGGAGATCGAGCAGCACGGGCAGGCCCAGGGTGTCGAGCGCGCCCTTGTCCGGAGAGCGGGACGTCTTGTGGAACGGATCGTCAGCGCAGAGTCTGTGTGCACACGGAACGCAAAGGCAACGGCATGAATTCCTTGTCCTTTTGGACGGCCAAACCAGAGCGTAGGGACATGACCCCGGAAGAAGGGCAGCGCTTCAAGTTGCTCAGCTGTGATGGTTTGGCCCGCGGGTGGCGGGCGGGCTCAGAGTGCAAAAGGCGCTACGAGTGGTCGACGGCTAGCGAGTTCTGATAGGCAAATGTATTGCGCATCCAGAGTTCGCCGATCTGTACAGGCGTTTGCGACGGAATCACGGGAGATGGGAGCAGGACTCTTGCAGGCTTGTTGCAGGCAGCAAGATGGGTCGTCGGGCTGGGGCCGCTAGGCTATCCACAGCAATAAAGTCAAGCATCTTCATTCGGCTGCTGCGGCAAGCATGGTGCGGCCAGAAGAGGTTCTTACGGGTTTTGGGAGTCAGACGATACGGGCAGGCTGATGGAACGAGGATAGCAGATGCATGACGACGGCGGCCGCTTATGCAGAGCTGTCTTGGGCGCAGTGCAGCTCTAGGGCGCGGTAGAGCGTGATTCGACGGCAGCCTGCTGACACGGTCGCCTTGATCAATCAGCAGGCGGATGCTCCTGTGACTGGTGGAATGCAGGCAAACTGCTCGGTGAGGCCCATGTCGGCCGTGGCCATATCGGTGCAAACAAGGCCATGATAGGCAGCTCTGGTGACTAGGGCAGCAGTGAAGGGGCCTCGTTCTCGCAGCGAGGGCCGAAGCATGAGGCCGGACGCATTCGGGATCGTTGGAAGCTTGGCCTTGGTGGAGTAGCAAATATCGAGATCCGCGCTAAAGGGTGGCTATCTGATGGCCCTCATGCCGGTCATCATGCTGTTCCGCTTGGTGTGAGGTGCGGCTTGAGCGCGTCCTACTCGTAAAAGGCGGCCCAGGTCTGTGCTGCGCTTCGCGCCGCGGAGCCACTCGACAAGCACCTACTAGGCATAGAATACCATACGCAATACACAGTTAGCCGTCTGCTGTCCAGCTTCCAGACAAGCCTCTCGAAGCAGTCGTCATCGTATTCACCCATTTGCTCGCTAGCCGACGTCTTGCAGCTGCGCAGTCTCCGCCGTTAGCTCTGCCGTATTGCGAGCGGGCCGTCAGCTGGGTTTCTCATCGCTGAGTCTGAGATTCGCAAATACCATAGGCTAGCCTCCGCCGCCCGTGGTGTTGCATCGTTTCGTCTCGTTTCGTCTCTCCTCTGCGGACTCTCTCTGGTCCACGGTGAAGATAGCCGCGACAGCATCCACCACACAGGGCAATTATTATTCACTTTGCCAGCCATCCGCCCTCCGCCATCCGCCATCAGCCATCAGCCATCACTGCGCAGCTCCACGACGCTTCCACGGTTAGTACTCACCCTCCCATTTGCCCGCTCGTCTCCGGCGCCGGGTGCGTGCAGCACTCGCCCACTGCTGCAAGTCACCCAGGCGCTGCTTACGATACGGCGAGCGAACCCTTACAGGCGGGTAGCAGCAGCGTGCGCCGCCGCGTCGTGCAGCTGGGAGCTCGCCATTCACGTGGCGGCCTTTACTCGAGCCTCTGCTATTGCCATGGGCGTCCTGTCCTGTGCACACGCTGCCGCTTCTTTGCGCGCTCTCTTGCATTTCGACTTACTCTGTTAGCCCTATATTTGCAGCATCCGATCGTGCCCGTCCGCGATTCGTCGTTGCACGCCCACGCACGCAGATCCCGCCGTCCTGTGATCGTGCTACGAGGCCGCCGGCCTTGCATCATCGCCATCGCAGCCTGTCTTCGCGTCGCCTCCGAGCCCTGTCCTGCGACTGGCCTTTGTTTGACGTCTGCCGCTATTGCTGCTGCTGCTGCTGTTTGGAGTCGCTTCCCCCGAACTGCGGTTTGACGTTCGCTCTTGGGCCGACGGCTAGTTCTCCAGTCCAAGAGTCCTGTTCGCTGCTTGGCCCCGCCCGCTGGAACTTCGGGATCTTGCAGCGCGCGCCCGTCGCAGCAGACACGACACCTGCCCTTTGCGACGACCGACGACCGACGACCGACCACCACCGCCTGCCACCACCGAATGCGCCTCCCGCCCCAGCCGTTCGCGAGTCGTACCTTCCCGCGCCCATTGGCTCCCATCTGAGCTGCTCAACCACACGACGCTCGCCGGACTGACCTGCGAGCTCGGCCGCTCCTGCGCCCCAAGGAATGTACTCTGTGCATGCGCATCCCGTCCAGACCATGTCCATGTCGAATGGAGGCATTGGGAACGGCATCATGGATCCATCAGGGACCATTGACCCGTCCGCCCTCAATGCAGCAGGTATGTCTAACTTCTCTTCGCTGTCCAATGTTTCTTCACGCGTCTGAGCGCTGCGCGCCCGTCGCACAACCACACCCATCAAGTAGCAGCCGCGACCCGTCGCCGCGACGGCGTTGCGCACGTGTTACACTCGCCGCGCGCGCCCGTTGATTTGTGATTTGTGATTGTGATGGCGATGGCGATGGCGATGCTAACTCGCCTTCCAGGCGTGCTTGTAGGCCCGTCGCAGCCCGCAGCACAGCAACCCTCGCGCGGGCTCAAGCGCAGTCGCTCGCCCGAGAACAGCTATGCAGACCTGCAGTACGGCGAAGATGGTACGTATATCGCGTCGCGGGACCCGGCAGACACGCTGACGGATGGCACAGAAGACGGCAAACCACGAAAGCGCGGGCGCCCACCAAAGGCCGCAAAGGGCGCGTACGCTGGCAGCCCCAACCGCTCGTCCCAGCCTCCGACGCCCTCGCATGGCGGCAACGCTCCCTCCGTGCAAACTCCCCAACTCCAGACCACCCCGCTGCCCCAAGGCTCGCCTCCGCGGGTGTCGCCATCCAACAAAGGCACTCCCACCAAACCCACAGTGATCAAGGCGCTGCCCACAGTGCGCGATCACACCACCGACCAGCTGAATCCCGAGGGCGACGAGTACATACCCCGCGAAATCGACGACGCTGGCGAACGCAAGGTCACACAGACTGGCCACCCGCTCGAAGGACGCGAATACCGCTGCCGGACCTTCTTCGTGCCGAATCGCGGCGATAAGCTGTTCATGCTCGCTACCGAGTGTGCACGCGTCCTAGGCTACCGTGATTCGTACCTGCTTTTCAACAAGAACCGTTCTCTATTCAAGATTATTGCTACGCAGGCCGAAAAGGACGATCTGATCCACCAGGAAATATTGCCGTATTCGTACCGTTCGCGGCAAATAGCCATCGTAACCGCCCGGTCCATGTTCCGCCAGTTTGGAAGCAGGCTGATAGTCAACGGACGAAGAGTGCGCGACGACTACTGGGAAAGCAAGGCCCGTAAGCAGGGATTCACAGAAGAAGACGCTGCTGGCGAGAAACGACCGGGTGCCGCGAAAGCAAGAGAAGCGGCGGCGGCGGAAGCCAACCACGCCAATACCATGACCTTTGCCCATACAGGCCCCTACACTGGCAACGCCCAGGACTATCTCGGCGGCGCTATTAACCCTCTACAACCGTTTGGAGGCCTCAACCCCGCACCGGGCAGCTTGCCTACAGTGGGCACGGACGCGTATGCTCAACGTAATACGACTGATCTGCAACCACGTGACTACAGTGGTGTCCAACGGCCTCGACATGAGATGGCCGGCGTGCCATATCAGGACATGACGAGGCCAACGCCATCCGGCGAGATTCTGAACGCCGCTGCCCAAACAGCAGAGGCCAACAAGCAGCTTGAGCAGCAGCGCAAGAGCCGCAAGGAATACCTGGACAACATGTGGACACGCCCACATGAGCCACCAGCGCAGACTAACCGCCCAGGGACTGCGGATGGTGACCAAGTACCCCAAGTCTCACAGGCTGTGCAATCGCCACGGGCAGCATCAACTAATGTGCCCATACCTGGCAACCAATATGGCATGGCTACACAGACACCACAGAGACCAGGGCAACAAATGCCGCCTCAGGCATACCGCCCACAGTCCATCCCACAGAACAACATGGTTCCATCGCCTATGGCCCAGCAGCACACACCAATGCGACCCGACCAGATGCACCGTCGCCCTCAAAGTATTGGTATGCCCCAAGGCATGGCACAACCAGGAATGGGACCGGGCGGAATGCTCCCTGGCCAGAATACCGGTCACGGATATCCTCCATCTCACATGTGGCAACAGGCTCCACAGCCATCACCACTGTCACAGCAGCATAGCATGCAGCAGTACGCACAGCGGCCTCCACAACAGTCACCTCTTCCCCAGCAATCACCTATGCACCCCTCTCCCCAGCTTCATCATGCTCAGAGCAGTGGCTCGATGCATGGCACACCAGTCCAACAGTATCAGACCATGGGTGCTATGGGGGATCCTGGATTCCAGAACATGGGCCAGCATCCTTACCAGCCTAGCCCGAGCCCTCACCAGTTCATGCAGCATCCCAGTACCGCCGGCCAGCAACCTGGCATGTCTGGCTGGGCTCCACAGCAAGCACCGCCGCAAGGATGGCAGTCCTACTAGAGATAGACTCGCCCCTTGTCAAATGCTCAAATGACTGCCTATCTCCACAGACTCTAGACCGGTCTAGAGAGACGGTACGCGACACGATCACAACGAGATAGCTGAGCCACGAGAAGGAACAACACGCACGCCGAGCAAAGGCTTGGAGAGCCCTGGATGGTACTGGTGTGCTTGAGCAAATTTCATTATTTCTTTGCATACACCGTTTCTTACGCATTGCATTCGTCCACCATTTGGTAGCCCGTTCACCCTATTATGCAATTGCATCGCACGGATACATGGTTATTTGCGTACTGTATTGATTGCATCGCATGGGTCTGCGGGACGGGATTGATGGTACTGCACTATGGGATCTTTTCTGCATCGCAAGTGGCGCCATCTTGGATCAGACTGTTTTACATCCTTTCCCTTCACATACTTTAGCTTTAGCTTCCCTTGTTGGTTTCTCCCATTCATTCCGTCTTCATCGGTGGATTGCCAATGTCTACTTTGCACAAGATTCCCCCTCATATTCCCCCTTTCGCTTTCTTCGAGGTTTATTTTTTCGGCTCGCGTCACACACTTGCATATTTGGTATTTGAGAAGGAGAACACATTTGGCCATGTGGATTGGACGGAGACTCGGGGACACATGCATAGGGTCGAGTTCCCTTGAGGGCACAGAGCTTTTTGGATTTTTTCTTTCCTTTTTAATATTAATATCAACTCGTTTCGCAACGTCAACATGTGTCCACTTTTACGATAACAACATGTTATGTAATGGTGCTGGAAGTTGCAGTGGCATGATTTCCGCACAAGAAGCACAAACACCTGCCTGTCTGCCTAAGCGACCACCATGCACCTCATCCCTTCGAGCCCAAAATTCGCGGAACACATGTGCACATCTGAAGCCCCAACGTCTCACCACTCCTGCACCCCAGACGTTGCGCACCTCCCGTGTCTGAGCGACAATGCACGTTCTTCTTTTGCGCCGATGCGGCCGGGGCTGCAGATCGTGCCGGCGGCTTTCAATAACGTCACGAACAAGGTTCAAGGGTTTGGGAGGAATTGTGCGGGTAAGACGCTTTGACGCCAGGTTGCTTTTGCGGGCGAGACAGTGGGTGTGATGGGTAAGCTGGTAGGCAGGCAGGCTGGGGCTCGCTAATCTGACAGGTGAGATGGTGGAGGAAATTACCCGGGTTTACCGGTCGGGTAGGAGTCATGCCGAGGTCTTTCCTACAACGAACAAGTCAACTTGGTGTTTTAGGAACGTACTCGCGAGCGACCGGGCCTTTTTTTTTTGTGTTGTGTTTGGCCCTGCTCTGGTCCATCTTAGTTCGGCACATTGTGTGTGAATCTACTGTAGTGTCGCCTTTGCAGAGGCTAAGAAACAAGCGATCAAACTGGGTCTCGTGTGACTTGTGACTTTCGGTTTCGGAGCACGCGAGAAAACGGGTTGGGGGGCGCTTTGCACACCGCTGCCGATGGTCGGGGAAAAAGAAAAAGGATAAAATCTTGGATGTTTCGCATAAGACTATTGAGGCGTTACATGTTCGCTTGGAATGGCGCCGGGAGGAGCTTGGGATTTTCTTGCCGTTGGGGTTACTTCGGCGTTTGACTGGTGGGATGCGTCAGAGAAGACGACAAACGGTGACTTGGTCAAATTCACTTCTCGCACCCTCAAGTCCGATTTTAGTCGAGCAAGTGTGCACATCGAGTAGAATCGTGGCTGAGCTCGTCGTCTAATGACTCGCATGCGCAATGGTTGGCTGGGACGCAGAGCCGCCATCAAATAGCGACATTTGGCGCGCCTCACAGATGGCAAACTATTCAAATGCACATGTGCACAATCACGGCAGGTCCGCCGTGGCGGATATACAGGGTAGTTTTGTAATCGAACATGGACAATTCGGGCCGTATCAGATAGGAAATATTTCGTTACACTAGACGACCCGGCCGTAGAAATGCCCTTGTTCACCGTATGTTCAGACGGAGCGCGCGAGCTTTTGGTGGCTTGGGGTATTTGACATTGACGGGAGCTAGGAACATATTGCACGGCACGGCACTTCATAGTTCACCGCTATGATTTAGTTTGATATGGCACACCGCTGGTTTGATGGATGGTGTTCGCAGCGTGTTTGCATGTTTTCCGGGGCAAGTGGTTTGCTGTGTTAATATCATGGTGGAGTTAGTGAGAAAGAGCTAGATTTGACCGGGAAGTTGTGGCGCGACCTGGTGATACGTCAAGAAGGATTTGCTAGTGAGGGTATGGCTGAGAGATTGCTAATAGTATATGGTCCATTCCGTTTGTTAAGAGGTGGTTTGTTCGACAGGTGGTGTGATCAGTTTCCGCCGTAGTTGCACGCCATGCAAAGGTTTCTGCAACTCAACTATTTCACCAGTGAATGCAGTGGGATTGGACTGAAACTTTGGATTGAATGATAACAGTTCTATGCCTAGAGAGCAAGAAACTTCATCAAGTCTGCTTCAGTTAGCATTCTGACATTTCTACGGCAGACATTTACTAGAGATATACGTTTCAAAGAAATGATTGGCATGCGCGTGGACTTTTTTTTACTGGTCAATCGTCTTGCATTTCTTATTGTCTATCATCACATCAGGGGACATATACGCGATAGTTTGATCTGCCTTACAAAGAGCTGGAGACCGCATTCACGTTCCTGGTTGGGGCACAACTTTCTAGGCTTCCCTGTCCATTTCTCATCGATGCCGCACTGTCAGTTTCTGGTTGATAGTATCGATAGACGCTTTTGCCCTTTACAAGTTTGAGACAGTCGAGGAGAGATGCAATGCCTTGTCCCATCGAATTTCGACATGTAGCTGGAATATGAAGTTTAAGGCACCCAAATGATCGCGTCGCTCCACGCTCACTAGAAGTGGGATTGTTCTGCACAATAAGTATTATTAGTTGAGTATCATGAACTCACTGTTATGGTTATGGCAAACAGAATTGTTTTCACGTTTAGGCGCCGCAAAATCGAGGCTGAACAACCCTGATCCTTAGCGTGCAGGTGGCTGACGGAACTGCCAGCTCATGAGCTTCAGCCTCACTCACACAGTTTTCCCCTCTTCAATCCTGCCCTCTATCTAAATCACCAGCCAGAAGCTATGGATCCGCTTAGTGCTCTGTCTATCGCATCAGCCGTAATCCAAATTGTCGACTTTTCCTCAAAGGTGATCGCTCGAACGAGAGAGGTTTATCAGTCAGCCGACGGCAGTATCGAGGAGATCACGCTTATCGAAGATGCGACTGCCAATTTAGACGATCTCATGAAGGACTTGATGTCGAAGACCGAAATTGAGGCCTTTACGAGGGGAGCGTTTGACCGAAAGACTCCAGATCAACAGCTCATACAGCTTGCGGAAGACAGCAACACTCTGGCCAACGAGCTGAACCAGACGCTCAAGGCCTGCAGGGTCAAGAAAGATGGGAGCCAGAGGGGCGCTTTGAGTCAAGGCCTACGCAGTGTGCTCGAGCAAAAAAGTCTGACTACACTCAAGCAGAAGCTCGATGAACTTCGGAAGCAGATCGACACGACACTGCTAATTACAATTCGGTAGGCCTCCCATAGCTATACTTGCCACACGCATTTACATGGAAACATAGTCAGGGCATGACAAATGGATCTGTCCGAAAGAAACCACCGCCCAACGAAACAGCGGAGTTCACCGACCGGAAAGTAACATTTCTTGCTGCAGTTCGAGACCATGATTGGCAGCCTACGACACAGCATGATCTGGCCGCATTTTCCGACCGCCTCATATCCTCAATTGATATGGACATCGAGGAGCGGTTTCTCAATGCCATTTTGGGTCGTTTGTACTTCGCCGATATGTCTGATCGGCATAGCAGCATACCTCAAGCTCATCGCGAAACCTTTCAATGGATATACAAAAGCAGAGTTCATAAAGACAGTACGAACTGGGATAGTTTCGCCGATTGGCTGTCAGCGTCTGACGATAAAAATGTTTACTGGGTCACTGGCAAGCCGGGGTCCGGTAAAAGCACGCTCATGAAATTCATGTTTGACAACCCGAGCACATGGAATAGCCTGAAATCTTGGAGCCACAGTAAACCATTGACAAAGGCTGGCTTCTTTTTCTGGAACTCGGGGACAGTGATGCAAATGTCCCGCCAAGGTCTCATTCAGTCACTCCTCTACTCTTCATTGAAAGAAGATAACAATACTCTTTTGAATGTGTTCAAACAACGCTACCAACAATTCCTTGGTTTTGGGGGTGGGAGACAACCACTCGTGTGGTCCGAATTGCGGGAAGCCTTTGAGACCATGATCTCTGCACCGCTTACTCCACGGAATTTCTTCTTCATGATCGACGGGCTGGATGAGTTCGATGGCGATTCAAAAGAACTCATTGAGTTAGTTCTATCCATCGCCGATCACCCGCACGTAAAGATCTGCGTAGCGAGTCGGCCATGGTTAGTGTTTTCAGATGCATTCGCGGACCGACCAAGTCTTCGACTCGAAGACCTTACCCGGAACGATGTTCAAAATTACATCAAGTCCTTCTTTGCGAACAATCAGCATTATACTAGGCTTGCTAGGCTTGAGCCTACCGGTGCTTCCAGCCTCATAGATAGCATTGCAGAGAAGTCAGCGGGCGTATTTCTCTGGGTCTATCTTGTGGTTCGGTCGTTGCTGGATGGTCTTTCCAATGCAGATCGCTTATCAGACTTGGCTCGGAGACTCAACGCACTTCCTCCCGGCTTAGAAGAACTTTTCAGTAAGCTGCTGAGAAGTCTGGATGCGGACTACTTCACACACGCTTGTCAACTACTCCGTCTTGTTGCAGGAATGAACCGACCGCACTTGCTTTACTTGTATTTTGCTGACAATGAGGACGAGAACTCTACAATACAAGACGAGACGCGGAGTCTTTCCCCAGACGAAATTCTGAGTCGGCTGGAAACAATGGACCGGCGGCTAATGTCTCGATGCAAGGGCTTCCTCGAAGTAGATAATCGCTCAACACAACTTGATCAACCACTGTCAGAAGGTCAGTCAATACAAATTGATGTGATTCCCGACATTAATGCTCTACAGATTCGCGTGTTGGCTGGATCCACCGTACTGCAAAGGATTTTCTAACATCTGGTACTCTGTGGCAGACGGTACTGGAGGCCACAGGGCACGATGCATTTGACATTGAAAGACGCTGGGCTAATGCTTCCATGGGTATATTCAAGACTACTCCAGCATCATTGGACGAGAGATGGACGAATCTGAGGATATGCATTGACTACGCTATACTCGTAGAGTTTAGCCACAATGTTTGCCCTGTGGAGTACCTGAACGAACTTTGGCGCTCAACCGTACAAAGACGAATCTATGAGAGCGGCGGATCATCTCCGGATATTCCCTTGTCGCAGATTCGGAGTCCTCTTGATTTCGCGGTCCATTTCTGTTTGGTCAGTTACATCAACGCCATAGGCCCCATCGTCACTCGCGAAGAACTGACCCATGCCCGCAAAACGGAAAGAATGCCACGCGCATCAAGATTATATCTAGATCGCACAGACAGTGTTTCTCTCCTAGGTGCGGGATTTGAGTACATACGGGCACGTGAGAAGAGGGAGAGTGAGTCTCGAGCATATTATTCACTTCGAAGCCCTGCCAGACTAAAGGAAGCACTGAGAAAGATCGAGATCAGAGTCGGCACGATCGAGAAAGGGCGCAAAGAGGGCAGATGGGAAAGAACAAAGAAGAGACTATTCTAAAGGATAACTTTAAGGAGACTGTAGGTCATGGCGAAAGAGCTGGACCTCTCCCATTTGGGAGTAGAAGCAATAAAACCTTATACTGTGAACACGCGCAGTTCCGATGCTCACCATTGCAACAACGTTCTGCATAAATGTATGCGCGATCAGTCTCATTGAATGAGTTCTTGGAATTCAGATTCCACGCAATGATGTATATCTAATAATAGAAACAGGCCACCAACATGCCGCGTCTGCCTGGTCTTCCTGCCAGTGACATGGCTTGGTTCAATTTACACCGCCCTACCAATAGAATTAAAGCTCAGCTCTTTACTCGTTTGCCTTTCACAATTTAATATCTGCTCTACCACTTTACCGGTCATAGCGTTATTACCTATGGCATCTAAAGCGATATCCAGCAATTCTGACAACATCAGATCTTGTGGTGAGACAGTAATTGAGACACCGAAAGATCCAATGGCAGTTAAAAGGCGCGAACCACGCTCACAGCATCCTGGCTTTCTAGACTTGGTCGACGATATCCTTCATCTCATCTGCTCAGAACTGTATGCTGCATCACGCACATCCCTGTTGGCAATCGCCCAGGTGTCACGGTCTTTGAACATAATCGCAACGCTGTACATCTTCCGAAACATATTGCTATCACCTGGACTACAAGGGAGTCAAAAGCGAAAAGCATACGAGGTACTTCTGCAGCGATTAGAAGGGCAGACGGGTAGCAAGCTCCTGAACCATGTTCCGCATCTTCGTGTCGACGGATTTGACTCTGTAGCCAGTCTAGAAGCCATCTTGGAAAATTGCCAGAAAGTTCGGCCGTTTCGGTATGACTATTTATTTTCTCTGTTTCCACGCGCTCAACAATTCGCAGCTGGCATGCCTATACACAGATGCGTACTCGGATCTTACGTGTTCTGCAGAGGATATCGCCTGACGTGAGAATAATGGTCCGTCGCCATCAACAGACAAATGCAGAGGCTTACATAACCAGATTGGATCTACCTCTACTCGCGTGTCCCTAACTAGTTGAACAGAAGTATAAAATCATTGACGGCAAGGATTGCTCCTCGGACTTGAAGCAGCTTCTCAGTTTCCTGCAATTCGGCGCCCACTGCAAGTCACTGCGGATTGATCTCACGCAAGCCGGACAGAGTTTCGATAGAGATCCGTGGGAAGACGTCCAGTTTGCTCTTCCATCACTTGAGGATGTAACAACAATCTCGAAAGGACTTAGCGAGGATTCGTCGCGTTATGATCCGTCTTCTCTTATACGTCACATTGTGGATTGTGCGAATCTGAAGAGACTTGAAACACCACACTGGATTCCATTCTACTCATACAGCTCCCCTTGTCGCCATGAAAATTTCCGGAATCTACGGTATTTTCGGACGAATATAGGGGACAATGATGGTTTTGAAATATCCTACCTATGCTCCTTCTTAAAATCAGATGTACTGAAACTACATGGATTGTACATCGAGGATTGGCTCCCGAAATATGGCCCCAAAGAAGGTAGACAGTTATGGTCAGCAATTCAAAGACAGAGACACAGCTTAAGAGAACTATATCTGCCAAGTAGACATGGAAAACCACAGTATCCTCCCGTTCCTCTCTGGAGTTACTTAGACATCGAGTATATGGTGTCTTTAACGGAGGGATTCACGGCTCTCGAACGCTTAGGACTGGATATACCGCTTTCGCCCACGTTAGACTATGACAACCCAGTAAGAATTCCTACTTCCAAGTGACAATTTACTCTGATACAAACAGCTTGATGACGCCTCCATGTCTCTCCTCAAAAAGATGAATCTCAAAGCACTCGATCTCTACTTCTTCCTACCACAAGATCGCGACACAGTGTTCGCGCCAAAGCACTTCTCGAATACGCTTCCAAGGCCTGCTCTCGATGTCGACGGTACGTTCAAAGCCACATGTGCCATAGCAGAAACAATCTCAAACGCGCAACGACAACTTTTGCAGATATTGACTATGCACATATCCTGCGAAGGGTCGGGCTCACACGAGGCGAAGATACAATTGAGGAGACAAGACCGGGATGATGCTTCTTCTATAGGCGTTGAGAAGTATCGGGTGATTAAGAGATGCGAATGGAGGAAGTTTGATGAGTGCGATACTGACGATCTCAGGGTGTTTGACCTGGATTGCGAAGAGTGACTGTGGGAAGTACTCCTTGAACCACCTAAACCTATCTAGCCCACTGCAAACAAAAACTATTACCTCGCATTCGTTTTCCCAATATCCAAAATTATCGCGTACTCATTGGCCGGCTAAATACCACCCATCCCATATTACTTCCTCCGACCTCATCTATTGCATAAATCTCCGATTCGCATCACAAGCGCACGCGCTATATCACATCGATAAGATCCAGATATTGCATTCGGCGACGTGGATGAGTGCAAAGGACTGGGGCCGGGGTCCAAGACGGAGTTGAGCGTCACAAGGCGATGTATCACATCCGATGGACGCGATCAAATATTGCTCAGGCCGTGATCGGTGGTCAGCTCCGAAGGAGCGCGAGGCTAGATCATGGGGAGTTGATAAGCAAAGTCGGGAAAATCTCGACTGGTTGGTTGTGTCGCTGCACGTGCAAGTGATGTTCGGAATAACGCGGAGGCGTGGGGGTGATCATACAGCAGTATGATACATATTCGGCGTAAGCAGACCTTGTCATCGGTGCGTGAATTTGTGTGACATTGGAACAACAAAGCGTGGGGACATGCAAGGGCAATATGTACGATGTTCCATGCATGCTGACTAGGGTAAGATGATGTACAGATTCTCACTTGTACTGAAATATCCGATCCCCTATGAGTGCCACGAGTTATCTCCACTTGTGACCTCAAAACAAAACTCACATGACCGATCCGCTCCAAATGACTTCAATGATGTGCCCAAGGTAGCGGCTACGGTGCTCATCGCATCGGAAGCTCGCTGCTCTTAGACTCAAAGCTGTATCGCAACCATTCGCCGACAGCCCTCAAGCTTTCCCACCGCACGGTCTCGTCTGCCTCCTGCATGAGTTCCATGACTCTACCCTTCAAGCCCAACTTTTCGAGTTGCTGCCTCTTCTCCGGTACCTCCTTGACCAGGCATGCCACATCGTTGCAACCGATAGCGAGGACCTGCTTGTCGTTCTCCCAATTCTTTGACAGAATCTCAGCAAGCTTGCGTGGGAGCTCGCCCTTGTTGTCTTCGAGTATGCGCCGCGCATTCTCGCTCCAGAAGGTGGGGTTGCGGTGCGGTGGGGACCAGCGAAGGTGGCCGGACTTCAGCTCGGCGGCGTACTCGTCAAAGGTAGTCTGTGTCTTGGTGTACTCTTCTAGTAAGTCGTTTAGAGACTGAAGGTCCTCCAGAGCGTCTTCATCGGTCAGATGACGCGATTTCAGGCTGTTGAGCAATGCTGGCAGGCGGGCGAGGACGGCTGTGGGCAGCAGCGACTGGCGGTTGGTGGTGAGGAGGTTTACGAGGGTAGATAGCAAGAGGCGGGTAGTCTTCTCCTTGGGCGATACACGAAGAAGCTGTGCGTACAAGACTACAATGTCATGGTCGCTGTAGACAGTTAGCAAGATGATTTCTCTAGTTAAACAATACACGTACTCCTGGAGTCCGTCACCAACAAGCTCGCCCTCGAAGCTAAGCTGCCAGATGACAAGAAGCACATGGTACAGGAGCTGTAGTCCCACACCACCAGCAAGTCCTCCGTCATTGCTGCGAATGCTGTTGCTACCATACAGCGTCGAATCCGTATCCTTGGCAGCGCCTGCTGCCGTGCGAAGAATGTCAAAGAGAGGGTTCAGAGTCTCTTGCCTCTGCTTCCAGAAGGTCTTCCTGGCCTTGCTGCTGCGGAGAACAGCCGAATAGAATCGGACAGCGATGTCTTGCAAGGCAGCGTCTGACGACTTTGCGAGCGTGGAGAGGTAGCTGAAGAGCTGGGGGAGGGCTTCGTCGACTTGCGGCGTGTTCTTCGAGGATTGTATGACAGCGTGTGACAGAAGTCCAGTGAGGACGTTGGAGGTAAGAAGAGGGACGGGGTCGTCGCTGTTCTTCAAAAGTGGCAGGAACGGCTTGTAAGGCGCAGGATGCTGGACGAGAGCTGTTGTGAGAGCGGGTATGTCTGCTCATGGGTTAGATATGCCTTCTTCCCCCAAAGTCCCGTGACCTCGCCATACCGTCAATCATGTCCGCGAGTAGCACCAGCATGTAGTGGATGATGTCCTGGCGTTTCGCTGCCGCCTCGAATATGCTCTGCGACCCGTTGCCGCCAAGCAGCAGGGTCACGAAGCTATCCACATCGCTCTCTATCGTCTGCTTTCTTTGCTCCTTCCGCACTTTATCAATTGATTTGATCTGCTTGAGGTCTGCATCCGTGATGGTCTTAGCCCGCACTGCGCCTTCCCACGATATTGGCCGGCCGCGGATGTTGTTCTGGATCGAAGCGAGGAACGACTGCTCTCCGGATGCCATGGCGAGAAAGTGTGTATTATTGTGAGGCTATACACACAGATAGAGGGGGTATCGAGGGCGCGAAGGTGATGTTGGAGCTCTGATGTTGTGGTTCCGATGCTATCACGGCCCACCAGAGCTGCAACCTCCGTCATCTGGCTCAAGCTCCATGTGGTGCTAACCACATTCGATCTAGCACAATGTGTCTTGGCATCAAAGCCCTTCTAGGGCAACCGTCAAACTGTCCAACAGCCAACAACAACATCAGCTTTGATACGCAATCAAAGCGATATGGAGTACTTCAGTCTGAAAAGATCGACTGCGGCCGACCGCGGTCAGTCGAACTTGTCGAGCAAAGTCTACGTGCGATCGACCAAAAGTGGCAAGGTCCAGAAAATTGTCCGAGAGCTTTACCTGCGACAAGATATCCCTTGCTCGTCACATTTATGCAAAGCGTGTTTAGACATTGCACCAACAGACTACTCAAAAAAGGGTGAGATTAATGAGAGTAAGTGTAGGAACTTGGCTAATCGAAACAGTCGCGCCATTTGTGCTTTCAGATACACCAGCAGGAACAAGCGACTACCCCAATGGCCTGTACCTACTTCCAGATACCAACGCGCTCTTGAATGGAATGGACCTTTTTGAGGTGGAGACAGCATTCCACGATGTGATCATTCTTCAGACCGTGCTTGAAGAAGTCAAGAACCGCTCATTACCGCTCTACCATCGCCTGATTGCTTTGACGAAGAATGAAGGAAAGCGCTTCTATGTGTTCTTCAATGAGTTCCGCCAAGAGACGCATGTAGCTCGAGATGCCGGCGAGAGCATCAATGACAGGAATGATCGAGCGGTACGCAAAGCTGTGGAGTGGTATAACCAGCACATTACAGAAGCCGTCACTGCACGCAGCAAGACGCAACAGCGCATCCCTACCGTCATTATGATCACGGACGACAAGGACAATCTCCGCAAAGCAGAGAAGGAGGATATACCTGCAGTGAGCCGTGAGTACGACTAAGTCCGGGATCTGTACTGTACTGACATTTCATAGTATCTGGCTTTGTCAACGGATTGGAAAATGCAGACGAATTATTAGACATGATGAGCGCCGCACAAGAGCAGAGAGATGTCAGATCCAAGAAGACTGAAGTGTTCTACTCTGACCACATCTCAACATCGAAGATGATGACCGGTGTGAAGGCTGGAACTATGCATCAAGGTATATTCAATGTCTCGACATACAACTATCTGGAAGGATCAGTCCACGTACCCGCTTTCGACAAGTCACTTCTGATTCTCGGACGAGAGAACAGCAACCGAGCAGTATCTGGCGATGTTGTGGTCGTGGAAGTGTTGCCAAAAGACCAATGGAAAGCACCCTCGACGAAGATAATCGAGGAAGAGACTCTCAACAAGAACGACAACGCAGAAGCTGAAGATGGCGAGAACGTCGTATCAGAAAAGGAGCGAAAAGCATTACAGGAAGAGGTCAAACGCGTGCATGGACAGACGGCAGAAGGCAAGCCTCAGCCAACTGCCCGAATTGTGGGTATCGCTAAGCGTAACTGGCGACAATATGTTGGCCACATCGACCGAGATTCGGTGCGGTCAAGCTCCAAGACCAGCAGAGCCCAACAGACGGTGTTTCTTGTGCCTATGGACAAGCGCATTCCGAAGATTCGCATCAGGACACGACAGGCGGGAGAGCTCCTTGGTCAGCGCATATTGGCAACGATCGACTCCTGGGACAAGGACTCGCGATATCCTGTTGGTCACTTTGTGCGATCGCTCGGAGAACTTGAGTCAAAGGGCGCAGAGACCGAGGCGCTCTTGCTGGAGTATGATGTGCAGTACAAGCCTTTCCCAAAAACTGTACTGGATTGCTTGCCCGCGGAAGGCCACGACTGGAAGGTGCCTGCCAGCCCGGAGGATCCAGGTTGGAAGGGTCGGAAAGATTTACGAGATCTGTTAGTCTGCAGTATCGATCCAGTGGGTTGTGTAGACATCGACGACGCTCTTCACGCGACCAAGCTGCCGAATGGGAACTTCGCGGTAGGTGTTCACATTGCAGATGTGTCCCATTTCGTCAAACCGAACAATGCCATGGACAAGGAGGCTAGCCAACGCGGAACGACCGTCTACCTCGTAGACAAGCGCATAGACATGTTGCCTATGCTGCTCGGAACGGATCTTTGCTCACTCAAGCCCTACGTAGAGCGCTACGCTTTCTCGGTTTTGTGGGAGATTACACCAGATGCGGACATCGTCAAGTCAGAGTTCACGAAATCAGTCATCCGTTCAAGAGAGGCTTTTAGCTACGAACAGGCTCAGATTCGCATCGATGACAAGTCGCAACAAGATGACCTGACCAACGGCATGCGGACACTCCTGATGCTATCGAAGAAACTGAAGCAGAAGCGCATGGATGCAGGAGCACTTAATCTCGCTTCACCCGAAGTCAAAGTCCGCACCGAATCTGAGACGTCTGATCCTGTCGATGTCGAGACCAAGAAACTTCTTGACACCAACTCCCTCGTTGAAGAGTTCATGTTGCTCGCCAACATCAGCGTTGCAGCCCGCAACTATGAAGCATTCCCTCAAACTGCTCTTCTACGCCGCCACGCTGCGCCACCCAAGACCAACTTTGAAGAACTCGGCAACCAACTCAAGATCAAGAAGGGCCTTGAGCTCAAGACCGACAGCTCCAAAGCCCTCGCTGACTCGCTCGATACCTGCGTTGACCCCAAAAATCCCTTCTTCAACACCCTCGTCCGCATCATGGCGACGCGCTGCATGATGTCCGCCGAGTACTTTTGTGCAGGCACACAGGCATATCCAGAGTTCAGGCATTATGGTCTAGCGAGCGAGATCTACACGCACTTCACCAGTCCCATTCGACGATATGCGGATTTGGAAGCGCATCGACAACTCGCTGCTGCTATTGAGTACGAGCAGTTGGATCCGAGCCTACAGTCCAAAGCGAAGCTGGAAGCTGTGTGCAAGAACATCAACGTCAGGCATCGCAATGCGCAGAACGCTGGGCGCGCATCCATCGAATACTACGTTGGCCAGGCGCTCAAGGGCAAGGATATTACAGAAGATGGATTCGTCATGAAGATCTTCTCGAACGGATTCGTCGTCTTTGTGCCACGCTTTGGTATCGAGAGTCTCATTCGTCTGAGGGAGCTGGCCACCCCAGAGCCGGAGGCGGACTTCGATGCGGAGAACTATGTGCTCAGCATCAAAGGCGATGTCAAGAGGCAGGTGGAGCTGTTTGAGAAGGTGCAGGTCAGGATCACGGATGAGATGGAGGAGAGCACAGGGAAGAGGAAGGTTAGGTTGACACTGGTCTGAGAATCATGATACGCATGGCCATGAGTCAACCTGGTGGTATTGGGACTGTGGTATAGTGCAAAAATAATCGGATCATAGTGAGGAATACAAACACATCTACTGAAGTTTCAATCTCGTCGAATGTCAACTACAAACAGGACGCGATAGCTCACACATGTACTGTCAATCATAAACATTCTGCTTTGAAGGTCGTGTGGTTGAGTAAGAAGATGCACAGCCCATGAGCGCTCTTGTCTGAAAGGAGTTTCTTCAATATTATGCTTTTCCTAGAAGGGGATATGCTTGTACCTATGCTCACCCCTGCACACATCACTCCCTTCGAGAAGGCGTTGTAAACTTATCGTATCACGCAATGCAAGACGTGCAGATACGTGCGATTTCGAGCATCAAGCCGTGTCAATCAAATAAATCGCTTTGCAGCTCCTGGCCATTGCGTCAGAGCGAATTCACATGCTTCTCATTTATTACGGCAAGTCACTGAGCAACCGAATATTCCGTTCGGACCTTGAACCATTGCAAAGGCCCTTCCTCGAGACGACACAGCGACAAATTTATTGCCAAGTCATCTTCACATCTAACATCGATATTGATCGGAAAAAAAAAGCACTCCCGGAGGAGCCCTTCCTCAAGATGCTAAATCTCCGAGACAGTAACATGAAAAATCCCAGCAATAACATCGCTTGCCTCTACCCGCGCCGCTCCAGCATGTTCATCGCGCTCGACCTGCCTTTGCGCCGTTCGCGCCGAAGAACAGCCTCGCGGCGATCATGACGCGATAATGAGCCCGTCGAACGTTGGAGTCTTGGCTTGGTTCACGCAATCCTGCACGGATCAGGTGGCTCGACCGACAAGGTTCAGGAACGGCTGCGCGTGGACACGTTCACTTTTTCGTTTCTCCCCTGAGTCTGAAGCGAGGAGGCGGCCGCGAACTGCAACCACCAGGCGCAGGTGTCAGGCGTCATGACTGTCAACTGTTGAAAGTTTATATCCCGCGAGTTATGTGTCTGGTCGACTACTTGCAAGTCTTGTATGATAGACACTGCACAAGCTTTCGTGCTCTGGTGTTGCATTGACGAAAACAGCACATGCACCGGAGTCTCCGATATCGATTTTCCGCTCGGCAAACTTACCATTGACAATTGAAGGTGCCGAGTTAAAAGGCCCGGAGGCCCTCCGCCCCTGCGAGTAAACCTGCTGCTCAGTACCTGCGCCTGATCGAGATTTAGTTTGGTAGGAATAGGCAGGCTATAGCTGCGTAGCGCGGAGTTTATCTGCGCCTTGACAATTGGGCGCGGTTCAGCTCGACGGGAAGAAGCGATGCTGATCTGCAAGTCGCACGGAGAAGGCGAAAGTTCTGGAGAGCGTCGATGCGGTGTAACTGTAACTGTGAGACAAAGCGGGGATCGAATGCGCTAAGAACTGATGGTGGGAACCACAAAACGACGATTCGTAGCAAACTGCATTCCCGGACGTGGTGAGAAATGACGGTGGTTGATAAAGCACGTTAAATGTCCATATGTGGCTGCGATGTAACGATAATTCAGTGTTAATTAAGGCACCACACCTCCGTGCCGTATCTGCGCAGAAGCGAGATCAGTTGTCAACGATAAGCTATATGAATCTATATTCTGAAGTGCTCACTTTGCAGCAAGCGGCTCCGTCTATTTGCATTCCCCTGGCATATCGTGATAGAAGCACTGTGCAAATTGCAGGGTGTTGCTGGAGTTCTCTCCGCAGTATTGCTCCAAGACCTCACAATATCTGGGCGACCACTAGTCAAACAGCTGTCGATTGGATCTGCTTGTATGCAAAGTGAACCGTAAATTTGGTTATCGATAGCAGCTGCAGCAGTCAATGAACAGAACCATGGGTCGATCGCACGTCGAGCACGGGATCCAACGCAAGTGTACCGTTCAGCGCACACGAACCTGCTGACCTTTGGCTCCGGCCTGATCCGAGGTCATGCCCAGGAATGCCATGAGATTTCTGACAGGCGCACTCGACGCAGCGGTCATCGATAATTGCGCTCATATGCGTCGGGATCGGTATATGGCCACGCCATTATTCGGCAGTCCGGACAAATCTTGGTTAATACCAATGGTCGAGCCGGGAGTCGGGTCCTGTTAAGAGCGCGCGGACCTTATATGAAAACAAAATGAGCAGGTTTCCCGTGGGGGTTTCGAAATAAACAGGTGTTTGGATATCGGGTGGAGTGGTTCCCGCTGTCCACATGCTGTGCGCTTCAAGACTTGATAGGTTGGCCGAGTCACCAGCCTTGCTCTGGGTGAAATGCCATGCTGTTTGCTGAGTCGTCATCGGTCCCAATTCCCGCCAAACGGCCAAATGGGCGAATTGGTAAGATGATTTGTGCTCAGCCTTTACATTACACTTTCGGAGCAGAGTACCAACTGAGTAAAGAGGGTGTCGATGTTTCCCAGATTTTACTGGAACCACGATATGAATTGAAGCTGTAGTCGGATTTCACCTCTGACCTGGACATGGCACTTGAGGCCTCTGATTGGTCAGGACAATTCATCTCGGTGCATGTTGCTTGTAAGCTTTCTTAACACCTACCACATCGGTACATATGAGAGCTCAGCTATCGGATTTCAGCTGAACTACCTATTGACTGCGTCGTCTTCACATGAGAGCATCGCGCGCCTGTGATCTTCAACACGGCAAGGTCGTATTCGAACCGCCAGCTAGCTGACCCTGCGCCAAGTGGGTTTATATGGGGCAGTCTCGCTTGCTCGCGTCGAAGATCAAGGTCCACGTGCCGTTGCGTTCTTTAGCCGGTGAGACTTGAGGTTGGGATTTCCAGGATGGACCTCACGGATCTAGCGGTAAAGGCGCATCGCAATCGTCGTCGGAATTCCAATTCAAGGGTTCATCAACGAAGAATTCTTCTGGCGGAGTGTTCCTACTGGCCTTGCGGCGTGAGGCCTTGGAATGGTAATGTGTGCAAGCGATGTGCGGCTATGTACATGTCAAGGGCAGACATGACTGCCGCTTCTGTCGTGCTGCAGCGAGCTCTCATTTCGGTTAAGGGAAGATGCGTATGTAGATCGCGACTTGCGGACAGAAATTCTCCTCGACGTAAGGACTTTCATTAGCAATTCTGGCTTGTTGGGAGCTTGAGTCAAGAAAGCACTGATATTCTGTTTCTGCAGATTTTGATTGGGATCGATTTGATCGACGACTTTTTGCTTTTCCATGTGTACAGCATTTGCCTACGATGGCAAGCGCGCTTCGGAGGTTCTCCGGCATGTGGCTGAAGATGGAGGGCCAGGCGAACTGCCTCAGCAAGACTAAACGCTTTGAAGAACTAATAACGAAGAGAAGCGACGGTTCCATGACACTGAGTCGGAGTGCCGCTTGGAAGGCGTCATCGTGCTTGTGCTGGCCCGTTCTGGAGCGTTTCACGTCGACATGCTGTCGAACCATGAACCGCGTGCGCGCCGTCGCAATTGGCTGCCACGAGATTCAGCCCCATGATGAAGCATATCAGGCATTCAGCGCTGAATACCTGGCAGGCTGGTGTCCAAGCAACCGCTTGCGACTGGGAACATGTCGATGCATCGCAAATCCATCGTCCGGTGTCCTGCAGCAGTGGGTCGCTAAGTGCAGGGTTTGCTGCAGCTTAGCCAGGAACATCCGGCAATGGTACCGCATCGCTCGCTGAAGGTGGGCTCCAGATCTCGCTTTCGTGCCCTCCTCGCGCTGTGTCCGTCGGCTGTAGAATTAGCCTGGATGGTGTTGTAAAGATGATGCGCACGCAGGATTCGATTGCGCGCCATTCCGCACTTTGGAGTGCTCCGAGGGGCTGGTCTAAGATAGGGAAGCTATCTGACGGGACGCACCTAGAGCCCGCTATTGAAGGGCTCGGATTGGCCAGTGCAGCAGTGAAGGCTATCTCCAGAGAGGCTAGCGTCGTTTGGTAGATCGACGTCGTGTCAGTGCTGCGCTCGAAGCGAAGAGGCCTGCCAGGCACACGCCCCTATCTGCAGTCCATGCGCATGCTTGTCTCATCCTGTCCGACGCCTCTGGGGCAGCAAGGACTCGTTCAGAAGAAGCAAACCGGGATGCGCAAACCGGTGTGTTGTCCACCTCATCTAATCGATCTCGCGATGCTGCTGTGCCCCTGAGTCTGGCCCTAGACACTGATGTGCTGTCACAGCCGAATTGTTGCTGACCCTCCCGACGCCACGTCGCTCGGTGCCTGGAAGCGTGGAACTGCAAGTGGACTGGACGGGAGTGACAATGCCCCTGCAGTGGTACGGCAGATACCACGGCGCAGATTGCCTTTCGAGGACATGGACCATGTTCGACTTCAACGGCGTTCCAAGGTTGTCGAAATTAGTACCATCATGGGTGTCGTCTAGTGCACTGCTCACCGATATTTCAGCGCCTCTTCGTACTAACAGACTTTGCTACCCACCCTCAGGTCTGGTTTGTACCTGCATGTTGCCTCTAGCCAAGCCAGTCCGTCTCTATAAGCCGCAAGAGTCCTCTTGCTCGGTGCGCCTCTACTGCGTTTAACCGAACAACGACGCTTTGTTCTGTCTGTTTCCGGTCCGCTAGTCACATACCATTGCTACTATCCTAGGTAGCTGTGGAGCAAGGCGATACACGCACGCATGACCAGGTTTCCGTCCTCTGAGCCCCTCCACCTAGTCCCACTGTACATTATTACCCGTACCTGCCCTCCGAGTGCATATCAGCTTTAGGCTCAGACATCCTTTGTCTCCTCATCCGGGTCCTGCTCGTCGCTGCAACTCCGATCCACCATGGTCATGCTTGGTTAAGCACTCTCGCTCCTTCATACCGTATCTTGGAGCTTTGTCAACTACCGTCTCCCAACAGTTGCACTTTCCTACCTCAAGGGAAGGTCTTCTGATAACTCAATCCAAAACCAATCCACTCTACCAGCCCGTTAATCACATCCAACATGGAGCAAGAAACCAAGGTCTGGATCATACTTGGTGCCGTCGTAGGCACTCTTATTCTTCTCGCAGTCACCGTTGCCGTCCTGTTCTGCTGGAGGCGAAACAAGAGACGGGTACGAGGCTTCTCGCTACGAGCCGTAACGCCACTGGACGACGCCGAATTCGAATCATGGCGGCGGCCCAGTCAATATACACAGCGTCCGGAGAAGTACGGAATCCGGCCTGTAGTCACACGGGATCGCATCTCACCAACAATGTTCGAGAAAGAGCTTCACACATACGAGCCGCCCCGAACACCGTCACCACAAGATGGCCTCAGATCGCCGTCCAGCTCAATACGAAAACCAGAACGAGTACGGAGGAAGTCTAGCGTTGCATCATCCATTGCCGACCGGCCTCCAACACCCTACTCGCCCACCTCACCAAGCAGTGAATTCAACCGAGCCTCTACTTCTTCTCGCAAATCGCAACCTTTAATACACTACCCTTCCGTTTCTGAAGCGTCGGCTTTCAAGTTCGACCTCAAATCTGAGTATGGCACCCATCAACAACACACTGGCCGCTGGATCTGAACTTCTTTCACCGCCTTTTGAACATGTACCAGCAAATGCTCAGACTGAAGTGACACAACAAGACACCTGCATCAGGAATGAGTGGTTCACGACACCTGGGGCCCTGCCACTGTCTCAGACACCATGAGTCACATCCGATTGACAGCCGTTTGCGTTACATCGCACCATATCCTGTTGTACGACTTGGTCTTTTACCAGAACACTCCACCCATGTCATCGCTTGACATCTCGGCTCTCTACCCTTCTCTTTGCCGGGTTCACGATCATACACGAACTTTTTTTGTTTTTGGCGTTTAGCGGATCTTCGCACTTGTGATACCAGACATCAGTCACCTACACAGGCTTTAGCCTCTTTTTCTTTACTGTCATACCATACCCTAGCGCACCACAGATTTGCAGGACGCAGTGAGAGGGCACGCGATGCGAGGAAAGCAACATGTATCTTAGTTGTACAGCGGACACTACCAGAGGCTAGCCCTCGAGTGTAAGAATGAATGGAGAATTACACATCTTGACCAACCACTCATCCTCTCGTGTATCTGCCGTGTCACCGTCTTGTACACATGCCATGCTCATGCGAGTCTGCAACATTCTCCGCTCGTTCTACCTGTAACATTCCCATGTCCCATGTTCAGCGGCAATCGCGCAATCCCAAATCCATGTCTCCATCCAAAAGCCTCAGTTAGCACCCGCAGTACCCGAGCAGCATCCGCCTGCCGTCCCCAAGGTAATTGCAATGTACCGGATAATCGCACCACGAAATCCCGTGGCGCGTCTCACCGCCATCTGCAATCCCCACTTGAGGGCAGCATCTGAAACCTTAAGCCCACAACCCGCCATACATCCCCACATGGTCCTATTGACGCATGAGTCGCGGCTGTGATTGCGACGGCCACTTGCACCGGCATGGTGGCGTGCATTGCCGGTATATCCAGGGACGTCCCCGCGATTCTTGCCATCGTGCAGTTTGGGGTGACACCGCGTGGTGTGGGCGCCGGGGAGTTGGGGTGAACAAGGTTTGGCAGGATGACTAAGGCAGGATGACGTGCAGCTGGGATGTTGAGTGTTAGAGCGAGCTAAGATGGATCCACAAACAACTTGTTGTCACTGCATGCACACCGCGCAGTGTTTCTTTATTCTAGCAAAACACCAAACTAGGTTCCCAAACACTTCTATCTGCACTCTGCCGTTCTGTTTTTCCTGCGATTGTAGCTCAACCACGCGCGCCAACCATCGACTTGCCCACTTCCCCGCAAAACGCGTACATCGCGAATCGCACACGACATCAGACGACATCACACATATCAGCCATCATGGATTTCATACAAGGCACGTGCCCACTCACTTTCACCGTGACCTGCTCCCACACGATCAATGGCTAACACCACCCAGACTACGCATCGCTCCTCCCACGCCTCCTCCCCATGTCCCTCGCCCAACCCCCCCTCCTCACCCTCCTTTCCACCGGCCTCGGTATAACCCGCACGCTCCAAACGCACCTCAACCCCCTCATCACACGGCTCGTCACCCAGCCCCGACGTCGCCAGCATTCTCGCGCTCATCGTCATACTCTTTCTCTCGCTCAAGATCCTGGACATGATGTACCGGGCAGTCATGTTCTGGATCAACATGTTCATACGGATCGCAATCTGGGGGTCGGTTTTAGTGGTAGGACTGTGGGTGTATAATCGCGGTCCGGAGGGGTTTGTCGAAGATGTCAGCGGGCTGGCGGAGTTTTGGATGGGCGAGTTTCAGAAGTACACTGGTGAGGTTAAGGAGTATAGGGAGAGCGAGAAGAGTCAGATCAAGATGAAGGCCGAGCAGAGGAAGAAGGGGTGGCGGTAGAAGGAGTGCTTGGTGGGAATGAGAAGAGGGGGAAGATTGGTTTGATTGATATTGATAGGGACGCTTGGGGATTGTACATTGTCATGAAACATAATTTGCGGGATGGATATTAAATGATTGCATGGCTGGCGTGGTGTGTTGGTTTGATATGCATTTCTATGGTGCATGAAATGGGATTTTCTTTGATGGAAAAGACGAATTATACAAATCTTCGTAGTTCTCAAGAGTCGTGAGGAGAGCAAGTTCCTGCCTCGCACAGATGGAAGCGCATTAACATGATGCAAAAGAATTTCATGTAAGGGTAGTATCGAAGTTTAGTTCGTTATCTACGTTACTATCTCATAGCGCGGTTACTTCGTTCCGCTATACCAAGGCTTGGGTAGCCATGAAGAAAGTTTCCGCCCATCGCTTGACGAGGGCGAACTGGGAAACAGTATGAGAGGGGCTGTGCATCTACCACGCATACGATGGGCTCTATATGACGTTCACGCCCAGCCTTTTGCACACGAGGCTGAACAAGAGCGGGGTCACATGCAGCACAGCCGCGCTCTACGTCTGAGCTGACCGCGGACACAGCTGCCTTCGCCTGCCCTTACAATATTTCTCTCGTCCGCTGCCATGGCCTCCCCCGATTTCCGTTGGTGATGTTATCGCCATCGGGAAACTGATAAAAGATATTGTCGGCGCTCTTCAGTCGGTTGGTGGCGCCAAAAGCGAATACCAGGAACTCGTCAGGGAGTTCCAGTCACTCGACACAGCATTGCGCCATCTCGACAGGCTCGAGGATCAGACCACGGTCCCGAATCATGTTGGGGCTATCAAAGCTGCAGCGTTGATTTGCCGCCACCCACTTCAGGATTTCCTGACCAGGATAAAGAAATACGAAACTTCCCTGGGTCCATGGAGTCGAGCGCATGCCGGCAAAGCAGCGAAGGATAAATTGCGATGGACTTTGGGAGAGAGAGACGACATACGACGACTACAGACGTACCTCGCCATACACCTTGGTACCATCAACACGTTACTCTTGGAGCACGGTTTGGAACAGATGAATTTGAGCGAGAAGAAAGCTGAAGAGAGTGTACTGCAGACTCATAGGAAGCTCGACGCTGCACACACAGCTCTTCAAAACATCCAAAAGGATGCCACAGGGCAGGCTATTATTCTGCGGACTATGCAAACAATGCTTGGAACTCTCTGCAATGTCGTATGTGGCGAGGTCAGGACTTCTTTGCAGCAGTTTGCTCAGGTAGTTAACACAGTCTGGTGAGCTACTACTCCGAGACCACTGGTTTCGAGCATATACTAATATCCCCCAAAGTATCTCCACCCAACAGATCTACACTGTCGTCCTCGAAATCCGCGACTCCATGAGCCCGGTTGACACCCGTTTCACATACTTCCAAGCTCCTTTCCAAGTTGAAGACGCGCTTGGCTTTGTGTATCCGGTTCCCTCAGAGTTCACGTTGGATGAAGTGGAGAACATCTTACGTTACAAATTTCGAAAAGGCCCGGGAGCCAGCGCTGTCCGCCGAGGAGAATTTGAGCTTTGTAAGACGAAGAGGCGGACAGAAGCGATCACAGAGACTACTCGACTACTACCAGGAATGGCAATCACCATGGCTGTCATAATAGCATCAGATTTAGTGGCTGCGGGTACAGCTTGTCCGATTCGTCCTTGCGGTTCAATGGATATTACCAGCTACCCTGGCGGGGGTCTCAAATGGTACGAGTCATCCTAAACTTTGTGGCCAGCGCTGAGAGTATTTGTACAGTCGTGATTGCGAGGTTTGGTTTGACCAAAAAATGTAAGGAGACAAAAACCAAAGATACTTTACTTTCCATCCATTGCGATGTCCAGAATGCATTCAGGTACGCTATGAAAACTCCAAATCAATGATTATCCGGTACGTAGTTCCAACATTACCCCGACTTCTTACTGTGTATTAAATCTGGTTGTCAGCCACCTGTACCCGATGTACAATCAAAGTTTAGAGTTCATGGAAGAACTCACCACCGATGCCGTGCATCACGCGACTGATCACGACGAAGACTGCTTCGATGACTTCAGCATGGGGCTGAGAAATGTACGGCTGGACTATGTGCAAGTATTCCCAGGACACACTTCAATCCTGCAACAAGCTGATATCATCATCATGAGAGAGATGATAGATCAGCCACTCTTATGGCTCAAGGATTTGACCCGTACCGCTCGTTCATTGTTGTCGGTGCGAGACACAGAACGTAGGCTTTCAATGTACAATGAAACCTCGTACTCTGATTAGGCAGCGAGCCCCCGTTATGCTGATCCTCGATTTTCTGGATAAACCTGCAGAGGGGACTATGGTTATGGTCACTCGGATGAAGACTCTGCATACGGAGGTAAACACTACTTTTAATCGACAGACGCAGAGAATGAGGGGGAAGCACGGTTCTTTAGAAAACGAAAACCCACACGTTATCGCCCGTAGGAAGAGCGCGACTCACGACTATATTTAAAGGGAAAGTATGATCACTCAGGTTCACGCAAACCTTTACGTCTCATAAAGTCCATGTCGTCCTTCTCAAAGCCGTCTTGTATAGATTAGTGGATGAAGGAAAAGGCTCCTGAAGCTTCGACGTATAAATCATGTGGCTATCTGTCGCTGGAACTTTTCGATATACAGTAGGTATTGCAATAACGCAGAACCGACAGTACTTATGACATCAGCATTGGATGATGTATGCATCTGCTAAAGATTTCCTCATGATGTGCCTAAATCTGACGAACCCGACCAAATCAACAATCATCGCATGTTTTATCACCGACCCTTTTTCAGTGGCGATGTCGCAGGTAGAATTGTTCGTGGCGAGAAAAAGAACATAGATTGTATTAGAATACAACTACATTAGACAGACGGGAATTTCGTTGTTCCTGATATCGACAAGGCAGGAAGTGCAGGTTATGTCCTCACCATAAGCTCGAGCGGGAAAGTGAAAGTGAAAGGGAACCACGTAGAAAGCTCCCAAGCTCTGCAGCGACGTTGGACCCGCCACGCACTAAACCCCAACTACGATTGCTCCTCCGCCTCCTTTGACACACCCTTCAACTCGAAGCCCTAGCCGACCCGCGTTATCTACGTTGCAAAAACCACAAATCATGGGCAAACACAACAACGAGCCGGAGATGACGCGTCTTGAGGAGCTTGAGCTCCAACGCGGACTCAAAGACCTTGTTCACGGTAGCAAACACCGTCGTTCACCCATATCGCTCTCTTTCCTAACGTTTACAGAGTACATCGACACCCTCTACCCCTCCACCAATGGCACCGCCATCCTCATCGGCCGCCACGCAGCCACCTTTCCCTCGAGTGAGCGCAAGCGCAGCGGACGCGAGGAATTCATCATGATCCGCGCTATCGCATATCTCGATGCCGATAAGACTACGTGGAAGATGGTTGCGCAGAGCAGCAAGGCGCAATATGGCATCACCTCAGCACTGCAGGAGTTCAGCAAAGATCTGGAGAGGGCGATGGCGAACGTGGCGGACAATGGAAGCAAGAGGAAGAGAAGTGGATTGTTTGGGGAGGACGACTACTATGACGAGGAGAGGGAGAAGAGGTTGAGGGAATGAGATGAGTGTGCACGGGAATGACGGGTTCGGCCCGTGAGGCATGATACACAGGATATGTAATCAAAGTGGTTAATAAGATGCGACGACGGTGTGTGTACACTCAGATTGATCGAAGGTGGACTCCCAGGCGCAATGAGCTTTGAACTTGTGATTCCTATTATGTCAGCCTTCGTAACCTCCCACCAGGCGCCGGCAAAGTTCCTCGATGACTTCGCGCAACGTTCAAGGTAGCCTAGACATATTCAGAGATCTCCGTCGATTTAAGTAGAGTGTCTTATAGCTGCATATGTATCTTAGCTTCTTCAGAATTAGATAAACATGCTCTTAAAGACCGTTAGGTTATGTCGTATAGGTGCAGAGCATACACAAATTTTGCCGCTACCTTGTGCTCTTTCACTTTTGACCCCTGCAAGTAGTACTGCGCTAGCCACTAGCCTCCCCCACACATCGCTGCTGGAGATGCGACCCTCACCTTTCAAGTTTGCACAAACATCTTGTCGCTTTTCTTCGCCGCTCGAATTTATTCGCTGCGCCAGCTGTCTTTGGCATTCAACTTTCTTTAGAGCTCCACTAACACTTGGTAATGGGTACATAGGATATCGTTGTCGATGCCTCACGACTTTCGATGGATGAGTCAAGCTTTAGCCACCATCCTTCCTGATCTCGAAAAAACAGTATGGTCTCGACAGCCGTCCGACCGTGAGATTCAGACCATTCTGCCTTTCGGAAAGTTCAAGGGACTATCCAAACTCAGGAGTTTGAAGGATGATTTTGATTGGTTCTGCGACTAAGCAGATCCCGAGAACGTGTATGGTCTCCTACATGAGCCTACGGAATCCTTGCCAGCAAGTCTGTCGGGACTTGCACATTTCTGGCTGTCTGCTTCCAGACCACTTCGCACATCAAATATATTCAGAAAGTCGCCCGCGATCTGCAACTATCACGCATCGATCTATCAATTATCATGAGATGGTGCACGTTGGATGGACGGGATGAGCACCAGAGACGAGAAGTAGTCAGTACATTCGAGCTCGAGAGAAGTGAGGGGGAGCACTTTGAATCCAGTGTATATAAATTGGCAAAAGCTGGTGATGAAATGCGTATCTGGCTCCAGGGAGGCCACTTCGCCGAGAAGATGCTATTTGCACGATATTTCACTATGCCATGGCCGCAATGGGGAGACACTGATATAGCTTGCCAGTGTGATAGAGACGTAGAAACTTGGGAAAACTATTTGCAGGTCAAAACACAAGAGGATGAGGGAACTTCAGAAGAGGTCGAGTACAGAGGCGAGTTCACACAAGGTAGACTGAATTCGATACAAGAGTCTCCGCAAATGCGATACTAAGGTCATTAAATTCACGCATCTTGTTCTCATTGACCGCAACTAGGGCCTGTAGCACCAGTTCCGCCTACTATGTCGCTTGGCTCACTAGATAGGGGCAAAACTCGTGTCCGCTCTGCACCTCTATGACATAAACTAACGGTTTTTGAGAATATACTTATGAGTTTTTAAGAAATTACAAAGACACATGCTATTTCCAAGATAAGTCGTACTAGTTTTCTAAAGGGTTTTGAGAATATCTAGCCTACTCTGACTTCTTCTCGATGAGTGAGGGCGGACAGGAATTTTACCGGCACCTGGTGGGCTCTCCGCTATCGCCGGCATACACAAATCTACTCTGAGATCTGTGGGGCGGAGAACATGTTTACTGAGAGATTCCCAGTGCACTCTCACGACTTGAACCGTAGCATCGACATAATGGCACCTTCCAAGCCACGGACAAACTCAACAACGTGAACAAGTTCTCTCAACGTGCAGCTGGTCAACATGGCACCTCATATATCGAATGGCACTGATAGCATCCCCGAACATCATTTGATAGCTTGAAGTTGTGATTCTCATTTTATTCCCCTCGTAGTGTCCATAAGTTGCACCTGTCCCGGGAGCTCAACGGGCTCCACATTGACGGGATGAGGCCCACTGTACATCTCCACCGGACCCTGACTATCCTCCCGATGATAGTACTTCTGGAGGTCTTCGGAGTCGTGCGCGTAAAGCGGCACATTGTCTGTGAATCCGTTCCGATCGTAATGGGTATGATCTGGCGGCGATATCGCTTTCCCCTGAGCCCCATGCTTGCGTCGTATGAGTACAGTTCCCAGAATGGTCAGACAGATTAATGCGAGACCTCCAAGGACACCCCCTACTATAGCTCCAATGTTCGCTGACTCTTGCTTAGAAGGAATGGAAATCGGGTCTGTTGTGACAGATGTCTCCGCAGATCCCGCAGATGTTTCTAGAGGCGTGGGTGTCGATTGCGAGATGGATATGGTGAAAGAGGTACTAGGTACAGATGTGGGGCTCGATGGTGTTGTTGTTGCTGATGCGGCGTTTGGAGACGGGAAAAGCCTGTCGGTTCCAGCTTTTGCTCCACAAGCAATGTACTCATAGGACTGGTCACGGCCAGCGATTGATAACACAGTGGAACAAAACTGTGTAGAGTCGCTGGTATTTCTTAGATTCATAGGTATCCCCGTGCTTGTAATGACTGACCATGATACAGTAGTGATGTCCGTTCGACGAGTCAGGCGGCCACAGCCTTTAGTGCAAGAATGACTGTCTACACATACTCCAGCTAGACCACAATCCACTGGGAGTGCTACAGTTGTTGGACAGAATCCCCATAGCCCATTCTTGGCGTCTACGCGGCAGTCGAAGCCAGGATCTGCCGTTCGGGGGTTCTTGGGGTCGCCTTCTGAGTATCCACAAGTATCTATTGAGGCCGCTTGCGACGCGGTCGCTATGCCCAAGACAAGAAAGCAAGTAACAAGAAACATTCCACCTGGTATAAAAGAGCGTGAGGAAAAGTGCGGGTACTAGTGCGAATTTCACGGGTAGGGTCGAGAAATTGGTACATGTTTATGCAGTTGTTGGATCCCCTGGCTGACCACGCCGCAACCTGGCAGGAAATAAGATGAGGAAGAAAAGCAATACCATGCAACTGCATTCTCGGCTGGTAGCGCACGCGCACTGTTGGCAAACAACGTGGCGTAATCCGTGCTGTACTCAATCAGAAAGCTGACAGGAAAGTAGCTCACCCAGTCTGTCTCATAGTAGCCCAACTATTCCACGAAATTGCTGAGCTTCTTGGATTTCGCAAATTGAAGCAGCGCAATACGAAGGTGCGAGGCCCTATGTCTCTTCAAAAGTTTAACAGAAAGTGCATTACACCTACAGCGTAAGGGCTTGCATGAGATAGGCGCGCATGTCTTTCGTTGAATTTCAGCTGGCTCACCGATGAATCCTGAATCCTGAATCGGACAGCCCGAGAAGCCATAGCGAAATGCACGAGTGAATCAAGATCTGAACTACTGATTGGCTAAGCGCAGCTGGCACCAACACTCATGTACAGTTCAGGAAACCTTTCGACTCGAGAACGATGATCAGAATCCAAGCTAGGATTAGAGGGCCAAGCTCTGCATGTTGTGTCGCACAAATAAGCGCGCGACTTCTCTTTTGGGTTTAGCGAAATTGCGCTGGAAGATGACTGGGTGGATGAAGTGCGTCTGCTCTTTGTACCTACGCATACGTGCAGTCTGCGTTGAACTTACGTTGCGCCAGCCCTGGGCAGATGTCTCGGATAGTAGAACTAATCCATTCAAGTGCGTATCAATTTGGCTCATGGCCAATCAAGGTGGTTGCTTTGAAGATCTGGGAGCACGTGACTGAAATTGTCCTGCGACATGGTTTTACGAAGTGGCACAGTCGCTCCCGCTCGCACTCACATGCCTTTGATACTTCCAACGTCATGTAGTTTCTTTGTGAGAACCTCACACTGCCGACTTTCTCCTGGCGACGGAGGCCGTTCGCTTCTTCCATGGCTAACCAAAGAAGCTTGCGATCGCTCTTAAAAGCCGTGGCATTACTTGCAGCCATATTTCTCCTCGTGCTAGGATTCAATTTTGTACAGTACGACTACAGTGGGTTAAAACCGAGTCACATCAGCACTGAGATCGTCAAGCCTCCCGCGGTGGGTTAGTATTACTTTGTCCTAGACTCATGGAATAACATGGAAAGCTCACAGTTATCAGAAAAGCCTGCGGCCATGACTGTTGCCACTTCGCCAGCGACAGTCACAGCTCCCACTGGACTGCCAAGTAAAGCAAACGACATTCTGATCGCGCAAGTACCATCATATGTTGACGCCATCTTGAATCCATCAGACTCAACATTTGATCGTTTGGAGTGTCCGCAGCCAAACCTTGACCGTTACACTTACCTCAAACACCAAACAAATCAAACCGAAATCTTGCAGCATCCCAGGTTTTTCTTCGCGCTCGATCTACATCAGTGTATCCAAATACTCCCGCGACTACTCAGTTCAGTCGTAGAAGCAATAAAATTCCTCGGCCCAGAGAACTGCGTGCTCTCCATCGTAGAAGGCCGCTCCGATGACGGCACATTCGAAGTCCTCGACGAGCTTCGCTCCAACTTACACGCCCTCGGCGTGACTTACTTCTTCCAAACAAGCGACATAAATCCCGTTGCTCCCGGACGAGACCGCATCGAAGCCCTCGCAGACCTGCGCAACCTCGCCCTACAAGATCTCCTCGACCACCCGGCGCACTACGAGCCCGACACCACGGTCATATTCCTCAATGACATCGCGCTGTGCATGGAAGACATTCTAGAACTCCTCCACCAGCGGCACCAACAAGGCGCCGACCAGACGTGTGCCATGGACTGGACGTATGTGGGCGACAACCCAACATTCTACGACGTCTGGATTGCGCGCGGCATGACGGGCGATCTGTTCTTCAACATCCCCGAGGACGGGAGCTGGGATTATGCCTGGAACCTCTTCTGGAACGACGGAAAGGCGCGCGCGCGGCTCGCTGCTATGAAACCATTCCAGGTGTTTGCGTGCTGGAATGGTGTCACTGCGTTCACTGCGAAGCCGCTGTTAGACGGTCGAATTAAGTTCAGGGCGCATGGACCGGGCGAGTGCTTCCAGGGAGAACCGAAATTGTTTGCGAAGGATATGTGGGCGAATGGATTTGGCAAGATTGCTGTGGTGCCGAGTGTGAATGTGGAGTATAGTGATGAGGCGGCGAAGAAGATCAAGGCACTCAAAGGGTATGTGGCGAGACATATTGCGAATGAAGGAGACGATTGGAGGATCGAGTGGGAGACGAAACCACCGGAGAAGGTGAAGTGTATGCCGAATCATCAGCATCAGAGTTTTGTTGATTGGGATGAGGGACTAAATCTAAGAAGTGGAAGATAGGACACGTTTTTTTGTACAAACATTACCAAAACAAGAAGGCGTATATGCATCTACATGTTATACTTGCAATCAGCGAAAACACCCGGTCAACGCTAAACCGTGTCGCGCCACAAATAAAAAGCCAATCCCATATCAGGATATCGTTCGACTATGTCAATATGCTATTTGGTGACCCACCTCGAAACAGGATGGATATCCGGAATGTCATCCACGAAATTAGTATCGAGATATTCCCAGCGAAAATAAAGACGATCTCTCCAGACTACTTTCCAGTTGTCATCCAACAGCCATGTATTCGCCTCTTTCTCGAGAACATCCTCGATCCGCAAATTGTTGCGCTCTAACGCTTCGCACCACGCAGCCCAATGCCACTTGACCCGAGCGAGCATCGATGGTGTCAAGCCATTTACACCCAGGTCGTGGCGACCGACCCCATGCTTGATGAGAATGCTGAGCATCTCTACGAAAGTTGTATAGTCAATTTCATTGACACGCTTACTCCACATCGAGGAGTGTATTGCATTCCCACCAAAGAAAGGTTTCTCGATGGGAGCGCCGAGCTCGATGAGGTGTTGCAACATCTGCGGTATGGAAAAGCAAGACCAGTCATGTTCTGTTGACTGTTCCCCCTCATTCCTTAGTAGCCTATTGCACGTGTTCAAAATTTCGTCTTGTTCCTGTCCGCGTGCTAATTCTAACAAAGAAAGAAAAGCTACTTCCAGTAGAAATGACAAAGGGTCGGCTGCCCTACTAGATGCATTTCCGATAATAGAAGAAAGCTTATACCGTGGTCCGATATAGATGCCGACCGCAAGGCTTGAATCCTGTCTACAATGCATAAATATAGTGTGAAATAACCAAGCCAAAAGATTACTCACCTCAGGGCGGTTTGTCCGATACCTTGACTTTCAAGATAATCTAGAAGGTCGAAGCGCAAGCTCAGTACCGCAAGCTGAAGATACGAGTGGTCAGCGCAATACGACATGATTGCTACTAAACGACAGAACTTGAAAAACTGCTTACAAGTAGGCAAAGATTGTTGCCATATTTATCTACGTGAAAGGGAGAGATAATGCCCTGCCGAAGGGCGGTATCGAATTTGGCCAATGATGTAGAATTGCAAATTCCGGAGTGGTATCGGTCTGTCGTAGCTTCATCCACAACCGTGAAAACGTTCAAATGGGCATATATCCTAGGTTGTCCTGCGTGCGCCAGATCACGAAGGAAGTGCGCGTTGACATGTACGGATGAATGATTCTGCGTAACGACGTACGATATTCCTGCTTCCGCCGTTTCATGAATATCTTCCCCAGCTTCTCGAGAGCGTGGCATGGTTATGTCTACGGGTCCGGAAGGTGTCTGAACATTAAAGGTTCGGCTGGAAAGTGCCCAACGTTTTCCCGACCCTGTCATTTGTCTCGTCGATGTTATCTTTTCACCATCGGTTGAGTATGAGTAGCCGCTTGATGTCCGATTTTTGGCACTATTCTTCAAGAAGCCAACCGTATCCTGAGGGTAAGACCACCGATCGAATGATTTCGCCGCCGAACCTGGGTGTTGGAGCGCCTTCTCTTGGGCAGCCGAGCCGACTAGATGCTGAAGCTCGGAGCGGAGGAATTCAGCGTCGGATGCCGAGATTTCATGGCCGTGTTGAGAGATGAGAGAGTCAATGGCGAACTCAATATCATCTTGGAAAGGTAGAAGATATGCCATGATCCTATCTTGACGTTCCCCGAGGAAGGAGATAGCGCGGTGACTCTGATCCACCAGCAGGGAACCGTCATTGAGAGATAGAAGTTGTTTGATGTCGGTAACGGCACGCAGAATGCTGGATGTTTGCTGCTGTGTTCCTTTGGCAACCCTCATAGACGCGTCCTGGCGGCGAAGGATTTCAACTTGAGTGCGTTGTGTAGTTATCAGTGTCCGTTGATGTCGGTCTTGGTTCAATAGCTGATTTCGTTGGTTGTTGTCAATCTTCGACGTCAGAGCTTTCTGATGGTTGTGCAACACGAGTGCATCTTGGTGTTGAGCGTCAATCTTAGCCACAAGCGCTTGATACACACGGTCAGTCTTCAATCCGGCGTCTTCGAAGCACTTCAGCATCACGGTTTTGACGTCGGTGAGTCCCAAAGCCAGCAGCTCTCTAGAACACTTTGTTAGCATTGTTAGGAATAAGCGCATGTCCAGCTGGGAAAGAATTATGTTATTGTAATGACGAGTGGTCGTGAAAGCCATAGATAACAACGTACATGCAGGCAAGCGTCAATGCATTTGCCATGAGAGTCTTCGCGTGCTCCAGGCGTTGGATCGCTTTGTTCACCCTGTCTTTTCCCAAAACAAATTTGATGTTTCCCCATGTTTTAATGCCGTTGTATTTTTTTGCTGTCTTCGAAAGTTCTCGTAGCTCACGGTCCAACGCTTTCGTAGCAGATTCAAGCGAGGAAGTTACATCCGCTGCGCTAGCGGAGGCACCCCTAGTCTTGAGATCTTGCTGACATCTTCTCGAGTTATGATATAGAAGGACAGTCGTTCGAATGACCTCGCGTAGTCGGTCGATCTCCTCTGGCGCATCCGCAACTTCGCCCAGGAAGCTATAGAACTCACGACCCGTCCTGACGAGGACATCTGCAACTCCTACGACGGCAAATGCGCTAGCCGCTACCTCCAAAGCGCCTGACATGGCCTGAACAACGGTTGTCGCATGGAATGGTGGAACGTCACGAAGATTGCGCGGTTACCACCTAGGTGGACAGTCGGAAGGATTATGAGACCCCGAGTCCGAAGAGCAGGAAACAGGATGACCCCGCTGCAGCCTGCATGATTGTGATTCAGCCTCGCTGCGCCCGCCACCGTCCAAATTTATCTTGAGAAATCGAGTGAGCACTAGGCTGTGAAAGCTATGGCGGCGATTCGTCCACACTGGCAGTAGCCTTTGCAACACGGCAGACGAGCATGAATCTGTGACGCGAGCGAGTTACCACAGAATGCGCATACGGGTTGGTGGCTCGGTTGCACCCCAACAGCGGAGTAAAGTCGTTCAAGGCGATCATGACATGTGAGTGGCACAACATCATTCAGGCTTCAACAGCTCATCATAGCACACGAAATCTCGTCATATACCACAGCGCAAGCCATGTCACACGAGATGACGACTCGTGCAAAATATCGAATAGAAAATCGTCTAGTACACCCGTTGAGGGGCTTCTAGCTCTCCCTTAGACGCCATGTATATGCAACAGCTTCAAATGCGACAAGTTCCACCTCACAAACCTCACGAAGTTTGCTCTCGACGTCCGTTGACATCTAACCCATCAAGTGCCTCGGCAGCCTCCTTGATGGTCGGCACGGAAGTCGTAGGCACGACAAGCGAAGCACCATTAACGCCATTAGTGATACCATCTTGACTTGGGCCTTGGAGACCTTTTCGGACTTTGAGGACTTGGTCGACGATGACGGCGTCGATGCCTTCGTTTCTTTGAAGCTGTCATGTTGTCAATAGATATATCAGAGTATTTAGTTAATATAGTACTCACATTGACATTGTCAGGATCATTGTTGAGTGTTCCATAGCTGACACAGACCAACCCACTCTCCTTGACCACCTTGACTAGCCTGGGGCACATGACAAGCGGCTCGGCAGCACTGACAACACCAAGCAGGTTCCATCGACTGGCGAATCGAATGGCTTCCTGCAAGCTAGCAGCGCGAACATCGCCCACCGGCGAGGTACCAGCATCCGTGAGGAAAAGCACAGGAATGGAAGGCTGCTTGAAGGATAGCATGAGGCAAATGTCAGGGTTGAACGAGGAGAAGATGACGTTGCGCTTCCCCATCTTGTCGTAGACCTTCTGCAGTACGGTATCGACGAACGAGTTGAGCTCCACAGCGTACTGATCCATCTCTTCTTCTTCAGACTCGTGCAGCATGGGATACTTCATTTCGATGTTGAAGCCTACTGTCTCCTCTAGCTCATTGAACATCTGATCGAGAGTGGTAAAGGAGGACTGAATCGAAAAGCCTCGGTTGTTGCCCTTGAAGCCCTTCTTCTTGAAGTCGCGCGTGTACTTCATTCGTTCTGTAAGCTCATGCTGTCGGTCGAGATGGATGTTTCGCTGCGTTGAGTTATCAACAGAATATGATCGCAAACGCCGGGTGCTGGCCCGATCTACATCGCCGTCCGTTCCGGTTGTACTGTTCGCAGAGGAGTCAGGTTCGGGCGAGGCTTGTCGAGACTGGCGTGGTTTTTGACCTTCGCCGATATGGAGAAATTGATCTAGTGTGAGCGTGTGGACAGGCGCGTCGATGCCCGTCTCACTAACGAGGAAGTCGTGGTAGATCACCGGTACATGATCCTTTGTCAATTGAACATCGAACTCAACATATTCCGCACCCAAGTTTGCTGCAGAAATGAAAGACTGGATCGTGTTCTCGCCGAGTTGCAATGATGTTCGTGAAGCCGTGTTTTTGCCAAGGCCTCGATGCCCAATGACCATTGTGGACGCCATTTTCTTCCAGTATGTGTGATCCTCAGTGACAGTCATCTCCGGATGCTTAAAGGGAGTGATGATCAAGAAGTTGAAGTTGACGGTTCCGATGACGTCCAAAGTTGACGCTGCGACGATCGGTACTTTCATGTCGCCCTGCAAAGAGATACGTTTAGAGCCAATGCTGGTCTTGATCGTGGACAGCAATGCAACACCTCGGCCAACTACACGGTCGTTTGTACCTGCATAAGTAGGAACAATGTCAAACAAGACTTTGACCTTGCTGATATCTGTCGTCTTGAACGTTATTGGTTCGGTAGCGATGTTGTCTTGGACCGGTAGATCAATCACCGTGGGTTCACCGGTGGCTCCAGAGGCTGACACTACCACCGACAGGGCCGTGTCAAGCTGAGTAGCATGTGCGTCAGCGAGAGGTATTTCGTCGAGCTTGACAGCCGGTGTCTCTTTTCGGATGTCCATAGATCCCAAGCTAACCAATATCATGGTCTCGTTCGTCAAATAGCGATGGCCAAATGTCTTCACGGGTTCAGGCAATTTCTGCATGACTACTGTGTTGTCTCGGTTGATATTTTTCGATCGGCGCTCATCAAGCGACGATTGCGGTGGAGAGCCTGCTCGGGCGATCCTTGTGTCAGTGGGTACGGCGAGGGAGGAATTCGCTGTGGGTGCAAGCTCCGCAAGCCTCGCTGCAATGGCCATGTGACCTCGTAGCGCTGCATGTTCCTTTGCAGTCCATCCAGAATTGTCGCAGAGTTCCAGATTGGCTCCAGAAGATACCAGCAGCTCGACAATGGGGAGGTGATCATCGACACAAGCGATGAATAGCGGCGTCCATGCAAATGTTTTCTCGGGGATGTCAACTTTGGCCTTGTTGTCCTTGGAACCCTCCAGCAAGGCCTTGGCGCATTCGGTGTGGCCGTACCGTGCAGCCATATGTAGTGCTGTCTCACCCCCTTCGTCCACATAATTCACGTCGACACCAGCCTCAACCAACAGCTGAACTATAGCCACGAAGTTAGAGCGCGTTGCAAGTGCTAGAGCGGCCCCGGATTGCGAAATAGTTCTCCTAAAGATGAGTTTGTCCTCGCTTGTACCACGCCAATTCTCCGCATCTAAGAGAGTTTTCGTAGTCAGAGGATGCCCTCCCATGACGCTCAGATGCAATGGGGCATACCCCTCAGCATCTTGCCAATATGGGGAGTCGATGCCCTCGGTAACATTGAACTGACCCCACTCCTGCATGTGCTTCATGACAGTCTGGCAGATGACAACGAAGCCATACTGAGCGGCATAGTGCAGCGGAAGGCGCCCATAGGAGTCACGTGCCTGTAGAGCGGCACGCTGATCGAGCTGTAAGCTGTCAAGGAGATACGTGAGAAGATTTACAGAATCGTCGTTTGCGTCCAAAAGCTTAGCCGACTCTTCTTCGGTGCTGGTACACGGCCACGGCTGACGGTTCGGTGCAGTTGCCGGCACGATGAAGCTCCGCGATTCTGTCGAACTTTGAACATGGGCGCCGTCACCGTTCGAGGTCTCTCCGCTCTTGGCACGTCCGATACTGATGACAAGACGATGGATGCAATTACGCTTGTTGATGTTGTCGCCTTCGTCTAGAGAGATGATGTCTTTCAACAATCGGCTTATGCATGCTTTGGCTCGGCAGGATATAGCACGCTGTAGAAGATTCAACAAAAGCTGCTGGAATGAAGCGCTGGCCACACCATTACTCGCAGATGCATTGGCGAGAAGTTGATCGAGTTCGTCGACCTTGTCAGCTCGTATTGCTTGATCAACGGAATCCAGAAGACCCGAGGGGAGATGAAGAGCGCCTCCGGGCACTCTGCCTAACGACGCTGCCGAATGTGTGGAACCCGTGTCGTCGAAAGTCTTGATGTCACCAATGCCCGACAGCCACTCGTTGATTGTCTTCATGTCCTGGTTCAAGGGCAGGTTGTGCGCAAATGGCCTGTGATTGACCTTTGACGTCAAATATCGCTCCTGCAGACACACTTTATCGATCTTCTTGTCCAACTTCTTCGTGATCTTGATGAAGCCTCGGCGATTGACTTCTCCGTACCATTGGAGCTTGCGGAACTGGCCGCGAAGCTCCAGCAACGCCCCGATCAACTCCTGCACTTCGTCTTGGTCGATGTCGTCCGGCGCCTGTGCGATGCGTCCATAGCGACTCTGGAGTAGCCGGAGTCTGCGCGAGCATTCTGCGTGTTTCTTGTTGTAGAAGCTGTCGACGTCTTCAAGGTTTCGATCGAGGGAGAAGAAGAATTCTGAGAGGCGATGTTAGCAGCTTTTACGAGCTACATGTCATGTGGGAGGTGCTCGTCTTGCTTTGCTGCTAGTCGATAGAGCTATATAGGCGCAATTGTCGGCGACATGGAGGCTTCGCGACACACCATGTACCCATAGAGATTGAAACTTACCTGCAAGATCGGGTGCCGAACCGTCCTTGGAAGCATCGGCCGCATTCTTGATCAGCTTCTTCAAGCCCTTGTAATTGATGTAGAAATCTGCCCATTCAGGCACCTGATTCCGAGGAAGATTGTGCCCGAACTTCATGCTGGATGTTCGATGACGCAGGTCGTACTAGTAGTAGATACCAATATCAAGGGTATAAAGAAGACCTAGGGTAGCTCCCTTGCTGCAGGCTTTCTAGCCCTTTGCGGGGAAAATGCGCAAAAAGCAAAAGTATCGCGATGTGAATGCAGAGTAGTGACGGCGGATGCTTATGTGATGTCGGGTGCGACCAGCGCCAGTCTGGAGTAACGCGTCGAAATCGTTCAGATATGGGGTGTGATCCAATCTGGCATTCTCATTGGACGAGAGAATGCTCGATAGGAACGCGCCTGCATCATGGTTAAACAGACTGTCAAATGAAGGGAAACCTGCAGCTCTAGGCAAGGGGGAAGCACACGGGAGCGGTGCGGTGGCTGTATAGTGCTGGCGATTATGGTGGGATACGTGAAGGTCGGCAGCTTATCGATTGAAAGTTTGCGAAGGTGGTTTGTGCGTCGCGACGAGGGATGACGACACAACGTTCTTGTAGCATCAGGGTGCCTTGAAGGGCGACGACGGCTCGTAATATTTATACTCTTAGCATTCCAATCTTCAACTCGTATGCAATGGCTCGGACCATTACCAAGCCCCTGCACGCTCTCCAAGCCCGCTGCACCTGCCATTCTCCACCGCCGGCTGATCGCGGCCTCCATCGTGTTGTCAGCTTCTTCACCTCTGAGAGACGGTCATTTTTAACCGTAATTTCTAGGCATTCACCAATGCACAGCCAAGCCATGGGCGACGTTTGGGTGAACTGTGCGGAAATCCACACCGCAATGTGTCGGGGCGTGCATCGTTTACCCACGTCCAGCAAAGGCAGGTGAGCACGCGACAAGTTTCCAGAATGGCTCCCCCACATTTCGCGTGTGTGTGCCAAGCGTCGCCGAGTAGTGGTCGATGGCATGCGGCAACGTTGGTCACACGCCTGAGGCCCCTGGAACATCATGCATTGCCTTAGCTCTAGTGTGCACCTAGCTGGGATTGGCTATGGGGAAGTTGACAGTCGTCGCGACGTCGCCCGTCTTGCACATGTGGAGTGGCGATAATTCGTCAGGGCCGGTCTAGACCCTGTCTTATCGGCTTACATGTTAAGTGCATAGGTAGCTGCGGACGAGCAGTGCAAGTATGCTCTTGGGCATCTCAAGAGTTTGAGAAATGTGCAAGAAGAAGTTCATTTTGGCTTTCTAGGTCGGAGAACCTCACGAGAAGAAAAATGAGTTGCCCTCATTGTCTTTCCGCTGCACCTTTGATAGATCCTTTTCGGGAGCGTACTCTGCCCATGCACTTGCGGGGAAGATGTGCTTATTCCGCTCGTACCACCTTCTATCTACAACCTTTGTAATGGTGGGATCGTCATTGAACCCCTCCAGCTGATCTTCGGGTATATTCGAATCTTTGTTTTTGTCCTTGCGAGCCTGGTTTAGGGGATCATATGCAACCGCCTCGTCATTTGCGTCTGCTTCGCTGGCGACTGGCGTTGCTTTTGTCGGTTGCGCTGAGTAATCAAACAAAAGACCGTTGAAGCCTGTGACCTTGTTGAACAGGAAATGGTAGAATTCGTAGTGCTGGAGCGTATGTCAGATTGAATACCGCATTCAAGAGAATCTGGACTTACATGAGGCAGAATGACTTCTCCTCTGACGAGCATCAGATCGTCAACGCTGACTCTGGCCCAGTCTCTGCGGCTTCGCTCTCCACCCACGCCCAGCTCGGCACCGACCTTTCTCGCTTTATCCAGGAACAGCCACACCTGCTCTCCCTTCTTGATTCTGCACCGACCACCTGGAGTGTTTGTGCCGTCGTAGAAAACGAACGGTATGACCACTTCCGTTGCCTTCACTGATGCACGCATGACGACAAAGTCCTGTCGTGCCAGATCGGCCTGCTGTGCTTCGCGCTGCAGTGCCGTCTTCGTCATGACGCGAGGTTTGAGACCAACACTAGTGTTTGCGCCCAGCTTCTTCTTCGGAACCTTGGTCTCACCTTCGGAGTTTACGGTGGAGTCGGCTGGTGTGCTGTCGCGAGGGGTGAGAGGCTTGGAAGTGCCAGAATCGTTTCCTTCATCTTCGTCTATGCCAAAAGACAGTTTTCCTTTTGCGGCTACTTTGCGCTTCTTCTTGAAAAGAGGCTTTGATATCGATGCTCTGTACTTTGCAAATTAGCGTGCGACCGTGGCGCAATGGGCGATAAATCCTACTCTTCTGTAGGGGTGCTGGCGCCCGAGTCAGCAGCAGAAGCGAGCCCTCGTTCCTTTAGATCCAGAGCTTCAGCTCGTCGTTTGCGGTAGTCGTTGAGGTTGACCAGACCGACGGTTTGCGCCTTCAGTAAATCTTCAGCCGTCGCTGCCTGTGACGTGAAACGTGCATTTTCTGGCGCGTCATTACGTGCGCGGTCGCTAGCATCAGGTTTGAATTTGTCCATAATCGCTAGTGTCTAAATGTGCGTAGACACCATGACGGGAGGTATTAAGAGGTTGGAGTGGAGCACGCGAGATCGACAACCTCACCTGGGATGCCGTGGCGCTAGTCCCGACATCCCGTGACTACGCGACGCGATTTCCAGCGCCTGCATGTGCCCCACCACTCACCACTCTCTACGTCAACACTAGCACCGCATTGCGACATGTCTTGAAGGGTAAGCATGAGAGTAATCCAGGACTCCGATGACGAGTTCGATGACGATCTCCAAGATGAGGTCCTGTCACCGCGAACGGGAGACGCGTCGCGTGATCATGGTAAAGATGCCTCGTCCTTGGAATCGGGCACAGGCTCTACAGGTATACCAACAAGTTATATTGCGCTGCTGATATCGAGGCTGATCTGATGACCAGAATCCTTGAAACGGGCGTTTGCCGAAGCACATCGAGATCATCTTCAGTCACCATCAACTCATTTTGCTGTGCCTTCCCAAGATGAGCCGCAATCTTCCGTGTCGCTACCTGAGCACGTGAGTAAAAGAATGAAGACTCTCCATGACGATGCACCTCACGTTTCATCGCCGGAAAAATCGTCCAAGAAAGGACCTGTCACATACGGAAAAGAACGAAAGCCTACGAGCAGCAGTCCGTCCCTACATCTTGTCGATACTCAGGCGAGAGATATCAGTCCCGCTCCCCTATACGACATAGCCCTGGGACTGGAAGGCACCATGCGTGAAGGTTACATGCAGCACGACTCAAGGGCTCTGTTCCCAGAGCCTTCAAGCACAATCCCGAATGCCACACTTACTCAACAGCGTATGCTCGAGGGTGTGGTAGGGCCAGGTATGCTTGGTCTGGATTCGGAAGCAGACGTCCCTCCACATCAGCCACCCCCAGAAGCCTCAGTACCATGGTCGGATATGATGAGGTTCTCGTCTGGGGAGCAGTCTGAGTTATCCTCTCAGAGAGCCAAGGATGATGCAGAGCTAGAATCCGTCCAACACTTTGCGGAACAGAACGAAGAACCTCTGAAGTCGCAGCGCAGCCGCCGCGGCTCTTCAGTGCGTCTACGTGGCAGCCCTTTGCGGAATGAAGTAACGCTTGAAAGCATTGATCCAAAAGATATCATGCCACCACCGCAGCTTACACTCCCAAGCCAAGACTTTGCATTGCCATCTACCGCATCTGGAACCTCCCAGTCAGACCCGCAAGAAAAGAGTCGAAAATCGTCGTCGCAGGCGAAGAACAAAGCTGGCTTGAATGCTGGTTCCGATGAAGATCTTGCGTTCATCGGCATCCCTACAGAACAATACAAACCCCGTCCGAGCCAGATCGAGATCACTTAGAGCCACTCCAGATGAGACGATAGACTTCTCTGTGAGACCTGAGAAAGCTGCCAAGGGTAGCAAACGGCGCAAAACCACGAACGTCGCTGTTACGACCTCCACGGCTGAATATATCACCACACCGGAGAAAGTGAGGCAGATATGTGACATGGGTTTCACGCCTACTTCAACTGGCAGAGCTTTGAAGCAGAACAATGGTGACGTCACTGTAACTGTGGAGTGGCTGATCACTAACGGGCTGGGTGAAGATGAGCTCGCATCAAGCAACACGCCTAAACGAAAACCTGTGTCGAAGAGAGCAAAAGCTGTTCCAGCTACAGTCGTCGAACCCCCGCCTGAGGCACAGATTCCCCCACCTCCGGAGAGCGTCGACGACAGCAAGCTAACTGCGGGTATCGAGACTCCTAGCAAGCCAATAGCAACAATGGACACATGTGCTCCAACATGCGAGATCAATCCTACCAGCGCAGCCCAGCAGAGAAGTCCTAAAGTGCAGGTGGTCATACCAATGAAATCGCCCAACGCGAAAGTGGCGTCCAAACAGAATCCGCTAGAGCCACCGAGTAAGAAGGCAAAACGAAGGAAGACTACATCAGACTTGCCTGATTCCGAGGCGACTCTGAACACTACAAGCATAATTGAGGCGGCTAAGGAGAAGAAGAAGGGTCGAGGTCGTCCCAAGAAAACAGCGAATACCGTGACGTCAGCTGCGCTGTCGCAGAATGTACCAGAGGAACCGCAACTAGAGTCTGAGAATCAAGCAGATACAGTTCTCCAGACAATTGAGCCAAACGCGATGAACCTAGCTACGTCCATGCCAGAAGAAGCGAAAGACCAACCACTGGCACCCGTTGTCACATCGAAGGAACTGCACGCGTCTCGTACACCTGAGCAAACCATCAAACCGTCAAGTCGCTCACCGTTGAGCAAAGGGAAAACGCCATATCGTGTAGGGCTGAGTAAACGAGCACGAATTGCCCCGTTGCTGCGGACGTTGAAGAAGTGAATGAGGGTTGTCTTTCTTTCGGAGGCGATGCATGACACACGCCCACGCAATCCATAACGCGATAATGTAATAGACCAAACTGTGATACCCAAATTTATTTACGTTCAGATTCGTCTCTGGCACCAAGAGAACGCCCTGGGTGATGTGCCAGCCTGTTGCAGTGCCCAAGAGACCCATCAGATGCGAAAACAAATACGATGCGATGGCTTGCTCGCAACAACTGCCGCCGAAGCACTATCGACTCGCGCTGATGCGAGCGACGACAAGGGCGGGAGGGAAGCGTCACATGCCTTGGCGTATGCTGCCAAGAGAGTCTTGTGGAAATGAAGGCTTTTAGGGGCACTCAGCACCGAATGACCGGATCAGGAACGCACCGCGGGCGGGCCCAATGTTTGAGCGTGCGCTTAGCATGGACTATTCCTGCATCTTGGAGACGAGCTCGTACGGTTGAACAGCTCCACCGTCGATAACAGCACAATCATCTTTCAGCTCGTGTTCTGCCTGAAGGCGCATCCTTACTAGTACTTGAGCCTGACTTGCCGTTCGACAGCAACCGCAAAACAAAGGTGTAACAATAGTGTCTGACAGGAGCCCATGCAGTCAAATGTTTCGAATCCATACATTTTGAGATAGATGCTTACAAGAACTGGGGTGCATCCGCCGATAATCCTCGCTGTCAATCATCGATAGCCGAGACGACGTCAGGGGACTCAACAACATCTGCAGCACCAGCGCGAGAAACGGCATGCGGAAATTTGATTACAGCTTTGCCGAATGGCCCGAATATACAACGCATGCGCTAGTGGTAGCCGTCGTACTCGAAAACACGACTTTTTCCTGACAGTGCAGGTTCTTGGCGTGACGGGACACGAACGGGAAGCGAGGAATTCGTTATTTTGCTCCGCCGCCTTATGATCTTGGCAGCACTGACTGGACTAGCTTCCTCTCCTTTTTTAACGTTTCTGGTATGCCCATCCTAGCATATCACCCGCATTGTGATCGGTGGTGAGCCGTTTTGGTAGATCAATGTTCCGGATGGTGAGTATACGGCTAACACCCGGATCTGCGACGACGGTTTGGGTTGATCAGCTACCAGGGGACAATGCAATTCAGTTCATCCCCGTAGATTGTAGTTTCAACCCCCGAATTGTCTCCACTATAGCTGTTCGTATTGATGAGCGCTTCCACGCGAGCGCTCTTGGCTGCTGAAAATAGTGGCTGGCTGCAGCGGGCCATTATCCTCGCATGGTGCGCCACCATCTTGCATCGAGAACGTAGCAGCATGGCATTCTTAGTATAAGGGTTTGAGAAAGTCCCTTTCTTGTTCTTCACTCGCTCTGCTTGTCGTTCTGCGTTACAAACGCTGCCATTCGTTGTCACGCCTTGTGTTCATTTTTCTAATAATAGTCCTTTGACTACCACATTCGCTACTGAACTTCACTGTCTTTATTAAAGAATACTATCATTTAAATCCTAGTAATACACTCATCGGACTGCGAAAATAATGCGTTTCTCGAAAATTTTCGCTGCCTCTCTGGTGGCACCACTTGTTGCTGCCCATGGCGACATCCAAGGAGCTCCTAAGCTCTTTGGTATGAAGAACTTGAGGGCCAGGAACCCGTTCGCTGGTCACTCACACGTTGGTCACGCTGCAGGTTCCCAACTCCAGGCTCGTCAAGGCGGCGATGTTGAAGGTCGGTGTGGTCCTGAGGTTGGCGGTATTTCCTGCGACGACGGCTTTTGCTGCTCTACTGCGGGATACTGTGGTGTCGGTAAAGAATACTGCGCCGCTCCTGATTGTCTCATCGACTTTGGCCCGGGTTGCGATGCAAACAAGACTCCATACGGAGCATCCACCGCTAAGGATGCTCGGCCCCAGCTCGGAGACATCGAATATGGTGGCGTCGGTATTCGCGAGTGCTTGAATCCCAAGCAGGTCGCTATTACTTACGACGACGGTCCATACATCTACACCGAGGATGTACTGAAGCAATTCAAAAAGTACAATGCTCGTGCTACTTTCTTCATCACTGGCAACAACCTTGGCAAGGGCTCCATTGATGAGAACTGGGGCGGTGTCATCTCTCAGATGTACGCCGAAGGCCATCAGATCGCTAGGTAACGTCACCAATCTCTGTACCAAAGGGTGTGTGCTTACCTTTGTTCAGTCACACTTGGTCTCACCAGAACCTTGACAAGATCACCCATGAACAGCGCGTCGACCAAATGGTAAAGAACGAAATGGCTATACGCAACATCATCGGCAAATACCCGACCTACATGCGCCCTCCTTACTCTGCATGCGAGAGCGCAGCATGCCAAGCAGACATGAAGGCTCTTGGATACGTTGTCACCTCTTTCGATCTCGACACCGACGACTACAACCAGCTCACCAAGGAGAAGATCCAGGTCGCCAAGGACAACTTCAAGAAGGGTGTTGACACCGCGGGTGTCAACGGAGACGGCGCTCTCCATCTCCCACGACATCCATGAGCTTACTGCTCTAAACCTCACCGGGCTACATGCTTGACTATGTCTACAAAGCCGAGCTGGACTGCCGTCACTGTTGGCGAGTGCATGAACGAACCTGTTGAGAACTGGTACAGAAATAGCGCTCCGGGTGTCAAGCCTAGCGCTAGCCCTTCATCTTCTGCGCCTGTCCCTACTCCCACCGGACCTACCTCAATCGATGGCATGTGCGGTAGCGTGTCTGGTCAATCTTGCATTGGCTTCAACGGCCCCGCTGGTCTTAGCGAGTGCTGCTCTCCCTCAGGATGGTGCGGTAAGTAAACTCATATACAATGAATCTTACAGCCCTCATACTAATTTAAACAAGGGAACACCGACGACTACTGCGGCACTGGATGCAACCCTAAGTTCGGGAAGTGTGGCCCTCAGCCATCTGCCGTCGCATCTACCACCTCTGCTGCGCCTCTTCCCACTGTATCACTTACGACCTCGACTGATGGCGACTGTGGTTACGCTGCGGGCAAGACTTGCAAGGGTTTCGCTCTTGATGGGGTCAAGTCAGAGTGCTGTTCGCAACACAACTACTGCGGCAGCTCTGAGGACTACTGTGGCCAGGGATGCAACCCGCTATATGGCAACTGTGGATCTTCTGGTTCCAGCTCCAGCGTTTCTATCTCGGCATCTGCTTCCACCAGCGTCTCGGCTTCTGACTCTCACTCTGAGTCAGCCAGCTCTTCTTCACATGTCGCATCATCCACCTCCGTCAGTGCCTCTGCGTCTGTGAGCATGACTTCAGTCGTTGATGCTTCCGCGTCTACGTCGACGTCAGCCTCCCGCTCTGATGTTTCAGCCTCACAGCCCGCTCAATCCACCACTGTTCCCTCTACAACTTCGTCTGCATCCGCCGCAGTTAGCACTCACGAGGTTTCCTCCACCCCCGAGTCTAAGACCTCATCGGCCTCAGTCCACGTCTCCACTTCTGAGACTGCGTCTGCATCAGCCACCCCATCCGCTTCCGTCTCCGCCTCGTCCGTGTACCCCACAACGACTGCTGACGTTCACTCCACTCACACTCCCGACGCTGCTTCCACCAGCACACCCATCGCTTCCACCCCAGTCTCCAAGGATAACACCCATCCCTCCACCACCGCTACTGCCGTATACAGCCAAGGCTCGACCATGTCAACCATAGTACGTCCCATCTCCACTTCCTGTACCGACGACAAGAAGATTCCCACACCTACCCCTACCGGTCCTCCAGTCAGCAAAGATGGCAAGTGCGGCACTGCCAACGGTGGCCAGACATGCGCTGGCTACAAGGATCCCTTTGGCCAGAGCGTTCAGTGCTGCTGCAAGGAGAGCGGAAAGTGCTCGAATGATCCTTGGGCGTGTGGTGTTGGGTGTGATGCGAAGTTTGGAAAGTGTAACAAGTATTAGATCGTGGTGAATATGGGGCGGTTTGGTTAATGGCTTGAGTAGCTTGGTGATGGTTGTGGGCATTGGGATGATTTGATGTTTATGTCGAGTTAATCAAAGATATGAAGGATGTGTTCGCATGCTTTGGACGGCTCTAAGTGTTTGGTGAGGTATTGTGCTGCAGTAGCTGGGCACGTGATGGGACGATAAAGTAACCAGGTCCGGTAGAATAAGAAGCTTCCCAACAGGGGCCTGAAATCTCACCGATTCCTGTGGCCAGCGATTGTAGTCATTCAAATTCTCCTGCCTCACGAGCCGACTGCGCGTGTCGAAACCGGATCCCTACCACCACGAGATCCTCTTGCAGTGGCAGTCTTAGTAGTCTGCAATGTTTTCACTCATGAACAAATCAATCAATATTTTATAGTGAAATCCAAGCATTGATTTTTTTGGTATTCTGTGACGAGGAGAAAAGACCAACCCACTAAAAACTCTTTCCCAAGTGACTGACAGTAGGGAAAGACAGCGAGGTTTGAACTCGCTCTTTAGCATCTGGGTAATGCTAGAGTGTTCAAGTGCATGTAGATTGTACATGAATTATTACCCCATGACAGGCCCCTAACTCTTAATCGAACAACCTCTATATACTCCTCGTAAATATTCCATACCCCAAATACATATCTCTTTCATTTTAAAACTATGGTACCAGTTCCTTCGATCGCAAGATTATCAGGGCTATATTAAATAAACATTTATTCCTCCATATAATATGCGCACTGAAGGTTGAGTATCTCTATTTTCGCGCAGTAGTCATGAACCGCAGTGTTCGATTGAACTGCCTTGCTTCTGTCGAGGAGTATATTCGCGCGGGGCCTGAAGCTCTGGACATCCCTAATTGAGGACCAGGCTGCGATCCATGAGGTGTCTCTGTTCCGTGTAATCGGAGTTTGCACTTGTGCTACAACTTTCTCGATTATGCTCTGGAAAATTGGGTTGCGCGAACCCCTATTTATACCGTAGAGGTGGATACTGGTGATGGCGTTTGACGCTTCGATGGAGATCGGCAGGACCCCCAGCACGGCTGACGAAAGTGTTGAGAGCGTCGAGATTCGTTGGAATATTCGGAGTTTCGGGCTGGTAGATCACCCATTTGTATGTGCCATTTTCGATGCCTTGACGTTCTTCCGTGGTAGGGACTACATCACGTGATTCTAGTGGCGAGGCATATGCAGCTTCTGCTAATGTTAGCTCGGAGGAAATTTCCGTGAGATACGTGATGGACACGCTCGGAAGTGCCTACTTATACGGTAATTACCATAGCTCCCTCAGGCTAGGCCTAACCGGACTTGTACCATAGGTAGAGCAGCATTCACTACCTGAAAACCAGGCTGGCTAAGATCCAGAAACTACTGTCTTCCAAGAAGTAGCGACTCATTCTAGAACACCCTTGAAAGCACACACGTGGCAGGAATTATATGGAATGAATTTCGAAGTGATTGATGCTATAACCATTCAGAAGGCTACCATAGGTAGGAAGGCTCTACAGGACATCTACTTGACTCTGTGTTTCCTGAAAAGACTTCCACGGGTATGACCTAAACATTAATGGTGCAAGATTTTAGGTACCTGTAGGTCACGGAAATTGGGGAGGTCGTATGTGACGGGCCTTCTAGTAGCTAGTAGCGCTGACTCATAGTGGCGATCTCTCCGTATTTCTTATTACGGTATGATGGTAGTATCAGCTCAGCTCGAATGAGTCTTAAGGTACCTGCATCCCATCCGCTCGATAGAAGCGGGCAGTGCTGATTCAAAGAAGCGGCCTCTTTAATTCCCTCAATGTGAGTTGGCACGGGCCGCCCTGCTAAAGCACAACCAGAACTTAACGCCGCTTAGGTCGAGTTCCGACGACGTGTTTTAGACGCTGATGAGATTAGACTTCTGTTTATAGCATTTACGTAATGGTGGTCGGTTGTCCAGCGAATATCCTCCTCGCGCGCAAAAGTTCATCTTGCTGTCATGTTTACATAGCTACGCAGAGCATAGACTTCTTTCAGATATGCATCGAGGGTAGGCGAAAGTTGCCATATATTCTAGTTCAACATCTCTGATTAGCTTCGCAGCATCTATATGCTGTTGATGTCATGTCTGAACTGCTTTAGCATAACACTGTGTACAAGATGTGTCTGGCGATGAGGTGATCGACAAGAACCTCTGACGATATTCCAAAGTCCTCATCTGGCAAGAAAATAAAATGACGATAGAGTCGGCAGTAGGGAGCTCTGTTCGTGTTCGGCTGCCTGCTGCTGGAAATGCGCAGGTATTGGAACACAGGTCCCTGTATTACTTGTATGTATCTGCCGCATATGCAGCAGCCATCTCTTTTAACTGCTCGAACTTGCAAAGGATACATCCCCTTTGCCTTTGAGCCCTCTTGGTTCTCCAATTCTTTCAATTCTTACTGCATCTGCGTCAGCAAAGCAAACCACTCGATTTGGACAGTGTTGCACACCCAAACGTGGACGCATCTGCCTCAGATCTGTAACGAACGCAATTATAATTTGCTGCAGGAGAGTGCTTTGTTGATGGTCAAAGTGAGCCATGTATTGCAGAGGCAGACAATCACCTCCGGCAAGTCGTATAGCATTACCTGAGAATCATACCGGAGACATCTTGACCTTGCCAGCGACCTACTCTACCTGGCACTATATCACCAGATACCATGTTCTTATCGCCTTCATTTTCGATAAACATCATGAGGAATGTATCTGCGGGCTGACTGCATAGCAACTATACACTACCGCTTTTCGGGAGGCTATGAGAAAGTAAGACAGAGCTGTCTTTGGAAGCACTCGAGGATTTGGGAGACAAGCTAAATGAGTCGGGGGAGTCCGAAAAATAAGACCGTACAATAGTGCCGAACCAGAAATCAAAGTCGATGTGAAGGAGGGGAATGATGAGACTTGGGGCAAAGACAATTTCGAAAATGGGCTGCGATCAAGAACCACAACCTAAACGCCATATACAATTGCTATCATTTCTAACGCTATCGACATGATATAGAACGTCTCCTTCTAAAATATCGTGGTATTCTCGCAAGTCTCCATCATGGAAGAAAAGGAAAGAGGTTGCAAGCGTAGCCATGACGTCACGACAAACATTCTTCCAAACATAAGAACCTCATTATCTTCTCGCGACTCACGCTCATACACAAATCCCAATTCCGTCCTTAAAATGACCCTCCCCATCACCGGCAAGTCAGGCAAAGACACACGCGCTTCCGCCCTCGAAGCCGAGTACGAAAAGCGCCCAGATCCTATCGCCCTCACGCAAAACCCCGATCCTTCCAAGAACAGCTCGTCTGGCGTCGACTACGAACCAAATCCTGAGCAGTCGATCATATTGGACCCTGAACGAGAGAAGATTGTGCAAGCGATATGTAGCCTCTACTCGGGCAGCGCGAGTAAAGAGGATATGCTGGTCTATGCGGAAGAAGCAATTTATGATGATCCGTGGAGTTATTGCGATACTCGGTATAAGATTGCTGGACAGTGGTATGGTGAGTTTACTGGTTCTCTATGTATTGATAGGGGTGGTTTGAGATGCTGACGTGGAGTAGGAATTCCGAAAATCATGAAGTCATCACGGACCATCAAAACACAAGTCGTGTCTTCAAAACCGGATGAGATTATCTTCAAACTGCAGCAGGAGTACACACCGAAGCCTATGCCGGTGGCCAAGAAGGTGAACAGTTTGGTGACTTTGACGTTGGATGGAGAGGGAAAGATTAGATATCATAAGGTACGTTACCTGGTGCTATGGCTGCGTAAATTTGCTAACCGTGGCGTAGGATATGTGGAACGAGAAGGATTATAGTCATGAGGGGTTAGGCAAGATTATGAAGGAGTTAAATGGAGACCATTTGACGAAGATCACCCAGCCGCCAGAGGACTTGTAATTGCGCAAGTGGTATATTCAGGCCTGCATTTGTGGTGGAAAAAGTCATTGCCTGTGAAGGCAGGGAACATTCTCTATACCAACCTCGAAAAGCGAAAAATCTTCCTCTATGACAAATAATCCGAACTGAAGGTATCTGAAATCTCCTGCAAAAGGGTCTGCATGCTTGTGAACACAATATCTGCAGCCATGACGCAAGATGCTGAACCAAATCAAGTCTGCGCCACACCAAGCTCGTTCTGGTGCTGATACATTGCATGTTACATGTAAATATTTGATCCCAGTCAACACAAGAACTAAGATTTTAGTCCTCGAATCGGACGACGAATGGAAGATCTATTACTTGCAGGGAGAAAACGCTCACTCTGCCCAATCACAGCCAACATCTGAAGATGGCACAATTTGTGTTCAGGTCTCTTTCAGGTTCTTCTACTTCAATAAGTCTTGTCTCTTAAGATCTGCCGAAGGCCATGATTAGTTTACACTGCCCTTTCACGTGCTGGAAGCTACGCAGCGTGAAGCGATTAATTCATTCATGAGATAGTAGGCAAAGAATTGTTTCGTCTAGAGTCGGTTGTCAAACTAGTGACTGAAGAAGAGGCAGCTACGTCTATTGACTTACCTATAGCTGAAAGTAGGCTGCCTATTGCGGCAAATTCGAAGCTCCCCTTAGCGGCTTTTGGGATTTCTCCCAAGATTATGACATCAACGCTCGCCATCACTTTGCATACTTGTCTGCACTACGTCTGAGCATGAAGATTAACAGTCACTCTGTTTCGCGCTCGAGACATGTACACATAGCGCAACATATGATCACTGACGAAGACCATGCAGGTACTATAGAACTTTCAGACGACCAAGTTGTGGAGAATTGTTCCGCGCAAGCATAGTTTGAAATTCATAAGAAGTGGCAAGGGTAGCCCGGGAACTCTCAAAAGCGGCAAGCCTCATGGGAAAATGCTAGTAACTAACGAATCACATAAGCGATAGCGAGATTGAGCAATCCATTATCGAACTATGAAATATACCTATTCTGTGCTTTCTTAATGTTTCATTGCCATTTTGCTGACTCCGAAATTTCGCCAAGGAATGAAAGAGACTGAGTACCTAGGTAGTCCCAAAGATCCACGTCATTACTCGAACGCACTCCTTAATCACCACTGAACTCAATCAGATTTCAACACTACAATTGGCGCGTTCGACGAAGGCTATGGTAAGATTGCCCTCCTTGCGTATACTAGCCTTGCGCAAAAGCAAATACCTATCTACCATAGGTAGGTCCCAAGGCTGTATATCTTCACCTACGACCAAAGATGTTGCAGACAAGTCTGCTAAGCTTGCTAGAAGTAGTTGGTCTTTTTCAGCTGGCTCTGCTTACTGAAGCATGTAAGAAGAATTTTGGAGCTCCAACAACGATCACCTTCCCCGTTCTAAAAACAACACTCTCCCGACTTCTGCACACTTGGTACATGTTACCGAATCCTGTCAAGGGCGATGTATAATTGCTACAACGCAATATGCCTATTCCCTACTAACATTAAACTATTATGTGGCATTGTATAGCCTCATTTCTGAGATCAAGCAGGTGGTGTTCGGCGTGCGCGCTGCGCACGGGCACGGTGCCGCTTTGCTCGCAGTACGCAAGCGCCACTCGAACAGTATACGATGTACGGCAGCGATAATGGCTACATCCATTAACGAGTTGGACCATAGAGGGACGTCGAATCAAGGTGTCCTAGCACCGTATCTTGAATACCATTCAGCCAGCTTGACCAATTGTAAACACTGTCATAGAGAGTATAGAGATCCTGCAGTACATTTCGAGTATATGGTGGTGCTGGGAGACAAACGGTGATGTTCGGTTCTGATATACATGGATCAAGGCCCTTCGGCGGAACCAGTTGTTCAAGACAGAGGAGGAAGACGAGAACAAAACCTGGCACGAGGGTGATTTGGGATCGTCAATTGCAGATGAGCAGGCCAGATATATGCGAGGGGATTTATAGAGTAAGCTGGAGCCGTGATAGGTAGGAGGCAGCGATCCCTGGCGCCGAGCCATGGGTTGGTAAGAAAGAGGTTCATGGTCTGTGTTGATCGGACTTTCCCATGCGGTCATTCTGTCGTGTAACGATACACTGCCTAGAAAACGGATCGGATAATGTTTTGCTCCGCACGCACACAGATACCCCGTAAATGAAAACCCCTACGTCTTTCTCTTTCTAAAACGTAACCCCCCTAAAATCGGAACCCACATCTAACATGCAAGATCGATGGGAGAGTTGCGGAACCTGCAGTAATCCGGCACTATTCATGTGCCCTGATTGTGGAACACGTCTTTGTTACGGAAAGGGATGCCAAACAGGCAATATGCCCATCCACTCGGATATTTGCGAGGAGCTTGAGCTAGAGAGAGCAATCGTCCGAACGGCAAATACGATTCAGAAAGCATACTTCGCTTTCCGCGAGCCTCTCTTTGAGAAGTCAATTGTGAAGGTGGAGGAGCGAGATCACGAACTGGTGTTACACCAAGGCAACATGGAGAGCGGCAAGAGAAAGGGATCGTTTGCGGATCTTCCAAGTCATGTAATTGAGAAAAAAGGCATAGCGGAAGCTATCTTATGCTTTCTTGTGGGCAGAGAGCCTTTAGCATATCTCTTGGACCTTATCCAGTATCTCACCGACGGTAAGATGCCTGCTGTTGTAAAAGAAATGCCAAGCTTACAAAAGGTAGATCTGGCAGTCAGGGTGGAGGAGGTTCAAGTAAGGTTGAAGAACATACCGCGGAATACCACTGTCATATACGCAAATGGTGTTCAGCAATCCGCTTACCCTGACAACCCTCACTTTGTCCTCCGATTGACATCAATGGAGAGCAAGAAGACGTGGGCCATCGACATCACTGGTGCACAGTTTGGCTTTACCCAAAACCTTTGGCTATGGGAAGAGTATTCCAACAAACACCTCGAAACCGTTGAGGAGATCAATGAACTCAATACGAGCTGGGTACTGCTCAAGACATTATCTTCTGTGCAGGGCGCACCAAGCGTTGATTTCGGCATTCCCTTTGCCGCAATGGGCCATGTAAACCTCGCTCTCAAATCGTGGGAGGAAACCGAACTCGACAAGAGAATCTTTGTGTTGCTGCACGACAAGAACTTCGCCGTAGCACAAGTTGGCCTCATCCAAACCATCAAGAAGGCCATGTGTAAGTTTGTGGACGAATCAGACTATTCCAAGGAGGTGCAAGAAGCTGTTGAGTACGAACAGAGAAACCTAAATGCGGGTGAGGAGAACCTTGTACAGCTTCATTCGACGCTCTCCAGATCCATATATTCGGAGCCTCGAAACAAAAATTGCTCCAGCTGTGGTGGCCCGGCCATTATGAGATGCAGCCAGTGCAGACTGCACGTATACTGCAATGATAGATGCCAGAAGGCGCATTGGATCGAGCACAGAAACATGTGCAAGACAACGAATCTAGACAAGATTATGCATCGAGCAGGGGCATTGCTGCAGAGGTTGTACTTGATATTTTGCAGGACAACATTCAGAAATCAGTTCACGAAAATCGAAGACTCTGGACGTCACCTTACTATCCATATGAAGACCTCCACAACCAAGCGCAGCATGTTCGTTCCTTTCCCGGACCTTCTGATCCCGAGCGAGAACGACAGGAAGATGATACTATGCGCGTCGCGTTGTTGCAACTTTGTGGGACATTTCAAGACTATCATAGAGATGGTACTCAAAGGTAATTCACGATCCCAACAGGTATCACCTTGCTGACACAATCCTGTCATCACAGACAACGATGTAATAGTGGATGAAGTTTGCGTTCAGATGAAGCCGCCAGAAAGGAGTGCTATCTTGGAGGTCGAGGGCCACGGCTCAAGCAAAGGGGGCCACAACTCCCACTATCTCTTCCAGGTCACAAAGCAACTACCTTTCAAACAGTGGATCTTCGACATCACTGGACCTCAGCTCAATGTATTCGACCCATGCTTGGAACTCCCGAAATACACCGCGAAGCATGTGGACCGGTTTCGATTGACAGCACCGTTGGGCACCACGAGCATCTTGTTCGAAAATCTGGCCGATTTAAAAGGCTTTGCTGGTCTGGAAGCCCGTATCGATCGAGATGCAGCCAGAGCTCTTGTGATGGGGATTTGTGAGTGGCAAACTCGTGCAAGTAGCAATCTACCCGAGCTCCTTCGCCGGCCTGGGAGTATCTTTAAAAAACAACAACAGGAACTTTCGACTATAGTTCAGGAGTCTCTGAATCAGTATGTCCTCTCTGTCAATTACACGTCGGAATTATCCTCAGTCAAACATCATACAATAGCAGATTTACTTTCTACCCGCAAAAAGGTCCTCAGCAAGCACGAAGAGTACCTCAGACAATTCTTTGATTGAGGCGAATATGAAAGGCTGAGGGTTGCATCTACTCCGTCAGGGTTATTTGGAGTCTTTCAAGGACGACAAGAGCGAGGAGGATGAACGAGCATTGCTAATAAGGTGTGGCGTGTGCGGTCAGGCAAAGGATAGTCGTGAAATCCGCTTCAATTGGATGTTAGATTCATGAAAAGTGAATATGCAGATTATCCAGGGTTAGAAAATCTGCAGAGAATCTAAAAAGTTCAAAGTGTCTGGAATATCGTATGATTGATAGCTTGAGGTACCGCAGAGGGTCGGCAACGGGCTCTTCGATACATGCTAACATATCGGGCCTCTCCATGCCCATCAAATACGGCAATCACTGCATGCGCTTTATACGGGTTTACTTCGCCCCTCTCGCCGCCCTAGATGGTGTCCTGCGCACGCTTCTCGATTTCCCCCCACGCCTTGTCCATTTGCTCGCCCATACAACCTCGCTATCGACGGGAACGGGCTCTGTGCCTCTACTAAAGCTTTGCAGGGTGGGTGCACCTGGAAATGCTGCAAAAATTGGCGGCTGCTGATCAATCGCTGGCAATACACACGTGTATCCCTGTTCCATCCGTGCTCGGAAACTCTTCTCCTTGCTCCGACATTGTCGCCCACCCTTCTTTCCTGCTGACCATCCGTGATGGTCGTCGTGCCAAAGCATCCTCATGTTCTCGGTGCTCCACCACATCCGCTGACACTAGCTTGGGTTTCATTGACATGACAAACCATCCGCATATACGGGTAACTGGGGATGGGGCGCCATGATCTGGCTGGGTGCCACAAACTCAATTGGGTACTGCATAACGCCTGACCAACTGCGCACTTCTAATCCCACTTCGCTGGCTTCTTTCTATGGTATGCCATGTTGCTCATGTAAACGGCCTTTAATCTGACTGGGTTATACTCCAAAGCCCTAACATTATGAACGTATCAATGACGGGCGATGAATTGCGAGTCTTAGGTTATTGCTAATTCAATTGAACAGCTTTGTTAATAGTAAGCTTTCACATGCCCTCCACTACAGACTGTCTAACGACTCTCTAAGCCCTTCTATCAGCTGCGTAGACTTCTCTAGAAGATGCCGCATTGCACTAAGCTGGACAATCTAGAAACTGCAGGACCGTATGAACGTAAGCAAGCAAAAGGTACTTGAAATGTTCGAGTGAGTCTATGCAGGGTAGCGACATGGCGACCTGAGTGTTAAATTGGCTATCCTCAGAGTCGTTTGGGTGCGACAATAACGGCGGGCGGGTGTTGAGGAGGCATGCATCGCCTTTCGATGTAGTGAGACTGGGTACACTGTCAACCTGATGCGCTTTCGTTCGTGGCGGACTCGCAACGGCACCAGTACCACCAGAAGGATCATAGCCCGGAAAAAGCATGGCTCTTCACTGTTTGCCCATGAGAGACGTTCGAAAGTGATAACAGCGATTAAGGCCACTGCGTCGTCGCTCTGCAGTATTTAGGGTCCCGCGGGAGCTAGGCGCTACCGTGTCTGTGCGTGTGATGCGTGATGCTTCGCGAAGCGGGCCTTTTGCCGGGTAGCGATCGCTATCAGGAACGATCCACCGGCGCTAGGTATGGAGGTATGGAGCGACACGGGATTCGCGTCGAGGTCATGGGCGATATGACATCGTGCGTGTCGTGGAACAATGCTGCGCCAAGAGCCCCATGACGCACCGCTCCGCACCGTTCAGGATTTGCTGCTGGCCATCCGCTTTATCAATATATGACTTTTACTGTTACAAGTTTTCAATAAAGGGACCAACATATTCTGCAGTTCGCTTCGGGTGATGCGGCCTGCTTTCCCATAGATGCCTTGCACGCAAGACTGTCCTGCTGATTCTCACATCGACCGAGTCCCCATCGACTTTTGGCCTTTCGCCAGATCCAGTGATATGCCCAGTCTCATTTCCGCTCGCCGATAAGTAACAAGCTTGTTCCAACTCTGGCGTAAACTCCTTCAGTATTCGAGACAGCACTCTCCAGTCAATTTTGTAGGTAGAATCGAACCAAGATGTCTTTCGAAAGCATCTGTTCAGCTCCAGAAAAACAGGAAAAATAAGCGCTCTAGCTTGGTCGATTGATCCAAGCTCTGCCTGTGTACATCGTTCGAACCATCTCGAATGCGAGGCTTCTAGACAGTAAAAAGGTCCTGGTTCTATACTTATACTGGGTAGGCGATGATTCGGCTGGAAAGATAACGTCATGAGTATATCAAGACAATTCTGCGACCATTCCATGTTAGTGAAAGGTGCTGGCATCGCGTTCAGATTTGAGCTTGTCAATTTGCAGGAGGCGGCACTATGAACAATACCAATCTTCTGTTGAATCCTGGAATGCTTGCTTATCAATGCGTCGTATGCTTTGTAGATTGAATTAAGCAAGTCTTGCCGCTTCTGAGGATTGCTTGGGTGGTAATTCACAAAATGTCCAGGGTGGTGGGCTTGAATAATCTGGGTATCGCGCAAGGAATATGCGTTCAACGAACAATTTCGAGGGTTAAAAGCGGCTATTACCTCCTGGTTCTTATCAGCAACTGACACGTTTTTGTTTCTATGCAAGGCCCTTTCACATACATTTCCCATGCACAGAAGGACATCGGGTTTCTTAGCTTTGATAGCTTCGTACACGAGATCATAAAGACGCTCCCATACCTTAGATTCCAAATGAGTGTAGTCACCCTTGACGAGGAATGGTCGTAGATCAAGCAAGGATACATCGTTGGTTAAGCTCAAAACCTCTTCCGAAACGAACTTTAACCCGTCATCCATGACTCGCAAACTCCTACAATTTTGGATGACGTTATGGATACCTTGTGTCCAAGGGTGCCAGCAACCCGGTTCCAGTAAGAGGATGAGCAGTCCTCCCTGAGTGAACGGCCTTGCAAGTGCTTCAGTAACTTCAAGTTCGTGCTCTGTAATTGTATCTATCCGATATTTTTTGACGAAGCGTAAAATTCTTCCAAAAGCAGCCATGTACTCAGTTTCAATATCGGAGTCAATACTGATCTTTTCGAGGAAGGCAGTGAGGTTATCTATATCGTCCATAACACTGCTGATCTGCTTCGAATTATGTTATTAGCTTTCGTCTTTTGTATCACACGACAAGGTAGATATTAACACTTGTAAAAGCTCTGCTTACTATATTAATGCTACGTTAATCAGCAAAACACAATTGACGATTTACCTACAAATTCTATCAAATACCAAAGAAATAACGCTCTTTATTTGATACTGGTTTCGCTGTGTTTTAACCAGCAACGCAAGGTATGCCATCATCGAGGCTTTTTATCGTCGGATTCTGAACTATCTTTGACCTCATAAGTCCGTTTGCGGACATCGGTGTCGTCATGGCACAGAAACGGAAGTCAGGGGCAACAGCATATTCAGGGGAAAAGGTTCCAGGCTCAGCAGATCATTGCCTAGCCGTGTAGGACGGGATCTGGTTGATACTAGTATAAGATTCCAAGCAATCTCAACGCGGGTAGGCTTTTCCTAAATAGTTTTGGCATTTATCAACAGTTAGCGGTTGCAAACGGTTGTTTTACAATCAAGCAACAGTGACCACGAAAACTAGGCGGGTCGCAGTGCAGCTTACCCATAAGCAAGATTAGGAATAAGAGCTAATCGGCGTGCGATACCTGATAACTACAAGAGCAGGCAAAGCACCTCTAAAGATGACGTACCGCAATGTAAACAGATTGTTAATTACATGATTGATTCCTACTGTCCTTTTCCGCTTGCAGCAAACATAATCTATTTTAGAGCAGTCGGTTATCTAAGAAAGGGCGTCCATGGCGCAATTGGGGGGCGTAAAAGGGATGAGGCTGTGGTAGTTGTTCCTAGCTTGCTATTGCTGCTCCAGACCTTCATCTACTACGCTTGTGCCAGAACAATGTTCATTCAGGCTTCGCTCCCCCCTAAGAAACACAGTGCAAATGACTCCTCTATCCACCTTAATACAACCATCAACGCCTCCAAGGTCAATCATTCCTTATTCGACCCAACTATCCAACATCCTAATATAGACTAATCAGCGATGTTTCAAACGCTTACAGAGGCTGGAAGTGCAGCTGTTTAGCATATTACCTACTGCTAATTGTTACGTGCGTGAGACGATAGTTATACTGCTCTTTAGAGGTCGTGACTGTCGGTAAACCTCTGTTAACAACGCCTTTGAACTATGCAGGCACGCAAATCATAGCTTTGATGACAAACTTTCAAACATATAAAGTATGATTTACAACGACCTAGCAGAGTTCGTCGGACACGCGGGGCACATCTCAGGGCGACACTTCATCTCAGCTAGGAAGCAGGATTCGTATACTTGCGCGTTGTTTGATGCGCCTCAATACACTCAGTTCAGGAAGCTAGCTGTCGCTTTGAAACGCCAATTCAATGATCAGAAGGGAATCTTCAAAGAATAAAGTCACATAGTGGCATCTTGCACATTGCTCGATTGTGTTCGTCAAGACTTCAAAGGTTAGTGTGTTTCTACAACTTTCGACGATCATGCGTCTCAGTATAGTTCACCAATCTATATTACTCATATTATTTTCACACAGGTTCCGCGGAGCAGATGTTTGAGATGCATTACATCGAACAGTGCGACAGCGCGCTCGATGACTTTTGCGCCATCTTTTGGCCGTGCTTATTCGTCAGCAAGAAAGGCGAACAATGTGTAAACGTCAAGGAGCGTCATGTCAAAGGACACCAAAACTGGCGTGGAGCCGTGATTGAAACAAGTTCTTATGAGTTAGGCTTTACGTTCAATACATTTGCTGAACATGGGTTTTTTACCTCAAAACTTACCTCGGTAAATTCCAGGGTGAACTCAAACCACAGATAACGCTATAACTCTTCCACTTACAGCCACTAGACATTGAACACGAGTCTAGCAATCTTGCCTCTCAAAAGCCAGTGTGCTAGACATAGTGTACAGTTATCAGTTGGCTCCGCTTACTGATGGAGGGAAAAGGTTTTGAGGGTCCAAATAGTGACCACCTTCGCCAACCTAAAAACAATGGCAGCGCGTCCAATGGGCCGTAGTACGGCTAAGATAGACCTCGATTAGCTACGCTATTGCCCACAACAGGCTATACTACATATTCTCCTGACAGTCAGGGCTATGTCTATGAACCGTAAGCCGTAGTACTGACAAGGTCACGTGTTCTCATCGTAGGAGACATTTGATTGGCGAGAGGAAGCCGGAAGAGCTTCCGGAACCTCTCCAACCACCCCTTCACGGTTTTCAGGGGTAGCTGGCAGAGGGGCTGTACTGCAATTTCTGACGACAAGGCCGTAGTACGGCTCTTAAATGATCACTACTACGGTTACGAGGCCCACCCATCCACCCTTAGCTACTTATTGCTTACATAAGCAGTAACCCGTAGAGGACTACCACGATAGAGCGGCCCGTTGGACGCGCTGAACAATAAACTCTCCCGACTTCTGCGCACATGACACAGTTACCGTACTCTCCCGATGGCGACTACTGCCTCGCAACGCCCCTCTTGTCTCTGTTTCGAACTTTAAACTCGTTCTTCGTAAACGCTTCTCGTCATGGCTTGCACACTGACATCCGCTTATACAACGTGCCGCAGTCGAGCAGGTCGCAATGTAGACTACCAACCGATCCCTGTCCTAGCTGCGCATCTAGTGCCAACCCTGTCCAGATAGTTTGACGGCCATAAGGTACCCTAGACTAATCGCGATTTGACCGCCATTTAGGTGGTGCGCCCGCAGTTTCACTAAGTGTTAGCGTGTACATCGATGAAGAACCCAATCCTTCTCGAAGGCAATGCACTTTTTTCTAAAAAGGAGGAAAGTAAGGCATATTTGCGATTTGTCTTAGAATCATCCACTCTAGATACCGGAGCTCCAAGCCAGCAACAAACACAGCATAGCCATAGGATTTGCAAACTAAATTTGAGGTTATATATCGGAAGACTATGAAGGTCACCAAACACATCTACGTACCACTGGCTCTGATTGCTACCCTCACAACATCCTCTCTTGTCACAGGATCTTCTCTCAGCAGACGTCCTCTGCTCGGACGAGATGGCACGGATAGTAGTCCTCTCCTGACTGCCATATCGAATGACCCAGACCTTTCTACCTTTTACTCTCTCATCAAGTCGACCGGCGGCACGAGCGGCATCCCTGCTCCGTCATTTGAGGAACGGTTCAATAACCTCACTGATGGACGGAAGTTTACTGCTTTTGCACCTGTCAACTCTGTAAGTGGCAGGTTCATGTTCGCTCAAATCTGGTGTATGACTAACACATTCAGGCTTTCAAGACTATGAAGCCAGAAGTCCTGGCAGCTTTGACAGAACCAGCATCATATGTGCTACTCGAAGCCATCCTGAGAGCTCACATCGCGGAAGGTGAAGTCACAACAGAAGATGTTCTCGCGCCGGGGAAGTCTGTCAAAGCTATAGAAGGCATCCCGCTCACATTTAGCAATGCGAACAACACGGTCACAATCAACAACCAAACCAGTCTAGCCTCTACATCCAGGACAGTGGTCGGAAACGGAGCGATATTCAAGATCAACAAATTGATCGATCTATTGGCGCTCATTTACGGAACTGATGTGGACGTGAATACGCCTATTGGATCTACATCCCAACCTCCGAATGAAACGTCTGAAGGTTCAGGAACCATTGCATCGATTCTGACCTCTTCACCCAACCTGTCGACATTCACGTCTCTCCTAAACCTGACTTCTCCGGATTTCTTCTATTTCCTTGGCGCCACTGTCCCCGATGGCAAGACTCTCTCCATCTTCGCCCCGAGCAATGGAGTATTTGAGGCTATAGGACTGACCGACAAGGTCGTTCAACCAAGCAACGATCCATTCACTTCGTACCTCCTCAAGTACCCTTTCATTGACACATCAACACCTGGGCAGGACAAGTCCATTGTTAAGTTCCCTGCGACGGTTCGTAGGGACGAGGGTGGAAATATCACGAGCGTGAACAACGCTGCTGTGAAAGGAGAGAAGACTTGTGTAAAGAATGCATGCATTTACACTGTCGATAGATGGCTGGACCCCATGTTTGGATCTTTTTAATCTTTTCCAAGATATGGTTCGGCAGCAGTAGGACTGCCGTTCATGAGATCAATTCTGAATGTCCTAGGTACAGAAAACAAATGGCGAAATTTGTGTGTCAAATCCCTCTCTGACGCAGGCTCCCCGCCATTTGCCCTATGAGGACATCTCAACACTCCTTTGGATATGGTCCCCACCCCTCGATAGTTTGCGAGGACGGGTCTATTGGGTGAGGATTAACACTCCATCCCTTTCAAGCGCACGCAAAGGCGCAGGTAACCGAGTCGGCCAAATTGTCTCGCCTGTGGCTGTAGTCGTTCTTGTTGAATGTATTACCCAGCACCGTGAACTTGTCCGAATTGAATACTTCCAGGTTGCAGCAGAGGTGCCGACACTGCAGATTTCAGAAGTGACGCTGTGGTTCTGCAGCTGCCACAAACTACAGCCATCTGGACGGCCACCAGTGATGCAGGAGAGACTGCTGGAGGTTGTTCCGACGTTGCCGTTGCACTTCGTGTAGTCTACGTAGGTCGTATCGACAATCGCGTCGGCTCCGCTGTCGATGCATTCACAACGTGCCCAAGTACATGAGCTGCCGAGCGTGGTAGGCGCGATTACGGCGAGCAGCGCGAGCTGGTGTAGGATGAAGTTGGAAAAGACCATGGTCGCAGAATGATTTCCGGTTGGTCGTTGTAGGCTCAGAAGACGTTGAAACGATACGCAGAATGGAGGTAACTTCGAGAATATTGCAAGAAGTGTAGTCAGGACTGCAGTGAGCTCTGCCCTCAAGCGAGAAGTGAAAGCCTGCCTTTCATACTGTGCAGCTACACTTTACACGTCTTCTAGCTTCTGGGGATTTCTCTTTTTCCCTAGCTATTCACCTAAGTAACCTTTGCTCAAGCCGTTGTGCTCTGTTTCTAGACATCCGCGCCGCCGCATCTAACCCGCCGTACTGGGCGTGAATAAATGGTTCTGTGTAGAGAGGAATGTCTGTCGGCGCTTATGAGGCGGCGTCACGCCGATAATTTAGATACACTTCTGCTAGCCTAAGACTCGCGTTCGGTAGTATCAACACGTTCAACCCTTCTTCATTCAGGCCAATTCTCATAGGCAGCGACGTTTTCTTCAGGTATTTTCTCCTTTCCATTGGATTGTAGCAAGAGTCTCTCGATCTCTACTGCGGTTACTTGTCGTTTACGAACTAGCCAATTGCGCCGACCCGTCATAAGCAGATACGTCAAGCACTACAGCTGCATGCAGATAAAGGTGGGAATGGTGATGAAATTGCACCGAATCAACGATCTCAAACCGCCACAAAAGCAGGTTCAAATAGCGGAATCAGTTCATCATCTTCCTGCAACTCATCAACCCTTTCCTGATTCGTCGGGAACTCTGGAACCTGATCCCACTGCGGCCCTATCCCCTCGATCTTATTGAGCTCCCTCTCATCTCCCTCCTTCCTCAAATCTTCATCTCTGCGCCGGTATTGCAACTTCTCAATCCAGCTCTTATCGTCAGAAGTAAGCTTGATGCGCACATAGTGCGAATTCGGGTACGTGTATTTATGTCGAGCGTCGTCAATGAAAGCTTTCGCATTCGATTCGGCGCGGAAGCGTATGGTTGCGTCGCGATGAGTGGTTAGTACTGCGTCGAGTGGACCGTCGATGTTTTTGATTTCGTCGTCTATGTGGTTGACAGGTCCGCCGTATTGTAACAAAAGTTCGATGCTCTTGAATGATTTCAACTCGATGGCGATCCACAGCGCTGTTGGTCCTGCGACGAACCGTCCGTTTCCGATGTGGATATCGACATGCTGCTCTTCGAGGAGGTAACGCACCATGTCTGCTCTATCTTTCTGCACCGCTGTATACAAGGGTGATACGGCCGGCGGGATGCGGATTACATGTGGGTTGGCGCCGTACTTGTCTACGAGCATGCGAGCGCAGTCTATTGATCCGTGCTCTGCTGCTGTGTCGAACAGGTGCTGGATGTGCAGTGTTTGACCTTCTGGTACGTCGTCAAGCGACATAGCATCGTGTTCCTTGATGCCCAAAGAATGGATGAACTCGAACTTGTCGGTACGATTGAGCACGACGGCGCTGTATGCGCCATAGGTGAAAGGTTTGTGAAGATCTGCGGGCACCCGAGAGTCACCGATGTCCCCGTTCTTGATCTCAGGGTATTTGAATCCTAAGAGCAATTTGATAGACTCAAGATCATTTATGGGAATGGCGATAGGGATGGCGGTCATCGCGGCCTGCCTCAGATGTGCGTTCGATTCGGCGACTATGAGCTCGTCTTGACCAGGTGCAAGACAGCCTGCATACTCCAGCAATAGACGTAGTATCTTGTAGCCGTTATTATTGCCGGCCGCAGCTGTAATAGAGAGTGGCGTTACTTTGACGCCCGGCTTCTGCAGCAGCAACTCTACCATCTTGGCATTTCCTATACGCGCTGTAACTTCTAGCGCATCCGCGTAAGCGAATTCGTTCAGGTACTCTTTTGCGAGATCGTTGCCGTCGATTCTAGCAGTTGGATCTGCGCCATGACGAAGCAGAAATTCCATCGCCTCGGGCTGGTCGCCGTATGCCGCCACAAGGAGGGGAGTCCTGCCAAACTCATCTCGTAGGTCGACATCAATGCCGTTATCGAGGAAGATTTTGAGAATATTGACATGGCCGGTTAGAGCTGCTTTGTGCACTGGAGCCACCGAAGAGTCGTCCTTGTCAGGGAGATCAAGATCATTTATCCCTTTATCCTCTTCTCCACCCTCCTCTTTCTTCGCTTCTTCCTCTAGAGCTTTGGCAATGTCGGGATGCACCTTCATGCCAGTTTCTACCAAGCAGCGTACCATGTTCTCGTCGCCCCTTCCCACCGCCTTGTCAAGGATCAACCGTCGGTGCATCTGCTTTGTATACTTTTCAAGGACCTCTTTGAGCTTCTCGACGCGCTCCTTAGGATCAGTTATGCCCCATATCTTGCGCTCCTGGAGTGGATCACGACCAAGCTGGTCGTAGTACTCGTAGTCATCCATCCAGAGGCGATGCTTTGCAGAAAGGGGTTCCATCATGATTGCCATCCCTGGCACATAATCCGGTGTGTCGATTTGGTATGGAGGGAGTATTTCGGGCATCTTGATGATGGATCCTTAGAAAATGTGTTAAGAAGTGTGATTGGTGAAGCAAAAGTGAATTTGGCTACCACAGGCCCCAACGTAGAAATTCAGAATTGAAAGACTGTGAGCAATTGTCTTTCTTAGGCACATGGGATCGAAATGGACACATCGCAACCTAGAGGCAGCGAGATGCAGCTAGGGTCGCTAATCATCGTACTGACGCAATTCCAAGACCAAGAATCATCTTGATGAGGGAAACAAGGCGTCAGCCTTGATTTAGGATGCATGCCATGAGCGCGCCTACGCGAATGAAGGAAAGTGTGTTGCAGCTGAGCGCTGACCGGAAGTGGGGCGCTTCGTTAGCGCCGCCCTACTCCATAGACGTCTTTTCACGATAACAACACAGTTGAATGAGGAGTAAGCATGAAATTGAACTTACCTAGCTTAAGTGCTCTCTTCAGGATCTAAGATGTAATTCGACTTGAATCTGGTGATATTTCGAAGAAGTAAGAACGACTCTAAGTTACGGTTTCTTCTTACCTCCTACTTTGGTGATTCGTACAAGCTGCTCATACTCGTCAACATCCTACTCATACAACTTCAACACTTCACCTAACACCCCCTCCACCTCCCTTAAAGCGTCTCCCCCAACCCAAACTCCCCACTCCAGTGCCTCCAACAACTCCTTCTCCGCCCCCTTCAACGTCGGCACCCCCAGCCCCAGACTCCTCGCAACAAAGTCGAACGGCGTACCAGTATCGTCCTGAAACTTATGCGCCAGCAGAAACGACGCAGCCACGATATACTCATCGTCGCACGTCAGCGTGGCACGAGAAGGCATGAGACGATAGCGGAGCAACAGGGCGAGCGTCAGGGGGACAGTGGAGGAGGACATATGAGAGTTCACACGCATCATGGAGAAGAGACGGGCGCATGTATGTAGGGTCAGAAGGTCGGGGCTCGGGACTGAAGGGTTCAGAGATTCGACGGTGCTGGGGAACTTGGGGTCGAAGAGGGCATGGAGGGCTTTTCGGGGCGTGTGCAGGATGAATGTGGACAGGCGGGCGAATTGGGTCGCTGTGCAGGGTAGGTCCAGCGCGGTGGACATGATGCACATGCTAGAGACGGAAGTCATTGTTAGTGGCAATGATGGCGAAGAGCGAGGGGCGAAGGATATGAGCGCTGTTGTCACGGGGGTGAGTTAGCTGGCCTGTTGTGCTCGCAGGTTGTGAGTTGAGTTAGCAGCACGGTGATGATGAGGTTGAGGAGATGAGGGTAAAGATGGGTTATATTCGTCTAGAAGGAATCTTGTACCTTGGATAGCATTGTGAGTGCACGTTTCCATGCAATAGTGCAGAGGGACGCAAGCCCAATCTCCATCCTCGGTAGGCATTGTGAACCAGTGATGTTTCCACCGACCGAAAGGGAATACCAGCCTTGATGCATTTCCTATATCAAGTTCATCTTGCAGCTTGAGAGCGTACGTTTAGCGGATACCTTTCATGTCATCGCCCAGGTTTGTTGCGAGTGAATGGCATGAGAAATCAAACATTCGAACACAAACCCATGTGATTTTATACGCTGTTCTGACATGATTCAAATATAGATATTACCGATCCACTGTGTGTAGTGTTGGATGAAAGCACGCGTCGATGTTCAGTGCCTCCAGTCTGCTTGAAGTTAGAACTCCCGCTTTCCTTCGGCACGCGCGCGTCTTCCCCACACGTGCAGCTTGCCAGCTCCTCCACCCAATGGCCCTTCCACTACCGCCCGCGTCGAACCTCCACTCCATCCTTCTCGTCACCAAGTCGCGCTCGCTTGGGCCGCGCCTTGTCTTCCATTATCCGCCGCTGTCGCCGTCGGCCGCAGCCCTTGCCGGCGCAAAAGACCCCGCTTGGTATCGTCACGACGTGTCAACTGCCAGCATCGGCTCCGGCAGCTCCGACAGCGAATGGGACAGCAGCACCGCGACAGACGATGACAATGACGTTGAAATCGGGAGTCGCACCAGTGGTGGGCGTGGTTCGGGGCGGACACTGACAGGCGCAAGCTTTCGCGACCGCGACCGGAGCAAGCTCGGCACCGAGGTCTGGAACAAGCAGGAGACGATAGACGAGGATGATCCCGACGATGAAGATGGTGATAGAAATGGTCGGAACAGACGGAGAGGAGGCGACTACGACTGGGATACAGTACTCGGTTTCAAGACCGATGCGCTTGAGAAGATGCTCAGTCCAGGCAAAGAGTTCAACAAGCGACGCTTCGAGCTCGGTGTCGAGAGCATAGTCTTTGTGGGCGCGCCTATGTTTGTACGAGAGGATGGTCTGTGGAAGAAGCTCAAACGTCGGAAGAAGAAGCGGTCCGACAAGGAGAAGCTTGACGACGCTGATTTCGTGAAGAACCTGACAATATCTGAGGAAGACGAGGAAGCTGACACGGTCGATGAGATCCCCGTGAAGTCGAAACCGGAGCCTTTTGTCTATCCCGAGGGCTTCGAGCCTGGTTATGGCCATGGATCAATCTCCAGCGGGCCATCTGGGGCTCCGTCTGAAGCTGGGTCGGATGCCCGCAGCAACTCCACCAGCCAGGATAACAACCCTGACATGAACATGTTCAATGTCGTGTTCGTGCTCAACCCGCCTGCGCTGGAATACCAGCAACGTGTCAAGGAGATGTACGATAATGTGACGCGCAAATATGCGAAGGCGCTCAAGTACGAGGAAGCGCGCTTCCAGTATGTCTGGAAAGAGTCGAAGCGCATCATTGACCTTAAGCAGCGTGCCAAAGAAAGCAACGAGTCACTGACATCGACGTGGCGCAAGATCATTTCCACCTCCCCACTAGCCAAGTCGATTGCTATCATGTTCGACGCCATATCTCATGACAAGATAGCGCACATTCACTTCGATGCCACATTCAACACCTCCTTCCAGATACCGCAAGCGGATTCAACACCATATCTCCCTACTGCGCTTGAACCGCAGATGCCTGGCCTATGGCTTACTACATCAAACGTTGTACTGGCAGACGACGAATCGCCGATGACACAGCACGCTGCACTGTTGCTGCTTGAAGACACAGAAACATTGATTAAGGATCTTGGCGGCGAGGTGACTGGCAACGCAGCAGCCATTGCATTCTACATCCGCAATATTATACCCACGAAATCACTTCTGAAGATATCGAAGCGGCACAATATCTCTGCGCATGACATGGAATACATAGCATCGCATTTGGTATACTGGCGCCGTGCTCGACTCATCGCCCCGCTTTCACCGCGCGACACTTACATCGTGTCGCCGAATGCGGACTTCTCATTGTTGCCGTCCGCAGTGACTGCATATGCGCAGCGCTTTCCCACTCTACCAACACTACCAAAAGTGCTCAACATGCTGTCTGGCACTCCTCGACCATTTCGCAACTTTATCCCCACCACGGAGCATCGCGAAGCCTACATGGATATCTTGGCATGGCTCATGCGAGGCGGGTGGGTCACGCAGCTACGCACATTTGCTTGGGTGCGGGTCACGCCTGAGATCAAAGCAAAGGTCGCAGCCGAGATGGAGCGTGAAGAACGCATCAAGAAAGCAGAGGAAGCAAGAAAAGAACTGTTGAGTGACAACGAGTCAGTCGCCGAGTCCCTCCTGTCAGACAAGCGTAGCAGTCTGCTTTCCGCGGGAACCGTCCGATCTTCAACACCTCTGAGGATGGCACATCGTGATAGGGGTACAGGCGGATTGGGCGAAGAAGATATGCATCACAGCACAATACTCAGCCCACGCATAACGGCGTCAGCTGCACCGAGCTATCGCGGATCACCCACCCGAGCCTCTTCTGACGCAGGGAGTACGAGTAGTCAACGCACCACGATCGCACTCAGCTCTTCGCAACGTCCGGATTCGCCCTCTCGATTAGGCGTTCGAGACGTGAAGCCACACCGACCTAGTCCGCTGCATCTCCACCCTACCTCGCCGTCCCGCGGATCCGCGGTTTCGTTGGCATCACCCACCGCAACATCGCCCCCACCATCTCCGAAAGACTTTAAGCCTTCTATCGTGTACAGCCCCCAGAAGGCAACGTCTCTTGAAGCAAGATGGCTCGAGAAGATTGGGCAGAGTTTTGAAGATGTCGGCAACATTATTCCTACTCCGAATCCTAGTCCGCCGAAAGGTCAGGATGGCGGTATGTTTGGGATCACGGGGAAGGAGCTACGAGAGGCTTGGCCAATACTGTTGAAGCATTTGGATGGCAGACACGCGATCGAGGATGTTGCGCCCAGAGAAAATATGAAGAGGAAGAGAGTTGCAGCAATGTACAATACGATCAAGGAGCGCGGATGGCTAGTTGTTGTTAGGCATTGGTAGTCAATTGCATGGTCGAGAGCCTGATTCACTTGAAAGGGTTTTCCTATGCAACATGCTTTCTTAGTGACAGACTTCGCGTATCCACAAATCGTGATAGTGAAGCCCAAGATGCGACGCACAATGCGCGTCATCGCGAAATGGCAGGGATGGTGATGAAAGCCGGGCGGCACGGGCCAAGACGATGACGCTAACGTTTAAGCTCACTCCACCACAACTCATCCTCGACGCCGTAAACCTCATTGCCTCTTACGGACGAGCACTGCGCACCGCTACACCACAACCCACTCCTCAAAACGCCACTTCTGCCAAGATGAGCACATTCGGTGGAGCTGGATTAGGACAAAAGATCCAGAAGCCGAATCCGTAGGTTTTTCCCACGTCTTCCACAACACGTCGTATGCAGTGCTCTCGATGCGTACACAGCCAAGCCTCTCCAATTACAGAATAGCAGAACGCGATTGCTAATAACAGTATCAACAACAGGCCTGAGCGCGGCTCCTTCCCCCTCGATCACGATGGTACGCCTACTTCAACCCGCCGAGACCCCTCGCTCTACCTTATGGCCCATCACAACCGCGCCGAGCACTACAAAAGTCTGACGTTACATCGTAGGAGAATGCAAAGATATCATGCTATCCTATCTGAGATGTATCAAGTCCCACCGAGGCTCCAACGACCCCGAGTGTCGTAACCTGTCCAAATCGTACCTCTCGTGCCGCATGGATCGGTACGTACACACCAGCCTCTTCGTCATATGCCTCCAGCCCCATCCCACACACGTCCCCATTGGCCCGGGCTACGACGTCTTCTCGTCAAGCAAGGGAGCAGAAGATCTTGTGATACCGACCTGTCAGAATCTTTCGAACCAGGTTGCTGGGAAAGTCAAGTCGGGAGCTACGAAGCATGCAAGGGAGAGACGCGGCAGCCTCCATCCCTCGCATCTTGTCAGATGTGAAACGTCTGAGCTGTCGAATCGGCATAGTTCCAGTCAGCACAGTCCATTGTCTGCCCAACATTGTCTAGAACAGCAGACCTGCCTTCGAAGCAACCCCAATCCCCACTTCCTTCTGTCACACTGCTTCGGCAGCATCCGAGTGGAGCCCAACGCTGCCCCAATTGCGTCTGGAGAGGCTTGTGCTGACGATTCCCAATAGAAACCTCATGGCCCCTGACTCGTTCAAGAACCTTGGATTCGGTGACGATAGCGACACCCCAGCTGGCAATGCAACCTCAACGCAACCATCGCAGCCCCAGGCTCAAGTTCAAGATAGGCCTCGCGGATCCTAGATGGGTCTATGCGCCCAGGAATGAAGGACCGTGTCTCCTGGTCACTGGTTCGGCAGCATCCGAGTAACCGAACCATCACCGGCACTGCGTTTGACTCCTCTGCTCCGAGCATGCCCATGGGATTTCTTGACGCGGAACAGCTCCGTGAGATCACAGTCGGGAGTTTGTCGGCAGTACCTGTGGACTTGACAGGTTACATTAGCGACGCCCTGCAGTCTTTTGGCGCGTCGTGAGACGAAACAAGGGCTGAACGCGGGTTCGGAATCGTTGAGGCTGGCTTTCGAAGGGAGGAGAAGGATGCGAGAAGCTCAATATGGAAAGACATACAGAAAATGACAGCTGCCAGATGCTGTAGGCGACTGAAGCTGTTCTACCCAGTCACGCCACCGCAGCTGCGTACCGCGGCTGCCCATGTCACACGGCAGCCTCCAGTCGCGCCACAGCCCCATCTTCAGCAAGTGAACAAAGCATTATCGATATCAGTACCCAAATATACGACTGCCACCATCAATGCGATCACAGCCACCGTCTCTATAGTCGCCACTTCGTATACGGCTAACACAGCGATCACCCTTGCAAGGCACTGCCGGTTCAACAGAATACTGCGATTCCTGGACTGAGACATCTTATCATCCCGCGCCTCCCGGATCCAGCAATCAATGCGCCGATCCACCAGGATCGAAGTGAGTGCAACGTCGCACAAATCGGCATCACCTTACACTGCCGATGACCCCTCCAAGTCCTACACCCCAGGGTCAGTGCGCAATAGACGACCCTGCAGCACCACAGTTGAAACAAACTTGTACCATGTGATCTTTCCAGGAGGGTGACGTCGGTGGCATACTGATGAATGTCTGGGGTTGTGCGCGTCAACGGCTGGCGCAAATTATCGCCGAGCAGGCCTGCCGCGCGAGGGTCCTTTGTGGTGTTGCGATACTCAACTCAACAAAACCGACCGGAAAGATGCCGATGCTACGACATGGCGGCCTAGTGAGATTGTCGTTACGATGCGGTTCGTGCGACAGCGCGAACGCCTTGGATGTCAGAACCGTTTTGGTGCGATATCGGCCGCTGTGCGAGGAGGCGGAGCGGATTACGCAACTTGCCAACCACACACGAACAGGAAATGGCGATTTGTGGAGAGGGGAACCCGGTCTATTGCGCGCCTTGTGCAGGCGCCCGAAGATGGCTCGGCTCGGGCCAGACCGCGCGTGCTGCAGTGAACGATAATACTTCACATACGCATATACATGTGGTTGCTATACCTCTACTGTACACCACATATGCCTGGGTTTCTCCTTCTCCACTATACACGTTCAGACACAGCATACATGACGTGACCCCACTCCCCATGACCAGCAGGACGAACTGCCGGATGGCAAGCACGACGTGAGACATGCCTACACCCACCTGTCCATGAGGTTTGCTCGCACTCGCACAGCGAGGACGCATAGCACGAGACCCGGGGTGGACAGAAGCAGCGGAATGCAGTTGCGTGACCTTTTTGTCCGACGAGTTCAGGTACTCGGGTTGATGACGGTGGGAGGTGGAGGCGCGGAGGGGAAACTGCTCGAGCATACCACACACACATACCCTGGAACATGGTGCGATCTAAGCCTATCTATCCACCGACATCATCCCACCTCCACCTCCTTTGACTTTCGCCGTATGTGTTTGTGTGTGCGTGTGGATGTGTTGTGTGTCGTACGAAAAAAAAACTCAAACTCAAGCCGTGCAGGCCGTATAGTGGCGTGCAAGCGCCCCATTCCCTGCTATCGGGACGCTGGTGTTTCAAAGTCTGCGGCCTACAGGTTGGATGGGTGTGTGGGACTAGCTGACGCCTCGTTAGCAGCGGGGAGGCGGGAGGGAAGGCAGCTGCGGCGTTGAGGTTGAGGGCGAGGGTGAGGGTGAGGGCGAGGCGGTGAGGTGTCTTGGACAGGTTGTGTCTGTGCCGTGTCCGGGAGAAAAAGGACGAGGAGGAAGGGTGTTGTGAGTCATTGTATCGTATCGAGAGGAAAGATGTCTATGCTTTGGAGGACGAGGACTCTCTGCCCGTGTGGGTGACTTGTGGTGGCTGAGTAATATACGTCTACGTCTGCCTTGTTGGTCCTGGCTTGTCAGTGACATACTCAAAGCGCGGGGGGTATCCAAGGCATCAAGGCATCAAGGCATCAAGGCATCTCATCACCGGGTAAATGCAATGTCAAATTGTGATGAATAAAATAGTGATAATGATGATAACAAGACTACGAGAGCTACGTGGAAAATGAAAAAAACAATCGCCGACCCATGTGTCCCTGTTGCCGAAATGCACAAATCATACAGACCATGATGTTGTGTCATAAATCAATCCGAAGAGCCCGTAACAAGGAAAAGAGAGGCAAAGGGTTCGCCGACCCATGGCCCCGTAAATATCTAATAAATCTCCTCCCACCTGCGTAACAACAGTGCGTTGCTGTCCATAACGCCATTACTCAACGCCGCCTCGTGCGAAACAAACCCAGTGTCTTCGGGTATGGAAAACAAAGTATTAAAACCAGAGTGGTGATGTGCAAACTCGTGTAAAAGAAACCATACATAGCGCGCGAGAAGGAAAAAAGAAGTAAATGGCATCAGCAAATTCGAGGTATTGTGATATGCAAGCCGAGCGTAGCAGTCGCGAAAGGGCTCCGACCTATGCGTTGCACGGGACGCCGCAAACGCCAGAGTGAGTGATGCGATAGGATGATGGTTACGCAATGAGACAGATGGAGCTGTGATGCATGCTTGAAGCTGCCGCCCATGGCCAGCAGAGGTGGTGTGCGTCGAATGGAGCGAGGAGCGAACGTTGACCAGCCGCGTTTAGCCGACTGGAAAATGACAGTATGGCATACTCGCCTGGCGCACCCATCGGTGTGCGCAAGCATGCATCGGCAGGATGCAAGTACGGGTGCGGGGTATCGCGGGGTATCATAAGTAGGAAATCGACTATGAGATGTGCGCAGCTGAAGAAGAATGGAAAGGGTGAGAGGTCTCAACCCATGTCCATGCCGTATTCGTCTTCCTCCTTCAAGCTTTGGTTCGACCAGTATTGCTGATTGGATCCGGATCCGCTACCGGTGCTCTGCATACCAGGACTCAGGCTTTGTGGTGAGATGCCATTGCCATTCAAAGGCTCGCCAGCAAGGTTGGTGTGCTTCGGTACTCGCAGGCCAGATCCGGGGCCTCGGGAGTAGCGGAAGGTGCCGGTGCCGTTCTTCTCAAGCGCATCGATGATCTCTGTCTTCATGCGCTTCTCATCCTCGGTCATCTCAGACACCCACTCCTCGCCAGTCGCCTGTTGAAGACGAGCAGCCATCTCATCGCATTCCTGAATCTTCTTGTACAACATCCACATGAGGTCACGGGTCCAGCTAACGGCGCCGTTGAGGATATCGCCTTTGTTTGGACCCTTGTCTTTGTCCTCGATCGGGAGTCCCTGTGTGATGGACCCAGCGGCGCGTCGGCCACTGCCCCCAGCCAATAGGGAGGTTGCTTGCGGAGGTGACATTCCACTAGACATGGTAGGCGAGAGAGGTCCGTTGTTGTTGATGTGCTTGCGGATCTTCTCGTCTTCGAGGCGATGTTGTGGTACGAGGCGAGACAAGTCGTGAATGCGCTCATTGATATTGTCCCGACGTCGGCGTTCGACAAGGTTGTGCGACTCTCGTCGACGGCGTTTCTTAGCATCCTGTGTCTGCCCAATGTCGACCTTGGCTGGCAAGGAAGCGTGTTTGCCGGAGTGGATGACCTCGGAAATTTGCTGATGGTGCATCGCAGTCTGATGGGGGGACTGAGTAGGTGAGTCGATCCCATGAGTGAGCGCTGCCTGGAGTGCCGTCCCCACTGGCCGGAAACACTCTTTTGGTGGCGGTGCATGTTGGTCATGATGGGCTGGGTACCAAAGTTACCAGAGTCTGGGGTGCCAAGATGGAGGTTACCCATGGCTGGGGTCTTGGGTGACATCGGGGTGCGGCTGTCCGAGCCGGTCCTGCTCATGACGATGCGTTGCCGCATGGAGCCAGTGGGCATGCTTCCAGGAAAGCCGCCCATTCTTGAGGGGCCAGATTGGTACTGGTTGAAGTCGAAGTTGCCAGGGTGGACGAATGGGCTGTGAATGGGCAGATCGTCGGGGGTGTTGGAGTACATCTGGTTCATGTTGGAGTTGGCGTTGGTGTTGTGGTACATGTCCTGCTGGTTGAAGCCGCCGTTGAAGCCAGGCTGTTCAAAGTTGCCCAGCGAATCAGCGAGCTCGTCGTCTGCGATGTTGGCAGCACCTTGGATGTAGCTGGTGGAGCCGAACTGGTTGTTCATGCTCATGCTGCCGCTCATATTCAACTCGGAAGGGTTGATGCTTCCGACGTTGTCATGAGCGGAGCTGAACTGTGGGTGGCCGTATATGTTTGGCTCATGTCGAATCCGTTGTGGCTGATGAAACGGTTGGAGTTGAAGTTGATCTCGTCGACTTCTTCTTTAATGTATGGTTGCGGTGATCCTGTACCAGTCATGTTGAAAATATCAGCGTCTAGCACGTCGTCAGAGGGCGACTCCAGTCCAAGGTCCAGCCTTGTAATGGTCTTCTGAGGAGAGTAGGAAGAGGGAGGAGTGAAGAGAGAGTCCGCTTGGGGGACAGTCAGTATGGTCTCATAGTACATATTGGAAATGACGGCTGGAATGACGGTGGGAATGACGGTAGGAGAGCGAGAAGAGGATGAAGGGAAAGAGGGCGCATTATAGGAGAGAGGATGCAGCGAAGGGGTGTGCCCATGACGGCACTCGGTGGGGGTGATGTGACAAGAGGCGTACTTACTAGGTGTTGGCATCACTGAAGGTAGCAGTGAACCCAGGAATGTGGATAGAGGAGGCCGAGGGTCGGTGCTTGTCCCCGGAGTTTGGATCTGAAACGATCTGTCTTCGACCCCGGCAAGTGACTAAGGAATGCACTTGCAGGCTTGCAGGATGATGGCTGCACGAGACGGTCTGTGTCCCTATAAGGGCTCTGGCAGACGATTGCTGTCTGGTGCGCACAAGGACACTTTTGAGCAAGCTAGTGGCAGATGATTCTGGCTAGCAATCCTCTTGTGATCGGAGAGCAGGCTGGTGTTTGTCTGCATAAGCGTGTTAGGTGCGTGGTGAAGGAAGGCCTCGGGGAGATGCTCACACTGCCTGTGCTGCTGATCCCTGCTACGGACAGAGCGCAGAGACAGTAATCGAAAGGGGTGGTTATTGACAGCAGCGAAAGGGAGAGATGATGAGCAGAGGGCCTATTTCGGGCGACTCTGGAGTTGAAGTCGGGAGGGCGTCGGTGGCTGGCAGTTCGGATCGGGCCTGGAGTGAAGTGTGTCAGCACGCTATCCCTGAAGCGAAGTGTTGAGCAGTTTGGAGGTTGGTTGCATGCGAGTGGCGCACAGCTGGGTAACCTGCGAGGCGAGACGGTGGACAGCAGCGGTGCAGCACCCCGGCTTGTGGAGACGGTGGTACAGGCAACCAAAGCAGCGAAACCGTCGCACAGTGCCGCAACGTCCCTTTGGGATATGCTTTGCGGCCAGGCTGAAGTGGTGGAGAAGAAGGAAGGCGCGCGCGGGACGCTGACTCACCCTGGTAGAGATGGAAGTGCAGTCGCAGCCGGACATGCAATGGGCGGCGGAAAGAGCGGCTTCGGGGAGTGAAGTCGGATTTGGGGCTGCGGGTGTCTGCGGCTCTCAATGGGCAGCAAACTTGTCGAGGGTGAGGGTGAGGGTGAGGGTGGTGCTGGTGCTGGAGTCGGGGGTCCAGTGGCACAGGTTTGTCTCTTTCACTCGACACGAGCGTGGGTGAGAGACGCTCGGTAGAGGATGCGGGATGCGGGATGCGGCGCTGGCGAGGTTTGGCAGCGCAATGGCGTGGAGGGGCAAGGCAGAGGTGAGGGCCTTGTGCGACGGGTGGGTAAAATACTTGGGTGTGGGATGTAGAGTATGTGGTCGGGCGGTATATGGCGGGGGATGGTCAAGGGTGGGATGGGCCCCGGTTCAGGCGTGCTTGGGAGCGTTTGTCGGGGTTTTAGCAGGGAACAATGGGCTTTGAGCTTCACCGCACAAGCAGATAGAGTTGCGACCACGGTGCAGCGGCTCTCGCACGAGGCCAACGAGCAGGTGAAGCGAGGAAAGGGCGACGGGCGAGGATGGGAGCGCGGAAGGCGGTCAGAGAGGATGCGTCTCGAATGGCGCTAGCGGGATGCCAAGCGCGAGCAACGGGCGGCGAATCAGGCTTCAGGCTGCGGGCTGTTTGACGCGGTTGCAGCAAAGTAACTTTAGCAACCTCTAGTCGGACGGACTCGTAGCTGGGCGAGTTCGGTGGGGCGCGGCAGCCGAGTACGAAACGGAGCGATGATGCTGATGGCGACGGATGCCGTGCAGCAGCGTTGGGGGTGCGGTGAGTGCGGCGGCGACGGCGGCAGTCTGGACGCTGTGAGACGGGACGAGGTGACGTATGGCTGGGGTGCAGACGGTGTTGCAGTGTTGCAGTGTTGCAGTGCTGCAGTGAAGGATGCGGTGCTGGAGGGAAGGCCGGGCCGTGGGCGTCCGAGGTATATTGAGATTGAGATTGAGATTGAGCTATCGCAGAGATACTTGAAAAGCATACATATCATGCACGATGCAACAGACGGACGGCGAGCGAGAGGGCAGAGGTCTTACTGGGCCAGGCGTCGCGGCATGGCAGCATAATATATGTCCTGCGGCTCCATCTCACTCGCGGTCGCTCTCTGCCACACTCCCACACTCCCACACTCACACACTTCCGCATTACTCGCCTTGCGCGTTCCATGGCCGATCGACTAACAGTACGCACCCGCAGGCATCCACACCCTGGTCCTGCCAAACAGGGTGTGGCCGCAGATGGTCACTTTGTTGCGCCTGTCTCAGCGTCCCAGATGCCCATGCCCATGCTGGGGAGAGGGCGCGCAATGTGACTCACTATCAGCGAGCAGGTCCTGTCTGCGCACTGCCCAAACGTCATTCACTGCTTAGGTCCGGAGGCATCCTGGGCCTAGTCTACGCTGTGGGTGTGCACAGCAATCGTCCTGGGCCTGTTCGGTTCACGTCAGTATCTAGTGCATATCTGGCCCATGTCAGTTGCTGCTGCGGGAGGCGATCGCGCTTAGGGAGACGACGCAGGGATGTGCCGACAAGGCCGGCCATAGCTGCTCCACGGCGGTATTGCGACCTGCCACACTACACTACCTCTGCCTACCACACCTGGGTGTAGTAGTCTACCAGCACCGCGCCGCCGCCCTCCATCACCGACACCTCCACGGGCTACCAGCATCCAGCACCCCAGCACCCCGCCAGACAGCGGCCCCCGCCAGCCAATCGCTGCCGCCACGCCCTCCTGCCCCCAGCTCCCATCGCACCTTCCGCGCACCGCGACCTGCTCCTTCCTGCCTCGTCACACGCCCTTCACCAGCGCTCGTTCTGAGACGCCTGTCTGACTGCTGCCATTGGGCCGCCGCGTCCCCCCACTGCAGGCAGATCATCTGCACGAAATCCTCCGTTCCGTTCTCGCACCACCCACCGTCTAGTACCTACTACACAGCTTGCTGTACCCACACCCACGGTGCCCAAGCCACCCACTGGTGCCAGGACCAGCCTGACAGCTGAGTACCAGAGCCCACGACGCGAGCACCACGCCTCTTCGGCTGCACCTCGCTTTCGCCTACTGCGGCTCTCTGCAAGCCTACGCCTGTCTGCTGTGCAGTGGCAGTCCAGGCCCACTTGTCCTGACTCCCCTCCACCCTATATCACTACCTCGACCTAGATATGGCTTCTACCTCGTTCCGCGACTCGATGAACTCGCTAGGCTGGAGCAGACGAGAGCCTGAACCCGTGAACACTTCGTCGCCGTCCCTGCTGGGCAGGCTCCAAAACCTGAATCCCTTTGGCGAGGGCGGTTATGTCAGGCTTCCAATATCAGAGACAAATCCTGGGGCTCCGCTGCCCGCGCCAACACGAAGAGAAGAAGAGGAAGGGTGGTTTGCGCGTAAGTTTCCGTCTTGTTACTGTGGCGAGGCATTCGTACGCCTCTGCGCGTCCTGAATGCTTCGCAACCCCAGCCCTGTTGATTGCAGATCGAGATCTGCTTTCGATCTTATATTCTGCAAATGCCTTCACGACTCGCAATTGCGGCCTCGTGATCCCGCCAGACGTCTTTGCGGTGAGGCATAGTTTCACTTGCATGACTCCACGAGGCTCCGCTATATG